GTCGATACCCCGGGCCAAGTGGATGGACAAAGCACTGGGTACGAAGGACGTCACCAACAGCGTCCTGGCGCCAATGCCGTGCAAAGTGTTGCGCGTGGAAGTTCAGGCGGGCGATGTGGTGGAAAAGGATCAACCCTTGGTGGTCATTGAGAGTATGAAAATGGAAACGGTCATCCGCAGCCCACAAAAGGGAACCATTTCCAAAGTGGTACATCAAAAAGGAGTAAGTCACGCGGACCCTCTCCCCCCCCCCCCCCCCCCCCCCCCCCCCGCCGCCTCCTCCTTCTTCCACCTTCCTCACGACCTCTTGCAAATCTTGGTCGGTAGCTATGAGGATCCTGCTACGCTACCAGTAGTTAGTCATCTATTAACCCCGTCGACCCCTGGTGCTGCATAGGTGTTGTAAGTCGATGTCAACGCCATGCTACCTGCTTGGACGAGGTTTTTCCAGCCGTCGAGGAGGGACGACAGTCTCTCCAGTCCCTCCTCGCTATATGACGAGAAACGTGGAGAACTGGAGGTTCATGTGACGGAATCCAGTCCTCCACCCCAAGCGACTGGAGCTGTCAAAATCGAAGCTGTCGAGGCTGTTGGTGGCCGCAAGGGAAGATATCTCCTCTATATCGGGTACGGTACAGACATGATCCCGATCTTGAAACCCCCAGAATACTAACCAGAGAGCATCGGTCAGCCTGGCCATGGTTATGATTATCTTGTCAGTCTTGCGATAACCTCACCCCCCCGGGTCTTTTCCCCGTAGCTCTAACCCCCCCAACCTAGTGAACTCGACAATTCAACGGTAGGGACGTATCGCAACTTTGCTACATCCGACTTCAAGCATCTCTCGGTACTGGCCACGCTGAACACGGCGGCCAGCATCATTACTGCAGTAAGCAAACCGCCCATCGCCAAAGTGTCGGACGTCCTGGGCCGGGCCGAGGCATACATCTTCACCATCACGTGCTATATCCTGTCATACATCCTCTGTGCATCGTCCGGAACCTTCAACACCTATGCGGGAGGCTACGTCTTCTATTCCGTCGGCCAGGCCGGCACGGCCATCCTCAACTCCACGGTCGTGTCGGATATCTCTTCCATGCGCTGGCGAGGCTTTGTCTACAACATCTTGTACATCCCCTTTTTAATCACGCCGTGGGTGTCCGCCTTCATTGTCGACAGCGTCGTGAATGGGATCGGCTGGCGCTGGGGGATCGGCATGTTCGCCATCTTGATGCCCTTCTGCACCAGCTTCATCATCGTCACCCTCCTCGTTTTCGAACGACGGGCCAAACGATCCGGCCTCATCCTGACGGAGCGGCTCAATCTCTTCACGTTCTGTTCGCGGATCGACCTGGGCGGCATTATGCTTCTGAGCGGCGGGTTTGCCTTGATCTTGATCCCGGTCACGCTGGCCGCCACGGCATCCGACTGCTGGAAGACCCCGTGGGTCGATGCCTTGATTGCCCTCGGTGCCATCGCGCTCATCTGTCTCTATCCGTACGAAAAGTACGTCGCACGGCACCCGGTGGTCCCTACCCGTTACTTCCGCACCATGTCCGTCGTGGTCTCCGTGGCCTTGGCGTGCATCGACAACATCGGATTCGGGACCACGCAGACCTACCTGTACGTGTGGTCGATGGTGTCTCATAACTTCTCCCCGCGGGATGCGCAGTTCCTCAACTACACCAACAGCGTCATGCAGGCCTTGGTGGGCATGGGCACCGGCCTGCTCATGTATCGACTCCGGTCGTACAAGTGGATCGGGGTGGCTGGCGCCGCGATCCGGATGGTCGGATACGGGGTGATGGTCCGCCTGCGAACAAACGAGAGCTCCGTGGCGGAACTGTTTATCGTCCAGCTGATCCAGGGCGCCGGCAGCGGCATGATTGAAACCATTGTCATTGTGGCGGCGCAGATCTCCGTGTCCCATGCGGAATTAGCGCAGGTCACCTCCCTAATTCTGCTCGGATCGTTCTTGGGTAATGGGATCGGCTCTGCGATCGCCGGCGCGATTTACTCCAATAAGTTGCGTGAGCGGCTGCACCTGCATTTAGGTCACAGTGTGGATGAGGATATCGTCGTCCAGCTATACAACTCCATCACCGGTACGCTGCCGACGTGGGGGACGTCGGAGCGTAATGCGGTGAATCAAGCTGTAAGTCTCGCCTCGATCCGCCGGGTGCTTCCTTCGAAACGTGGGCTCTTCTTGCTAATTGTCCCTCCAGTATTCAGATGTCATGGGGTATGTCTCGTGCGAGGATTTGAATGACCCATCACATACTAACCACGCCCCGCCAGATACATCACCATCGCCGCCCTGGCGTTTTCCGCTCCCGTTGTAATCCTGTCGCTGCTGCTGCCGAACAAGAGACTCGGGTAAGTCACATCTCCCTCGCCCCAAATCGCACAAGTATCTTTCTTCTGACCAAATCCGCAGCGACGGCCACAATCTCGTCCAAGAGAGCCAAAGCCAAGATTCACGATCATCCGACGAAACCCTAGTGGAGGAAAAGCCCTCCGCCCGATGATTTCTCACGATCTTGACCGTTCATGTTGATGTTCATGTTGTTGTTGTTGATGTTGATGTTTGATTGCTGACGACTATACATTAATAATACGTGTACATATGGGATTATACCCTCGTGATTAGTACTCTATACTATACAACTATACAATTCCGGTCCCCTCTCCCCGTTCCATCTCTCTAAAACTCAGACCTTCCCAGGCGACCCAATCACACAAAAGAACTTCCTCTCCGGCGTCCCATCAAGCGCATTCTTAACCAAATTCCACACATTCAAATCGTACGCCTCCCCAATATGCCCAACCGGGTCGAGGGGACAAAAGTCCTGCACGTAGGTATTATGGACGCCCTCCTCCCGCACCCACGACGTCTCATGCGGTGTAACCATCTCGTCGCCCCGCGACACAATAACCGTCAGCTTATTGCCCTCTTGCACAATCGGCTGCCCATCATGCAGCCGTTCCACCGCCGCCCCACCGGGCCCCAGCTCATCGCACGCGGCGCACCCAACCGCCCTCAACACCTCCCCCACAGCCTCCCTCGACGCATTGCCAAACAGGTACGCCAGATTATACAGGCCCCCGAAATTCGTCCCCCTGGTCGGGGGCGCAATGGCAACCACCTTGTCCAGGAGATCCGCGACGCCCTGGAATTTGGGAACATAGAGCGATTGGAACGCGCCCTCGGAGTGGCCGACCAGGTCGATCTTCTTGGCGCCGGTCTGTGCGGCCACGGTGCGGATGTAGTCGGCGATTTCGGCGGAGGAGTCGCTGATCGGACGGAGGCCGCCGAGCCAGGGGAAGCCGTCGTAGGCGCCGTAGGTTTGCGCGTAGGTGCAGTAGCCTTGGGCTTGGAGCCAGTATTGCAGGAAGTTGAGGTCTTCGTAGAAGGTGGCGCCGAGCCCGTGCAGGAGGACTACTGGGTTTGGGTGGGAAGGGGTGAGTTTGCAGGAGAAGTCGTTTATGCCGGATGCTAGGGTGGGAGTGAGGAGGAGGGCTGTTAGGGGGAGGAGGGGTTGGATTTTCATTTTTTTTAGCGGTTTGGGCGACTATGATTTTTATTTCCTAGAGGGAGTGGATGTATGAAGGAAGGGTAAAAGGGGGAGGAGGGAAGAAGTATTATATGAATGAAGGAATGGAGAAATGGAGCAGTATAATGAATGAATGAATGGTTCCTACTGGACACAAACGAAAGTAACAGAATTAAATTTCATCAACTGTCCAGGGATCGTATCGCATATTTATGTCGAAATGCACCGACCAGCTGAAATTCAGCTGGTGTGGACCCTCCTAGATAGATTGTGAAAAAGAGAAAAAATAAAAAAATGATAGATGAGAAAATAGCGATCAGCCTCAGGAACCATTCAGATCCAGTCCCTTCTGGTGGAGTTTTCCGATAGTTGGCTCAATTAGGGCTGCCGCTAACCCACACTATTGAAGACTATTCCTCCTGATATTCTCTGCATTCCATTCCCATGTAATCCTAAGTAGTATCGGGGAGTTATATTCATACCTGTCAGCTTTGTGACGTGCTCGCCCGGGTAATTCATAGTGAAAGCATAAATTCTGAATACTCGTGGTGTTGATATGTCCCGGGCGCTCCTCGTCAAGAAGCTATACCACACGCTGGATTTGACATCGACATCCAGAACCATGGCGCGTAGAATAAAGAAGCAAGGGCATCTACCTCCCGAACGAGCTATCTTATGTCAAATCCAATGACAGCGCTGTGAAGACCATCTATCGGGTCTCATTTCCCGGCCCTCTATCGATATCCATTTGTTAGATCAGCACATTGAGCTATCCTGCCAATCCTACCAGATCAACCCTTTACGATATTCTGACCTTGTATAATGCGTGTTTTCTTGGTAGTGAGGACGTATAACCAGTGTAGATACATCTTGTAATTCGATGCAGAATTGCTGGAGCTTGGAGAGGATATCTGTGGCACAGATCGAATAGCGCTTCAGCCTGATGACCGTACAGGTTACCGTGACCCAGGTGCGTAGGCAATCAGCCCTCGATGAGGAACATCAGACCACACGACAGATAGGGTCCAAGGGGGATTCTGAATCCTTTAGGCATGGAGCCTTCAGCTATAAATTAGCGAATCGTTAGTAGTAGTAGGAGATCAAGAATCAGTCTCTTGTCTGAATAGTATCTACTGCCTGCCTTTGACCTCTCTCTTTCCTTTAGCCTACGTACCCTTACCCAGTTGACAGGTGCTCTACCCTTAATAGTAGATACCCTTGACAATCTGGCTTGGAGTCGTACCAGCCAGCAACTGGCAAACCCCAAGAAAGATCGTAAGGACCGCGAAAGCTGAGGAAACTAGATTATCCTGACACAGACTTATCATCCCTCCACCGCTACTAGTTCCATTGGATGATACATGCCTTGTCGACGCCCACAGCCGGTATGCTCGCCAGCGATCCGCTCTGTCTGCTCAGGGATGAACTTCCGGCTTGCTGTGGTTCTGAAAATGTAACGGTAGGTATGGTGTTATTACCGTTGTTAGCCCTTAGGATAAACCTTAGGACATGTAGGCGAGGAGGGAGTGAAGCCGCTACAGGCACCGGCTCTAGTACAGCTACCAAGGTTGTATCCTAGGGTTCATGTTGGGTCGTCGTGTAGTTTGTTACGGTTGACATGGGAGTCAACTCTGCAAGCATCAAATACTCGCGATCAATCTACCCCACTCCATGACACTGTGGGTATACAATATATGGCGTTGAACACTGAGGTGTTGTTGAAGATACCTCTTCAGCACTTAGAATATAATATATTGTACGCCCCTTGTGTCGTTTCTCATCGGCAGATCCTCGAGTCTCTGCGCGTGCATCACGCAGCCTGAAAACGGTCGATTTGGCGCAGGCGGTTAGGGCGGCGAGGGTTATGCTCTCGCTCGCATCTATAGGCTACAAGACCGCTACTCCTCCCAAGGACGACTGATTGATATCACTATTCTGGGGCCGGTTGAACGATTCAGAGTCATTACGTCGGGTCACACTCCATGGGTGAATAGCGAACAGGAATAACATATTGTCGCCATTAACCGAGACTGTTTCATGATGGATTATTGTACATCATATAGGTTATGCCTTATCATTAAATCCCATCAAGACTGGTGTCCCATTCGATCTTAAATTAGAAAAGCTCGCGCACAGACAAAATGCAACTTTTGACCAAGTTCATATCACTCGTAACGTCGTTCCTTTACAGCATCGGCCCTCGTGCCTGCGAACGCCAATACACTATTTTAGTTTCCCTTCCACGAATCATACTTTCGGTGGTGGCCCAGCACGCGGAGATAACTCCGACATTCCACTCCCCCATAGCCCCAGCGAGTGGCGCTTCTCTACCAGTTTCAACACGTCGTAGATGAACTGTCGTTCGGGCCCTCCATCGGGGAATACCTCCCAGGCAACCCGCACGGGGAAAGCCAATCGATTGATCATGTTACCCGGTGCCGTTAAGATGTACCATTCGAGAGTTCGGCAAATACCGCAGCCTAGCGCATATTGCTGCATGGGCCCCACCCGGTCGTCCGGTCGGGTGTCGACCGACGACAAAACCAGCCGCGAGGTGTAGTAGAGGCACATCGTCTGGGCCAGACGAAGGTTCGGGTACTCAAATTTCGTCGGGGTGATCACGGCGCCAGTCCGGAGGTCGCGACAGCGGAAAATGGGAAACAGGTCGTTGGGTTCGGCGGCGACCTCCCTGGGCGGCCCGTCCGGATAGGCATCCACCCAGTCAACCTTCCATTGGATGAACCGGCAGGTGAGGTCGGAAACCCTGTTCCAAAGGGATGTCTGTTTGACTGCAATTTCATGCGCAGTGGGAACCCCCGACCGTAGCGTGGCCTCCAATGCGTCGTACTCCGCAAGCAGTGCCGGCACCTCGACCGTTAAATCTAGCAAGTAGTGGAGGATATCCTTCTTGGTCGTCCCAGCCGACCAGGGCACATTAATCCAATCCTCTCGTGCGAGAAATGAGGGCTGACGCGTGACGAGGGCAGCCCCAACCTAGTCGACGACGTTAGGTCAAGATCAACACGGCATTCAATCAATCAGGGGCAGCCTACCCAATACGGACGGAGTTCTGTGAAGAGGAGGTGCTCCACTCCAAAGATATGATTATCCGGTCCGCGGTGCTCGATTAAACGCAACGCACCGTTAACATGGGCTGTCAGCGAGCCTTGCGTGGTCCGTTCGACACTCTGAGAATGATTGATGAGCCTGAGAACCGTACACCATGGAAGAAGGAAAGGGTACCTCAAATGCCATCAGGAGGATAACGGTGGCCAGGGTTGACTCGGCTTTGCTCCGTTCCGGGTCCTGTAAAGCATGCTGCAGGCTCCGCAGGACTCGGGGGTACAGGTGGAAGCCCGAAGACTCGATGCGCGGATCCTGGACAGCCCGACCAAAGAAGGCTACCGAGACCGCTTCGAAGGCGTCCATGAGAATGGGCGAAAACATGCGTATCTCCGCTGCGCGTCGCAGGGCTCCCGCCTGCCCCGATTTCACATCCACTTCCGGGCTAAAGGCGTCGACAAAGCGTTCAATAAATACATCGAGCATGGGCCTAGACGTGTTCAAGCTAATGACCGACGAGCCCGACGAACCCTCGCTGCTCTCGGAAGGGCTGCGACTGAAATCAAAAATGTCCGATCCGTGTGAGGCATAGTAATCGCTATCCCTGCTACTATCCTCACTCCCTTCATCGGAAGAGCGTTGGCGGAGAAAGCCTGCATACGCCGCACGCGTTAGCCTCGCACGCTGTTCCTGCATGTCTGTTGTCTAGCACACCCACCTTCCGGTGCTTCCCACTCATTCGACCCGCCGGGGGCAGCGCGAAGTTGTGTAACCAGTCGATCCACAACCTCCAGCGGGGCCGAACGTATCGTCGCAAACAATTTCTGCAGCTGGGCTAGACGCCGCTCCGATCGGTGTCGGTGCTCTGCAGTACCACACAATGCCAAGTCAGAGGGCCATGCATCCTATGATTGTGATCTTTCGCCGGGAGTGGGACACTTACCACTGTGGTTTAGGCGGATGGTCAAGTCACGGATGTCCACCCGCAGATTCTGAATCTCGTCCGCCTGACTGATGGGCTGGGGTTCCTCGTCCGTGCCTGGTTCGTAAACGCACTTGGATGGGTAGCCATGAGCACAACATGCGTGACAGGGTTTGACACGGTCGCACTATTCGTGGGTCGTCAGTTTCAGAACGCGTCGGCTTCGCCGGTTGGGGCCGGGACCGTTGATGTAGAGCAAATGGGGCATGGGGTCATCGATTATTTTGATTTTGATTTTATATTAGATGTATTCTTTTTTTTTTTCTTTTTCTTAACCAAAAAAAAAAAAGAATAAAAATAAAAAATAAAAATAAAAAAAATAATGCAGACTGGGGTTCACAACGGCGATGCTAACAGAACAAAAGCTCAGACCACGATCGGGTCGGGACGTACCTTGACCTTGCGCAGTCGACAAACCCTGCAGGATCGCACTTGACCTTGACGGGGAGTCTGAGACGGAATGGCCGCCGTCTTCTTCTCGCGGGGATGTTCGGAGACGAGCAAGGCTCGAGAATTGTGGGCAATCATGGAGGGTCCAATGTAAGTCGGGAGGAGAGGAAGATTGGGTTCACCATGGAGTTGAGCCAACGGTACGACAGGATCGAAGCGAACGAGATCAGTACGAACATGTCCGAGAGACACTCGCTGCTTCGCTTACAGCCAAGTCCAGAAGACCAATAACAAGACGGCATGGAAGAGCCGGCGTCATGACGAAGTGGGTTCGACGGGATGCACAGGGCATCGCATCCATCCAACGGTCAGTCCGATCGTTGTTTCCCATGCAGGGTAGGGTGCTTCCGACTCCCCTGTCGCGAGTCAACCTACTAAGGGTTGGAGCTGTTCTTGTCTGGGTTCTTTAGGAGAAAAGGATGGTTGTTCTTGTCTGTCTGTCTGTCTGCTCGGTTGTCTCTTCAAATGGTCAGAAAGTCCAACAACAGTCAAAAGTTCTCCGCTGTGGGCCCTGTGACCTGGACTACGCACCACGTGATGGCGGCCGTAGGTAACAATACCTGCGGTATCCAATGGCTCTGCCTGGTTATGGAAACCCTAAGATACTCTCCTAACTTCTCCCCAGTCTCTATTCTGTCAACTAAGAGAGTCATCGGCCCTTTTTTACAGATATTTATCAGTTGAGTACTACATAGGAGAATACTCTGTACATAAGTAACATTACTTTTCCTTATTCTACGTTGATAGCACCGATATATATGTAAGCGATACGAGAAACAAACTTTGACGACCAGAGCAGTGCCAATAAATTCAATAAAATACACGTATCGCACCCGACGTATGGGCTGCACCAGAGCCCTGTTGTCCCGCCTAACCCTATCGCAGAGCAACCGCCACCACAGCAACACCAACCACACTCAGCAGCGCAGCCCATCGCATCAACCACGCCGAAGATGGTACTTTGCCGTCCGATCAATCGCATCGGAATCATTGATCCTCGGAAACGGCACACCCTTCAGAACCTCCTTCCCAAGCTCGCCTCACACAACAACCCCCACCCATCCTTTACATGGAAAAACACCAACCGATCCGCTGGCACCATACTTCACCAGGCAACATATCAACATCCCCTACTCGGAAGAAAAGAGCTGGTGATTCGGCGGGTAAGACCACATTGCCAGTGCAGAACAATGGCATTATCGGTCGCAATAATTCCAGGATATAGATCCGTCAAATAATGATCCCAGTAGAAAGTCATCTTGATTTCTATTCACTTCACATTAAGCGCGTCAGCACATGGCTCATCTAGCACTTGGAATATGTATATATACATATATATCTCTCTCTATATCTCGCTCTATCATGAACAAAGAAAGAAAACAGGGGAAATGCAGCGATTCTATCGACAATGCTGGTCTAATCCGGCAAAAATCATTTTCTAGGGAATACAAAAGCCAACGAACAAAACATTAAGTGTAAGGTAGAGGGGAGACGAATGACCTGAAACGGCGGGTCGGGGGAGTTATTCCGCCTGCTTCGAGGCCTTGGTACGCAGCTTCATGAGACCGTACACAAGGCCATACGAGCTAAGGGCGAAAATAACGACGATGGCGGCATCACGCCACCCATAGTAGTAATCCTTTATGTTAATCCCAAGAAGGTAGTCGCTTCCTCGGGTATACTGACATACTCGGCAGCCGGATGTCGCATCGGGGTCCAGGAGGTTCATGCGGGCGCCCATGCCCTGCATGAAATCTGAAAGGTACTCACGACAGGTGGTGCCATTGGGAGGGTCAAACAGGGCGAACTCGGAGTCCTTGCACTTCACCTCCACGTCGAAGATGGTGAAAGTAAGCATGCTACCCATGAGGTAGTTAAACGGGTTCAACCAGTATATCCAATACCGCCAGAAGACTTGGATCTGTTGGTAGGGGACCAGAACACCGCAGAAGGAGACGAGGGTTCCGAGGATAACCGGGTTGAGCAGGGCGGCGAAGATGGCATTCGGCGCATAGGCGGAAATGAACTGGCCAATACCGGTGTAGACAAACTCGTACATCAACATAACGAAGAAGATGGCACCAGCCTTATCAGAGTCACTAGGGAAGCCAACAGTGTAGTACCAGCATACGAAGTAAAGAACTGCACAGAGACAGAGATAAGGAATTTCAGATACGATCAACGCCGTGACGAAGGCAACCCATGAGTACATTTTCGACTTTTTCTCCCGGGCGTCGTAGATATCTCGACGTTCCAGGAAGAGCGGCTGAAGCTGATTGATGACGCCAGGGGCGACGAAGATGAAATTGAAAACAGTAAAGAGACGGAGTTGCATGGATGAGACGGAATCGTTGATCATCCAGAACGAGAAACCGTTGAACAAGGCCGAGCCAATGTGGAGAGCCAATTTATTGTTGATGTAGTCGGTATTTCGGAACAAGGCCACACACATACGCCGACTTACAATCTTGCACTGGGTCCAGAGGCTTGTGGCGAATTCTCGGCCGTCATCAAAGGTACCAGGGGGCTTGGATGCTGCATCGCTGATGATTTGGTCAAGCTCCTGGATGGAACGTTGGTTTTCAGGAGACTCCAGCCAGACTTTATTCCAATCGCGACCTTGAGAGAGAGTACCAGAGACGACATCAATCATGTGCTCAGCGGGATTCACATTCTCCGGGCACGCAGCGCCGTAACGAGCGAAGTAATTCTTGACTGTCTGGCCATTGTCACCAATATCACCAAAGTAGACCATTTTACCACCTTTGGCCAGGAGAAGTAGGGTATCGAATTCAGCAAACAGTTGAGCGGAAGGTTGGTGGATGGTAACCAGGACAGCCTGGCCAACATCGGCCAACTTGCGCAAGAAACGGACAGTGTTGTACGCAGACTGGCCATCCAGGCCCGATGTGGGCTCATCCAAGAAAATCAAGATACTCGGCTTTGAAACCAGTTCCACACCAATGGTAACACGCTTACGCTGTTCCACACTTAATCCAGCCCCAACACGGCCAATCAAGGTGTCGGCGATATCGTGTAACTCTAAGAGTTCGATAATTGTGTTCACATAGTTTAATTTTTCCTTATCAGGAACGTCGCGTGGCTGGCGGAGTAAGGCAGAGAACTCAAGGGCTTCACGCACAGTTGCGAAAGGTTCATGGACATCAAGCTGTTCGCAGTAGCCCGCAGAGCGCTGAAAGGAAACCGGTAAGGGACGTCCGTCGACCATAATAGATCCACGGATAGTTCCTTCAGTCTTGCGCTGAGCCAGTACATCAAGAAGTGTAGTCTTTCCGGCGCCAGAAGAGCCCATCAGAGCCCCCAGCATCCCAGGCTTAACCCAGCCGTAAATGTCATCCAGGAGCACGCGGTCACCAGAGGGTGTTTTCACCGTGTATGTCAAATTTTTCCAGGTGAAAACAGATGTGTTGCGGACCAGTTGGTTATCGAGATCGTCACCTTCGTCAGAGCTGCTGTCATTTCTTTTTTTCTCTTTTTCGTTTACCTGGGACTCTTCATCAAAGCGGGCAACCTGCTGATGGGTGCTCAACCGCTCGCGGGGGATCAAAAGGGTGTTGCCGCTTTCCGACGCAGCCTTCCACCGAGTGGTAGCAACGATGGTCACGGCCACGAACAAAGCCCACCAAGCCCAGAGAATACCGAAGTTACGCCATACATGGTTGTGACTGTAGGATAACGAGGCCAGATACTGTTCGCCTGTCACATAATTGTTGCCTTGAATCGCACCACCAACACCCGCGCATGACTGATGGTCACTGACATTTTCATACCCAGGGCCAGTTGGAATGAGGTTGGTGCCTACACAAGGAATAACTTTCTTGTGAAACTCGTTGGATAACAAGGCGTCAAACCCATATGCGAGAGGGTTGATCCAGTATATCCAGCCAAACCAGGGGTGCATCTGGGGTTTTTGGATCATGTAACCGGTGTACATAATCAGCGCCGAAATGAGGAAGCCAGAAACCTTCGATGCACCATCGAATGTTGTGAAGAGGGCTCCAACCGCACGGAATAATGCAGTCATGACCTATGCGACAGAAATTTAAGTTAATCCAAGTCTGCACTTCTAACGGCGGGAGCTAAATTTCTGGGAAATGTCCTTACCATGGTTGTAGCAAAAACCAAAATCCAATAGGTGAAGAATGATGAGGCAGACGTGGTGAGGCCCACCATGAAATAGACCACGATGGAAAAAATAGATATCTGAAATAGAAGGACAGGAATATCGGCCGTGATTTGAGCAATACAGAAAGCGGCGGGGTGGAAGAAAGCAAAGCCTTTGTGCTTGATCAGAACCGGCCGACCACTGAAGGAATCTGTGACTTCAGACATAGACAGCAGACTATTATAGAGCAACGAGAAGAAAAGAGCGCCGGATTTGATAAAGAGACCTCCGGAATTGTTCGGGGCATTATAGAAGAGAGACCCTGCGATCAAGGCCTGGGCCAAGGTCGACACCTGTTTGATGATAAAGGTCGCTTTATCACCCCAAAGGATCTGATATTGACGAGCGATACAGGCCTTCACCTGTCCAACAAAATCGATTGTCATTGGGCTGTTTTTCGGCAGTTTCTTGCTTCTATCATGCGAAATAGCGGTCTCGAAGTTCTCGGTGCGTTCGCGAGCGAGATCCGAATCGGGATAATCGTACTCTGCCATCATCTGTGTACGGATAGGAGACTTTTCGTATTCGGCCAGGAGCATTTCGGCATTGCGGGGGAACCGGTTCTCGTATCCTGGCCGGATTTTGCGCTCGGTGGGGACGGTCACACCGGTCAGGAAGTCAGCCACGTTGGATCCCTCGCGGCAGACGAAGCCCAGGTCCTCCATAAAGGGCCTTGCCTGGGACATAGGCCCGTAGTAAATCTGTTTCCCCTCATCAAGGACCAGGACCTTATCGAACAAGTCATAAATTCCATTGCCCGCCTGGTACAGCGTGACAATAGTTGACAAGCCCATAACATCAGTCAAGGCGCGAATGGCCTTGGTCCACTCAAGAGCGGTGCTGGCATCCAAGCCACGTGTGCTGTTATCCCAGCAGAAAACTGATCCACGGGTGGCCATACACTCAATAATTGAGACACGTTTACGCTCACCACCGGAAACACCTCGAACATACTCGTTACCAACCTTCGTATCGTTGGTATGCGAGATTCCCATTGATTCCAGTAGGAACTTCTTCATTTCCAGGCGGTACTCTTCTGCTGACTCCACACCTTTGGGGAGATTGAACGGGATCTTGAGTTTAGTGGCAAAGTCCATTGTCTGGCCCACTGTCAGTGTGGGGAAGAACAGCTCTTCTTCCGTGTTCATCACAATTTGACCATGATAGCGGTTAGCTTCTTTATGGGTAAGCGAGCCAAAGCGGACGTCACCCTCCACCGATCGATATCCTAGTCGTCGGTTCGCAAGCATTTTGAGTAGGGTTGTGCAGCCCGAGCCAGGTCGGCCTAACACGAGAAGCATCTCTCCGGGTTTCACGCAGCCGTGGCTATTCTGGAGTATTGACCGGAGGGGCGGCTTGTTGCGGCCATCTTTGACCTTCTGGGGGATGTTGAACTGGGAGAGAAAGTTCTCATTGACGGCGGCCTCTGCGCTCACGACTTCAACGTTCACATTCTTCCAAGTGACACCGAGTTCGCGACTCTTAAAACCAGACTCCACGTCTCGTGCATGTTGCTGTTTGATCTGGGGCATCAAGCTCCAATCTTCGGCGCGGCTAACATTAGCAGGGCGGGTGTTTGGCATGGACTCCTCGCCCAGCACCGTTGCTGTGCTGTCGGTGTCGTCTCTGTTGTCCGAAGACGGCGCCCTCGAATACGGGGAATCTCCGTGACCCTCCATGGCTTGAGGGAAGCTCGGACCGTAATCAGGTTAGTCGAAGCGTTTCGGCGAGGGTTAAGTCAAAAGAGAAAATCCTCCATGATAGGGAAGGGCAGGATCAAGAAGTATATAAGCACATTGCTCCCCGGTGGGTCTGGCCGGCTGAAACTAGGCCAGCACCGAGTTCAAATTCGAAAGACCCATGCGCCATGGATGGAGACTCCGGAGCCCATAGTTTATTGGGGTTTGTCAGAGACCTCAAGTCATGATGGCGGAAAAAGGAGAGAAAAAGACGATATTCCGAGCAGTGGGGCCCGAACCCGAATGATTATCTCCGATAGGTTCTAACGTTGCCATAAACCAATCAGAGGAGGTAAAGGGGAAAACCTTCCAAGCTCTCTCTGTTGTTGTCGGAATTAGTGTGCGTTCTCTCATGGTTCATTTGTTGATCAGGAAATATAGTGTGTTGAAGAGTGGTTCGGCGGTCGGTCGCCCAAGCCCCGATCGGGCTTAATCTGAGTCTCCCCTTCCGCTGAGTCATTCAAATTCAACCAATCACTGCTTCCAGTTGAATCAAACCCTCCGAGAGCTTCCGCTGACTCAGCGGGACACTCATGATATTCATTCCCTGGTTAGGCTTAGCGCAACTTCCTTCTAACTTCCTGGCATCTGATATGATAATTTCAATCGCCTCGGCCCTGTTCTTTTCTTTGGTCTTCCCACTGATGAAGGAATTTTTTTTCAATCTCGCGTCAGCCAGGGTTGATTGTTAAGCGGCTGTAACCAGGTTCCCGTTCCTATCTATATTCCGGGCCATCTATCACATATTTGGATCGTAGGGAAGCCCTAGAACTAGACAAGGGATAACAAGGAACCTGACATGTCAACTTCCAGTACACCATCTTCTTCAATGCTTCATACGCCATGTGGCGGCTCAACTATCAAGGATAATCAGACTAGCCGGTGATCTTTACGGACAAACAAGAGGAGACAAAGATGGCGATCTGGTACCCAGGCAGCAAGCAATCCATGTCCCATCAGTCTAGAGCCAGATACGTACTTCTATTATGACTCACCTGCATCTTATCTCACAATAAACGACATCATTATACATGCCAAGATTAGTGCGATTGGTGTCCAATCTAGTTAAAGACCCAATATCTCGTGTTTGAGTTAAAGTACGTAAACGCCGAGGTCCCGACCCTTCTATTAATATTCGGATCCTAGCTCCTTTTGTTTTCTTTGAGAGCAAGTAAATGATCTGATCCCGTGAGTAGCCTATTCCTTTCCAGGTTAGACTTGTGAGAGGGTCCCTTTACTTCTAGAACATAATTCTTATTTTTTCCCTCCTTCCCATTGGATTGTACGTATACTCACAAAAGGAGCGCAATCCCTCTCGTATCAATTCAATTTCTCTCATTGCCGTCCCCACAGCTGACGGTCCATTATGATTGACCAGTAGCGCTTCCACAAAAGCATGCCTATCTACGGAAATATGCCAAGTGTCTAAACACAGATCTCTAGAGGTCCATTACATTCATCTATCTAGGTGGTTTTAGAGACAGAGCTAACATGAAGAAAACCAATAGCCTCTATCTCTTGCCTGGGTGTTTCAACCGACTCTATCTCTTTCCCATTCGAGGCCCATTCCAGACTATGGAAATAACCTTATGCTCAAGACTCCGAAGAATCTGCTCGCCCCATATATGCTAGGTGGAGGTGCAGCTCTCTTCAATCTACTTCATTCACAAGACTCACAAGAGGGGACGTCTATCAAGGCACTTGCTCAAGCTATATATAACCCACACATCCTCTGTAGTTCCGTTAATTGAGGTTGATTGTTCCCGCAAATGCATAATATTAAGCGAGATACCTCTCATATACCTATGTAGTAAGCGGATGGCCGGATCACACTGGGAGCCAAAGGACATCAAACATCCTTCATCTATCCTTGTGTCTTAGTGGAGTGTACTTTCATCGTCTTTAACTGAGTGGTTGGCGGCACCTTTCCCGAGCTCTTGAGCGGCAGATGTATCACCCCATGTGATGATAGGGTGCAAAGGTGTCAGTCTGCCAAAACCTATTAAGCAATTCGGGAACCTAGTCAACAGAGGTGCACGGATGGGCCGAAAGTCTGCCGGGAACCATGCAGTAAGACCTCCGAGTTTCTCTTATTCAAACAAAATGTCTCTCAGCGACTTTCTGAAACCTCGTTAACGCTATGCCGAACATGGTAACACCATTACGATCGACGGAAAGCTAGTTAAGCACCCCTATCCAATAGTCTTTGTGTGACTCCCTGTTCGGCTCTGTCGGTCTTATGCTGCCAGTGTCTTTGATTGACCCTCTCTTGTCCGTATATAAGCTTCAATATACAACAGGGGGTGAGCCAGAATTTTGAAGTCTTGCTCTGCCTTTTTTTTTCGTAGTAGATTTGTACTAAGCTCCCTCCATCAAGTATGGGATCTGATTGTTCAACATTAGCGGGTATTGAAGGCTGGAGGTCTTCTTTCGCAGATACAACCGCGGTGCCAGCTGCGTAGCTGTTCCATGCTACGAAGAAAGTCCTGCAAAGATTCAAATGTTCTCGGATGTCTTGTATATCTAATCTGAGAAAGAAGTTCTCCAGGGCGGTATTTTAGGTTCCATACCTAAGGCTCCTGGCATAGATTTCCCCATTCCTTTGCCGGTCGCTCGCATGAATATGTGTTCTTCATCACTCAGTTCTCCAGGGCGATAGGACCCTCGTGAGTGAACAAGTTTGCCGCCTATCATGGAGCAGATGCCATCTTCTTTGCTAACGCCAGCCTGAGCCGCAGCGCTAATCCAGTGCACTATAAACCCACGATGCTTGATCTTTTTGTTTAATAAGACATTGTTGGTTATAGCCCTTCACGACCTATATGAGAGTCTGCCATAACTACCTCATCATTATCAACCCAGTAGAACATAAAGCTCCGTGCACTCGATCAGCCAATATCACAACAAGTGGTAGAAAGCAACCGATGCTTCAAACAAAAGCACGAGGACAACACATCACACCGCAGGAACAGCACAGACAAAAGTCCGCTCACAGTACAATCTCTCCCTCTCCAACAGGTCTCTCAAAGCCACTAATATACCTCTCCAAGATCTCGTCCGTCATATAAAACGCCGAGTCCCCATCCTTATCAACCCGCTCATTCCGCGCCTTTACTCTCCGCCGCAGTTCTGCAGCGTCGACATCCAAATACACCAGCACCCAACGCCCGCCCGCCCTCTCAATCAATGATTTCCATGCCTCCCGTACTTCTCTGAACGCAAACGAAAAATCAAGCACGACGTCTACATCTCCTCTTTCCACAGTGGCGGCTAATTCCGCCCTCAATGCTTCCTCTCCTTCTAGCTGGTATTCTTCGTATCGTTGTCGCGGGTAATCCACGCCATAGAGTCCATGGTTGGAGTAAATGTACCAGTCGATAGAGAAACGCTTGAAGGATGGATACGCCGATATGATCGAGTGGGCGAGTGTTGACTTTCCGGAGCCTGGGGACAGATTAGGACTTGGAGGTTTATGTAGGTAGTAAGATAATTCGGGGAAGTCAGTCTCTACCTGCGACACCTGAAGTCATCATAACCACTGGTCGAGGATCGGCCTCGGTGCGGCACAGATGAGGGCGGAGTTCTTGGACATAGTTGCCTGGGTGGACGGTAGTAGATGTCATTCTTTGGAAGCTTTAGTCGGCGTCACTGGTATATGAATGTGGAAATTTATGTATATGCAGTGTTTTAGGTATGATACTCGAATGTAAGTTTGCTGACATTGCGGCGATTGAAGCGAACTTGCTGGTTTGAATGTGCCATGATCTATGAATATGAGTCTAGTATGAGTCACTCACCATTGGGGCGGTTATTCGCGGTTATCGAGTTGTATTCACTATTAAAATCTTGGAATACTGACAGTTTGATATGGTATTACGTAGATTACATGGGGGTTGAAAATTAAGACGCGGTCTAAGTAGTACAGAAGCTCGAGCTCACAACAAAGTTGCCCGCAAGTATATATTTGAAATCACCAACAAATTCACCACATGGCTAAAAGGTATAATTGAATTTCCATATTTTAGCAATCTATCAGCGTAGAGAAAGAGACAGACACACCACAAGAGTATATATATATAAAAAGAACCTGGAATATGAATGTCCCCAGAAGATATGGGTTTATGATTAAAAATCAATAAAAATAATGGAGATGCGGGGAATTGAACCCCGGACCTTTCACATGCTAAGCGAACATTATACCACTAAACCACATCCCCAATTTATCAGAAGACATGACCATATGGACCATTATAAGCCAAAGAATAATCAATCACTCAAAACACAGGATGAGGTCACGGGTCCGATTTAGAGAGCGATATCCTAAAACGGTTAGACATGGTGATCTCCAACTATATATACAACGAGCTGTACCGTCTCACGGACGAGCCACGTAATATCTCCATCCTCCATTTACACCCCAAACCATGCGCAGAACGATGCCCACTCCATATGAAAAAATGCTCACCTTCTGGTTCGGCCGGAAAGGCTCCCGGGACTATCTCCAGCAAAAATCCTTCTGGTACGGTAGTCCATCCGACGACGCTTATGTCCGCAAAAATCTAGCTGCCGATTGTGAAGCTGCAAAAGCCGGAGCTCGAGATGCTTGGAAGGATGAGGGCCAGGGCGAGGGCGCGCTAGCCCTGATCCTTCTCCTAGACCAAGTGCCCCGCAATATCTTCCGCGACAAACCTCAAGCCTATGCCACGGACAACCAGGCGGTTGCCGTAGCGCGGTATGCCGTGGACCAGGGCTGGGATAAGAGTATGCCGACGATACAGAGGCGGTATATGTATTCGCCGTTTAATCACTCGGAGAAGTTGGAAGACCAGGAGATGTCGCTAAGGTTGTTCACGGAGCTCGGAGATAGCTATCATTTGCGTTGGGCTCGGAACTATTACGATCAGATCAAGCAGAATGGGAGGTTTATACATCGGGATCCGATTTTGGGTCGATAGATGGCAGAGCAGAGTTATCATGTTTACTGTAAAGAAGATAAAAAATAGATAAAATTCCCGGTCCACATTTTCTATGATTTCTGGTAGGAAACGATGTGTGTGCCTTATTGCCTTAGATGATCGATGCCAAGCCTCAATAGTACTTACTTCAAGTATGTAGCCCTACAACATGGACAACATTGCACAGAAGTAGACAGTGAACAACCTTGCATTAGGACAAATCAAGCTTATACAGGACAAACTGGTCTTATGAAGGGGGAGAGGATCAAGATCCCTCCATTTGCCTCAAATATCGTTGACGTCAGTACCACTCATTGACAACCCATCGGGGTCGGAGATTTGCTCTACCAGTGATTCATCTCCAAATAAACCAAGCATATACCACGGCACGTGGCTTGGCAAAGTCATTTGTTTGTCACTTGAATCATGAGGGAAAAAAAAGTGTGCCTGCAAACAACTACGAACAGGCGCTCTTCGAACAGTCAACTCTCCGCATCGAGGACAACACCTAGCGAAATGTTGGTAGATAGACATCTCTGTTACCTATTTTTAACTTCTCTTATCAAGACAAGGCCTTAAACTGGCGAAACTCATCATGGTATGGAGTCAGATCCATCCGACGTCACTCCATCTCAGCTTCCTGTTTCTATCGGGCAGTATCCTCCTATATACAGTGCTATCACGCTTCCTGAAAGAAACGCTTCTTCTGGCGGAACCTCCTCTCGCGACCCTAGTGGGCATTTTGACTGGACCAGCGGCTTTGGGCGTCGTTGAGCCCCAGCCTTGGAAGCTTGGAGATCATGTTACGAAGGAACTGGCACGGCTCACTGCAAGTATGCAGGTATTCATTGTGGGGATCGGACTACCGGATGGGTATTGCAGGAAACACTGGAGAGGAATCGGCGTCCTGCTCGGTCCAGTCATGATAGGTGGCTGGATCGTATGTGCAACTTTAATCCATTTCATATTCGGTTCTAGTTATCCATCCGCGCTCGTGATCAGCGCTTGCCTGACTCCGACCGACCCAGTACTGGTCGCCACCATCCTGGAAGATCCAAAGGCAACAAGCGACCGTATCAAGTACCTCTTGGCTGCAGAATCTGGCGTGAATGACGGTGCCTCTTTCCCATTTCTTTATCTTGGGATATTTATACTGAGGGAGCATTCGGTTGGTGCTGTACTGCGAGAATACCTGACGGTGACGATTGCCTACCAATGTATTGCGAGTGTTGTTGTCGGAGTCGCCCTCGGTTATGGAGCAAACAGGCTCCTCCGATACTCCCACGAGCGAGGTAGGATTACCGAGAACTTTGTCGCACTGTTCCCCCTGGCCCTGATCTTCTTCAGCTTAGGGTTCTCAAGCACGATGGGGATGGATGACTTTCTGCTTGTCTTCAGTGCAGGCATCGGGTACGCATATCACGGCAGACTGGAACACGCCTACCAGGTAAATCCGGTGGCCACCTCATTCATCAGCTTCTCCCTCAGCATCGCCACATTCATCTATTTTGGCCTGATGATCCCGTGGGCTGCTGTGACGGATACACCAAAACTATCTTTGCTGAAGATGGGCATATTTGTGCTCCTTGTTCTGCTATTGCGGCGGATCCCCTTTGTTCTCGCCCTGAAGTCGTTGATGAACCAGGACATCAAGACATACAAGGAGGCGCTCTTTTGCGGCCACTTTGGTCCCATGGGCGTTGGTGCTCTATTCTTGTCCATAGAGGCCAGGGACAGTCTAAATACATCTTGCTCTCGGGCGCGAGAGCACTCGAGCAGTCATTGGGGCGAATATGCGTGTGAAACTGTGGAGTTGGTTTGGCCCATTGTTTGCTTTACTGTGTTAGGATCGGTTGTGGTGCATGGTTTGAGCATGAGCATTGCGAAGTTGACTCGGACATTGGTGCGCACTAAAAAGCAACAAGGAAAGTCATCATGCGTATCCAATGCCGCCAACACGCAATCAGAAAGCATGGATGGTGGGATATACCATGACGAGGAGAGCCTTCTCTAAACTACATAAAGGCGCTGACGGTATACCTACTTTCGTTTCCTTGGGAGTCGGGAGAACCATGCTTAAAAGATATCAGATATAAGAGGCTTACTTAACGATCAAGAAAGAATATAAGAGTGGTCCTTATGTGCTAGTTTAGCGTTTTAGAATGTATGAAAGCCCTACATCTTAAGACGTTATTTTTCTTGAACGATTTATATAGAGGCTCTAGCCTGTAGTATTGGACACCTCCACCTATACCCTTCAACTTTACTATAAAATCCGTTGCCTTGTCAAGAATCCAAATGGAGCCGAAAAGTTTTTGAAGTGCGCGTAATGAGGGAGCCATTCGCTTCAAACGCTAAGGCTGAAGAGCGATACACCTTGGCTGGGCAAGGCTAAGGGACTCAGCCTGGGTTGCTATTCTACTTAGTTGTTCGCGAGAACTGGCAATTGGCAACTCATGAAGTCCCATTTCCAGGATATATGTAAAAATAGTACTATTCCGCGTGTAAAAGAGAGTAAATGATAACCACCCAGGGTAAGCAAAACATATGAGTAACAGACAATTTACCAAGCCACATATTCCTAATGTATTATCAAAACGACTGCTCTTCCTCGATTCTCACCAGGTCAGATCGGTCCGCTATCTTCCCTGCTAACTCTATCAAGCACGAACTAGCTAAGATCTCCAGGATAGGAATCGTGCCCTTGATATGTTTGGAGATCCAGTTCCGCAGCTCGACCGCTACATGGGAATCAATGCCGTACTCTGTTATCGGACCGGTGGGGTTAATGCTGTCAGCTGGGATGGAAAGGTGGGCAGCGATGCGAGCGCTTAACGCCGTGTAGATTACTACCGTAGCATCTTCAAGGGTCTTCGCAGCCTGGAGGTCCTGTTTTAGCGTATCAAGGATCTCGCTCTGAGAGCTGGCTGACGTGTCTAGATGAAGACGACGGAAGTGTGAGAAAAGAGGCGCGTCGAAGTTGGGTAGAGATTGACTCTCTTTCCATTGGCCTAGTCCGGTGATTATCTGGGAGGTTGCCCTGTCGCCCTGGCATTCTACGATTGCTACTTCGATTAGAGTCATTAGGGTCTTTGTATCTGTACCCTGGAATCCTTGCTGCGCCATTCTCGATGCCAGCTTTTTGTTCTCGACGAGATAGCCTGCGTCTGTAATCACACCTAGATCTAAGGATATTGCTGGTAGACCTAGAGAATTCCGATATGCTGCGAATGAGTCCATGAATGTTGATCCCGCGGCGTAGGCGGCCTGCGTCGCATTACCTATTATGCCGCTGATGGAGGATAGCATGATGAACCAGTCGAGATTGGATGGGAGATAGCGATGGAGGTTCCAAGTGCCATCGTATTTCGGCTGTAGAGCAGCGCTGTAGTCCTCAAGGGTCATTTTCTCGATGTGGATGTCCTGCGACCCGTTAACTTGATTCTTAACGGCAGATTCTGCTCGGGGTGTGAGGAAATACCCTGAGAACCATGGCAGCTTGGATAACGCCCCGAATTGGTGGTACTGCTTCACTCAGCTCATTCATCATCTTAACAACATGATCGCTTTTGGATATATCGCAAGCATGAACAATGGCCCGAACACCCTTTCCTTGTAACTCTTGTACGGTAGCTTGAGAGGACGTTCGGGATAGACCACTCCTATTGACAAAGATTATTGTTTTCGCGCCATGATCCGCCATCCAGAGTGCTGTGGCCCGGCCGATACCACCGAGTCCTCCCACGAGCATGTATGACACATCCGGTTGAAGAAGCATATTCGCCTGCTTAGGTACGATAGTCTACAGGATCAGTTTTGTCCAAGCATGGGGGGAATAGAGCGAACCTTAACAGTATCATCCACACCGGCAGTGAGTATGATCTCATCTGGGTGATCTGTTAGCGTGAGGACATCCAGCGCTTCGGCAATGTCAGAGATGCGATAGGTAGTCAAGCGTGATGGGCCACGGAGTGTGCCAGTTTGGAAGAGGCGCGCGATTTGCTCCCAAGTTCTGTCGAGGGTTTCTGGGTCATTCTTTAATAGGTTCTCAATATCGAGTGTCGCAAAAAGAATGTCACTGGTAAGCTCTGGTATCTTCCACTGGCTCTTCCGAACTGAGTTATGCATGTGTAGTTGAATGAAACGGCCCGAAGTTCCAAGATATTTCCATAATCTGAAGAAGGTACTGTTGTCCGGCTCACCACAATTGATTAGGGTCTTCACCCCTTGATCCCCAGTCAATATCATGAGATCATTCAAACATGATTCGTTACCAAGGAATATCCGTTCCCTTGGTAGCGGGGACGAGGCGACTAAGAGCTCTCTGTCTGCTACACTCCCCACCATGGCGAATGTATGAGCACCTGCTAGGTTACACACTTCGATAGCAGCTTGTCCAGCTGTTCCAGCTGCGGAGTTTATCAAGACTCGATCTCCAGGTTTTATTCCAGCGAGATAGTGAACCGCGTGGAAAGCTGTGCAGTACGCAGTGGGTATCCCGGCAGCAACTTCAAAGGACATCTCCGCAGGGATCTTCTGGAATGCAGTCGCTCTGTCTTGGTAGATACTGGCTGCTGTTCCGGCCCTAAGGCAAGCTACTCTTTCTCCTGGTACAAAACTGTGAACGGCTTTTCCGACAGATTGTACAGTCCCACTACAGCTGAGCCCTAATACCATAGCATCAGTAGCTCGGGTGTCTGCCAGTTGTGCGTCTCGCTCGCTCAGTGTAATGGCATGTACTTGAATACGGACCTGGTCATCTGAGAGCGTGGTAAACCGGTCGTCATCTATGAAATGAACACCTTCGGGCTGGGCATTATCATTCATCACAGCTCGAAAACACCGGCCCTTTTGATGAAAGACTTGGATACTTGTGGCGCGCAGGTCATGGACGGATGCAATCATCTCATTCAAGGGTCCATTCTCAATAATCCGAGGGACAAGAAGCATGCCATTTCTTTCCGCGTACTCGGTGTCGGAGCCGGCAAACATCCTTTCCAATATACGATGACGAACAAGGTCGTATATAACTTCAGCCGCCCGGTGTTCACAAAGCGGCCTGCGGCCATCTAAATCGAGTGTAATAATAGGCTCCACCCCCGATTCGGAACGAGCGGTTCGTGCAAAGCCAGTGACGATGCCAGCGTCAGGGTTGGTCGGGGCCATTGAGCCACCCCTTGTTACCCAGAGGACGCCCGCCGCATTTAGGAAAGTTTGCTTTATGATATTCATTGCTGTTTGGCTCACACACGCCAGGACCGGGGCCATCAGATCACTCAGTATAATGCAAATTTTTCCTGTTGGCTTGGCATGAGCAAGATCTGTTATATCAACCTTCGAGCATGTTGAGAGAAGGTCTTGCAAATGGGCTACCTTTACGCCGCAATCGCCTTGCTCTACTACAATGACAATTTCCGACGAAGGTGAAATCGGTTGACTTGCAGGTCGAGAGACAATTGCCAAGTGCTTTGCTTTTGACGGATTTAACGCCTGCCCTTCCGAGAACAGATAATCTTTTAAAGTTGTTGTCCAGTCATTGTCGAAACATCCAACTCCATCTTGCTTCCACGGCCCAGGCAGATTAGTGAAGATCACATACTCCAATAAGTTCGGTTTGGATAAAGGATTGACCAGGATGAGATAGCCATTCGGTTTGAGGAGCCCGTGGACGTTGTCCATCGCCTTCCTTCTTGAGTTGACTGTGTATAACCCATGGGAGATAATCACCACATCGTACTGATGCTCGTTAAATCCCTGCGTGTCTAGACTTCCTTCAATATCAAGGGCCTTGAACTCCGTACAATGACTCCATGCGCAGATCTCATTTTTAGCTGTCTCCAGAGAGGTTGAACCTGGGTGTGTTACAGTATACTTGGTGAATCGAGGACCATTACTGCTTGCTCCAACCAGCCGTTGGAGAACTTTCTTCGATGCTCCACCCGAGCCGGCCTCAATTTCAAGAATTGAGATCATGGGATTCTTGTGACTGATCAGATCCACATACCTGGACACGGCCTCATATGCCGGGTCCTCATGGACCGTTTCCCAGTATTCATCCCACAGAGGCTGGTCGTCAACTGTCCCAATACCAACTGCATCTGCGAAAATTGCCGGTAGCTTTTCCCCTATGGCACAGAGAAGTTTGCCCTCTGGACTAGATGACCTTACCCTCTCAATGGCCCCTCTATGTATATCGTGAGAAAGTTGAAACTGTCGGGTTGCGATTCCGTTGAAGAAGTCGAGTTGCCGTTTTCTAAACGGTTGAAGCCGCTCGACCATCGCTTGATCCATGTTTTTGACGGCTTCCCTGATATAGTATAAGGCGCATGCTTCATGTAATGGATTCAATTCAGTGGTCTTTTTAAACTCCCCTTTGGTGGCGCGTATATTCAACAAAGCTGGCCCGGAAAGAAAATCGGGATCCACTACCCACTTCACCATGTGCGCGATATGGTCCATCGGCTTCCCTGAGTTTGGGGTTGAGTTCGGCCCAAGGCGCCTACATCGGAGACCGGTGATGGACATCGCTGGCTGTCGAGATTCGTCTACGACTGAAATCGAGGCTACGAGATCTGCCTTCCTGCTTCGTTTTGTTTCTGTATACACATTTAGTTTGCTCCCAGCCTTATACGTCGTGCGACATGACACGGACATCTCGTCAATATGGACAGGAATGGCAGGACCGTCGATTACGCTCGTGTTGACGAAGATACTGTGAATCACACTATCCATTGTGCAGGGGTGTATTAGAAACGGATGTTGGAAGTTCATGGGCATCACAGCTGCAGTATTAGGGGCGATTATCTCTGCCACACATATGTGATCCGTGAAGCGTGCTTGTTTTATGTTGGCGAAACAAGGTCCGTATTCGAGGCCGATGCTCGCTAGGCCCTCGTAAAATAATCGGGTATCGAGGGGAGTCAGGTCGGAACGCTCTGTTTGTTGAGATCCATGCACTAATTTGATCTGGGAGTCATTCTGAATGCCAACGAAGCCATTGCAGTGTTCTGTCCATATGTTGTCCGGTGTCACGGAGTAGACATGGAATCTGTGGAGTTGATCGGGAATATCTGAGCTATCCTCACATGGGTTGAGGGAGAGTAGAATCTCTACAGCCGCTGTCTCGTTAACCACGAGGGCCGACTGTATGCATATATCACGCAGGTAGATTGCGCGTATCTCTTGTGCTGTGGTACCGTTCGATGCATGCTGAAGAAAGGCCTCTATTGCCATGACAATATATCCAGCGGCGGGATATACGATATTAGACTCAATTCTATGGTCCAGTAGCCAGGGCGTCTCCGAGACTCGAAGGAAATTCCTCCACAAAGGCTGTGCGGGACAAGAGATTCTATCAATGACGCCCAAGAGATCTGTGCGAGCATACTTGCGATTTCGAAAGGTCTTGCTGAGCCGAGGTTCTGCCCAATATGCCTGCTTATGGCTCCACGAATATGAAGGGAGATCAACAAGCACACTTGACCGGTGGAAGGCTGTGGGGTTATTCATCGCTTGAGTGTTAACGGGATGTCCGAAGCACATCAATGTAGCGGCAGCTGTCAGGGCAGTTTTAACAGCATTATTCCTCCTGGTCAGAACACTGATATACAAGATCTCTGCCGCATTGAGCTTCTTGTCTTCTCGCAAGGTCTGTTTGATCGGCCCTGATAGTGTAGCATGGGGACCAACTTCGACAAGGGCGTCCACGCTGACTTTCTGCGCCGTACCAGCTCGCTTTACTCGTTTACTTCCCAGTGTCCTTATAGTAGCCCACTGACCGGTTGTCTCAAAGCACAGAGAGCGTAGCGAATCGACAAATTTCACTTGACTCAGGAGGTTCTTGACCCAATAATGTGGACCCAGTTCAGAAGGTCTAGCCTCAGCTCCGGTTACGGAAGAGAAGAAGGGCACGGATCGATCATTAAGGTTCTTGGCGATATCCTCCTGGCTCCGCGGTCTCACATGCGCGATATGGTTCAAATATTTATCGCTCACTAACTCCATGTGGTGGGAGTGGTATGCGACCTCCACTGCCAGTCGACGGCTGAAGACTTGCTTTTCACGGACAATTTGCTCCAATTCATCAATGGCAGGAAGGTCTCCAGAGACCGTGACGCTCAAAGGACCGTTGATACAAGCTACAACAGCCTTTCCCGATTGAAGCATATCGATATAAGACTGGCTCTCCCGGACGGATATCCCAAGGGCAAGCATGGCTCCTTCGATCGGCCCATTAGCGAAAGGTGGAGCACTAACAACCACTCCTCGATAATAAGCCACAGCCATAGCATCCTCCATACTCAGCGCGCCAATGGCATATGCAGCAGCAATCTCCCCACTAGAATGTCCGGTTACTGAGTCTGGGTGTATTCCCCAAGACGCGAGGAGATCTACCAAAGCTATTTGTAGGGCAGAACATATAGGCTGGCTGAGGAGAGGGTGACTTAATCGGGAGACTTCTTCATCCTTTAGGATCTCTTCTATTGAATCTTTATTAGCGCTGGTTGATCAGGAGGTAAAGTAAATTCTTGTGTCAAGGGGCAATACCAGATCAAACGTACCCGCCATACAGTAAGGAGCACCAATAGACCCTATGTACTCGTCGATTCTCCGGATGGATTCGCGGAATACCGGATACGTTTCTAGTAGCTCCTTTCCCATTCCTGCCCATTGTGCACCCTGTCCTGTGAAGACAAACCCGATACTTGGTCGCCGACGAGCTTGAGTAACTTTTATATGCCCAGACAATGCTTCCACCAAGTCTGTAGCGGAGGATCCTACCACGGCAGCTCTGTATGTGTGGACTGTGCGGCGCTCGTTTAATGTATAGGCCAGATTGTTCATGTATCTATCATCTGGTTCTACCTCTCTCTCCAGTAGATACGCCCGGAGATTTCGAAGCTGTCTGCTAGTGGACCCTTCGTCAAATCCAGACAGCATATAAACTCGGGCTCGGGCCGGAGAATGCTGGCAGGCATCAACAGGGTGCCGATAGAGTCGCACTAAACCTCCCAGTGTACGACCAGAGAGATAGCTCGAGGTATTTTCAAGTATGACATGTGCGTTGCTGCCACCATACCCAAAACTGTTCACGGACACACGATGTGGGCCCGGGCATTCCCACGGCTCTGCGGAAAGCTGTATCTGTGGCAGGCTTAATGATGATACCGAGTAGAAGTGTCAGAATCATTACCTTCAGTTTCCACTCTTCACAGCGGATGCGGGGATTTAGCACACGAAAGTTCCGGTTCGGAAGAAAGGTCTGGTTCTCGAGCATCAGGACAGCCTTTATCACACCAGCAACCCCACTCGTGCCTTCCAAATGACCAATGTTTGTCTTGATGGACCCGACCCGCAGCGGCCGCTTGGGACTTCGGCCATCGCAGAATATGCTCGCGAGTGCTGCTGTTTCAATGTAATCGCCAGCCTGGGTTCCGGTACCGTGGGCTTCGACGAAGTCCGTTTCACATGGATCAAGGCCAGCCACCTGGTAGACATGTCGTACTAGAGCTTCTTGTGAAGCACCGCTTGGAAGAGTGATCCCGGGGGTCCTGCCATCTTGGTTCAATCCAGAGCCTCGGATTATGGCGCGAATGGGGTCATGATCTCGAATGGCGTCTCGCAGCGGCTTCAGGATCAAGCACCCAATACCTTCCCCTCGAGCGTATCCGCTGGCAATTTCGTCAAATGTATGACATCTTCCGTCGGGGGAGAGGAATCTGGAAGATAATTAGTTGTGCACTGAATGCATGGGAGTCTTTCCGACCAACTTCATCATGGTCATTGTCGACATGAATTCATGGCTGAGAATCACATTCACACCTGCCGCGATGGCCATAGAGGCGTCACCAGTCCGAAGACTCTGGCATGCCAGATGGAGGGCTGTCAGGCTACCTGAGCAGGCGGTATCAACTGTAACACTCGGACCTTTCATGTCGAAGAAATATGACACGCGGTTCGCCGTCATGGCTCGGGACTGCCCGGAGTTTGTACACTGGTACATTGGCACGCAGTCTGGGTCGCGAAGGAGAATATCGGTGTAGTCGGCACTGAAGCAGCCAACAAAGCACGCCGTCCGACTCCCCATTACGCTTGTTATCGGTATACCGGCTGTTGGCCGTGAGTATGCTCCCCGTGACGATCGTAAAAATGGACTTACCATTTTCAAAGCCCTCGTAACTAACCTCGAGCAATAGTCGTTGCTGGGGGTCCATCGCCTAAAGGCCAGCATTAGCCAAGCATTCTGAGTCCAGTGGTTGTGCAAAAAGACCTACGGCTGCCTCATCGCTGGTCATGTTGAAAAACGGCGCATCGAACAATGACACATCTTCTGCCAGAAAATGGCCCCCTTCGACGTTGATCTGTGCGGGTCAGTCCTTGACAACGTCATTAACATCAACCCGGCACCTACTGTTCCGTGTCTCGAGTGATCCTGGTGATAAAAGGCATCGTTATTCCATCGTGTATCCGGGATCGGACTCCATGCTTCCCGCCCTTCGAGGATCATCGTCCACAATTCCTTGATATTGGTGGCATCCCCAGGGCCTCTAAACCCCATTCCGACAATGGCAATTGGCATGCAAGGATCCTCTGACAGGATATATAGGCCATCTTGATCTAAGGAAGTTGGTTCCGAAGTGCAAGTAGAGGATATCGGGACGGCCGGTGGGCTGTGTTCGAGGGGATCGGCAGCCATGATGGTTCAGCGAACCCTGCATAGCAGCTGGGACCGAGTAGCAAACATAGAGATACCATTTGGAGTATGGAAAATACAGGAGTCATTGATTTGAAATATACGGAGTACAGCGATTCTGTTAATATCCGGTGGGAATGTTGCACATCACAATGTCCCGAACTACATCAGCTGAGTTCCCCGAATCTCCTCTATTGGACGTCGGATGATTCTGCTCAACCGTTTTCTCCCATAACCCAGGGATAGACATAAATACTATGAACAGGGAGTAAGGGCAGAAAGGGCAGCAGCGAAACGTGGGGACTTTCATCACCAAACTGCCAACGCCTGGACTGCCAAAGCCCTGATCGCTGCGGCCAAGGAGGAGACGTTCTTTTTATCGGCTGGGATGTCGTGGCCTTTGCTGTGCACTACCCAGGTTGAGAGGGCTGGATTACACAGCTGATGCAGTGCCAGGGAGTACTCGAGTAACGGATCTTGAGCGCCTCCAATATTCACGGTCGGGATATTGATGTACCCCTCCAGATCTGGATCGATCACCGGATCTTCCCCGGGATTCATTCGAAAAGGTGGGAGAGAGTTTATGAAGATAGCACAACGAAATGGAGGCGGTTCCTGCGGATGCAATTTGGCATGATGGATCAAAAATCCAGCTGCCAAGGTGCCCCCATGGGAGAAGCCCAGGACCCCGTCAAAGGGGCCCTCTTCGTCGAAAGCATCGTAAAGACGGTCGTACGCGTCGAGCATAGACTCTTCCTCCTTGCCATTGTCAGAAATAGACCGGGGAAACTTATAATAACTGTAGTAAGGGCCGTCGTAGTATCCCGATATCCCCGGACCGGGAATCGAGTCCACCTCGCCCTCCAGAAAGTGGAATGTCGCCGTATTATCACGGCGAAGATCGGCCGTTAGGCCATCTGCTGAATAAGTTGATTGGTCTCTTCCTGGGAATGGTGACACATACTCAGCTGAGATTGTAAGATCTATCGCCATAAGGTCAGTGACACAACACTTGTCGTGCGGTGGATCTGGCTAACCTTGGTATTGGTGCCCCATCCATGGAGGCAAAGTAGTTTGAGAGGCATGTTAGCTGATCCGGTTACCAAATAGCAACCGCTGATTGGCAATGAGCATGGCGTCACTTCGAAGTGTATTTATATTCCAGCGCCATCTGGTGCCCATGGACGCGTTGCTTGTCATGCGATAGATCGTAGAAAGTCTCCGTGTCACCGCGGAGTATTTTCTGGAGTTGCCTATCTACATACTTCCCCCCATAGTGGGATCCTCCAGAATGTGACTATCTAGTTGAGGCATTTTTCATAAAGAAATTATACATATTCGCTATATCTTAGCAATCAACATCAACCAGCTACATGTCCTCATAGTATACCTATGTTTGTCAATCATATGCGTGAGCACATAGAAATAGTAAACAGGAAATCAATCAATCAATTCGGATAGTCAAAACGGCCGCCGTGTCGACCGACACCAATCTTGTGGTCTTCGTGGGCAACGCATTTATTGCCAAAGCAGCAATCCCATTCTACATCACGCCGTTTTGCACACTCTTCAAGACCGTGGTAGCCAGGAGTGGATGAGTCTATAGTTAGAAGTCAGTCGGTGCGCTACATACTGGCTGGAAAAGTGGAAGGGAGAACAGACTCGTAAATTTAGGCACATGCGAAGGAATCTTCTCCTTAGGTGAGTCTCGCTTCTCTTTGCTGATCTCATTAGGCTCCTAAGCAAGGGGCTCAGTATCTATAACAAGGGTAGCTAACATATATATAGATATATAGAGCCCAGAGAATGAATAGAGTACACCTTAGCTCTTAGCATCCTGTTGAATCCTTTTCACACCTGGCACCCGGAAGCAACCAGTAATCCGAGGGTGCTCAGCATGAGGCCCCGTGCATTTATTTCCCTCACATTTATCATCTCCACAGCAGATATCGTCACTGGTACATGGGTGCTGACATTTGCCATCGTCCCCTTCAGCTAGCGTAGAGAATGATGAGCCGTGACTATACATACCATAGCCTGCACACCACCTAACCAAGCAGATATCCCCGGAGCAGTATTCTCTGAGAGCTTTACGCGGGATCAACCGCAGATGGATAAAATTTTTATGTCTAAAGACACAGTCAGCTGACATGAACAAGAATTGGCATCTAACTACCAAGGAAATCTAGTACAAGGAGAAGAGGGTGAGAACAGACTTTTCCTTCACTGGCAACCGTGGCAGACGTTTCCAGAGTAGCAAAGGCAAACCGAAGCACCGGGTAGAGCTTTATCGCAAGCGATCTGTGGGGCCTAGGAGAGACCCGTAAGAAGATATGATGGAAAGATATGAGTAAAATTGATCAAAGAGTGTACGTTGAGCAGGCGATTCAACAGAAGAGAAATCTAGATGATCTGTAAGTACTTGTTCCCAAGCCCAGAGGGTTATTTTGGTTCGACGCGCTAATGACCCCCGATGCCTTTTTGGCGGCTGTAGATTAAAGGCAATCAATGGTGCAATCAATCGCTTAACGCCTGTGCAGCATGAGTGGTCCTTCGATCAAGAGAACTACGGATGCTTCAGGGAACAAAGCAGATTTTCCCTATCCCAGTGGTGTGCCCCATCTAGTCAAACCTTCGGTATCATGTCCTTAAGGATCATTTGACCTATAGCGGCCCGGAGCACTTGATCATACTGTGTGGATACCAGGGAGCCCGGATACAAAGGCATCTTTCAGCCATTTCGAGTGCCGAGAACAGGGACCAAGTGACCCGGATGTTATTTTGAGGATAATATCTTCCTTATACCAGGAACTTTGCCTTTCAGAACAAAGACCATAGCTTTTGCCAAGCCGTAGTGGTTTCGTTTTCTTTACTTTATAATCATACGGTTTGCCCCGTGGCTTTATTCACGACCCGTAGGGCTATCTATTCTATTCTTATCTTGCCCTGTGGAAAGGACTAAAGAACAAGAAACGTTGGCGAGAGGGTATCCCGCGAGGGATCTGCAGTATAGATATGATCATCAACTCTTCTCTTTTAAGTGAAGCATCTCAAACGCCAGCCTCACTGAGGATAGGCTACGCCAACACTCTATTAGAATATGATTGGGACGAGCGCTTAGTCAATCGTATAATGAATAAATAGCTAGCATGGCAGTTCCTAACGTAGGTACAGCAAAAGTCCAGGGCATGCACCCCAACTATCGTAGTCCTTCCTTCATCGGTACTCGATGTCGATATTCCGTGGCGTTCTTTTGCCACGACTGTCTCTGTCTAGATTTCGGTATGTCGGAGACTATATGAAACGGTCGAAATGGACATTCTTTCAAAATCCCGATAAATACTTGATAGATCTGGTATAGGTGCTCATGTGTGGGATTAGTGGTCCTTTCTGTATTGGCTCCATGGTGTACGAGGTGGTTTAAAACACCATATCGTGGGATCAGGTCTCCAGTCTTTGGTTCTGATACTAGGAACCAGATAAGGGCATTGTGTAGGTTCGTGTTTCTCTAGTTGACAGAATGGGCATGTTCCATTGTAGAGTAATTTCCTGTTGAACCAATACCTGACGTGTTTCTCATGTCCGATTCCAGTAGGGGGGGCGTGTTTTCTTTCAGGGTAGGTTCCCCTCCGGTTTCCTGATTTGGCCTGGGTAGCCATAAAGATGCGGTCTCCATAGATTCTCGCCTCATGACATGCTATTTGGCAGTAGTTGAAGAAGTTATTTTCGGTTAAATCTTTCCATGAGTTCTCTGTCATAGAGTATCTCACGTTGCCGGCGAAAATAGGCAATTCCGTTTCAATTCCGTTGAGCAATAATAGAGTTGCCTGGTAAGGAGTAATAGTCATGTTGACCTTTCCCGCGGCAGAAATCTTTTCTTGGAGTGCAGTAACAAATTGCTGTATAGTGCCGTAATCAGATCTCTTGATCAGAACAGCGTCAATCCAAACGGCTCCATTCAGGAGATATCCATGGCCGTGTATCAGCTTGGAGATCGTTTGTACGGTTTCATCAGGCCATTGTTTTGGCAGATGAGTCGTTTCCACCTTGGCAGCGAGGTCTTCTGTAAGGTGCGCACGCAACCAGAGGTTGACAATACTCGCGCAAGTGCGCCATATCTCGTATTTAGGATCCGATTTAGAGGGTTTAGGCACGTCAGCCTGGATCAGATCCTGTAGTTCATGGATATCTAAGATCATCCGTACAGTATCGATCCACTCGTCCCAGTTATTATGATTCTCAAGCTTTTCCATCGGTTGTAGTGTAAAATCCGCCTTTTCCGGCAGGTTTGTTGCTTGATTTATAGCCACAGAGCCTTCCCCGATACTCTCATGCATTGTAGCGATATGTTTAATGACTTTTATTGTATTGTTGATGGAGCTAAAATTTGATGATTTAGTCTGATCTATGTAGGGGGTTCGCTCAGCGGTGTTGGTTTTTGTTGGCAAAATAGCTTAAAGAAAATAGGCTTTTGTAGATAATTTATTTCTGAATAGCTTCATAAGTTCCGTAATAGGGTAATATTCCGGGTATAGGGCCCGGGCTCATAACATGATAGAGCTGGTATAGGTGTTCATGTGTGGGGTTGGCGGTGCTAAGGTCTAAATCTATCACAGATTCCATGGTGTTGTGGTTAGGTCACGTGGTTATCGCCTTCCCTGTAGGCTGACAATACTTCTTACTTAAAGCGCCAATCGTATCGGGGCCTTTGCCGGACAATTCCCACACTAGAAGCCATTCACCCTCTCCTGTTTCTTACTAAACAAGTAGGTTTCCTAAGATGTCAGAACATGTCCGCAGGAATCGCTTCTTGTCTCTCTCCCTTTCTTCTAGAAAGTAGATATGACACCATTTACAAGCAAGTTTCTAGATGGTCCCCGCTCTGCGCGCAGCGCGGGAAAATAAATGGTATGATTCAGATTATTAGTTGAGGAACATACGTATGACATACATGCGAACAGAGAAACCAGAAATGAGACCAGGACGCAAAGGTTCAGCGAAGACAAGAAAAAAAGGAAAAAAGCCAAGAGAAAATGAGGCACTTGAGCTGTCTAGGTGAAGACATGCACCATCATTGCGCAGACGTATAGTCAGTCTATACGCTTCCAACTCGAATGGATCCTGATTCGCGGGCATCTTGGCTACTGGTTGTGGTTGCAACTGAGTGCCCTATGCATGGTGTGCTAGCCCCTGGGACTAGAATTAGAACTCACTTGGTTCACGGCCATTATACATATCTCTCAATTTGGTTTGTGGTTGGTGGTTGACTTTCCCCGATGTTTTCTTCGGTATGTCGCTTTCGTCGTAAAAAGAGCAAGGACACGCCCGCAAGGACTCCTATGATGGCCACCGTGATTCCAACACCGAGTCCCACTCCGGCTCCTGCAGACATGCTACTGCCGTAACTCGATTGTGTCAATGAAGGGGGCAGGTCGGATGATGTTGCTGTGGAGGTTCCTTTGGCCGTAGTAGTGGTGGAGGTGGACGCGGTCGTTGAAGGAGCGGATTTATTAATTATATAGACCTCTACTGGAACCACTCGAGCGGTCCAAGCTGTGGTCAGAATGGTGATATGTGTGGCCTATTGTTTGCCTTGAGACGTAGTATCCGCAATGGTGATGGGCATCTTAGCAGAAACAGGGGAGTAACACCAGGTACCGTCTATATCGGGCGAGTGCGGCCAATGGCACCCTCTTTCGCCTGTGTTAGCATCGAACATATGGCATATAGATCTTACTTACGGCGGGCAGCAAGCAATACCCGTAGGTCTTGGGTTCATGGCCGTGCTAAATGCGGTAGGAAAACTGTCGGGGTAGTTGGTAGGACCGATACCGGTATCGTGGTATATTCCGCCGTAAGTTCCATCGCCTAGTTTTTCCTGTGCATACCATGCTGTCACTTCAGGTGGCATGCACTTGGCATTTGCGTCAACATCAATACCATATGTTGGATCATATATTATTAGTTATCCATCCCAGCATTTAAAGACGTTTGAACAGCTTGGAACTGGGGCCCAGGGTGTTGCGAGTGGTATGAAATGTGACTACTGAATCGAAGAAGCTTTGAACTGGATAGGGCTGTCACCGACGTTGTTTGGCAGGAGAATGCCAAACGTAAGATAGAGGTGGAAAGAACGACAAGAAATGGATGCAGATAGCGATGAAAGACGGATGCAGAGAAAGAAGTAGAGGTAGCATTTAGGAACCCATTCGGACAGGGTCTTTATAACATTTCAGAGAGCAGTTGCCCAAACTGGCTCAGGGGATGGTGTACGTGACTAAATGAGATGCGAGACAAGCATAGTCAGCATCATGTCGCAGATGATGCATAGGATCACTGGGGCTAGCCAGGCTTCTCTTCTGGTGTTTCACCACCTGCAATGACGGGGTACCTACAGAAAGCATACAAGCCTCCCCCGTTCTAGAGTCCAATAGCTTTGGGGTCCTTTACCACACCAAAGGACATACATAACGGGACTCCTATGTTATGGGACCCGAAATGAAGAATCAATGGCAACCGTGCCATGGAACGCAAAGATTGGACATGACTGCATTCCAGTTTGAGACATTCGGGTAGATGCATTACAACCCGAACCACGATTCCGGCAATTCCAAATCCACTTGTCACCGACTAGCTCCAGAGACCTGAATTCGTACCATATTCCTACCAGCTAGGCAAAATGTTGTCGCTTCCAGTCGTCGGTGCTGACATCTACCCCGTGTTTCTAGAAACCTGTACGTCTCGGGGGAGGACTGTTCATCTCCTTTCGTCGGTTCTTGAGCCTCTTAAGGTTCTCTAAAGGGAGCAAACAACGAGAATATCACCTCGTGACCTCCTTCCGCGTTCAGATTATAGCACGTTTGAAGCTGTCTACCTTTTTCTGTCATGTTGGCGAACTCTTCAGAGAAATTTCGGAGACGTGGGAGGACCCCGAGCCTCCGCGACGATAGCTTGTGTAACCGCCTACATTACCCTGAGACCTCTTTGTCCAATCTCACCAGCTTTTGCAGAAGCTTTGAACCGCCAAGAATCTGTCTCTCAATCCTGTCTCGCATCTCGCAATGATTCAGCATTTCAACAACCTACAGCCTCCGAAGAGGCGGGATCCTTCGTCGCTTATGCTTGGGGCGAGGTTGTTCGACAATTGTTCGCCCTTCAAGGGTCTAATGGGAGGAGTGCTACAAGATTAGTGAGGTGAAACCAGCAGCCTTATGGGTCATGATTAGAAGGAATCACTACCTACATAGTATTATCGGATGCCACGTGAGGTCCATGTTCCCAGAGACTGAACCAGGTATGTTCCTAAGACTATTCAAGCCATCCAAGGGATATTTTGTTGTGCACTCCTGGTACTGCTGTACATGAGGGATCGATGACCGCTAGCAAACCTTCCAGAACCTCGTCCGGTCTTTTGAAATCGAAGGCATAGGGGAAGAACTCAGAAAAAGCAAAATTGTGTCAGGGTATACAGCAGACCGCGCCAGCTAGAATCGCTCGTTCTTTAAACATACTCTGACATGGAACTAGAGGCCGTTTCCCTCATTGATCGAGCAATTTTCACGAGAGCCGTAGGGAGGCAAGTTGAACGCCCTCTGTAAGTATCTCCGGGCTACAAGATTAGAAGCTACGATCCCTGTCAGGTTGAGGTCACGAGTGAAACCATTGGTCTTACATGAAACTCTTGCGGATTCCCCTTCAGCCCGTACCGATCACAGGGGTTAAGACCACGTCGATTGTTGAAACAGAGGCCATGATAATCATGTTGCCATTAGTTGAATAGAAAATCCAAGAATTGCCACCAGACCCACGGGAATCTTCTGGGGGATCCACTTCGGAGTTGCGCGGTCATTGGATTGATGACTATTAGACAGTCGTGGTGGTAGTTAGTAAATGGTAAGTGGTCAGTGGTAAGTGGCAGTAGGGTTAATCATTCGTACTGAACTTTTTTTTTTCTCTTTGTTTGCACCTGAACGCTGAGGCCGACCATTTTTAGATCACGGTGTTGGAGAGTCTAGACCTAGATAGGAACTCCCTTTAGACAACACAACACACTGACTCTTCCTCTCCCACTCATACACTCTCTATTTCTTCCCTTCTTACTCCTTACTCTCTCTCTCTCTCTCTCTCTCTCTCTTTATATATATATATATATCCTTCCTCGCTCCAGTCACTTTGACTTCCCACCAATAATGGTCCTTACTCCCACTACAGACGGATGGTTATCCCTCTGGTGGGTCCCGAAAAATTCACGCGATAAAGAGATAGACTGACACTTGCGAGTAGGATCCACTCCACGGCCGGATAATTCTCACAGACGGGGATTAATCGTCCAATCCACCTTCTCGCAATGAGATCATGGCGCGTTTCCATGTCCCCTCCTCCCTCCTCCAGAAAGGTGAATATGAAGGGACGGTTGAAGTGATGGGTGTCTCTCCACTCTTCCGTCCATTGTGGTCGATCTCGCTCCCTCACTTTTCTCTTTCTGCCTTCCGTCTTTTTCTTGGACTTGTTTTGCCTCTCTCCATAAACTGTGTTTCTCGGTTCTAGACTCGATTTATTTTTGGTTCGCCCCCCAATAGCCGCGAATCTCTCCACCCACGTTTGCACGCCGCGAATGCCATTGTCGGCGCCATATTTGGTGAAATTTTATTCTTTGTTCCTGAACGTCCTGTCGGCTCTCGAATCCTCTCCTACAACTGTACATTAATCCGATCGTTTCTTACCCTTCCTTCTTTCTGTCTGATCCGTCTTCTACATTTATCCCTACGTCCTCCAACTTTTCCCCCCCAACCTTCTGGCTTGTGAGCTAGAGCAGCTGGACTGCTCAACTACGCAAATGTCGCATTCGCGCGAGCACAGCGGTTCTTACGAATGGCTCAATCCCCAAGCTCACCCAGACCAACCTGAGACAGCGTTCCATCATGATGGCCATACCGAGCAACCTCCACCTCCTAGTCCCGAGCTATACCCAGACGACACCCCAAACGACAATTCCCGCCCTCAGCGGGTGCGATTCCAATCGATGAGCGCTCAAGAACCGGAAGCCCCTCCACCAGTCCGTCCATCAATGGCTCGATTCGACTCGGATCAAACCCTCATGTCGGTCCACTCCATCAATCCCACATCCGCCCGTTCGACCGATCTCTCTGACGCCCTCCGCGCAGAGGCAGAATCAGAACCCACCACGTCGACAACGGGACGAGATGGCGGCACGAATCCCCCATCCGGCCCCCTTAACGACCATGTCGAAAGATCGAGTTTTAGCAGTGACGTTCCCGATCGTTCTCCATCCGTCAGGGCACGGCTGATGGCCGCGAGCAAGCTATTTCGGCAGAAGACAGTCCGGTTGGGTGAACGCCTCGGCCGACCTCAGGATGGAGGTGAGGACCTCGGGGCATCGCTCTTGCCGGACGATCTCGAAGGTGGCATCCCATATCACCAGATCCAAGAGAGGCGGCAGCCCGCGCACGAGTCCCCGGAGGACGAGAAGCAGGATTTCGCTCCGAGCGCAGAAGCCCATCGTCTTGTCCGTCGAGTGACCCAGTCGCAGAACGCCCTGCGCCATCGTAAACCGAAGTCGGCTTACACACGGTCGGGACAGACCACGCCCGAAGGGTTGGGCCGTCCCGAGTCGTGGTATAGTGTCCGGTCGCGATCCTTCAGTGGCGGAGGCATCTTGTCCCAACTGCTCAAGTTGCAGGCCGGTCAGACAGGCTCGACAGAAAGCGTCATCACGGACTCGTCCGACAGCGAATCGCAGGTCTCTTCCGGGGCCGTAACTCCCAAATCCGGGACCGCGACTCCCAAGCGGGAAAAGCTGAAGTGGTACAAGAAACCGAATCACCAGTCGACGGCCTCCCTAGTAGAAGCCTCGATGAACCTGAGTCGTGCCAGCCTGCCGGCTTCGGCGGATCCTCTTGCCTTCGCTACGCCAAAGAAGCGCAAGAAGGCCAATCGGAAAACCCGCTTAGAAGACGAGATTCGTGTAACGGTGCATATTGCAGAGATCCTTGCCCGGCAGCGCTATATCATGCAACTCTGTCGCGCCTTGATGCGGTACGGTGCACCCACCCACCGTCTGGAGGAATACATGAAGATGACAGCGCGTGTGCTGGAGGTCGAAGGCCAATTCTTATATCTTCCTGGATGCATGATTATGTCCTTCGATGACCCCACCACCCGCACGGCAGAGGTCAAACTCGTCCGCATGGTTCAGGGGGTGGATCTAGGCCGTCTAGCGGAGACACACAACGTCTATAAAAACGTTGTCCATGACCTGGTCGGCGTCGAAGAAGCCAGTCAGGAGCTAGACAGCATCATGCAGCGCTCGCCGCGCTTTAACAAGTGGCTTTTAGTCCCCGCATATGGACTCGCTAGTGTCGCTGTGGGGCCGTTCGCTTTCAATGCCCGACCGATAGACATGCCCATCTGTTTCTTTCTGGGGTCCCTGGTCGGGTTCATGCAACATATTCTAGCACCCAAGTCTGTGTTATACTCCAACGTGTTCGAAGTCTCGGCTGCGGTATTGACATCCTTCCTCGCACGTGCCTTTGGTTCCATCAGGTCGCCCTTCGAAGGCGAGCAGTATCTTTTCTGCTTCTCCGCTCTCGCCCAGTCCTCGATCGCTCTTATCCTTCCCGGTTTCATGGTGTTGTGTAGCAGTCTGGAACTGCAGTCGCACCAAATGATTGCCGGGTCTATCCGGATGGTCTACGCTATTATTTATTCGCTCTTCCTTGGGTACGGGATAACTGTTGGCACGACGATTTACGGGCTAATCGATCACGGCGCTAATTCCGACACGACGTGCAAGCGGCTGGACGTGTGGGGCAGCGAGTATATCCAGCATTTCATTTTCGTGCCTGTCTATGTCGTTTTTTTGGCCATCATCAACCAAGCCAAGTGGAAACAGGTCCCGACAATGATTGTTATCGCTATCAGCGGCTACGTTACCAATTACTTCAGCACCAAGAAGCTCGGTTCCTCTTCGGAAGTCGCCAATACGGTCGGTGCGTTCACGGTCGGTCTTCTTGGCAACCTGTACAGTCGTCTCTGGCATGGTCATGCCGCCACCGCTATCCTTCCCGGTATCTTCGTGCTCGTTCCGTCCGGCTTGGCCTCGAGTGGCTCGTTGATGGCTGGAATCACGTACGCCAATGAAGTACGGGAAAATCTAGCCAAATCAAACAGCAGTGAGAGTCTCAATAGCGCTAGCCAGGATACGTCGATCGCCAGCCTGGGATTTGGTATGATTCAGGTCGCTATCGGTATCACAGTCGGCCTTTTCATTGCCGCTCTCGTTGTGTACCCCTTTGGCAAACGACGCAGCGGACTCTTCAGTTTTTGATCTGTTTTTTAGTTGATCTATAGCGTGTACGATTTATGTTGGATAGATGTCTTTCTCTTTTATTTTTTGGATTATTTTGGCATACAGTACATAGTCAGCTCGCGCTTCAGCCGGCAGTTGCATATAGATTGTGTATATTCTTAGATTGACCAATATATTTGCTTGTCTCGAAACGGCATACTGGCCCATCTGGCGGGGGTTTCTTGCTTTTACTAGTGGACACGGGTAAGGTGATGTCAGGTTTGCATATAATGTACATGAATAGTGCTACGGGCGCTGCTCTTGTACTGCGTTTGTTGGTTTTACATATGCTGTTGCGGGTTAAATAGAGAGCCATCAGGATTTGTGTATCTGATTCTGTGAGTGGAGCAATAGCCCCAGACATCCGGAGGAAAGATATGTATATATATATATCCATACTCGGCATAGACTGGAGGTTGAAGAAATCCCCCATTGGTCCATAAGCCCCTAGATCTTGGTGCCTATAGGATTAAACTATGTTTTGTATTTCGTAACATCCAAAGTACCGAGAGCTACTCTGCGATGGTATCTGGTGTTATTCTTATGAACTGATCTGACCTGCCAATATACTCTGGTGTATAAGACATAAAACAGTCATGATTTTCAATTAATTGGGGATGTGGTTTAGTGGTATAATGTTCGCTTAGCATGTGAAAGGTCCGGGGTTCAATTCCCCGCATCTCCATTCTTTTTCCTTTTCCAGTTTTTATACACCTGGTTTCTTCCCTCTCTCTGTTCTCCACAAGAATTAACTACTTCCCGCTCACTTTAAAAGGCTGGATGCCTCTGTCGACCCACCTCCTTGGTGTATCTTTATCATTTAATCCTCACGAATGAGTGGGTGATAATGACTGAGATCCCTAACCCCGTGTCGAGATGAAATCAACGGCCCAACACTCGGCGTAAATATTGATCTCCGCCCTTCGCGGAGAATGTAGATGTAGGCGACGCAGTGTTTATGCATGTTTCCAGTCAGTAGATCCTGTTAGCCTGAGACATTTCTTGCTACATTCATTATCCAAGGCGACGATGATGGGAGAGGATCAGGGCAACCACCGCACGTGCGCAGCGCGTACATTCTTATTCTATTCATCCGGTGCCATTTACACCTCCCTGTTCTATTCAAACAGCTAGCTGGATGTTACCCCGCAGTTTATTCTCATTTCTCCCGAGAACCTTAAGCTCCGAATAAGATTTATCATACCTGCTTAAGGTTCTTATGGTTGATTAGAGATCTCCGGTTTGAGAAAAGATGCGCCTGAAGCTTATGACACCTTGGTTACAAGAAACAGACACGCAGACACGACTCCCCCCCCAGCATCCCAACCGACAAAAAGTACAGACCACAAATCTTTTCTCAATCTGGTGTTCTGTTGAGGAAAGGCACCGGAGATATCCCGAGCCAAGAAACGCCTGAGGGGGCTGACATGAAGGATCGTCTCGGACCTTCTCCAGGTTTTCTTCCCTTTCCCCCATTCAGGCTAAAGAAGGCAATGTCGACGACCAAGTGCCGAGGGACGGCGACCCCCTCCCTTCTCCTCCAACCATGGAGAGTCCAAGCCATAGTAGCAGAAAGTAAGCTCTCCCCGCCCAAACCTAAAAACCCGGTCATACTCCGAGTATACTATATCGTGCGTGGGGGAGAGTAGACGGGCATTGGAGGAAGCTCTTGGTAACGCCAGCTTTTTGTTGCTTCCCCGGATAAGATCAGCGGGGCCATGATCGACCCCCACGTTTTTTTGGGGTGCTTTGTCCTACCCCGGACTTGGGGTGGAGCGTGTGTGTGACCGTGTGATGTCGTCGTGGTTGTTTATATAGCTTGGCTTGGATCCGAAGGCGGTTCTGGGGTTATTCTTTCCTACATCCCTTCCCTTCACGCCGGAGTGAATTTCTTTCATCGTATTACTGCTGTGGTTGATACCTATATATCGATGGATGACGGCAAGATCACCGACCATGAGGCGATGGGTGAGAAGGCGAATATGACCCATGAGGAAGTCGTGCATCTGGCCGAGTTGACCCCCGAGGAGAAGGTCATCGAGAAGAAGCTGCGCCGGCGCATTGACTGTTTGATTATGCCGCTGGTGATTCTCGTCTATCTGATGAATTACATTGACCGGTACGTAAGATCTCGACAATGACCAGCATGTAAAAGGAAAGGGTGAATATTGACTGAGACGCATGGCAATAGGAATAACTACGCAGCGGCCAAACTACAAGGTCTCCGGGAAGATCTCAATATCGATGACCAGCAATACCAGACCGGCTTGTCTATCCTCTTCGTCGGGTATATCCTGATGCAGGTCCCATCCAATCTCCTGCTGAACTACATGGGGAAGCCGTCGCTCTACCTGGGCTTTTTCACCACCGCCTGGGGCTTAGTCTCGACTTTGACTAGTCAGGTTAAAGGCTACGGGGGTATCGTCGCGTGTCGGTTTATCCTGGGCCTGGTGGAGGCCCCGTTCTTCGCCGGGGTGCTCTTCTACCTCTCCAAGTGGTATACGAAGAAAGAGTTGGCCCTGCGCATGAGTATCTTCTACTCTGGCTCGCTGCTGAGTGGCGCCTTTGGCAACCTCATCGCGGCTGGCATCCTGAACGGCCTTGCCGGCCACCGAGGGATCTCCGCCTGGCAATGGTTGTACATCATCGAGGGGTCCATCACCATGGTCGTCGGCCTGACCGTGGCGGTATTTCTCCCCGACTTCCCCGACACCTGGAAGCTGCTGTCGCCGGAAATGAAGCACGTCGCCAACCGGCGCCTGGCCATCGAAGCCGCGGAGGCGGATGTGGACGAAGCGGGCAAGATGAGCCAGGTCAAGGGGCTGAAGCTGGCCTTCAGTGACGTTAAGACCTACGCGCTCGCCATCGCCTACATGTCTATCACCGGCGCCAGCGGCTTCCAGAACTACTTCCCGACGCTGACCAAGACGCTGGGCTACAACCAGATCGTCTCCCTGCTGCTGGTGGCGCCGCCTTACATCTTCATGGTCGTGTACAGCCTGGCGCACTCGTACATGTCGGACCGCCTGGGCAGTCGGTTCTGGTTCTTCGTCTACCCCATCCCCATCACCATCGTCGGCTTCGTCATCTTCATGGAGACCGACGGGTTCGGGCCCCGATACTTCTCCTTCTTCCTCATGATCTTTGTCTTCGCGCAGAACGGCACCGTGTACTCGTGGATCGCCAACGCCATCCCCCGACCGCCGGCCAAGCGCGCGGCGGCGTACGCCTTTATCAACTCGGTCGGCAATTCGGCCAGTATCTGGACGCCGTATACCTACCGCGACCAAGACTACCCGTACTACCGACCGGCGATGGGAACGTGCATCGGCCTCCAGGTGCTCGGCGGAGTCATGGCGATCCTGATGTATTTCCACCTGCGGACCCTGAACAAGCGGCTAGACCGGCTGGAGGACGCGGACGTGACTTTGACGCCGAAAGAGCTGGAACGGTTACAGAAGACGGCGGAAATCGAGGGGATTGACCTAGCGGCGGCGCGTCGGTTGCAAAAGGGGTTCCGGTACATGATTTGATTTAGTTTGATTGTTATCATCACCGTTATTATTATTATTATTTTTATTTTCATTATTATTAATAAATTTTTTTTTTCCCTTTTATGTTGATGGTTCATCGTGTCACGAGACACGTATGACCCTAATCATGCAACTTCTTCGAATTAGAATGGAACCGTCTGGGATGAGGAGTGAGAACAGAAAAAGAAAGGGGCAATGATCCCACGTAGAGTCTTATGTTTATTAGAAGATACGTGTCGCGGGCGGAGAGAGCGACCGAATGCACGATTGCGACCGCGACGAAGAGTCTCTAGGATGCGGGGAAAGTGACCGAATGAACGTGCGAGGCAACTGGCATTCCCATGATATCATTGCACATCCCTTGCGTCCTTTTGAGGGGTGGAGCATAGCACTCCGGGAGGATGAGAGAGAATTTGGTGCGGAGGAGGGGGGGAAAACCGGGGGAAGGATGATCGTCCTCGCTCGATGATTGGAGACGGAGGACGATGGTCCGTCTGCAAATAAGAAAAGTGGTTTGAAGTTCATCATCGATTCGCCGGATTGGGTCTGCCTTGGGGGTCACGTGTGGACAGCGTCCAGGGTCGTTACAGCGATATATATATGGGTTATCAGTATATCTCTCTCATCCCCCCCCCCCGGGTTACTGTCGCCTCTCATTCGCTTTGGAACTGTCGATTTGATCCTCTTTCTTGTCAATCTCCTACTTACTGTGCATATCTCATCGATCATCTACCCCATTCAACTCCAGTGTCCCTCCTATTTATCCACCATGTCGGCCAGTCTCATTCACGCTTCGCGTCCCATCATCCGTGCTCGCAGCAGGTCAAATGCCATGCGCACCTTCTCCATCGCGGTGCCGGCGAGACTCGAGAACGAGTGGTTGCAAATGCCCAAGCCCCGCGGGTTTCTCGCCGAGTATGTTCCTGATCATTGTCTTATATTGTGACGTCATGTTGGATCTCTGGGAGGTTCTGGATAGATGGAAGAATGCTTCGAGACTGACGAATGCCGAATAGTAAGGATACCACTCCTCGTTCAGAGATTCGGTACACCAGAAAGACGGAGGTCGACACGCTCCGACGTCTGCAGCAGAAGATGGCCGAACATCGCCAACGTCTCGACGAGCTGGAGAAGTCGATGTGAGTCATTATATACCCTTGGTAAATGACGATATGGCAGTTGCTGACACGAGATCGATTCTAGTCAGCAGTTCACGCGGGTGCAGGGGGTCTTCTAAGCTTTACTCAAGTGCTATTGTTTCGCAGCTCTGGATTTTTCTACTTTTTCCTACCCAACAATACCCTGGACCCGGCCATCCCCTAGACTGATTCCATTGGAGGCCGTCATATACTAGAATGGTCGATCGGAGAACTTCCTTTTCTCGTAAGAAATGACCTCCCCATTTACCCCCACCCGGAATGTCGAGCAGGACCTGATAGCGAGGAGTGGGGACTCATCTGGAATGAAGCATTGTATATACCACTGTTTTACGTATTATGGAATGTCACGTTGTTGAATTGTGATCATCCGATCTAGGACCAATTGACGCGTTATGCGTCCTCTGTACATTGCCCATGCTCGTAGTTTGATTTTTTGGTGAACTTTTGACAGGGGCTGGCGGAGAGTGTTGATTCATCTCAACTGCATCTGAAGCTTCACGGCCCGATCCGCGTTCCACGGTTCTACTGACGTGATAACTCACGAAAACCTTTACTCCTGTCAAAGGTCCTCTATGAAGCATGGCGTCTCATTCTTCGCGATGTTGCAGACAATGGGTGGAGGTCACACGCGGAGGCCTACTGCATAGCCCTCGTGGTAGGGCGGTAGCTATCCGTTCGGACCTTGTACTTGTGATACCTGTGAAACATTGTGTGATATCCCCGGCGCTGCGTAGAGCTTCGTGCGATCCAGCGCATTCGTGGTAATGCTTAACTATGCAAGGCATGGAATTGGCGCAAAAGGACATTCAGTGCATATAATAAACTAACGGGTTTGTAATGTCTTCTCATATTACGTCTTAGATAGTCATGAACATCCTTACATGGGTCCCTGAATTGAGCTATGGCGTGGAGAATCAGTAGATATCACGTTGATATATTCCTCTGGCACCCTCGAGCTACTTTAATCTGTCTATACTTTATAGACACTATGTCTTTCGGTTGATCTCCACATCAGCTTTGGTGTTCAAGACCATGGCCTCGCCCCTTAGCCTTGATATCCGACCGGGCCAGAGTAGCAGGACCCGCGTACAGCTCGTCGCTTATAAAAGCTAAGAGGAGAAATTCGCGCCCAAGGAAACCACCTCTCTGCCGGGAGGGATTTGTCCAAGACCCCCCTGATCAGGTTGACGTGCGAGGAAGTGCTATTTATGAGTGGCCCATATCTGTTTCTCAAGACTGTCAGAGCATCCGCATCATGTGTACTGAGTCATGAAGATCCTCTCCTCGCCCACTAAGAATGCTTGCTCTCCGCCATGCAGCTATCGGACGTGCAGTTAGGAGCGAGAGGACCAATTACGGCGCGCCGCGACCGTCTAACGGCTTTCATGAATCATGATCCAACGACCCGTCTCTCGCGCGAGAGGAAGGGGATCCATCGTAATAGCATTAATGGGCACTAACTAGTTTCAAGTCCTTAAACAGGGATAGAGGCGACAGTAGGTGACGTTGATCTTCAATTCCCCTTTTCTTTTTTGTTGGTGTCCTTTCTTGGCTCTTCGGACACGTTTGGTCTTCTCCGAAAAAAGCCCTAGAGTCCGATCATATACGGCGTTCGGTGATATCGGATTGTATCTCTAGGGGGAAAAAATGCGACATGCTTATGATACAAAAGGGATATAAATACAAATACCCTCTACCTAACAGTATCATGCTCTCTCCAGTTCCAGACATCTATAACCCCAAGCAGCTATCTCATCAACCATGGCCCGCATCTGGTTCATCACCGGCTGCTCCTCCGGCCTCGGCCGCCAAATAGCCATCGCAGCAGCTCAAACCGGTGACAAGGTCGTAGCCACCTCGCGCGACCCATCCAAATTAAACGACCTGCAAACCATAAGTATAATCCCCACTAAGCTTGACGTAAGCAATGAGTCCGAAATCAAATCCGTCGTCGACACCGTCGAGTCCACCATCGGCCCCATTGACATCCTCATCAACAACATCGGCTACATCCTCGAAGGCGCCGTTGAAGAATGCAGGTAAATTCAAATCCAGCCCCTCCCATTGCCACCCTGCACTACGCATATAAACTGACTGAACGACAAGTAACGACGAGGTACTCGCCCAATTCGACACGAACGTCTTCGCCCAGCTCCGCGTGCTGCGCGCCGTCTTGCCTTATATGCGCGCTCGGCGATCCGGCGTCGTGGCCAATATCGGCTCCATCGGTGGCTGGCATGGCGAGGCGGCTGCGGGGCTGTATTGTGCCAGTAAGGCGGCCGTTGCGATCTATACCGAGGCGCTGGCGGCGGAGTTGGCGCCCTTGGGGGTTCGCGTTACGTGTGTCGAGCCGGGGTATTTTCGGACGGGGTTTCTGACCCCTGGGCATCGGGTGGTTGCGGGCTCTCGCATCCTGGACTTGGAGGCGACTACGCGACTGATGCGCGAGGGGCTTGCGGCGTATAGTTTGAGGCAACCGGGGGATCCGGTGAAGGGGGCACGGGTCCTGGTCGAGGCGTTGACTCTGTCGGGGCGCTGTGAGGGGAGGGAATTGCCTGTGAGGCTGGCGCTGGGGAGAGATTCTCTGACTGCTATTGGGGGAAGTTTGACGAGGGAGAGAGAGATGTTGGATGGTTGGGGGGAGATTGTTGCGTCGACGGATTGTGATGATGTGATGGGCTGATGATTTGACATTCGACTGACTTGTTTGGTCGGTACGGTTGATGAGGAAGTTATAGGATTATGACTTGGTTTAGAGAGCATGCGCTTGATTGTTTGATTGTATATGGGTTTGTTCCTTTTTTTTTTTTTTTTTTTTTAATAGAGAGTAAATTGTCTATTACTGGGGAAGGGAGGGTGGATATCCATCTAACATACCGGAGTATATCCTAAGCACGGGGCGTAGGTCTTTAAAGTACCTACATTATTCATATGATTTAACCTATGACCGATCTTAAGTCTGTTTTGCTAGCACTTCTGATATCTTCAGCCATTGCGACCGTGAAATTCGTAATATGTGATTCATGGTGTAGCATGTAGAGAAGCTGGTAGTGATTGGGTGAGTTGTCTGTACAGTGCTATATCCCACGAATTATTTTGCCTTTTGCAGGATTTGTTAGAGAAGGATTGGTAAAGTACAAGGTGACAACCATCAAGCTGGGCCGTATGTACTCCGCTACAGATAGTGAGACATGGATATTAACATATCCTTGGCAGTATATATAAAGAGAGGCCTCGGTGATAGAAAGGCGGGAAAGTATCACTGACGCGACTAGTTCCTGTATCCTGGATTCACCCTCCTGTGTATCTCTACAAGGTCACTGAAGATACCTACGTCAAGTTATAGGTAGGAGGAAGCTATATTATACAAGATAATACGAGAGATCACAGTTTTCGTCCAGATCCCAGAAATCGGAACGAAGGATTGGGTATGATCTGTTGGGAAAGGGCCTAAAACGCAGCGCACATACTAGAAACCTGCACAGAAGGGTATAAGCAATATATAAGTGCGGCTCTACATCAAGTAGGGAGGACAGGCATTGCGCAAGTGTCTGCACAAGGTCAACAGCGTGCAGGGATCTTGTCCAACTGCCGAGAATCAGCTTTGACCTCCAAGGCCCGACACTTTGGAGCCGAGTTGTTGCGCTGCCGACAAGACAAGATTCGATACTTGTGCAAGTAGACTGTGCCGCAGTGCATGGCGGCTACTTTGGCATGAGCCTTCGTACCAAAAGGTCGCGTGCACATATCCTTAATTTTTGTAAGGCTAAAAGGGTAGGTGTGGTATTGGATGATCCCTGTGTGCGTTGAATGTAAGTATGTATTAAATTAGGGTTATGGAGGTCGGCTGGCTCAGGGTCGGCATCTTGATGGAGAACAAATGAGGAAGAGTCAACTAATGAAACATGGTTTATTTACTTACTCGTTTAATAGAGTAATGACGATATGATGCGAACCGTTAGATTGTTAGAAAGTATTTTTGTCGAGACAGCCAACAAAACGTTTAGCAGCATTAGAATTGAATAGACTTGGAGGAACTGCCTGCTATCTTCCTACAGAATGCTAACGTTGTGCAACATGCATGAAGGGTGACACTGCAGCTGGTCCATGTCTAGGTAGTTTGGCACTAGTACATTTTTCTCTCTTTTCGGGGAAAAAAGGAAAATAAAAGAAAAATGAAAACTAAGGAACAAGTCTAGAATCGAGGTACCTCGGTCATCTTCCGTGGTATTCACTGTGATACAAGTGCATGATATTGAACGTGAACTCTTGTCTCTCAGGCTGCAAGGATAAAAATAACATGGACAACTCAACTCCGATGGAAAAAACGGCCTGGTACGATCACTCATCGCCACCGACTAACCTAGTTCAAAGAAAACAAGAAAAAAAAAGTTAAAAAAAAGAGAAAGAAATTGTTGACAGAACTCGGACCGTACGAGACTGAGGTTCGGATGAGAGTTGAGCTCGGGGGGATGAAGCTCCAGAGAGCTCCAGAGTCGGAAATGATGTGTCGACAAGGATGCAAAGCTCGGCACGTTTTGGTCATACCTTAATGAGCCTCCTTAATCCCCATTGGAAGGCCCGGAGCAAAGTGGATATGGCGATCCAGCCCTGCAGAGAAACGGAGAACCGATCCTGCCGACTTTAGATCCTTTTCGGAGGGACTCATCTCCACGCGGGGAATATGTCCGACCGTGTAGCCCTAACTCTATCACCGGTAAACGGCCGGAGATCCTTGGTAAGCGGTCCCTAGGAGGAAAATTGAGCCGGTTGGACCTTGCAAATTGGCCCGGGCGATCAGTTTCCGCGATGCTTGGCAGGGCAGCCTCGGAGGAGAGTGGACATTGTTCCATCTCCGGTCAATGTTGGCACTCTCTATGAAGTCATTGTATCTCGAGGATTTCGATTCCGATCTACTTGACGAGTAACTTGGGAGCGGCCGGATGAACGCGTGTCGACCGTCTCCGGCATGCCTGAAAAGGGTATGCGTAGGTATCACACGAACCGGACCATGTCGTCTACATAGTCAACATTGGGTCTAGTACAGGTGGCTATTCCTTTCCAGTTTAGGCTACACTCGGCGACTCCTATCGGGGTACTGCCAAATTCGTACAGAGCATGCTCATACATCATTGGAGCTGATCTTCCCCTGCCCGGTAGCTTTTGTATAGCCCAACCATCGTCCTTGAACGTACCATGGTTCATACGCGAGGAAGTTGGGAGCGACCCCTTTCTGTGTCGGTGCGCACAGTCCCTATGGTCATATAGAACCGATCGACAAGGGGTCCCATGCAAGCCTCAAAGCCTCAGCACGTCGATCAAATCATAGACAGAGACACGCCCCATTGGCGTACTGCCCTGCCCGTAGATACAAACTGATGATCCATCTATGTCCGACATTATGGATCCCCTTTGCGCGCCTATTACGTAGAGCAGAAATTCTGACGCCATATGGTCCTATCATTCGACCCCTTGGAGGTGTGACAAAGTATACCATCAGTGTATCTTGCTAACCGACGTACGTCGGACCCATCGTAGCCAACATGACCTGGTAGGTCCGCTGTTCATTGGGCAGTGCCGGGATTCATTTTCGTATGCCTGGCTCTACACGTGCATGCGATCTTTCCGTACAATTGTAAAACGGCACTGGGTTTGAATTCCGTACAGATTGCCTTTCCTCCAACGTGGCTGCCACCCGCATGGAAGACTCGCGATGTGCGGCCAGGAGACTAGACCAGACCTGACCACCTGAGGCTCAACAGACGCCGGGTCCACTGGATTTTCGGCAGGCTCCAAGGGCGCAATATGCTTAGAACGCCATGGCGTATAGTATGATGACTTTACTCAGTAGTATTACGTGACATTGCTCTCGCATTCGGTAACTGAGCGTTTCAGACATGGTATGGCATTTGGAAGGATCACAGTAAGGGAAAGTGGATCTCAGGCGTGGTCCCGCCAATGGCTAGACAGATCTATGAGGATTCAGCTGCAGTAAATCCCGTGGATGTAAGCCGAAGGAAGAGTGCGGAGGTTATTTTGGAAAGGGAGAAAATAATGACCCCAGAGGGATTTCATGGTATGGTTATGGAAGGGAATACTACGATTCTTAGGGGATAGAACTACCCTCCGCTCCGTTCAACTTGTCTTTTCTTTCTCTTTCTCTCTCTACCCGACAGATAGGTAACGGCCAGGTACAGTACCTCATGCAAAAGCTACAGTTCGCTCGAGCGTGGTGTACCCCTGGCAAACTCGTGGTTGACAGACTTCATAGATCGTTCTATACGGTAGGGTTTAGGTAGGGCTCGTGATTGGGCGAGGGAGCTTCGGAGTTGTGAAGATGTCCATTCTCTTCCGCGAGCTAGTCGCTGTGAGCAAATAGGCTCATGCTTATCAAAGGGGGGTTCCAGATGGGCTGTGATGGGGCATCTCTCGTCTCTCATTTGTTCGGTTTTTATTCATGGCCTCGGATTTCCCAAATCACGTCCCCCTTCTCTTTGTCACTTAAGTTATCTTGAACGTCGAAATCGCCCCCATTCCCGAAGGTACCAATAAAAGTGTCAGACAAGAAGGATTCATACCCGGTCTTTAATGCAGTCAGCAATTAAAGTAAAAATAATATGCAGAAAACAATAGACCTTCCATCAGAAATATAAAGCCAACGGGGTCAGCGATAACCCTCGTCGATTCTATTTTGACAAGACACACAACTCATCAAGACTTGCTCTGAAGTTGGCTAAAATAAAAGAATATTAGCCCTACCTTGGCGTGATCAAGTTCCAACCGCAACAAGCAACGGTTCAGTCTTTGTGTAATCTTTTGTGTGTGTTTTTTCTTCTCTACATCACTTCCGTCGGGGAAGACGGTTGTTTTTCGACCCAATATGCCCCGTGCCCCACAGAAATGGACACCAGAGGAGGACAAGCTCCTCTGCCGAGAAGTTCACAGTCAATGTGAGTCGCTTTGTGGCAGCGCTGTCATACATTCCCTGTCTGACTTCAGGTCTCCTTGCCTAGTGACCGAAGGGAGAGTACGAGATTGGCGATCAATAGCGACCAAGATTCCCGGTCGAACTAATAAAGATTGTCGCAAACGCTGGCACAACGTACTGTCCGGCGGATTAAACAAGGGATACTGGACAGAGGAAGAAGACAAACTCTTAACTCACGCAGTACAAACACATGGAGAAACGTAAGGATACTCTGATCATGGTCCGCGAAAGAACCCCGTGCTGACCTACGTGCTAGATGGACCGTGGTCGCAGATGTCGTCAAAACACGAAGTGCAGATCGTATGTACCCCTTACGCCCTTCCTTTTCTTTTCTTTCTTTCTTTCCTCTCATTATCCTTTTACTCGTTGTCTAATTGTACGATGCTAATCGGTCGTGTGCAGAATGTGCCAAGCGGTGGAAACAATGCCTTGATCCCCAACTAGACCGCAGTGAATGGACAGAGCTTGAGGTATGATTTAATAGCTTCCGAGGATAGAGGAAGGCGACGCTAACATGCGAGGCCATAGAATCGACGGTTAATGGAGGCATGCGCTGTCAAGGGGCGCCGGTGGAAAGAGATCCAGATGGAACATTTCCCGACCCGGTCGCGGAACTCGATAAAGAACCAGTAAGTAGAAGCCCCGGTCGCAAAGATAATGGAAACTAGAAGCTAATCAGGACTAGACACACGATTCTCACTCGTCGATACAACAAACTAAAGAACTTGCGAGAAGCTCAGAATGCTGTGAGCGTCGAGCCTGTACCTGAAGACGCTAGCTCGACGCCGAGTTCATATGAGGACTCGGGAGACAACACCATCGATAGCAGCGATGAAGATAGCGGCCTGGGAAGCGGCAGCACAGAGAGCAGCGAAATTCATGACCCCCGTATCGCCGACGACGACGTGCCGATGAGCATCAACCCCGCAGATATCATGGCCTTCCCACCCCATGGGGTACCGGGGCATAACGGCATTGTGAACGGTTCATCATGGAATATGGCCGGCGCATTGTCGGGAGATCCTTGGGGTTTGCCCTCGGTAGGCGAGACTGATAGCATGGGAATCTTCTTCGGTGGCATGATGCCCGATCTGCATACTGTCCCGCCGGAAGCATTGCACGGTTTCAACCTTGAAGACGCGGCCACAGGCAAAGATTGCATTTGCCCCAGCTTGATATCACCCACAGAAGAGTTTCCCGGTGAATATAACCATGGCGATAAATTCTTCGACGAGCTGAGCGTGTCAGCCATGGATACCGAGGAGCAGACCCTCATGTCGTTGCAAGAAACTGTCACATCCGGGAAACGATGCGGGAAAATCGTGCTGACGGTCGAGGAGCCCGACAATGATACGGTTGAGTCGTTAGTACAAATTGCTTTCTCAAGCAAATCGCGGTTTCATTTCGCCCGCGAGTGACCATGTCGATTCAGTATAGACCAATTGGGAGTTTGAGGCTTGCGGTATTCTCGTTGCGATCATGGCGAATTTTCTCGGCGCTCTGTTTCATTGAAGTGGCTTTATGCGGTTATATCACTGAGCTATGATTTCCTTCCTTCCTCCCCCTCCTCCCCCTCTTCTTCTTCTTCTTTTTGCTTTTGTTTTTCCTTTTTTCTTTTCTTTTTGACGTGAAATGTATGAGATGAGACATGCGATGGAAATAATTTCATCAACACCAACTTGGACAAGAGTCGAGCGGACTTTCAACTTTGCCTGCTTAGGACTTCGTCCCAACTGTATCCTATACCAATTCCTTCTGACGACTGTGTTTCCTTTTTCTTTTCTTTTACTTCGATAGATTATTGAATATGGGCGGGTTGGTGAGACTTTGAGTCTGTATGATGTCGACATCATGCTAAAATCAAACTACGAAAGCAATTTCGAGCTTCACTTCTTCAAGTCATAGCTTCCCTTTTCCATATATACCTATCAACCTAAAGTGTGTACCGTTGTTCTAGCTAAAGCTGCCTCGAGCTTTGTGCTTTTCCACTATAGAAGGACGACCGCTTCTTTGTGGAGCCGCACTTTCTCATATCCCCAAAAAATAGGTATACCTTCCTTAACGACGTTGGGGGACCCTATTTTCTTACTTCGCTAAAATAGCATGTTTCTAGAGACTGGTTAAGCTCGCCGTAAGCTCGCAAACAAGGGGTTAAATCCGCCAAGGCTTCCGCTATACTAGAGACGCAGACGCTAAATGGCACACTTGCCATGTTACCCTGACATATCTCACCTTCAACTGGATAGATCATTGGAAGCACAGTTTACGACTCTAGAAAGAAACCAGCTGTGGGGTACCGAAGAGGTGATGATCAATCCTAATTGAGGCTAATCGACTACGGCACAAGCACCTGAGCGGTCCTCTGGCTCCCTGATGTGCGATCCACCTCACAGTCTAATGCGAGGGACCCTGCGCGGTTCGATACCACACGAAAGGTATACCTCAAAAAATCAAAAGAGTGATGATGTACAAGCTGAGGGTGAAGGAGCCTGGTGGCATGAGACGAACAAATCGACAAGGCGTTCGGAAACGAGCAGGGAGAGAAGAGCTAAGCAATCAGATCCGGCCCCTTTATAATCGATCGGGTGGAGCGGACCCGCGTAGGGCTCTCCTGCACGACGTCAACGGGACGCAGGGTTCGGGACTTACCTTATAGTGCAAAAGAACTGGCCCAAGCGCAGATGGATCATTAGACCTGCGTGATATATGCAACAATGGGGTTATCGGCTCCGTTGAGATGTGCAGACCGTGCTCTTGGCCTTGCTTATGGACCTGCGTATTGACCAACGCCCCCTTTCGATTCAGACAGTCCGAATATAACCGCTGGCCACCTGGCTTCTTCACTGTCCTCTATTTCTAGGGATGTAGCTATTAGAGCTCTCACCCTTGGCCTCGTTATATGTTGTTGCATATATGATGTGACAGTTCATGATGTAACTACCTTCCCACGGTGCCTCTATTGTAGAGGCCACGATCGAGGGTACTAGCTACCGCCTGATTGAGACGAATAAGCATAATATAAGATACAGTATCTAATTAGCACTGCGGATCGGACTTCTGGTGACTGTTCCTGAATATAGCGTTCGAATAATCGCGCTTATATGTCTGGACGTGTGCGCAAAACTCAGAATACACCAGGATATACCATTGTTATGAAAATAAGAATCCTGTAATAGCACATGGAACGGCATTAACAAAGCCTATGATGTGTGGTAAAGGGGTATGGATCCTGTTCGGGTCGATGGTACATGAAGCCAAGCAGATCTCTTGACAGGACTTAATGAACTGGAGCCGAAGCTAGACTAAGTGGGTGGATTTGTCTCAGCAATTGTGAGAGTTAGGCGAGCCAGGTTTATACGTAGGTCCGCCTTTCTGAACGGTAGCTCGACTTGATGGTGGGAAGTCTAGATGTTGTACAATCCCAACGGACCCCAGAGGTGAGCTGATGCCTCTTCTGACGAAGTTGGATTGTCTACTGTTAGCATGAACGTTACGCGACACTCAGATATAATATTCTGTAGACACATTCGAATTATCATCCCTATCCCCCCATAATTTCCACGGTTTAGAGAATCAGCTCTTCACTATATATGCATCATTTTGTTTTTCTTCCCTACCATTGCGAGAGGCTCTGCAGAATCGCTGCCTACCAAAAGGAATAATGAAGCCTCAGCTCACTTCATCTAGTACCATACTCAACGTGGATGCGCTCTTAGAGTGTTTTTTCTCGAACGCAGCAAGCATACCCATCACAATTGCTCCCGCAGTTCACCCGACATGCCGCAGTATTTGGACTCGCAGGTCCAACTTCTTCACTCAGCACATGCCGTTGTATTACCCCCTGATTACTCCCAGCCGCGACTTGCTGTGCAAACTCAATACCGTCGGTCGATTTTCTCGCTTGTCTCGGGAGGAGACGCACATGCTCGGGCTGTAGCGTGGTGCTGTGGATTCCGTAAGCGTGGAAGCACTCATTGATGATCTTGACCTTGTCGGTAAAATCGCTAATCAGCTCGTCGGAGACCACGAGGTGGGCGGACGCAATGGCCTTTTCTTGATTGAGACGCCAGATATGGAGCTCATGGACGGATTCCACACCGGGGATCTGTATTTGGACTTGTTAGTTGTTGTTCATATTGTGTTCCTAGAGATGACTTTTTCGGGGTTACGCACTGCTTCTAGGTCATGTTGGACATCTTCTGGGTCGAGTCCAAGAGGGACGCTCTGTAGGAGGATTGCCCCGCTCTTACGGACTAGAAAGACGGTTAGAAAAGCTCCGGGCTTCTGAGGAAGGATAGGGGGGGGACAAACCTAAAGGAAGTGAAGACAACAGGATCACAAACGCGATACCCATGCTCACGGCTGGATCAGCATAGTATTTCCCCTCGTAATCAGCCTTCCATATCACCAGGGCAGCTATGATGACGCCGATATTGTTGATCGCATCGCCGAGGACATGGATGAGGACGCCCATCATTCCGAGATCGTGCCCCTTTTTATTGGCTTGGGGCTTGACAAGGTGTCGATGCTCGACGTGAGGGCGCACGACCTAGTCAGAAACGAGACGTTAGCAAGAAAGCTCGACTTACAGGGGATCAAAATCAATGGATGCTTTCCTCCTACCCGGGAGAGTGAGCCCCTATGTTCCAAAACAGATTCCTGACTTGACAAATCGGAGCCATCATCGACCGAAGAAGGCCCTTCGCCGTGATCATGCTCTGTTTATAGCGTTAGAATAACTCCCGGAGAGGGAGCCTAGCGCCCAGGATTACCGGACCCCAAGGATGCTTCCAAGCAAATACTAACCGTGTAGAAAAACTCCGCTCACAAGATTGAGGCCCAAACCCACACATCCGACAATCAAGACTAACTTCGGGTTCTCGAGTTCTACACGAGTCAGCCATGAAGGGGTGCTTCAGGTAGGACGCTATACTCTCCAACGATATAAACCGGTCGATCGACTGTAGGAAAATGCTAATGCCCAGGGACAGGAGGAAGACGCCGTTGAAGAAAGCACCCAGCAGCTGGGCTCGTTGCCAACCAAAGGATAGCTCCTTCGGGTGTTTGCTCCGCTGCGACATCTGGACTGTTTCTTAGCTCTCTCATCTGGGGGTTGGCCAGGAACTGTCTGACCTTTAATGCGACGAGAGCTACAATGAATCCGACCAGATCGTTCAGCTAGATATGGTTATGATGTGTTTTTTGACCCCGATTCCAGAAATTGGTACTAACATAATGGAATGCATCGGCCACCAGCGCGAGAGAGCGGGTGTAGAAGCCAACTAGATTTATCCTTGTCAGGGGGCATGCTGGTGGTCTCGTTCCTGGTGTCGCGCGTTACCTGAAATCTCCGCTATGAAGAAAGATGCGGAGATACTGATCACCAACGTCAAGCGACGTTCGCGGGTAAGATGGAAAACCATTGGGATCGGGGATTTGAGTGACAGAGAGAGATAGAGAATTTACGGAAAATGCGAGGAATATTGCACAGTAAAAAAAGATGGAATAAAATTGGTATTTATTGCTAACTCGCAATCGAATCGATTTGAACCTAACCTCGGGTTGACACCGTCTTTCTTTTCGCGAGAAGTTTCCCGTAGGCTACAGGGAAACAGATCTCGCATGACAAAAGCCCTCGTAATTCCGAGCCATTGTGCCTTCCATTTTGTCTCGTTGACCATCTTCGGGGGGTCTTCCGGTCCAACCAGGGGCGGACAAGTGGTGGACAGTAGAATTCGAGCCACCAATCCTCATGGGTCCCGTAGCAACCTCGGACTCAAATAACGCGCTATAACCGCACTGGGTGGGGTCAATCGCCGACGGTCTGGACGGCGAATTGTGTCATTACCTCCGGAGTCGGAGCGAACAAGGGATAAGTCGGATGACAGGATCGTTTAGGGCACGGGCCACAGAAGGGAGGCAAACTTCGCCAAGTGGCTTTCGTGAGCGTGGACCTCCTGGAAAGGGTTGAGTGTTAATGCGGCGAGTGATTTTCAATCTTCAGGAAGGAGAGAAGAGGTTTGTTAGTGAGCTTAAGCATCGTATCATCAGCGCATCATGCTGATATATTCTTTCCTTTTTTTTGGGCAAGGGGGAAAGAATGATGCACTGGTGAATGACCTCAAGGTATCCGAGCGTGTGCTATCAACGAGGGCTTCATGCCGATATAGAAATCTCCTTTCAAAAGTAGGAGAAATACATATATATGGTCTTGGGATTCGATCCAAGAGGTAAGTTAGAAGCAATGTAAGGATCAGGAGAAGGAATTCGAAGATATATAATAATCGGTGGTCGTGAGGACCTTGGGGACGCTTCTTGGCGGACCCACCAGGGTTGCCCTTTTTTCTTCAACGGATATCTGACAGTACTGAGAAAAAGCATGATGGATGGATGTACACATATATCATGTATATCTACTTCATTATACTAACCCTACGTGGCCAGCAGCTCATGTGACACCCAGCACATGTCATCCTCTCAACCCTATAATGTTCTATCCTTTACGGGGAAGCCCTAGTAAAATCATCATCACCACTTTAGCTACTCCTGAAAAAGACAGAAAAATGACTGACGACAAAACCCAAAAATTCCGAATTCCTCGGAGGATCTACCACTGAAGGAAGTCAATACTACTAGTAATATTGATGGTCGCGGCTCCATCGCTTCTGTCGGTTGCAGCCCTTGCTGCGGCCGGCTTTACCTCGGCTGGAATACAGGCAGGCGTGTTTAAGATTCTACGCACCTTTGAATACCGTTGAAGTAACGGGTTCATTGGCATCCTAGGTGGGGATAGGCTCCGCGGCGGCAGCAATCCATGCTACCGTCGGCAAGGTCGCAGCCGGCAGTATAATTGTCGTGGCGCAGAGCGCAGGAGCAGGTGGCGCCGGGCTCGCTGCGGTGAATGGTGCAGTGCAAGCTGGAGGAGCTTTGGTGGCAGGTCTGTCTTACATGATACCGGGAAGAAGACTGTAGCCGACTTTCTCATGAGCATCGATAGTCGGGTTGTGATAGTGGGGCACGGAGGTCAACTGCTCTCTATGTATGCCAAGAACATCTTGATCAGATCTGTTCACTATAATCGGGACATTATAGGAGATTGCGTGGGCTGTGGCTTCCACACATGAGTTTACTTCTTCCAGGCCCAGACTGGATCCACAGCTAGAGTTTGCCCGTCTTCATTGATCATGATGTAAGAAAAAGGAAGTCTATCAATATCCAGGGCTATCTTGCCTTGGTATGAAGGGAATGTAGCCACGTCACACTATACTGTAGCCCTAAGAAGACAGTAGATCGGGATGAAAAGACGGGATTCCGATTATGGCATGAACCTCGGGGATCCGACGGAGAAAGACCGAAATCAAGACAAGGTCGATCCCCAGCGGATTGTTAAGCCCAATTTAGAGCCCGTGTTAGAACAACGGGTCGGATCGCAGCCTTTCCATCCGTTCTCCCGCTTAAAGCCAAAGATATCTGTTCAGAGAGTATAGCCAAAGTCATATATAAAATGTCACTTTTATCCTACCTCTATCTCAAATTCATTGCGGTTGTATTCAGAACACTGTCCAGATTGAAGGGAGACATAAGCCTTATTTCCCACCCCGATGCTGTCCGCCTCATTCCATCAAGGGATAGTCAGCGCACCATCAAGGCTCACTTCTACCGATCGGCCCTGCGTACCACCCAACCCACTCCGCTGCTGATCAATTTTCACGGCAGCGGGTTCATGATTCCAGCCCTCGGCAGTGACGACGCTTTCTGTCGCCAGATCAGCCAAGAGACGGAGTACTCTGTTCTCGACATCGCGTATCGACTTGCGCCCGAGGACCCTTTCCCGGCGGCTGTCCACGACGTGGAAGACGCTGTCAAATGGGCGCTTCGCCAGTCCGACGAGTTTGACGCTTCCTGCATCGCAATCTCGGGATTCAGTGCGGGGGCTAATCTGGCTCTGGTCGCATCCTCCACTCTCTTTCCTCCAGAGACATTCCAATCCGTTATCGCGTTTTACCCCTGTCTGGAGTTCTTCCAGGATCCGCGTGCTGTCGTTGCCCCGGAAGCTGGTGGGCGACCAATCCCCCCGTTCGTCTTGTCCACCTTCAAGCAGTGCTATCTCCAAGGAGGCGTGGATCCCAGGGATCCCCGCGTCTGTCCCTCTTACGCGGACTTGGATCGATTCCCGCGGAGCGTGCTCGTGATAACGGCTGGATATGATAGTCTAGCACTCGAAGGGGAGAAGCTCGCCGTCCGGCTTTCAGAGCGCCCCGGTCGCCAGGTTGTGTGCGAGCGCATGGAGAAGTGCAATCATGCCTGGGATAAATTGGCCCAGAAGGGAACGCGCGAGTGGGGCCTCAAGGAGAGGGCGTATAAACTGGCAATCGACATCCTGCAACGGTGATCCCAGTAGGTGTCAATTTTTTGTGTCAGAAGTATATCTTGGGGAATGAATATTGTGTAACTAGTGATTCCCATCATCCAAGTACCGTTAGGGTTGTCTTATTTGCGGCGAAAAGATATATATATCCGGCACCGGTAAGCGAGACTGATGCGAACCTAATTCTGTGGGAAATAAAACAATGAATTCAGTGGCCAACTAGAACTGTCTGAGGGGGTGGGTGAGGCCATACTAAGGTCCTCTGGGTCCTACTAATGCCCTTTTCACCGAGCAACATAGTAAAACTGTGAAAAAGCTTGAAAATTACTGAGATATTCAACAAATTCAAATTTGTATTTCAGATCGACCAAATACACGTTGCGTACTTGTAACATCGAAAAGTTCAGGTTCAATAATTTGGACAGGGTCTACCATACAGGACTCTCACAGCAATGGGGTGCTACCACCACACCACCTAATATTATATGAAAATGGAGATAGTATAATACGCAGAGGGATATTGAAAAAAGAAAAAAAAAATTAAATAAAGTTGGTAAAAACAGCTCCCAGGCAGATTAACCAGACCTCATAACCACTAGACATGTTCTCTACGAAATGAGCGAGTCGTAGGAGCTGTCATTGAACATTTATTATCATGCTAGGATCAAGACACCCCAAACAGGCGATTAATCCCCACACTAGCACAGCCATTGTGCTGTCGCAATTCCTGCAACTAGACCGATCGCCGTCTTCACCATGTCGTGACCCGTCAAGGACAACCTCACCGATGCATTGGGCGTGGGAGAGCTTGTTTCCCTCGCGCTCGTGGTTGTTCCCGCCGATTGTGAGGTGCCCGTAGTCGACTTCGTTGGGGTAGCCGTCGCTGCGCTGGTTTCGCTCTTGGTGGCAGAAGACGATTGACGGGAGGTGGCGGTGGTCGTGGAATTCGACCCGGTCGAGAGACTCACAACTTGGAAGCCACGGATGTCGACCGAAGATTCCTTGGAAAAATACTCGGTCGCCATCCCCGCGGGCTCGCCCTTACAGTCAGGGTTGTGGTATAGCATCATGTTGATGTTCTTCTCCCCCTTGGAGTCAATCGCAAACAGCCCGCCCTTTTCGTGGTTCACCCGAATGCATTCGGAGGGCCCGTGGCCGGATTCTATATGGGTCGTGTTGCTGGCATCCGTCCAGGTAAATTGCCACGCGCCAGTGGAGGGAAGCAGGGCCAGTGCATAGGCCGATAGGGGCATGAACGTTGACCACTTCATCTTGTCGGGCTGAGAGTTGCCGGTGGGAGACCGAAAGGTACGGGAAATAGGTATATGCCGGTAAGTAGGAGAAAGCAATCTCTTCCACCGGGCTGACAGCGTCCGTTCCTAGACTCTTTAAGTATTCGATTCCGTGTGCGAAATGACTTCCCCAGGCACGGATCCTCAGCTGCAGATCCTCGTATTCAATTTGGCGAACAACCAGTCACGACCGACGCTGATCACCCGTATTTCTTGGCGCAGGCCCCTAGCTGTCGACCGATACGAGTCCCCCAGGAACGATGTGACCGGAGATTTACTATCAGGGGAGTCGAGGCTGACCCTAATGGGACCCTAATGGGTTACATTGCAGTTGTTGTTATGCATCCTGTTGGGGTCCATGACACATTCATCCTAGTACTTCGTATATCTTGTTGATATTGGTGGGGAGAATATATCGAGACGATTCGTAGGGCTGTGTATGACCCTCCACCGTGATCCTGGAGGCTGTCGGAGATATATATCGAATCCAGTCGAACGAGCCGTGACTAGTATCGTCTGGTCAGCCTAGGCAGATCACCACAGGACTGTCCTTGTATGGATGTACGTACTGTTTCTTGTGGGTTCTTCGCTAATTTTTAAACCTGCAATCATCTCCGCGGAGATGTTGGTGGATACTACCTTATATTTTGACAGCGATCCTCAGGAGAATCCGTTACGGAAGAGCTTTTTTTTCCCCCTGGAGAGCTAATTTCCCAGACAGGACTAGATCCTCTAGGCTAGTACAGAGGAGGTTTTAGATGATCACGTGACTGACTATGGTATATCCATCGGTCAATGAAAAGCAATTTCGATGACAAAGCTGTTAGATGAACTGTTGTCTAATGTGCAGTAATTCATGACCCTGAAGGCATTGTTGGATAGGTCAGATTTGGCGAGGTTCGATATACTCGGCCACCACTCTATCTGTGTCGCTTTCCGCCCCATGGCCTTCCAAGCCGCTGATATCGGACTATTTAGCGATAACCGTCTGCGCAACGAGGCCCGAGAAGGGAAATGCGAGGGAATAAGTTCTTGAAGTTGGTCTCAGATATTTTATGGCTCGAAGCGACTTTACTTGCTGTCATTATTAGTAGCGTACGGACTCCCGCGTCCGAGCAGCTTTCCATATATTGCGACCATGATGGCTACTGCTAAGCAAATTCCCAGTCAATCTGGAGACATACTATATTCTGAGATCATGCTGAATGACAAGGAATAGAAGCGCCATTCCTACACCAAGGGTTGCACTCCCAAGCTCGCCCGCGAGAATCTTCAGCCTTAGCAGAACGTCTTTCGACCGACCGCCCAGAGCCGAAAGCAGTATTGAATATCAGAGGAAAGGAAGTTCCACGATAGTACGCCCTCATTCGCCGATAAGCCTCCGACAGGAGGGCTAGTACAAAGTGGACTGCATGCAACAGCGCAGCAGGAATAGCCATACCGAGTATGACCATTTGCTGAACGGCTGGCATCAAGATACCTAGTTCCTGGCTAGTCGTCGGGATATCCTTTCCACCTATATACCAATTTAAGGAGCCCGGCCTTTATCGACCCCAGCATGTTAATTCAGAGGAAGAATGGTACGCTCCGAATCCCACTTTAAAGATAACTCTCACTAACATTTATATAGCCGGGCTCATAACCCGGAAGCCGCTGGATTGAGACCAGCACGTGTTACGTTTCTTTTTGCACTTTTTGGTGGTGTAGAGCCCCCAGTGGCCGATGAAAGGGGCTCATCAAGACAAAGGCAAAGATTCCCAGAATACTCTCTCGCTTTTGGGAGAAGAGATAGCTCTTGGGATTCTCCGAATCGTCATTTCTGTCCTAGGTGACAGTCTTGCTGTCCTTGCATTGAACATCGTAGATAACGGTCGTCCGATATTGACTGAGCTGTGTGGTAGCCGGCACTGGACTCTATTTGTTAGCAAAGACATCGGTCTAGGTGATATGGTGAAGATAGATTGCTCGCCTTGGGTGAAATAAGAAGTAGTTATCCTGCTTGAAAACCGCCCTGGACATTGGCAGTGTGGGGGATACAGCGAATATTTCTTTCTGAAACGGGCCACTAAGGGAATCAGAATGCCTCTAAGTCATTAGGATTGAAGTGACTCGTTACTCAACCTGAGTCGTATCTAGCTCCTTCAACGATTTGATGACTGCGTAATAATAATCTTTGCATTGTCTCGCTGCTTCATCAAAGACGAAGCTTAGACGAGTTCATATCATTGTCGAACAAATTATCGAGAGGGTGGCAGGCTTTGAGAGAGGAAGTGCAAAAATTTCTGGAGGTTAGGCTGGTTAAAATTGAATAAACCGGATTGAGGGATCTCGACTTCGACCTGTATGACGGGTGGATTTAACTGAACAACTCTAAAAGATGAGTCTCTGCTATTGTATGGGCTTACCTGGGAGTAAGATCAGTGACTAATTGAGGTAATGAAGCACCAAGGTTCAGTTGGCAACGTAGAAGACAGCATCTATATTCCATATACCCCGCGAGATATATAGATTGGACCTGAAGGACACTACAGAGAATGCTGATATACTAAGCAAGCTCCACTGTAGCGAACAAAATCCTTTTAACACATTTGGATCGGACAGGGTTGTATATGATATGGAAATGTTCTTGTAGAGATTATGAAGGGTATTAAAAACAATATGTCTCTCGAGAAAAGAATCAAGAAGTAAAAAGTTGAGAAAGGCATAATATCTAGAGAAAAAGAGTAACAAGTATGCACGCTTAAGAGCCGATCCGGTTGGAAAAGAATTGATCTGCGAAGAGCATATCGTTGCTCGCGAACGTACCAACGCGACGCAGATCCTCAGCGCTCCATGTCTCTTCCATGTCCCGATACGTGAATTTCGGCCCACATGCGCTTATTTCCCCTAGATATTGTCTATGATCATCGATCTGAAAGTCGAATTTTGATTCTCGTGTCCCGTTGCAGGACAGGTTCTCCATTCCATTGCACACTTGAATGATATCAGTGCCCTCTGTAGATGAGTCGGAAATCCAGTATTCAGGCCAGCTGTGTCGGTAGCCGAGGTCATAAACCCCAAACAGGCTCATCGGAGGCAGCGATGTCACCGGATCATATCCGTGAGTGATGCGGAAAGTCAGCCCAGGTTGGTTTGAGATGAATTCAGCAAACCGTTCGTCCCCGATGCGCGGCGAACCATATGAATAGATGTCGCAGGGTATCTGGATCGTACGAAAGTGGGCACCAGCGATAGTCGCAATAGCTGCACCAAGAGAATGACCGGTAATGACCACATTATAGTCCTTGTAAGTCTCTTTGGCTTTGGAGACTGCGTCCACAACGTCTGCTTTCACGAGCTCCCACGACTTATAAAATCCAGAATGGATCCCACAAGCGCAGATGTCGTTGCCGCGTTTAGGTTTGTCTGATCCAAACAACTTGTTCCAGAATCCCCCTGGACCGGGGTCTTTGATCTTCCAGAATTGGAAGTTCTTGAGCCAGTTCCGCACGGAGTTGCTGCCGCGAAAAGCCACAACAATAACGCGATGAGTGTCGTCAACTGCGACGAACCCGCGGATATCCTCCTGGTTGAATTCCGCAAGTGTTTGGGCATTGGCTGCCTCGACCACGGGGCATACCCCTTCGATACAATATATGCTGCCAATGATACCGTCGTCGTTGTTGTTATCGCAATAGGAAGCAGCAGAGTACTGTGCAAAGAGCCGGAAGTTGGCAAGGGTATCGTTTGAAATAGCTGTATGATTGCCGCGCTGTTAGTTGTCTTCCTTGCTCGTTTTGGATAGAGGGAAACTCGTCGTATACATACACCTGGCGAACAGAGAGTGTCCTTGGACCAATCCCACCGAGCCCAGCAGTTCAAAGGCTAGAAAGACCAGGATTATATTCAGCATACTGAACATCATTGCCGTCTCCACCCCACGAGGAAAGGCAGCCTGTCGTGTATCTGCGTATAAGCCCTGGAGTCGATAACGTCAAGACGGAAGTCATGAATGACGGCCTCATGGAATACGGCTCTATTTGAGGTTTCATTTGGCGGAGCTATGGTGTCAGGGGTCTGTTGATCCTGCAATTAAACCATTCTACGGAAACAATATTCCTCCTGGAGTAAACAATGGGGCATACACAATCCTTGTCTTGACCTAGACGCCTCCTCGTCTTGAAGGATTGGGTGGATCGGATCTCTACAAATGTATGTACTGTAGGCTCTGTAGGAGCAAACCCATTATGTTGGCGAAAACAACAAAAATAAAATAAAACCAGATCATATCGTTGTTCCCATATACAGGACTGTACATTGTCGTCTGTCCCTGCATTCCGAGACTAGGGCATATCTTTACTCCCCTTCATGAGTTTGTCCTGCAATTCTGGAGGACATTTTTGTCTTTGATGCCATTCCCCTGCATCGTTTCGTTGTCCTATTTCTCCCTAGTCAGTTGAAGTGCGCGGAGAAAAGGGCCCACTCTGGCTGCGGGAAATGCACACTAAGGCATACTATAATAGAATCTAACTTCTTCAAAAAACCACTGGGCTAGGACTATTCGTGTTTGATCGTGCAGTGTTGCTGGTGGTATGTCTTTGCTCTGGTTGTGAGGGTCTCCAGCTCATAGCAAAGAGGTAAAGATTCATGCTTTGCTGCCGCGTACACGGCGTAGTTCCCAAGTGCAATTACTCCCTCTTTGTGCTGAATGTCTGAAGGGCCAAGGCTTGGGCACCGATTATCTTCGGTTGTTTTGGGCCAAGCCCACAGTGGGCCTTGGCTTCTTTCCCCAATCACTAAGCTGCAGAGAGGGCTGTATTAGACATAGACTATTGTTCTCTTTAGAATAAAACGGCCATGGATTCACAGCTATTCGTTTTGCCTGCCGATATCATACAGGTGGCTTAGATCTAGATGGCAACATGGGCGAAAAAAAAAAGGTTCTGTACACCTGTAGTTCTAACGCACGCCAAGAGTAGAGCTACTGAAAGTACCATAGTCTATAGATAGGAGATTTATTTCCGATAAGCGCAACTCTGTTATGCTAATCCTGTTGACAAGTGGGGATTTCTCAACGACTCTGCCTTGTGTAAAAGTAGAACCCTAGTACGCATATGAAGTGAGTTAAGGGATTGAGTACCTTAGTTTGATCTTGCCGGACTGAGCGATTTAATTAAAGAACGCTAGGTAACTAGTCTAAAGTGTGATCTAATTCTATCTTGCTATTTCCTGAGCTATCCATCGACATTAGGCTACGTTGGATCGCTCAATAATATGTTCGCCTTATAGCGGCGTGTCTCCATTTGCACACCCGGTTGATTAGTAAAATAGCTCCGAACACCGGAGTATCAGGAGGCACCGAAATGGGACCAACATGACCGAAAAGGGAACAAGTAAGGGGAGAACGAACCCAGCTCTGGGGGATGGGGTTAGCGATCGACGGGATAGTCCGCCAGCGAAGATCTCGACTGAGAAGGCGACAAGAAATCAGACTTTCCCACGGTCTGGTGGGCCCCGTTCCTTAACCATCGCCGTTCCGATATCCACCACTCTAGGCCAGAAAGGGGTTCTGGATGACACATCGAATGCAACCATATGATGCTGTCAGTTAGCTGTCAGGGTTTTGATTAGGTCGAGCTGTGGAGCAGAGGGGTTGCCGTTAACTATCTCTGGTACGTGGTTCAGTAGGTTCACATGGAAAGACCACAAAAATTGGTCTTCGCATCAACGGTGCACGGTGGATCGGGGTTGAATAACACCTCCGGTTGGATGAAGTTAAAAACTGCGAACGTGAATCGCACTTTAACATTGTTGATGTTGTCCAGGATTGAGGTATAGGGCAATAGGTTAATTCCTAATTGTAGCGGAAAGGGGCGAGGGAGGAGGAGGAGGAGGAGGAGGGAAAAATATAATAATGAAATATTGCGCCAGAAACATCGGTAATTCCGACCTGTAAGGGATAATTCTTCCATTGTGTCTTGATACGCCTTTTGCATCTTTTTAGGGTTATCGGAATCCACAGACTCTCCTTGAGCCCCGTTTGAGGCGTTCGCACAACATCCCTTCTTGAGCTAGTACCGACCACTAACCAGATGAGCAATAGGGGCATATAATCTGCCCATCTGCACTAGACTAACGGTCCAAGGACTAGTAGCCGAGGCAGGTTGCATTCTAGTGGGGCCCTAGTGGGATTGAGTTCGACTCGGACATTTTAGTATCTGATAGTCCATTCCTTTGGGCTTGGCGCATGATGGACAAGATCCGAGCAACAAAGTGCCAGAATGGAAGGGCAGTGGAGCCGGGAGTCTGGACGTCCAGGGATAGTCTATGAGAGGCGAATGAATATGGGACAGCGCCAATCCACGGTACGCGCAACGGGGATCATGGATCTTGGCAAACTATTCGTAACGTGTTGAATCTGTATAGCGCCAGAGCAAATTGTTCAGATTTACGATATCTACTCAGGGGTAGAGCGTTTTCCAGGTCATACACCAACCCTTAGCTGGTATACATCTTCTCTCAGCACAGACCCATTGACTAGAAAATATTCAGCGGTGCTCCGGAGCAGTTCGGTAAATCAACCTCGTTAGGCAATCTCGTCGCATATGATAAACTAGCCTCATCGACGATCACTGATGATCATCCATGATGAATAATTGCTAAATATACACCACAGACACTGCAGAGCGGTTACTGCGCCACGTGAAAACGAATGAATGATGTCCCTGAGCAATATCGGATATACGGCAGAGACAAAAGCAAAGGCATACCCAACTGAGAGCCGCGCTACTTCAGGAATCGAACTCTACGAACTCTAATGAGTTGACCTGAAACGGCGATCTCTGCTATTTATCGCTGTTGACCATATGGAAAATATTTTTCCAGGGGAATAGCGAGCATAGACCATCACAATAAGTCCCACCGGGCTCTGTACTATGTCAGTGCAGCAGTGCTGTACAGACCCTGTCTCACTTTGAGACAACCTCAGGCCTTGTTTTTATGACGCGAATCGGAAGAATAAGGGACCAGGCCAGACTGTCTGATTGATTACGCGAAGCACATGCATGGCTCTGTGAATCCATCAGCTCTCAAGGCAGTATAGCTTCGTAGTTCTTACGCTATGGCTTTTCCAATCATCACCTGACATATGCCTTGTAGGGTCCATGGGACAGGGTTGGCCTATCGCATGGTGAAACTGACCCTGTTCCGCCTTAGACTTCTTCACATTGGCATCTCGGAGCTATTGTGTGTATACTTCCCTCATGCTTCCTTAGGATACGAATGCAACCCCGGAAAACATGAAACAAATTCAATATAAAGACGGATGAAAGATACGAAATCCAATTTTCTAGTCAAAATGGCACTGATATAAAATACTCACAGTCGCTGACTTTCGTCCCACCAGAAACCAACCCTTTATCATTCATTCTTTCTGATCTTCATTCGTTTTACAGAGCTGTGCTCTAGTCTTTCTTTCTCTTGTCTTTCTTTTCTTTATCATCTTTTGTACACCTTGAAAAGAAGCTTCATTCAACTATGAAGGGCTTTATCATCTTGAGCCTGGTCCCTGCCCTCTTGGCAGCACCGACCCAGACGCTGGAGCGCCGTCAGATAAACGGCGTGGTTCCATCTGCTGCACCCATGCTGAGCGCTGGCGCACCGGCGATGGCAGCTCCTGCCCCCAGTGGCCCGGCTCCTGCTAGTGGAGGAGGCGCCGCCGGAGAACAGTCTGGGGGAAGTAGCGGCGGCGGTGGTGGTGGTAACAATGGGCTGGGTGATCTTGCGAAGTTGATCGGACAAGGTGTTCAAGGGATCACCAAGCTCATCAGCAGCATTGCAGGAGGTGCCTCTGGCGGTGGCGGCGAGAGCGGCGGCGGCGGCGGCGGCGGAGGGGGTGATGGGCTAGGGGACCTGACCAAGCTCATCGGAGAAGGAGCAAAGGGCCTAAGTAGTCTCGCTGGAGCCGCTGGAGGTGCCGGTGAGGGACTTGGGGATCTCACAAGTCTTATTAGCAATGCTGCTGGTGGCCTTGGAAGCATTGGTAGCCTCTTGGGGGGTCTCGGCGGGCTGGCTCGCAGAGACATAACTCCTGAACTTGTGCAACGAGCGATCGAAGATATCAAAGCAGCTGAACAAGATGACGACGACGATGGCTGTATCATAGACAAACTATATGGCAATCTCTGAGGTGAGTTCGATAACCACTCTTTTGTTCGGGTAAACCACTAATACAAACCAGAGCGCAGAGGTCATGCCAAGTACGGTCTCGTAGGCCCGAGCCTACCACGCCGATACGTTCTCAGGGGGGAAGAAATGGCTTACAAATGCTTGCAAAGCATGACTTAGATGCGTTCTTCTGCAGTCAAGGGGCTCGATGGGATACGCAAGCTTGTTCGGTTAGGTCGGATTTATTTTTTACGCATTCATGTGGAGGCTGTTGGAGTTATCACCATTGGCCATTTGTTTTTAATGAACAATATTTACTATCTATTGAGGTATTTCTAAATATAAATCATTCTTAAAAGTAGAGGAGCTATTGCTAACGAATACGTAGTATCCGGGTGCGGAGTAAACGTCAAGTTCTGCGCCATCGCTTCTTGAAACGGCCGAGAAAATGAAAAAGAGAAAAGGGAAATAGGTTTCAGACTTGGAAGCTCGGCAATTTTCAAATCGTCATGACCCCGCATCGTTCCTGAGCGCTGAGTATATGAGATCGACATCCATAACTACCTATTCATGTCCGAGCGTGAGACATGAGGACCCTTGTGGCACACTCACCGTCTTGAATAGGTCTAGGAAGTGTGGCCTGACGTTGGGCGAGATCGCGGGAGACCGTTATAGAGATCTGAGCGCCTTCAACTGATCTGCTGTACAGTTTCCCTTCCTGATATACTATTCCCCGTCAGCTTCGATCCTAGATCGAATATCGGCCAATTAGGTGCATACGATGGTCTACTGCAGGAACACTATCCCTGCAAGTAGACACTAACCTGTCCTCATTATATTGCTCAAGAGATAGGTCTAGACGCATTGGTTCCGATGGCTCTAAAGTTGGCATCATCCTCATCGTGCTGGATCCGGCCATACCCCAAGGTCGTCCGTGTGATCTAGTTTTAATTCTCCACGCTGATCGCTCGGCTATGGCTGGTCTGATCGATCTATGGAAGTAGAGAGATAGGGGCGAGTATTAACTTTACACAAAGTAGAGACCGTCGCTAATGCAGAAATCTTTTACTCCCCGAGAGACAGAAGCGAGGAAAATGACAACGCCTTGTCTGAATTAGACTTTTGTCAGTTGTTCAGCAGAAAGTGAGTTCGTAGAAGGGGAGATTTGCAATGCTTTTGACCGGCTATCATTCCCTCAATCGCGCTTTATTGGCAATTTGACTTTACAGAAACAATTACAAAAAGCAAAAAGAGAAAACCTGTCCAATGAGAATTCCCAAGGTCTCAACGGTGACAGGCCAATCGGCAAAAGACAAGAAACTTCATTTTCAGGGCGTAGTGTCGGACACAAACCATGGTCTCAAGGTGATCATATCTCCAACCGTTTGATGATCAAGAAGATTGGTGCAAAAGTAACTTTCGAAGGGCGGTTGGAAGATCGAAGAACGATGATAGTCGAACTATCCAGGCTTCGGCTGTAGACACGAACTCAGAGGACTAAGTTTATGTGGAAGGTAAGGTAGGGTCGATATCAGAAGAAGGACTCAATTTTGAGGCTCTTGGCGGCTCCGACACGGCTCCGAGGACGAATTTATGAACTCCACGTGGTGATGCAGAATGCAGACATTTGTATGGTCCAAACGGAATTTATTGCCGGTCTTTCCATCTGGGGAGGGGGGGGGGGGGGGGAGGGGAAAAGGGGAATTGGGAACAATTGGCAACCGTTGGTGGAGCCGAGGGGGGTTCGCCTTTACTGATTTGTTGAGCCCGCAATGTTGAGTTATGCACGGTAGCTGTCCACTCTTAATCCAAATGCCTCACCAGTGGGTTTTATGCATGGGATCCACCCACCTTGAAATGTGGTCCACCTCGCAGTGGGATTGGTAGAAAGCTTCTCTGAACTACCTTATAATTGGCTCCTTTGACAGGTCATTTGAACCCTTTTTGTGTAGAAGGTGGAATATACGGAGCCTAGCTGTCTAGACCAGTGTCCAAGTCCAAGGATCCTCGGGTTACCAGTGGATCCTGAGCTCCATAAAATTGAAGTTTAATATACTAATGTCGGCAATGATAGTCCCCTGCTGTGTGGAAGAACCCAAGCAGGACGAACGGGACCTTTTCTTTTTTTCTTTTTTTCTTTTTTTCTTTTTTCTTTCTTTTTTTTACTGGCGAAATGATTACGGGATGGTAGCGATAGAAATAAGGCACAAGACATCCTATTTGTACGAGGAGCTTCCCGGCGGGATATTGGTGGCCACTTTATACAATCAATTGGGCTTGAAGCACACAATACCACACGGGCAGTTGTACATGAGATAATTATACTCCATTTAGCTCTTCATGATGTCCAAGACAGTGGCCAGCAAGCGTCGGCTAGATGGACGGGCTAGATTTGATCTAAACATTGACAGCCCCCAATTGCAACACGTCACACGCCATATCGATGAGACGGCGAACGTCCGAATCGAAAACTGCATCGGCTTCGTGCAAGTTCCGGTGGGCATAGCCGGTCCCTTGCGCATTACCGGCCCTGAAACGACGGGCGAGTATTATGCGCCATTAGCAACGTGTGAGCCAACTCTGGTGGCTAGCTGCAGCCGGGGCTGTAAGGTCTTCAACGCGTGCGGTGGCCTGCAGTTTGAGGTTCTCAATGAAGCTATGTCTCGCGCGCCGACGCTCTTTTTTGACAGCCCGGGGCAGGCGATCGCGTTCGCGCGCGCGGTCCCATCTTTCCATAGCGACTTTGCCCGATGGGCCGAGTCAACTAGTCGATACCTCCGTCTACAGGAGCTGAAGCCGTCGATCATTGGCTCCAGTGTGCATCTTTTCTGCAGCTATTTTTGCGGCAGTGCTGCGGGTCAGAATATGGTCAGCAAGGCTACGCAGCATGCGTGTGAAATGCTCCGGAAGTCTAAATGGGCGAAGGAACACCAGATCAAGGACTTCATTATTGAGGGTCAGCTAGCATCGGACAAGAAGCCTTCTTGGGGTAATGTCCAGCGAGCTAGGGGGGTCGAAGTGCTTGCGTGGGGCACCATTACCGATGCAGCTTGCCAAGAGACCCTTGGCTGTAGCACCGAGCGTCTATATCGGACGCAAATGGCCCTGAAAGAGGGGGGCATCCGGAATGGTCAGTTCGGCTGCAATATCAATACGGCCAACATCATCGCCGCGATATTTGTATCAACAGGACAAGACGCTGGGAGCGTCGCGGAGGCTTCCTGGAGCCACCTCACCTCCGAATACGACTACGGGACTAAGGAGCTCAAGATGACTCTGTATTTCCCTTCCTTAACGGTGGGTACGGTGGGTGGGGGGACCCTGTATCCATCACAACGTGAATGCCTGGCCATGTTGGGATGCGCCGAGCCAGCGGGGAAAAGAAGACTGGCTGGAATGATTGCTGCCTTTGCAGTCGCTTTGGATGCCAGCACCAGTGCAGCGATTGCTAATGATACCTTCACCATGAGCCATATGAAGCTAGCCCGTGGCGAATCATACGGGTCTCGAGCGACAAAGCTGTAGGATATTCTGGTTGTCGTCTTTTCAAAGTGGATCATTCTATGGAGTTAGCTATTTGTGTATTGAGGTGGTTGTATTTTTACCTGATACTTCTAATTTATTTATTTATTTATCTACTTTCCTACTCTAACTATCCATTAGTTCTACTTATTTATTTTAGAACCAATTGATAGGTGGACGTGGGAGTAAATGGGCCTATTGTATGGAGGAATTAGGGCTAGTGGCTGCAAGTGGCGCAAGGGGGGGTAAACTACCGTAATAAGAAAAAAGGGAAAAAGAAAAAAGAAACAAAATCTAGGTTTCTAACTGGATAAACCCCCACGTATGGCATTTTTGCTTTAAACAGTCGACTGCGAAGGTAAAGTTGACTGGAAATAGCATTGAATGGATCGGTGGGTCTGACTTGCAGGGCCTTTTCCTTATAGTGGAAGGTGCTCATAGTCATGCTATGATAGGAGGTTAAAGACGACGATCTCTTTTGCCACAATGGAGCTGACATCATACTATGAAGCGAAGCCTTTGGATGATCTGATCGGTCGGTGGGCAAAGAAATGGAGAACAGCCCTGTGTCTGGATGTTCTGGACCCTCCCCTCGGGAAAGTCAGTCAAGCACCCGAGATCCACCGCGTTGGTCACCTTGAGGCCGATATTCTTTTTTTGGGTCCTAAACTCTATAGATTCCCTAGCGTGTGAACAGATACGAAGAAGCTGCAAAAACAAGGCAGGCACTGTTCAAGGAGATTCTGTTGACACATCTTAGGATTTAATCATTTTATTTTATTCTATTTTATTTTCTTGAGTGATATCCATTCGTAAGGTAGATTCCTTTCCCCTTGTTCTCCCCGTCTTTCTCTCCTTAGCGCCAAGGAGGAGCTTTGTCTAGGGTTAGTTCTAATTTCTGTGTCCTGAGCGTGCGTAAAGCATATCCAGATCATAAAAACATGGCTTAATAGTACCTTGGATATGACACTAAACCATTTTTTCCCCTCTCCTGTCTTCACTCTTTCTCTGACTCGAAACCTACAAACTTCTAACTTAAAGTACCGACTAGCTGAAGAACGGTGAGCTTGTTGGCGCTGAGTTTCGTTGTACCCCTGCAGATAATGCAACAAACCATTGGTTTACGGTTCAACGGCCTCGCATGGCCTCCCAAAGCGAAGAAATTAGGATTTTTCAAATAATGGCTCATCTCTGTAGATCAAACAGACGTCGGGCATAAACACGATCCTAGAGTGGTCTTCCCTTCCCACGTGTACCGTGTGGAAAGGTAAATCACGATGCTACCTCGGTTTTTATTCCTAAAATCGGGTTGGTCTTGAATTGTGGATAATCGGATTCTCACTCTTCACGTTAGTTCGCTAGGAACCTAGTTTCCCGGGGTTTGCCTCTTATCTGAGGTCCTTGAAGGATAGTCATATCCCTGCAGTGCAAAATTTAGTAAAACTAAACATCTAAAGGGCCCATGGCCATCCTGCAGACCTGAGACAATCGGGGAGGGGACTCTTAAAAGCCATAGCTATCGGGATAAATCTTTTCTAGCGCGTGGTGACTGACTGTATGCCTCGTAGTGTGCATCTTTCCATACTGCATCTTACTGCATTCCACCCCCAACCTTCGAGGGAAAGATGAGCGCCTCAGTGACCGACTTTAAGCTGGTCGGGCTGGCCGCCGGCTTTACACTAGGATTTGGCTTTCTTACCGTCTGGAATGCAATCAAACAGACTGCGGCCATTGAGAAGCCGTACAAGAGCCCTTATGTGATTCTTATCTGGATTGAAATCTTGTCAAATGTGACAATTGGAGTAATGGGGTGGCTGGTGTTGGAAGGAGTGATCCCTGCAATGTATGGCCCTGGAAGACCAGTTGACCCCATGTTGTCGTACTGACATTGTCCCCTCAGCGCACCTGTGCTGTCGGTGCTACTACTCTGCTGGGCTATTGAGATTCAATGCCTCATGCAGATCATTATCAATCGAATCTATGTCGTGGTGGATAAGAAAGTGAAAGCCAGGAGAGTGAAATGGGTAACTGCCTGCCTCATCACCGCAATCAACATTGCCGTGTTCTGTATATGGATCCCGGCACACATGGACCCCCCTGTCAATCATACGTGAGTCCTTTCTCTTACCCGCCCAAGGATACCGCTGACTCCTCCGTACAGGTACGTTCTTATCAATCGATACTGGGACCCAATGTCCAAGGTACTGATATGCGTCGTGGACGCATGTCTGAATGTGTGGTTCTTACGAGTTGTCCGTGTGCGACTGATCCGGGAAACTGGGCTGAAGAAGTATGGCCCGCTGGTCCGCTTCAACGTCCGGATGATGATTGTCTCCGTCCTTATGGATGTAAGTTGATTTACTCCTCTATTCTGCGATCTTATCACTGATCACAACTCCTAGGGCCTCCTTATTGGACTTATGTTCCTCCCCAACCCAATGGTCTACATCCAATTTCACCCTGTAACATATCTAGTGAAGCTCAACATCGAGATGACAATGGCTTCACTTATCCGCAAGCTCGCAAAGGAGAGTAACATCAACGAAATCCACGAGGCAGTAAAGCATCTGCCGAGTCGATTCCAAGCACCAAACCTCTACACCAAGTGCGATGACGAGGAGAGAGACCAGAAAGGTTTGAAGCACGTCCAATTTTCCGAGCTCCAGCAGCAGGGATTTGAGACGGAGGATATGAAGATCTTGAAAACAACCAGTGTCCGTGTTGTAACAAGCCCAAGACCGTTCGTGCATGACAGGCCATCGCATAGAAGATGAGCGCAAAGACGGGCTAGTGAATCTACAATTGTTGTATATAAATATGGTATATGCTGTGCATACTATTAATGTATCATTGATTTCATAATGGAATTACTACTAGATAGAGAAGTTTAATCAACCCGACGGATTACAAAAATCCTTGTAAGAAAGTGTTTGATCTATTCATTCTACACTCCGTCTAGACATCGGCGCACTCTACTCTCCTTCAGAATATCTAACCCCTCAGCACTCCCCCCTATCGTACCTAGAGCTCCATCCTTCCCCCCCCTTTACCTTTAAGCGAAGGCCTTATCGGGAGATGTGCAGTAGTAGTTTGTTTAAAAGTGAAACTAGTTCGTTGATGTTTGTCTGGACTCTTGCCTATTCTAGGGTGGAATTTTCCAGCAAAAAGCAAGCCACCGACGTCCGCCACGCTCAAGAAAAAGTAAGGTATTCCGATCACGGAGGGCACCAATCATCAAGAAGAGCTAACGTATCTTAGGGTGTTGGGATTGGGAATCTAGACATGATCTGGTTCTGGTGACTAAAAGCGGCGAGGATTGCGGACGGAGTCCGCGCATATGCGAGATATGCGGAAAACGCACCCTGGGGAGCCTTGACAGGAGTACTGTTTAGCGTTTCGCATTGTTGACTGGATGACCGTGCTCGCGACTCCACACCGAACTCATGGTAGGGAAAAGATAAGGGGCCAATCATTCGGGTTGAGAAGCTAGTCTGACATGACTTAGCCGAGGACCATTGAACAACAGCCATTCCATGGTTCAACGGCCCACTCCTTGCCTTAGTGTTGCCAGAGCCGATACACACTACTATCATTTGTCACCTCCGGCCGAAAGGTCAACAGGTGACCTGAGTTCCAATTGAGAGGAAGTATCATTCATATGTCATCGTCATGGGGAGGATAGGGGACACAATGGTTGTACTGTCTCTGGATGGCTCGAATGTAGACCAAGTTCCAACTGACTTAAACTCACCACACTACTTGGAGCAAAACGGGAAAGCCCCTCCAAGATCCAAATGGAGTCCCTCGAATGACCATGGTCTGCATCTCCACTGAAAAATACGAGTCTTTGGGGGTGGGGGGAGAGGACAATACGGCCGAAGGTGGGTTTACTCGGTCCAAAAATGTCAACATAGGGATTCAAGGAAGTTTAAAAGTGAGCGATGAAACAGACAACCCATGGGATGGACCCACGACCATCATATTTACAATTTCGCGTCACACGTGGCAAACCCTACCCTTATCCTAGTCAAGGATCTCCCTTTAGACTTTTGTACCTGCGCGATCGTCGTGTGAAGCCGGTGTCGTGTGGCTCAAAGGGGGCCGATCATCTTGCCCTGTCTTCTCCGTCCGTAGGATCGTCTCGGGGCTCATGATTCTATATATGTTTCAACGGACCCTCCTGTATCACATCATGGTCTGGCAACCCTTTCACCTGGGTAAACTGAACACATAAGTCTCGAAAATGAAGCACAATATCGCATCGAACATGTGGGAGAGGAAGAAAGGCCTGATTGTCCAACTCTATCAAGATGAAGAATGGCCTCTGAAACAAGTCCTCAAGAGAATTCGCACGCACACCTTCAACCCAAGGTGAGATAACCCACATAGAGCCCAGAGAGGAAAATCCCGTGACTGACAGATTGTTCATCAACAGTGAGACTCAGCTGAGGAGTCGCTTGAAGAAATGGCGGATCACCAAGCTATCTCGCCGCCGTCATAAGAGATCTCTCTTTAATCAGCACGAAGATAGCGGCATTGAAAGCTCCTCCAAGGAGCCGTCATCGGAAGACCAGACACCTGTTTACTCGGGTGATGAGGCGGCACAGCCCACAACATCCGCAACAACGAATGAATCCCTACCAGAAGAAGACTGGTATTCCGCCGAAAGGGGTGATACTACGCATTCACCACCCACCGCAAGAGTCCTTGTACCGCACACGATTAGCAATTCCTTTACTGCGACCATGTCGGCAATGAGTCCGCCGTGTGAGTGCCATGATGTTCCATCTGGATACTGTCCTAGGTTAGTTCTCTCCAGCCTCTACTTTTTGTTGTTCAAAGTCGTGACTAACGCGCCTGTTTCTCAGCCTTCACTATTCCACCACTGACTATTGCGTCCCACCGGTGGAGCGACCGGGACCAGAAATAGCCTCAGCGCAATGGCCTGCTGCTTTCTGGTATCGAATGTCGCTAGATGATGCGGCCCATTATTCACTTTCGCAGTTTTACACTCCCTCGTCTTCCAGTCACTTCATCCACCAGCCGGCACATGTTATGCCTCTCCCTCATTCGGACTGGTTTCAACCTCCAGGGCATCCATTAGTCACGCCTCCTCAATAACCATTCGCCACGAGTCGCTGGACTCTGTCAGTATCAATCTGTAACAACTATCCTTCTTTTAAACCCCTAATATGCTTGGGACTAATATCTGTCTTTGTGTTTACTTTCATACCCCACATTGTCCGTTGTATTATGTATATAATCCTGTGGTGATTGCAATTTCCATAACCCGGTGTTGGATTAGAGAACCAGTGCATTTGGATTGCTGCATTTGTGGATATGCATTCTTTTGTCTCTCCCATTTCATTCCCCCCTGCCTCCTCAATACGTCAACTTATCGGGCTAGCTCTGGTAGCTTCACTAACTCCGTGATCAGCTGGGCGTGGGATTCTGTCTTTGAACTTGCTATCACCTACTTTCCCATCGTTACTACCAATTGATTTTCTATCACTCAGTGTAAGGACTTGGTTGCCTTGCTTCATAGACAGCAAAAGCATTCCAGAATCTCAATTCCTATTTATGTGCGTCCATACCGTTTTCGTATTGTTCCATTCCTCATTGGGTGCTGGGTTTTCGTTAAGCGCTTCCTCGATAACACACGGTGGATGGAGGTAAGGGCTGGGTACTCGGAGACTATACGATTACTCATGTTGGCTGACAATGCCTTACCTTTGACGCACCTGGAAAGTCGAGAACGGCGTTTCGCGATTTGTTGAACTTGCATTGAAGGAAGCCAACGAAGGCTATGAAGTCCTTTTCCTCAAGTTTATGTTGGATATGGTGCTTGTTGGTTGTTTTTAGTTCAAACTCCTTAAACATACTTTATATTTCTGTATTTTAGGCTTTCACGCGGCGCGTGTAGCAGATTTGTCTCCATAGGTGCCAGGGTTGTTCCAAACTTTCTACGTTTCAGGATAAATATATACATATTCAGTTATGCACCCTGCAGTACAGTCGAAAGAGGGTAGTTTCCTCTGACTTGTAGGTCCTCTAGGCTGTTTACTTCAGGTTCCTAAGCTGAATTACTTACCTAGCTTATATTCTATAGCAAATTGTTTCCGGATCGACGCCGGTCTACACCTAGCCTTAGCAGAATACGTTTGGCACTTTCCGGCAAAGTTAATAGCACACAGAAAGAATAGCTGTTGTAGCCAATAGGTTGTAAATTCTGAATGGTTATGTTATACTAGTATTTTGGTAGATATATCCTGAAGACCGAGGCAGCCACCTACCGTGAGGACAGTTGTTCAGCACCTGAAACTGCCACGTCCGACGAAGATCATACGACTCGATTGATACTAGATCATTTGTGCCAAGGAAGGAGGGGACCTGTTGGAGTAATATCCTATGCTAGACTGTTCTAGGATATCTATTCTGTAGATTATGAGATTTGGTTCACTACCGGGATCGTAATTTACTACATGTGGCCCTGATTATAATGTGAAGTTTTCGTGCACTATTGTTGCAATTTCATTTGGGTTATGCTTTGCCAACTTCCGACCTTATCTAGAAGGCCTATAGTCATTATTTCCACAGAAAGATCTTTTCATGGCTACTCAGCGGCATCCATGCAAAAATGAGGTGCAGATCAAGGATCAAGAAAAGCTGCCTGGGATGTGAACGGGGGCTTTTAACATGCTCCTGTGGGCTGAAGTGCGATATATATTGCTATTGAAACTATGGCGCGGCATATGCCGCAATGAGGCTTTCAAGCCAGTGATTCCTAAATTCATTGCGATCATATGTTTGGCTTCCCAGCGGCTCCTGATCATATGGCCGAACCTCGAGGAATTGGTGCCCTTGACACATACGGACACGCAGACCTTCTTGCTGATACTGATCCATACACTCGGAACAGAGATCAACATCTGAACATGTGTGACAGACGAATCGGCCGCCAGCCACTGTCGGTTTATTACCACATATGTCACAGCTGACCGACCGATATTGGAGATCCAGCTGATCTGTAGCGTCGACTTCCTGAGCGAAAGCCACACGGGCAGCCAAAGTGTCATTCATGTAGAGCAGACATTTCCCCAGGGCATAGAAGTTCGATTCCCCCTTCGCTAGGGCACTGGTAGCGAGCCTAGTTATACTTTCGCGTAGTGCCAAGGTGCGTCTCCCGGGGTCTGTAGGGTGGTATTCGTGGCAATACTTCAAAAGCCTTGTTAGCATCGGTGGATGAAGAGAGGCCCAATCCAAGGGGGAGCGACCGAATGAATCCAATTGCGTAGCGTCCGCCCCCTTAGACAGGAGTATCTCGGCAATGTCAGCCTGTCCAGCGGCGGCCGCTGCATGCAATGGAGACGATCCTTTGTGGTACAGTGCGACATCCACTCCACTTTCAATCAGCGATGTGACGATTTCTGTGTGTCCTTTCGCGGCCGCCTTTTCCAATGCCGTCCGTCCACCCTGGCACCGCCCGAGAGGGTCAATACCCCGTTCTTGGAAAACCTTCAAGAGAACAACAAAGGCTTCTGTATGCCCTTTGGTAGCCGCGTAGTGAAGTGCCGTGTGATCCCCATTTTTGTCCACGGCGGAGGGATCGGCCCCAGCCTCGATGAGCAACTGGATGACAGCAGGCTGGCCGCCGGCTGCAGCGTTATGCAGTGGTGTTCGTCCATCATACCCTGTAATTGATACATTAGCTCCTGCATCCAGGAGCCGTTTCGTGAATTCGATGTGACCTTGAAAAGCGGAAAGATGGAGAGCACTATTTCCATTCATATCCAATGCATCAATCGCAACACCCGCGCGACAAAGAGATGAGATGACCTCCAGATTCCCGTTGACTGCGGCAACATGCAAGGCAGTCCGATCAGCGTCTCCGAGGTCATCAATCGCTGCGCCACGGTCAAGTAGTAGATCGATGATCTGGTCTGTTCCAGCAAATCCAGCGAAATGCAGCGGGCGATCCCCATCTCCATCGGCCATAGTAACATCGGCTCCAGCATTCACCAATGTCTGAACTACCGCGTGTTGTCCATATACCAAGGCGTGGGCAAGAGCCGTCCTTTCATTCCAGCCTGAGGTATTCACATCTATACCAGTGTTCAACAAGAGACGAACCACGTGCTCTCTGCCACCGACAGCCGCGTAATGGATTGCCGCATCCCCAGACATATCGCGTGCAGCGATATCAGCTCCCTTAGCTAGGAGGAGCTGGATTGCATCTGTGTGTCCGGCAGCAGCCGCAAGATGCAACGGCGGCGGATCGTCGACCTCGGTGACATGGGCATCGGCGCCAAATTCGAGTAGTAACCTAATGATATTGCATTTCCCGTGGCAGGTGGCCGCGTATAATTGGCAATTAATCTCCTCTTTCACCGCAGGCAGGTTTTGGTCTGGTGCCGCGCCTTTTGCTCCCTCTAGCAGGACCCGAGCTAGTGTTTCATTGTCTTTCGCCACAGATCCATGTAATGCGCATCTCCACTCCAAGGTATCCTCGCTGTCGTATGCGACATTCGCCGCCCCAGCAGCGAGCAGCAAGCGAACCACATCTTCGTGGTTGTGGGCGATAGCATAGTGGATGGGTGTGTGTCCGTCCCCATCGGGCATCGATACTGGCACATCAGCCCCAATCAGCAACTCAATTGCTTTGACTTGTCCCTTTGCGGCAGCGTGATGCGCCGCTGCCTTTCCATCGATTAGTCTCATCGGATCCGGGTCCTTCTCTAGGAGCTTACGAATCGATGGGAGCCTGCCATTTTCCACAGCCCATATCAGGGGTGTTTTTCCATCTTGTCGGATATACCCAGCTGCGCGGTCATAGAAGAGGTGTGATAATATATCTTTGAATCGGTGCGCAGTTTGCATGAGTGAATTGATGTCGGCCAGGTTCAGTTGTTCCGCCACCCCGAGGACAATCTCTGCAGGGGCAATCATGAACGAAAGGGGCTTATGTGGTTTCATGGTAGATGTATGGGCTTGCGGTACTGCAGACGGGGCTGGGCCATTTGCTGATACTTTAAAGGAGATAGGAATCTGGTCGTGCGGCTCATCTGCGCTGATCTGCTGTGAATACGAGCTGGTGGGCCTCGTCTTCATTGCCTCGTTCGTCTCATTCGTCCCCAAATACAGAAAAGGGCAACCGATCAACAATCATATCCCAACTAGCAGGCCGCAAGCCATGTCCGCCTATATACCTGGGGCTGTGTACCAGCTTCGTGATGTCTATATTGATCAGAGCGTGGTGATCGTTTCCCTACATACCAGAATCTGGCTTGAAACCCACCTTCTTCTCTAGCTAGTGTATTATAGCTTTGAGAAAGACTGGCCGACTAGAGCCACATTGTCAATGCGCTCGGCACGTAGCTCAATATACTACTGAAAAATTGACATGGGAAAGATGATCTATCCACAATCGTCACCGAGTACTTGAACTCGTGCCCTGGCCGAAGACTGACACTACTATAAGGAGGGTATGATATACCCCGTACCCCTAAAGCTATTTCTGCAGTTTGCTCTGAAGTTTCTCCTATGGGGTCTTGATATGACTCAAATTTTAATAATTATTAGATCCATAAACGCCAGTCGCGAGGACGTCAGGATCGATGTAACAGTACTGACAGGGAGAATAAACTGAGCCGCCAAAGTCACCGCCCTCAACCATATCAGCCTACTTACTTCCTACCTTAATGTATCTTTATGAGAGCATCTCCTAGAGAGGAATGAGAATGAATGAACGAGTTTGATTGTTGCCCATAAGCCCAATACTCCTGGGGTTGTGTTTTCAGTACTGAATGTATCCGCCTTAGTCTTCCCGTAGCATTCAAATATAGTTATGTATGCTAGTTTCCTTCCAGATTATAGGACTAAGGAAAGTCAACGTAGTTTTGATGATGTCTAATTAAGCCGCACATATGATATGTTATATTTCTCTGTTCTGTTACATAAATTGTCACCAAAATCTCCTCTATTCTCTGAGCACGCGATTCTTTAAAGTAAGGCTGTTTTGTCCTCTTTAGACTGTCTGACCTAGCAATCTTCTCAGTATAGTTCCGTGGGTAGTTGTCTCTATCCTTCTCAAGACTCTAGTTTTTGTATGTCGCCTTAGCACTATTGGGGAAGAATTCCCGATGGCTTGATTATGCACAGGTCTGCATATCTACAGCAAAGGTAAAGGGTACATGCGCTTTGTCAGTTCTTGCACGCCACCATTGTGACCAGAGATTGCGTTGATCCCAAAGTAGTGAACAGTCGGTGGGAACCTGAGCTCTGTCATTTCAACTTATTCGTTGGCCGCTTCAAGTCAGACGTGGCTATTCTGCCTCTGACACAAACAGAACATCAAAATAATCGTCAATTTCTTGGGGCATATCCACAAACCCAGGTTCTAGCGGGGTAAATGTCCTCTTGGGGATGTCAACGGTAACGAGTATCGAGACAAGTCATTTCCCTTTGACGAACTCGCACTGATCTTAGGATATCACAATGATCCAAATCAAGCTGCGAGACGGTCTATATATTACTAGATAGGCTTCCTAGACAGCGTAGCATGACTTGACTCTCAAGCAACAGTTGTCTAGCAGCCAAGAAAAGCCAAGCGTTTCTAAATACGAGGTCGTGACTCAGTGGGCGATTGTATTAATATGCCTGACCGTGCTGATTGATCAGGAAGGCTGCTTTTGAGATGCAACTATTTCTTTTGGTCCGAGTGACACGACTCCATGGCGCCAAGTACCGAGAAAGTTGAAGCCCTGGCCGCATGGGAGAAGCATGCCCAGTCCTGGGATCAAAGTATGGGCGACGAAGGGAACGAGTATTTCTCGGTTCTAGAGTTACCAGCCCTGAAGCGAATGATAACGGGGCAGAACCGGCATCGAGCGTTGGATCTTGCCACCGGAAATGGCCTCGTCGCTAGATGGCTTGCTCAGGAAGGGTTCTCTGTAATCGCGACGGACGGCGCAACAGCCATGCTAGAACACGCAAAGGCGCGAACGGCTGTCTGGTACGAGGAAGGCAGGCTGTGCAAGAAACAAGAAGTTTCCTTCGAACTCCTAGATGTGACCAACAACGATCATTGGGCGCAATTCATTAGCAACGCGACTCATATGGTTAGTGCCTATTACGGAATATCGGGATAGGATGTGTTGAAGTCTCGCAGACAAAAGACGGACATTTATCTAATGTTTACTAGCAAGGCGGATTCGACGTAATTACGATGAATATGGGTATCATGGACATACAGGATTTGGAACCATTGGCAGCGTCGTTGACACGCCTTTTGAAGCAAGACGGATGGTTGGCGCTACTTTCATTCGGGCCACCATTACAGATCTTGGTAACCCTAGTGCTTGTTCTAACTTGGCTTTTGTTCACAGTTTCGTGGCTACCGCTCTTCATCCTCTATTCTTCACGAGTGGCGCAAAGCGCCAGATCATCGTTGGCGAAGACCCGGTGACCGGTAAGCGCAAGATAGACCGATCGATAGTTTTGTACCAGTATCAGAACGTCGCCCCGGCAAGGCAGTTACTATTCTCTGATAGCAGAAACCACAAACCACCGGTACGACTCAGTCGACAGCGGAATGCGGGCCGAACATGCTGACCATAAATCAAAAGTTCTCATTCCATCGGTCGTTTCAGGAACTGTTCGCCCCATTTTTTCGGGAAGGGCTCATCCTGGATGCCCTCGAAGAGGTGAACTTCGATGAGAGTTCCTATGAGCCCTCGCGTGAATACGCAGCGAGGAACTTCACTGAGTTCCCTAAGATTCTTGCATTTAGACTCAGGCGCCGCCTGGCAGACACTAAGCGATAGGAACATCTTTGGGGAGTTTTATGTTGTCTTGTTTCTAATGGCGTCCGGCTTTGGGTCGGATTGGTAGACTTGGAACCTACATGTTCCAGTCGTCCGCCAAGTTATGTTTTAGCTTCACTCTCAAGCAGACTATCTTTCCTGTGTATATGCTCCCATGCTAACTAGAGCAAGTATATGTTCTCTTGCACTGCGTACGGCGATATGTTATCAGGTTCGATTCCGAGCTTACGCCGCTGGTTCTCTGAGTAGTTGACCATTTCAAGCTTCGTGCGTGGTCCGGTTTTCTTTGGGACAATAGATAGGCTCAGTCTTCAACCAAAGATTATTATATATATCGATAACATTTCTAGTCATAGCTTCCACTAGATAAAGCGGTTCTCTGCAGATGGCATCGATGTTAGCATGTGTCCATGATGAACATGGATGTATTGCGCGGAACTTAAGACAAGTCATACTCAATAAAATTAACAGTTTCCCTAATACTCCCAAGCCATGAATCAAGGGATTGATGAACTGCTGTGGGTGCCGTCGATACAAACAGGGATGCGCCTCCAAGCTTCTGCAATGCTTCCACCGGATCCTCACGGCTGGTGCCAATGTACTCGTGCGAACTCATTCTTTTTATCGCCTCGGGGTAATACAAACGTCCGGTAGCTGAGTTTATTCGCATACTGGAAGGCCATATGACCGGGACTACTGAGCCCTTGGATGGCCACGATGTCACCTATAGGGATGCTCATGTGGCATCACTCCACAGAAGACAGTATTCCGCAACTTGAATATGTTAATTGTGTTAAAGTATACTCATGTAAAATGCAAGGAAGCATAAGATAAAAGTGGTTTGGGGGTGCGAAGGTGGAAGGAAAGAGTTGATGTACATCCTCCATGTCTTGTAATCTCATTGATTTGCCCGTTGTCACACATTCGGAAGATGCCTCCCTTTACATGCTCTTCAGGTGCCTGCCGACTTAGTCAACTGTCTGAATATATGAACATTGGAAATCTAAGATTGATCTATACCATTATGTCCACCGTGCCATAGGCCGCCAGCTCGATCTCCCACTCAGCAAAATTCCTCTCCCTCACCGACGGCCGCAACGCGCCCAATGAACTCATGGCCCGGGACACTAGGACTGAAGCAGGTATCGTCGTTGAATAAAATACTTATTCGCATTGACTCTCGGAGGTGAAGTATCAACAGCTTAGAAACCCCCTCCCATCAGATTGACCTGAGCAAAATGGTCAGAGTGACATGCCACACGCTTCAGACTTGAGAAAATCTCACCACGCTGAGGAATAGTCAATTCAACATGTTCAGCGTCAGACATGCGCCTTGCTTTTTGAACATGGCCTGTCTGTAGGACTTGGGAAGTGAAAAGGTCATGATAGAATGCACTATAGATGCCGAGGAGGCTGGGATAGAGAGAGAAAGCTGTTGGCTCCAAAGACGAACGCCGATATTTGCCGGGTCATCGAGACAGCCGTAAATACTGCAAGCGATATGTCCATACGGCATCATCCATCCCAATGTAGATATTACAGAAAGGGGTGATTTCATGGCACCATTCTAGGTTACGGGCCGCGTGCTTCATTATCATTAGTTTGACCAATTCTAGATTGGACGGCGTTTAATATGCCCTCGGTCCTCCCGACGGCTCTTTAACAATCTATCGGCTCTATAGGGGATAAGGTGATATTGCCACGATGCAGGTGCTCAATGCGATGCCCGAATATAGATAGTCTCAAGCCCCATATTTTATTGAACTCCAACAAAGTCAGGTTGACTACGAATGCACCAACTGCAAACAACGCGTATTCCCCAAAGAGAATCGTGAAGCCATCTTGTGGTCACCCACTTTTGTGAACCCTACCCTACTGCTCTCTATCAAAATTGGACTCATAAACGGGGAATCTGTACTTTCTTTCTCGGTAAGCCGGATACTCTCAACCGGCATGTCTAATGTGTTGACTATACAAGGAATATACATCCCAGTCTCTATCTACACCTCGACCATTCTTAAGAATGCTGGACTCTCATAGCCTTCCACAACCTTGGCGATCGGGATCGAATAGGCCTCGGAATCTTGAAGCTGGAGAACATACGCCTGGGCGACCTTCAGCCACAGCGCCTTCTCCCGTTCACTGGCACCCAAGCCTTGCCAGACCCACAGACGGTTTCCAGCGTCGTAGAGAAATACGTCGTTTCCGTCAAAGTCCGACCGGTGAGCTCGCTCATTATCCTTGACCAGGTCGAATGAGAGGGCGCCGGAAGCATCGCTGAGCCGGAATAATTTCGAGGAACGCGCATCGGCCTGGGGATCCTGGGATCGCTTGGAGAATGAGCCCGGCCGGGGAGCCTGGAATGTAGTTTGTTCCACCCCCCGGCCACCCAGCAAGTCGACAATGATCCTCGATCGCGGCTCAAGCTGGGATAAGACCTCCACGTCGACGTGTTTTGCAAGCGTCATATCGTTTACTACCTGCGCGGCCTTCGCCTTTTCCATGGGACTGCAGCTCTTACCCTGCCAAACCCAGATCTTATCGCCCTTGTCCAGGACGAAGACATCTTGTTCGTCGAGGCTCTGCCAGGTGGGCTCCACCTCGTACACGATAATTGAATCGATGCGACCGGCGCTCGGGTGCTTGAAGACGCGAAGCAAGGTCGTCACCTCCTTGGGCGTCTCCTCTTCGACGTGGTTGAATCCCGACGCTACGCCTCCACTCCGGATAGAGATGCGGCGGAAGAGCGACAGAAATTCGTCGGAGGGATGCTGCTGGACTTCGCGATGCTGGGTGGCGGCCCCATGGAGGAATTCATCCAGCTCCACGGTCTTGTAGGCGGCGGTGCCTGCCTCATCCTGGCTCGTCTTGCTTCCCAGCCAGAAAAAGATATCGTGGCCCAGCCTGTCGTCGCCGACCTGGTAGGAGTGCAGCACAATGTAGCTGTCGCCGTCGTAGAACTCGCCCGTCCGGGTTTTGGGCCAGGGCACTACCTCGAAGTTTTCAATCCGCCAGATCCACAGGCCCGGCCCCTTGCCCACCTGGCCATCGTTCCACGCGGGTTCCGTGACAGCGGAATTGTACTTGACACGATGATCAATATCGGACCCGATCAGTTCCACATTGCTGTCTTTGATATCATATTCCTTGGGGTGCACGAGTCCTTGGTGAGGCGCCATCTTGGGATTCGTTGTTTGTGGTTTGAATCGGGGGAGGATTGACTAGGCGGCTAATGACGCATCCAAGTGGGTCCCCAACGGAAGCGATGGCGGGGTGAATTATTACTTATTATTCTATTTAATATCTCAAGAGGAGGATGATTGTGCCGTGGAACGGTGGTTCGCTTGGGCAGTATTCTCTTTCCATACTAGAATGAGAGTTGTAAGCCCTCGCCGGTCACAGGACCACCGCCATTGCTGCATAATCTTGCCACCGGCCATTCTTATGCGTATCCGAATAGTCACATATATCCCGAATGACTAAGCAAGGAGAGTGAGAGTGATTTATCAAACCCGCAGCTTCTATCTCGAAGCATAGAACCCCCTTTTCTGCTGTAAGTTTGTCTATATTGGGGCAGCCTTCATGAGTTGGTTTGCTGATACAATTAAGTTATGGTGGGACATGGTGTTGTGCATCTGTTCCAGTTCTCTGATGGCACATGACTAAACTGGATCAGATATAGAAAATCGTTCAAATATGACAGGCAACTTGGGTTGACAACGGCCTCCAATGCAGATTTAAGTCCGAATACTGAAGAGATGAGGCCGCTGGGAAGGTAAATAGAAAGTGAATAAATACTTTCGGAATCATTGTATCTACCTTTTTAGTAATTGCACCCCACAAGAAGGACACAGAATGACCTATGCCTTAGGTCCTGGGAGCTGTAGGTAAATCTCGTATACCGAGTACTTCTTTAAAGTAATGGATAGGAGTAAATTACCAGAGTTACGTGACTGGTTGGTCATCCTACGATGTAATCATAATTAACTTGAGGCCTCGGGGCCTTTTCAGTGACCAAGATCCTATTACCCTCAACTCCGACCTAGGGTGGCTTCAAGCATAGCATGTCGCTGGGCAGTACCAGCTCGGGATGTTCTCGATCTATACCCTGCCACCATCACGAAGCTGCCGCCACGTCGGTGAAAAAGTCTGTGTTCTCATGATGGTTAGGGAGAGATTTTCTTTTATTCTATTCCAATCTTAAGACTAAGGTTTGCTTCTGTCTCTAATCGAGATGCTGCATGTGGGCGAGTGCCATCACGACTACTGGAATGAACTGCTCCACAATATGCAATGACGGAGGCATTCTCTTCTCTCTCTCTCTATCTCTCTCCACTGCATGATCTTGTGCTCTCAGGAGAAATGAAATAATTACCTTGTAGTCTAATCACCCTAGTTTCACTATCAGTCAACCCTTTCTCTTTCGTCACTTGGCACGTGATCGCAGTTGGAAACTCTTGCGCGAGCAAGAAAACACTCCAGGTTGCTAATTGGTCTGGATATAGTCTCTGTGAGGCTGTTGAGGAGCTACAGGTAAATACTATGCCAGGGGTTGTGAGCGTAATGGTCAGGGGGTGTCAGAACTCGCACTTGGCTACAACGTATCTATATGTATCCACACCAAATATCCGGCGCGCTGGAGACAGATGGTGGGCAGATGTACCTAGTAGTAAATATGCAGATAATACTCATTTAGGCTATATACAAATAGCACTTCCGTGCCTTCATCTTATGCATCGCTTAGAAGAAATACAGATAGAACCACGTATGACCTAGATACATCACCAGGCCAGCAAGGTCTGGAGGCTGCACTGGATATGAACTAGGGACCTTAGGTCAGGGATGGACGAAGGCCTGTGGTGTGAAGATCCAGAGAGTCAGAAAGTCAATATAAACCCTGAAAGCTTCGCGTAAGGCCAGATACCTAAGTACTCGGAGCGATCAAATGGTTTATCCTCTGCTCTGGTATACTCTCCTTCTTTCATCTATAAAAATTCATCAAAACAAACTAACGGTCTTTTAGACTACTCAAAATGCAATATTCTACTCTCTTCGCTCTTACTATGGCAGCGGCCACCACTTCAGCCTGCATGTTCAGCATGGTGGCCCAGGAAAACATGAATTCAGCTGATGGAGGCATTGCGATCCGCTGTGACATGTACATCTGGTCTGATGATCTGGATGTTTCGTACAGTATTACCATCAAGCCTGCCCATGCGTCCAAGACTGATTGTGATGAGGGCTGTGGACTGGAGTTCAACCATCGAACTTGGGAGTCTTGCCATTCATATTCTCCGCTCTTGGGCCTGACGCAGGTATCTATGTCAGTGTGCGGCAGACAGATAGCAATGGCGACTTGCTATTAATTCATCCAGAAGGGAGAAATAAGCATAAAAGGGGCGGGCCCCCTTTCAATATCGGGAATGCCCATCATTACTGGAGAAAGGGCATTAATTGTTGAGCGAAGAGACCAGGTATGTAGTGTTCCATACACTATATGTATGATAGGCAGACTCCCTCTGTTTATTGTCCTTTGACTCCCCCCCCCTATCATGTATGTAGTCGTGAGACAAGAAAGAACTGGGAGATCGACAGTGATGAGAGCAAGAAGAATTCACCACTAGTCTCTCTAGGGCTTCTTTGAGCCATCACTGCGTATAATGGAGAAATCACGTTCTTATTGGACCAACCCCCACAAGCTCCACCGGTGAGATTAATAATCACCTTGCTTCTAGTTAACTTAATGGTTATAAGTAGACGGATGAATGAATGGAATGTCTATCTGTGTTGAAAATCTTCATAGGAAAGGCCTGACCAGAACTAGAAAGTAAGATGACTCTTCTTGACTTCAAGCCCAGAAATATCCTCCTCTTCGGTGCGACAGGCAACATCGGGAGATACATTCTCGATGCCATTCTTTCCGCACGAGACGAATTTGACCGAGTTGCTGTCTTTACGTCGCTAACTACTGCGAACTCGAAGAAAAATCTCCTCGATGACTTAAAACGCAGCAAGAAGGTGGAGGTATTCGTGGGAGATGTGCAAGATGAGGACGCTGTTCGCAAGGCTTATAATGGTACGTCCACTGGCACTCGGTGTTTTACCCCGCCTCGACGGATGATTCATTGAATGGCAGTGGAGAAGCATTTCCGATTAATCAATACCAGGGATTGATACCGTAATCTCCGCCCTGGGACGAGGCGCAATTGATCGTCAGCTGGCTCTAATCCGCCTCGCCGACGCTTCTCCCACTGTCAAATGGTTCTTCCCCTCGGAATATGGCACGGATATCAAATATTCGCCGGCCTCAGCCCACGAAAAGCCCCATCAACAAAAGCTGAGAATACGTGCGCTCTTGGAGAACGAGAACCCCAACGAAGGGACCGTGTCCAATTTAGCGTATACCTATGTTATCACCGGCCCCTATGCCGATATGTACGTTCATTTCACAGATAGTCCGGAAGCGGGAGGGTGGGACGTGAAGAGCAAGAAGGCGACCTTGTTGGGAGAAGATGGATGTGCAAAAGTGAGCTTGACCACAATGAAGGAGTATGTCTGTCTACTTTCAGCTTGGTAAATAAATGCCTCGCCGTCGTCCGGAGACTAACCAACGGGGGGTTTCTGGTATCCAGTGTCGGGACGCTCGTGCTGGCGATTTTACGCCATCCCTCCGTTGCCTTCAACCGCGCACTTCGGGTTAACTCGTTCACCACAACACCGTCGGAGATTCATGCCGAATTTGTGCGCCAGACGGGTGGCCAGCCCTGGACGGATGTCCGATACACGCCGCTCTCCCAATTACGTGAGGTGGAGTCGGAAGCGTGGAAGGCGGGAAATCCAGTGGCCGCGGTGCTGACACTGGGACGCATCTGGACCGAAGGGGGTACTTTGTATGATCAGCGGGATAATGCATTGATCGGCGAGCCACCTCTGCAGACCCTGGGGGACGTGGTTGCGGAGGCGATAGGGCAATCGTCTTAGGATAGGGAGAGGGAAAGGAGATGTCTCTCATGCGGTATCTTGTCTACGCGGAATAGTTTTCTTATGATGACTATGTTGATATATGGGCTATACAGCTTCCCCTTCACAATTACATGCCACCGCTATTGAGTCTTAACTCTTGAGAGGTCTATTGAATAATTCAAGTCTCTTCCAGTCCAGGAATGCCACTCGCAGTTTCTTATACAAAAGACCTTTTATATCTTTTATCGCCGCGGCGGATAGCAGCGTACATGGATACTGAGAGGAGTCAGGAAGATAAAGCCATTTACAAATGGTTTGCAGGCATTGACTACTCTAAATAACAGAAATACTGCTTAGACAGATGGCAAAAAGGGACCAGTGGATGGCTTATTAAGTTAGAAAAGTTTCAACATTGGTTGGGTAAGGATAACCAGATTCTTTTCTGCCCTGGTATTTCTGGTTCCGGGAACATTTTTGCTGCCTCCTTTGCCATTAATTATCTTTGCCAGAACTACCATAGAGACATGAACATGGACATTAGTATTATGTATATATACTATGACTGGTAACAGCCCCAGACATTATATAATAATCTACTTTCAAGTCTTCTTTTGCAGTTGATTCGGCCTTCCATTCCAGAGGTTATAAGGAGGTTTTATGAACAGAATAGAATCTGAATAATACTCTGAATATTTTGGTGAATGCCATCCATAGATATACAAGGACCTTTATAATTATTAATACTCTGGATAAATGTAATGGTTCTGTCGGGTCACAGTCAGAAGTTACAGCAATATTATTCAGTCTGCAAATAAAATCAGTGTGAATCTCTTTGTAGTATCCTGACATATTCATGTAATAGAGAAAGAATTTGAACAAAGAGAGAGTATTATGCTTAAGATTTATGCTCGCGATAAAGATATCCAGAGATATGTTGACAGCCACGTAGCTCAACTACCAAAATTTATTCTGGAGAACCCTGAGATAGAAGAAAAGACTAGCAATTATTAAAGCAGCTGATAGGATGTAAAAGTGTGCATATACTATTATTTAGTAGTCTACTTAATCTTGGGCCGGGCTCCTCCTTATCATTATTTGCAGTCATTAGGGACTACTATCTCTGAAATCAAAAGAATTTTAGAAATACCATCTAAAGTATCCAGCGCATATAAGCAGGTATATAACACAACTATACACCAAATTAACAGTAGCCAACAAGCTATGGAGTACTAGCTGCTTAGATTCTTTCCTGGGTAATTCATGCACGGTGACTATTGGGAATCATAGAGCTATAGTATACCTTAGCTATTACAGAAAACTTATCTACAATCAATTTAAATAATATCTTAACTATTAAAGTAATAGTCAATATTTATACTGACCTGATCACCGCTAAAAGCTGTAGAATAGTACGCCTTTTCTACTTCACAGCGCAGGAGTACATTGATGAATCTTGGACAGCATGGTTTCCCAATGCCGATTTAAATATTATAAGGACTTGTATAACCTACTTTTTACGTAAAAGTTTTAAAAGGGGGCTGACTATGACTTGGAAAGAATACTGACAGCAATCAAAAGACTACCCCCTTGTGAATATATCACGTAGTATTAGGGTTTCTATACTGGAGAAGCCTAACTTGAAGCTAAAGACTTAATATCTAAAATCCTGTATTATAACTTACAGCTTGCCAGCGCAGTGCAGGTTCTAGTAGAAGAAGGATCTATTTTCTGTCTATTAAGAAAACTGGAAGGGATGATAGAGTTACATATTGCTGCATATTTCAGAATAAATCTGGAAGTTATAGACTTTCTAAGGAATACTCTGACCATAAATGCAGTAGACAGTTTTGGTCATACCATTGTACATTGAGCAGTTATGGAAGGACAGGTACAGACACTTGAAGTTCTTCTGCATAAGGGACTTGATATGAACGTGACAGATACCAAGATAATATCTGTATTACATTACACAGCAAGTAAAGGCAACACTGTATTGACACACCTCCTGTTAAGTAAAGGTACGCTTACTGAGATTCAGTACATAGATAGAAAGACGCCCTTACTGGCTACAGCAGACAAGCTCAACATTACAGCAGTAAAAGAGCTATTAGATACAGGTGTCTCTGTCAATGCCTTAAACATAATAAGTCAGAATACATTACATTTGGCAATCATTGCCACAAATGACCTAGACAGCGAGGAATGGATGATGAATACCGGTCAAGTATTTCTCTCTATACCCCTCATCTCCATGGAACTGTAGCACTGACTGAAACATTTCTGCAGGCCGAGTACCATTCCACCGAGTTATTTTATGGAATCGAGAATGAAGAGGCCGCAATACAAAATCTAAGGAGAGTGTTGACGAGACCCGGTCGGCTACTCGTCTTCTTCAACGTTCTTCAACATCGGGTTCGGGTTCAGTCATTCAAACTTGCCGATCCCACAAAGCCGGGCCTCCGAAAGATCTTGGCTATGTACTTAGCGGATCCACATATTCCTATTCTGTCGACGGCAAATGTCCCTCCTCAGAGAAAGGACTGGTGGGCAGATGAAGTTCGAAGGGTGCCCCCGTTCCAAGGCTTGCCCTTAGAAATATTCGAGATGATCATGCAGCATGTGACTAGCTTCCCCCTTAGTTGGGAGGAGGCCTAGAAGTAAGGAAGGCTCTCATGGATGAACGAGGAGCATTAGCCGAACACACCAATGCTGAAATTGAAGATGTATGTTATCTTTCGTCCTCAGAGCGCTCATATAGCCCACTTGCTCTTGTCGCGGGGTATTGATACTACCTTATGCGATGTTGATAATATGACTCCTATATTACGGAGTTACAACAGGAAATCGCCAAGTTGCAGATATACTTCTCCAGGTAGGCATCGACATACATTAATACTGGCATTGCAAGAAAAATTTAGACTATTAGTATAGAAATTGGGAAAAGAACTTATCGAAAATATCAGCTCCCTAAAACTGCAGAAGAGAATATTACCAACGCCATTGGTCTCAAATCGCTGCATTTTGCAGCATGTAGCAGCCACTGTACAATGACTGAATATCTCCTGAGCAAGGGTGCCAATCCAACTCACAGTCTCACGATAGGGGCACCATTGCATATTGCCCTGAATAGAGACCAAGAAAATCACAAGGAATTGGAGGAAATTGGCAAACGATAACGTATGGCAGACAACAGATGGCAAGTCGAGCTTTGTGCTGACTACATATCTGACTATAAAGGAGAGAAAGAACGCGAGATCTATTAATATATCAATATACAGAGATTAGCAGTATTTATTATCCTTCTTGCAAGAAATAATATTGATATAAATATCCCAAATATTGCACTAGAATTACCACTTTATAAAGTTCGCTATAGCAAAATTGACTCAGAAGTAGTTATTCAGGTACTACTCGCGAAGGGGGCTAATGTGATGGCCAATCAATATGAAGATGTTGGTGCTATCCTATCTAGAATTTCAAGCATGAGGGGAAAGGGATCCAATCGTTGTGGGTTGAACACAAGATGTATGAAGGGAAATCAGCACGCTATGTAAAACAGCGCAAGCACTGGTGAATTCGTCACAGCTAATGCTTTTACATGTATCTAGAAAGAATAAACAGCATTATATCTTACCTGCAGTGCAGAAAGTTCTATAAATATCTGCAAGTTCCTTGACTGGGATTGTTCTACTACAAACAAGGATTTAGAAGGTACAACCACTCTATATTACACTGTATACCAGAATAGGCGTGGTACAGTAAGAATAATTCTAGATAAGGATAGAGAGACGGGCCAATAGCTATATCGCTAAACGGACAAGGCAGATCTTTAATATATCACTATCTTTAATCAAATATCTGCTCTTTCAAGATAGTCACTATCCTACTGGACTATAGTATAAGAGTAAACATATTAATAAAAATGGAGACACCTCTCTAAGCTTATACTTATAGAGATTTAGATTATTATACCGGACTGCAATTTATCTCTTTCTTCTGTAACAGGAGCTAACGCACTCTAGACAAACTTAGAAGAAGAGAACTTAGCATACCTAGAATTATCACTGGAAGGCAGAGGTTGAAACTTTTGAAGATTTTGTCAGACCATGATATAAATTTATCCGCGGGCAAGAGTGGAAAGAATATCTTATATCATGGAGCTAGTCATCACTCAGCAAGTAAGCATATTCTTGACTTCATTTTGCAAGAGAATCTCATCAACTGGAATGACAGAGACGAGGAAGGACTGACCCAATTTAAATATGTGCTGGAAGAGTGCAAGTAAACACGGCATCCCGACCTGTTTGCGTCAGATAGATGGAAGTGCACATGGGAGTATCTCAGTAACCTAGCTGGGGATAAAGGGCTTCAGATATAGGCGGAAGTGGCTTTCAAAGATCCATATAATACTACGAACACTGAGCTGTCGCAGCTAGTAAGTCGCCATTTTGTTAATATTGGAGTCGCAATCAGGCAATAAATAAGAAGATCCATGTGAAACGATATTGTCTAGTTTATATTACAACTTAGTGAGCACGTCTCAAATCGAAGAATTAATGTTTAAGTGGGCATACTGCTGTTGCCCCTACTTATTAGTAATGCCACTACCATCCGTCTAGATCGCTGTTGGATTCGGCGTATTGTCTAGTATAGTGTTATATTGCTTGATCACTGTATCTGTGTCCCGCTCAGTCATTATATTTGATGGATTCCAGTATGGCCTGCAATATAGGACTGGACGCCCTCGATATTATTGCGACCATCTCGCCCAATCTGCTTTGCTGTAAGATCTTCGACCTTCTTTAACGGGTCCTAGCTCCACAGTCAGCATGAATTACCGAGATGTTTATTCCCTATCCCTTCTCCCCTTGGTACTATTTCTACCATTTCCATGGTTTTGCTGGTCTGGAGCTGTAGCAGTGATTCCGCGTTCTTATTCTCTAGAAGTCGATGCATCAAGGGTAGGTGGGCTTCTATGTTGAACCTCATTGAACCTGTCAGATTAGTGTTGGGGAGGAAAAAGTTGGAGAGCTCGGCACAGGCGTGAGTTCCTAGCAACGTCCCTCTAGCCCTTGTAGGTAAAGACTTTTCCTACGGGATTGCAGTATGGATTCAGTCTAGGGTTCAACCGCAGGCATGTTTCTAGTCCCAGCCTTGGAGATCTCTATTAACCGGAATACTCTATTCCGTACGGGGCGCATAAACCACTGTTAAGTTGCGTTGCATGGGTGTCAGATTGGCTCGCCATATAGATGGGTTTATTTTTCTAGGTTGCTGACAGCCCAATAAATTAAATCTCCATCAGTTTTATTAATAACGCTTATTCGCACAAAGATTCAGTGGCGCCGCCACGCGGCTTGCCATTGCCTTAAAAAAGTCTTGGTTGTTCACCGATATTTAAGTCCAACAACTAGCTTAGCGACATACACATCTGATACGGATAGATTTTAGTATAGCAGCGGGACCATGCGTTCAAAGCAATTGTAGGGGTCTTGCCGTAAGTAAGGATGGTGTGCAACGTCCGCAATCCCCTCCCTGGTGGAAGTGGTGATCTGAGCGGCTGAGAGCTTTAACACTCGCAACCACGGAAATCATGACACTATTCGGGACAATCAATGTATTTCATATATGTCAGGAAAGCTTTCAAACGAGCATTCACATATCTAGGGAGTATATGTACCCCCTATTCTAGTATCGGTGCAAACTTTCTATCTTCCGGTAGGCTATTAGCAGCTGGACCGACGCTTCTTAACCCTCGCGATCTAGTATTATCATGTCGAGAGTCATGCAGGTCACCGTGCGCCGCCAGCCACGAATGGCCAGTTCACCAGTAGATGAGCACACACACACACACACACACACGCACAAACATACCCTTGTGTATTACTTTTCCCCAGTGGTCAAGGATCGTGTCCACAAAGAGCCGCTTCCTGGGTCAATCACAGGCTGTCCGAGCCCATTGGCGTGCTTGGCAGCCGATGTTTGGCGGATGCCTAGACTTTGGGAATATTAGCCCCCAAGCCATAAGGCGTCCGGTCGGCTAATGATGGGGCAGAGGGATATTAGCACGTTCCTTGCCAAGGATTTCAATATAACTCGCCAAGTGTTTGTACGTCATGGGCGCTGTTGTTAGGCTGATGTAGAGGATCGTGTCGGTCCAGTTACGAGGGAACTGGCAAGCCACCCCCAACTACAACGACAGGAGAACTTCCAATCCCCGCAAAACATAATGTTTCCTCCCCGTTTCTTGGCCTTCCCCATGCCCTGGAGAAACCCTGCGGTCTCGGATTACCGCATTGATCCAGCCGAGGGTGTGGAGGAATGGCCAAGCTACATAACCAGCTGCTGGTCGCGATCTACCCATTTCAGAGTCCACACTTCATTCCTCACTACTTGCGCCGTCCCGTGCGTGCTTGAACATCATGTTTGGGCTCCCGAAGTATTTTGGGCTTAGAGGCCGAGCCTTGAACTTGGCGATCAGTTCCCTAGGGAGTCTTGATTTCTTGTATGGTGCTGTTGCCAAAATCTGGCACTCATAATGTCCTCACTCGTCACTGACTGGCGCCACAAACAGACTCTTCGGATATGATCAAGGTGTAACAGGTGGTCTGCTTGACCTCCCGTCGTTTTACAAATACTTTCCTGATATCAATCCCCTGAGGGCGGAAGAAGATACACCCGAATTCTCGCGGCTCCGTTTGAACCAAGGCATTGCAGTGGCGTCTTACAATCTGGGATGCTTTATTGGTGCGATCTTGACAATCTTTATCGGCAATCCGCTAGGCCGACGTAGAACAATCTTCTGCGGCTGCATAACTATGGCGACCGGTGCTCTATTACAATCAACTGCATTTCACTTGCCGCATTTCATCGTCGCACGCATCGTTACGGGGATTGGAAACGGTATGAACACCAGTACCGTGCCCACCTGGCAATCGGAATCATCGAAGGCCCATGACCGGGGGAAGATGGTCATGATCGAGGGTATGCTCATTACGGCGGGTATTACTCTGAGCTACTGGATTAATTACGGTGAGTGTGATCGGGTTCCGCGCTGCCTGGAGCGCAGTTGCTGACATGATTGGCAATAGGATTCTCATTTATCCCCGACAGCGAGGTGGCATGGCGATTTCCCCTGGCCTTCCAGATTCTCTTCGCCGTGGTGATTTTCATGTCAATCCTCAATCTGCCCGAGTCTCCGCGATGGCTAGTCATGCAGGGCCGGAATGACGAAGCAGTCGAGATCCTCGGATATCTAAACGAAAAGCCTCCCGATGACCCTTTCATCAGGAACGAACTCAAAGCTATCCAAGCGACAGTCGAGGAAATGTCCAAGGGTTCTTATAGAAGTCTGTTCGATATGAGCGAGTACCGTGAATTCCACCGAGTCGCACTCGCCTATGTCAACCAGATGTTCCAGCAGATATCCGGAATCAATCTGATCACTTACTATGTAAGATCTCGCTCATCCTGATGGTATCTAATCCCACTGCTAAGACGGTCACCATTAGGCGCCTCAACTCTATAAGGAAATTGGCCTTGGAAGCGGCAATCTGCCAAAGTTGCTAGCCGCTTGTAACGGAACTGAATATCTGATGGCTGCTTTTATCCCCATCTTTATTATCGAAAAAGTTGGACGCCGTCCACTCATGTTATTTGGGGTATGCAACTTATCGGCTGTCCGGTTTGAGATCCTGCCTGCTAACCACACTTGTAACTTAGGCCGCTGGCATGTCCATCTCGATGGCAGTTCTCGCGGGTACTAACTATCGGTTGCTGGAGCTAAAGGATAAGCAAGCTGGCATTGGACAGGCCGTCTTTCTTTTCGTCTTCAATACCTTTTTCGCCATCGGGTGGCTGGGAATGACATGGCTGTATCCCGCCGAAATTGTGCCGCTGCGAATTCGTGCCCCGACGAATGCATTGGCAACTAGGTAGGGCAACTTTCCAGCATCTCTATTAATGGTACCAACTCACTAACGGCTTACTAGTGCTAATTGGATCTTTAACTTCATGGTCGTTATGATTACCCCTGTCTCATTCGCCAACATTAAGTGGAAGACTTATGTTATCTTCGCCGTGATGTAAGATTCTATTACGGGGCCCTTGGGCTGTGCATTAGCTGACAATTGCAGAAATGCATTCATGTTTCCCTGCGTGTATTTCTTCTTTCCCGAGACACGGTACCGCTCTCTCGAGGAGATGGACAACATCTTCAAGAAATCCACCAATGTCTTCAATGCCGTCACCCTTTCGATCAAGGAACCTTACCGCTACGACAAGCATGGCCAACTCAAACCAGAGTACCTCGAAGAAGCCATCCGCCGCGAAAGCGCTTCCGTCCAGCCCTCCGGCAAGGCGTTTGACAGTGATGATAGCACGCATGAGGTCAAGGCCTGAGTGACCAGAAGGAGATCTGGATTAGGTGTGCCGTTACTAGCATTCTTGTACTACATCGATGGCCGCTGGCCAAATACAAATCTACAAATCTGATCCGGGAAGTTCGCCTGCAAAGGGAGCATGCATGCCTGGTCTTTTGCTTTCTTGTATCTAGACTTTGGTTGAGGTAGAGGCTTTGGGCTGTGATGGCTTACTGCAGCCCAGTACGCCAGCAATAGGACTATATTTTAATGTAGGGCAGCCGCATTGTCACCCGGCTTTGCCGCCTTTAGAACAGCTGTCTATTAAAAGAACGTTCATCTCTGATTTCCGACCTTTTCTGCTGATCGTTCTCACGGGTGAGGTAGCAGTAATATTTCCAAGAGGAATCTGGGGTGGACATAATTGGGTGCGGCGTGATCTAAGTCAAAGATCAAAAAGTACGGTATGCTGAGTGCCATCGATAGTAGTCACGCTCGGGATAGCTTCCCTTCAAGCAATATTTCTGCGTCTGTGAGACCTGTCTTTGGGGCCACTGGTGGATTGGGCAGTCCTATGCGATATTGTTACGTTGGTGAAACGTCCAATTGGAACGCTCCCAGGAACTGATGTCTGTCCGTCCATGGGATCAGATCATTTCACCTGGAACAGAATGCTCCGTATCCCCCGGGTTTCCGGCCCCATGGGGCAGAAATGTGGTCTACATTAATAGGGTTCGAACTATCAGAAGGAGGTTTGGCGGCACAGTCCGACTGTTGGAGATGGCTTGGCGTCGAGGAAGATGCCGTCTGAGTCAAAAATAATCAAGCACCACTGTGGCTGCATAAGACTTTCCTTAGCAGGGGACCAAAGATGTACTGTCAGTTAGCTTAGAACTGTCTATACCCAGGACGATGTTTCGCCAAACGGAGTCGGAGAGCTGACGCCGTTCCACAACTCGGATATTATGTTCCGATGCAGTCCAGTGCGGAATACTTTTCTAAGACAGTACTGGAAAATAAGAAGAGAAATTGAACCAGTCCATGTCCTGCATGTCTTTCCGGGATTCGGGATGTTAAGAACACGAGGCCAAGCCTTGGCGAGGAAATTGATACTACCTCGGGTTTCCCCATCCAGCAAACCCGCGGGGAAGTGAGGAAAAGAAGGAAGAATGATTGATCCCGAGGGAGAAATCGGACGTTATGACCAGTGACATAACCAATTCTGTCTAATGTGAACGTATGATACTAAGCGTGTGCAAGACACGTCGAGATAGATCTCTTCCGTTGGAAGTAGATTGTGATGCCCAGTGTCCTACGATTACTAATCACAGATAAAATCTCAACCACGATAGGGCACAATGAATGGTAAAACGAGCTTGGTGGAAGATGTGATAGTTATCGCGAGACTCAGCCACCGGGTGCTTCAAATCTCAAAGAATATATATATATTCGCAGCGACCAACTCTTATTGAGAATGTTGGTAATTTTCTGGCCTTTTTCTGCGTTTTACATCGTTGCTCAGTGAAAGGGGGTTGCAAGACCTTGAAGACCTTTGTACGGGCTTGCCTATATAAAGGGCCTCACCTACCCCTTCAGATAGATCTAGTTGATCATCAAGACAGTGAAACATATCGTTTCTTCCTTTTCAAAGACTTCTTCACAACTCCAGCTAGCAATAAGTTCCGCCAATCCTAGCCACGCTCAACCAAACGCGTAATATGTTTGAAGATATGTCGGAGTGGTTTGTCGATGTACAACGACCGTTGCACGCCACTGGGAACCTTTAACAACCTGCGAAATCACAGACCCTAGTCAGCACTGCACCTGCATTAGAGTCACCAGAAATGGGGACGCGTGTGGGAACAAGGTATCTAAAGAATCCCGTGAAACAGCCTCTCACAGACTGGAGATCCTAGCTATATGTTCTATCAATGACCCCCTTATTTTAAAGCAGCAGGCGATTGCCGGCCTCCTCGTCTGCAAGCGACGGCATCAAGACCAGGTGACCTTATTGAACAAGCGGTGGTGTACGCGTCAGGATCTTTTACCAGAGCAAGCGCGCCAATACTGAATCCAGCTTGCTCACAATCATCACAATACCGCTATACCTAGAGTAACCAGATCCCAATAACAAAGGCAGAGCGCCGCGTGTCTGGAAGCTTAACAAACCTGCTAATCACCTGCCAGCAAAGACAGAAAGCCACTGTTGCCATGATTCAGGAGAACCGGATACTGTCGCGCCCGATATTGCCTTCCATGCCATATACATAAGTTGTTTTCAAACCCGAGTCACATAATACGCTAAACTAAATATCCAGTAATTAAACTGTTTTGTCTCTAACACGTAACAATATCATGCCTTGTATAATACCAGTATGGACCCCACAGTGATCCTAGAAAGCAGGTCCTGAATCCGTCACGTCACCCCTCATAGCTTCTTGCGGTTGCGGCTAGCCAACGATGGGAGCCACAGCTAAGAGCCAGAGCATCCCTGAACCTATCCAGAATCAAGGAGGATACGTACTCTACTGTCTGATAGCACAAACTCTACATTGTCACCAGAGACCGTCATTTTCTCTCTCTATATATAAAAGGATTCAGTAATAAATTAGTATCTCTATCATAGAACCTGCGATAGATGCTGCCAATAAGACTTATAAATCATTTGACCTCAGATAAACTATTACAATTAATCTGGATGTCCTGGAGAGAAAGCTCTGCTATCTTCTCTGCTGGACAGATCAGTATATGTTAAAGATATAGGCAAGCATGCCTTATCTGCAAATATTGCTAAAAAGGCTTCTATAATCTTTATATTGTTCTGTTTCCTAGACTTAAGAGCAAGTAAGGAAGCTACAAATAGAACGACCTAACAGTCTCTGAAGCAGCCTTAAGCAATCGTGAAAGTCCTGCAGTCTTCAGAGTAAGTTATGGAATAGAGATATGCAAAAATCTTGTAAATGTTGATAACTCTTTCCGTCTAACTACTCCATTTACTCCTGTTACCTAGTTCAGGGTATAGCTTGAATAAACCCAGATCTATCAGACACTGCAGTAAGACATCCGCATTTTCCTTGGATTTCCAGTTGTCCCTGTGTAAGGTATTCGCCAAAGTAATATCTCTTACTCTCCCCAGATTTATGAAGTCAAAAATCTAGGAAGTCTCTTATATCTATTAAATACATTTCTAAAGCTTTCATAACATCCGCGTAAACTTGAGAAATGTGCCTTCCGGATAGCCACGAGTATCAAGAACAAAGAGTGAAATCTTGTTCAAACTTGGTTTATTCCAGTCCTCAACATGCTGATAGAAGCTGTATTGCAGTGCAAGAAGCAAAGAGCTGGTCCAGCTCATGAGATTGCAAAAACACATTCAATTATCGGTTCATCAAAATCAGTCCGATTTATTGGTCCGTTGGCACTATTCTCCTTCCATGGCCCGCTAACTCAAGCATTTAATGCTGACATGTTGCATGATGACAAGGCTCCAGGGTGCACAAAGTAGGAGCTCTTGCTATTCCCTATAATATCCTGAATTAGGTGCTCCCTGAAGATACTTTATCTACTTTAGCCATCTGTCTGGTTAGAGTGAGAAAGATTTACCTTGTACACTGATAGAGCTTTAGACATGATGCTATCTTCAACAGAGGAATGAAAAAGTGGCTAGAAGACCAAATCAAGAGAATAGTGCGCGTATGTCAAAGAACTGAAAGGGTGCTAAAAAAAAGAAGTACAGGAACAGACTACTGATCCAGCTTTTCTCTGTAGCAGTGGACGCATTCTAGAATATAATATTGCAATGCTGACAATATACAGAATTACCCCTTCCTAGGAGGAAAGTAAGGGTGCCTGCCCAACCATGCCAGGATTGCTGACAGATAAAGGGAATGAGAAGGATACTGTACGGTTTGACATGTCACTTTTAGAAAGAAAAATGAATGAGTAAAGATAACTATCACGTCCACTCTTATAAAGGTTTGCGGCTAGAGGACCGTATTCTTAGTATAGGGAAGGTGCTTCGCCGGATTGGATCGGCTCTCGGGCGTACAAGTCTCTGTCTTAGGATCTCTCAGCAGGCTCTCTGGAGTGAGTGAACCAGCTGATGCGTGTTTCTTTATCCGGTCCTGAGATTTGGATTCTCCACACAGAGTAAACAGATTCTCAGTTGCTGTTCTGGGGTTTCGGCCCCAGCATCAAAATCTCTTCTTAATCCCGGCCTAAAATGAGTTACTCGGCATTTTATTAAGGATATTATGTACTAGGCACATGACTACTATTCTAAATAGATACGTGACATGTATTGCAAGTACCTAATTTAGATAATATTTCCAGTCTTGCCTTCCTTATATCTGTGGTACTAAAAGTAGGAGAGGCGATTTAAAGCTTCTTGGCGTCCTGGTAGTTGCTCTCACGGTCCTGTTTAAGGAAGCCCAGGACAAGAAACTCTGGTAATTTGGTCAGAAGTGCTGTGAATAAAATAGGACATTTTGTCTTACCTCCAAGTGTGAGTTTTCTGTCCCGGGTGATATCCGCTGAGTCCATGGTAGAGTAAATCCAACTACATGCTTTTTGATGGTCTTCCATAGCCTTCTCGGCCTCTTCCCTAGTTTTGTAGCCCTCAGATTTTGGCTCAATGTTTTGCAGGAATTCCTCGACTGACAGGCGCCCTGATTTGAATTTAGCTCTAATATTCTTTTACTGTCTGACATACACATCTAATACGGATAGATTTTAGTATAGCAGCGGGACCATGCGTTCAAAGCAATTGTAGGGGTCTTGCCGTAAGTAAGGATGTTCACGGTCATACAAAACCCTAGCGAGCTCTACACAATGCTCCAGGACCAATATATTGATATGTTGCCCTGGAGTGATGACATTCAGTAACAGTCAGAATAATGGGCTCTATATATGTCTCATTATCAAGATGAAAGGGGGAGAATGGCTGAAATTGACACAGGGCACTTTCAGGCGCAACGTGTACTGCGCTCCTTGACTTGTAGTTTCTTTCAACTATCTCGAGTAGCTTCAATGTAATAAGCGGGTGAGAGCCCAGTAACCATCCGAGGATTATTGGATATCTTCTGGGACTTTCTAGATGGAGTCCCTGAGAAAATTCTCCGATATCTGATAGCTATATCATTTTAACCGTTTTACTGAACTCTACCTTCTTGCTATATTCGTCGCACCGCAAAGGAGTACCTTCGCTATGACTGAAAAGGGGTTTCCGGGATAAACGACTATATGTTGGACGGGGATATGCACCTATATGTGCCTAATTTTCTAGACAGACCGTATACTTCCTCTTCTGGACGCCACCGCCTAAGTGAGGGCGCTGAGGGAGGCCCGCCTGCTCAGTGGGTATTTCACGGGACGGATCACCTCCCCCTGATTGCTCAGCACTCCTCAGTAAGTAGCCGTGGCCGCTCACCCCATCTATTTTGTCTGGATAGTTTGACAACTATATTCGATGATTTTTAAGAACGCCAAAGTCAGTAAAATGTCCATACAAGATAACGCACTAGAAATTGATGAAACTCAGTCCATCCTTGGGTAGAGAAATCTGAGATGTAGCAAACCTTAGGGCTGTAGTAGATAGATGTTGAGGATAAGTGCGAACAAAGCATAGCTTTCCTCTCTTTTTGGGGACATTATATCGTGTAGAGAGTAAAGTATCTAATATCGTCACTTTTTTGTACCATTTTGCGAACCGGCCAATAGCGTCTAAGGCGCCCCTAACCATTCCCAAGTTTAACTGGTAGTGCCTAATCCATCCGCATGCATCATGCAAAAGTATCCATAACAACTCAAAAAAAAAAGTCCCCGTTGGAGAGAGGTTGAATACTCACTTTGGCAGAGGTAAATTCTGCCCAGGAAAAGCTTTCGGGCGACGGGAATCGATTTCAGCTAGAAGGCACATCAGGATTAAGTTATAAATTCATATTCCCGTGCTTGGCGCTGGGGCTTCTTGTATCTTGCGGTGACGAAAAGAGGGGCTATCCGTTAAAAGCACAGATTTAAGGTATGTCCGTTTTCCATGTACAGGGAGAACTTTTAGACGTTAGGGATATGCCCACTTGGCATGAAGATATCAAGCTGGACATGTTGGTGTCATTGCAATGGCGAGTCTTGGTCGGGTTTTATCACTTTTCTACACTTCATCTTCCGATCTCGAAAGAGAGGATGAGGAATGGCGTGAAGTCACTGAAGCACTCTCTGCTTGAAGCATGTGTTCTCGATACGGGGGCTTTTCCTAGAAGCCGGCTTGGTAGATTTTAAGAAAGCACCTCCCAACAACTTTGCGTAGCACATATAAAAGACAACAAGGGTGTACGTCCGGATGGGAGGAGGAACGGAGACCAGTTCTCTAACTAGCAATGATTATTTTTACTCAGATAGAAGCGCTGAAAAGCACATGACAATTATAAGTCCATGAAGTAAAGGAACTTCACTCCCATGCTGAGGTCTGACGCCATTTTTATGCATAGCGTTATTTTTACGCAGATGCAATTTCCTCCATAGAGCCCTTAACTTTGTTTAGAACCTCTTTAGTGAACGTTTCCTCATCAGTCACACCCAAAACACCAACTTGCCAATTCAGTGTAATAATCATGTCCGCGTCTTTCACTGTCACGACTTGAAAGTTCAGTGGAGAAGCAGTGACATTTGCAGGTTGAGAGAATACAATCTTCTCGATCTTCCAATCATTCTCTTCCTGTGACGGTGTAGCAGTCGCAGTAGCCGATCCATATATGGAAGGATCGAAAATACCAAGATTACTAATCTCATAGGACGAGTCTCGACGCTTTCCTATCTTCTCAAGAAACCAAGGGCGGAAGTTACTGAGGTATTGCAAGAGTCCAACAGGTTGATCATCGAGCTTGTTGGCAGCATCCGATAATCGAGATGTCGTTTTCCGTACCGCATCCCAAAATGATTGATCGTATGTTGACTCAATACCAGAGCAGGCTGACGTTTCATAAACGGCAGACACACAGTTTCCCATCGTGTTATCTGAATAATCTGATAGAAACGATCTCAGATCGATAACGATTTGTCCAATATAGGCCTTATATCTAGTCTCGCGGGGTAGGGCCTCGCTCAATGCGCGTACGACCAGTTGGCTCAGCAGTCCTGTCAGTTTCCCACGCTGAGTCCTACACGCTATTAGGACGTCATCAAGTAGGTTCTTCTGAATTATTAAGGTTTGAGAACCTGTGCGAAACCTTTCGGGAATGTAGGTTATAGGCTGGCCAGTATATGCATGGGCTGGTGGTTGGGACTGTACGCCGAACCAGCGGCATAGGAAACGTGGTAAATGCTGTTGAAGGAGTGGGGAGAGTAGGTAGGACCAAGAAATCCGTAGATTGCATGCATCTTCCAATGGTGGCGGAAGAGGGGATATGGGTGGTTGGCAGATCATGTTTTGATCATATTTATGTTCTGCGGTCTGGAGTCCGTGGAGGAACGATCTATGAAAGGCTAGGCCAGACTTTCCATCCCCATGGGTATGAGAATACACGAACATGACGTATATCCGCTTCTGCATAATATTTAGGGGGTTAGGTAGCGGCAGGATCAAGATCTTCCACTGGGGGATAGTCCCCACGTTCGACCAGGGTTGATCATGGGCCTCGAGGGTAGCTTGCTTTAGCAAATCAAGTGCATCGTGAAACTTATAATAGGAAAACCCTGGCTCGAGAATCTTGATGTGGTTTTGGAGGTCTAACTCTGGCGGGCGAATAAACATCGGGGTTTCGCTTGAGTCTCCTTCAATGGCGGCGCTAAGGATGGGGTGAGACTCGATACACCATTTCAAAGCAGGAAGATAGGAAGAGACAGCTGTAGCGTCAAAAGCTGTGCCTTTCTCCAGAGTATACAACCCTGAAATGACCAATGATCGATACCACCCAAGAGCATGACGCATAATATATCGTCTCTCATTTTTACCTGTTGTAGTAATTAATATTGATGTTACCTCTTTGATATTTAATTTATACTAACTAGCTGCCCGTAGCCTTGTAAAAGATTGTAAAGGCATGACGACTAGCTCTAGGTAATGTGTTTGAGAGCATATAATGAAACATTCATAGATAGGTTTAATGTCACAGTCCGCCGTCGTTCCAAGTACACATAACTCGTGTTTAAATATGCCAGACCATCATGTTGAAGACCGTGATCGGAGTCATAAGCGTGCTCCACAGTACGGGAAAGTGTGCGACTACTGGCAATCCGATTGGGCTGCAGAAATAGCCCATGTACTATGTAAATGGGTGATTGGCACACTACTCCACTTGTACAATCATAGTCGCTTACTGGCAGTGTTTCCAGATACGTCGTGGCTGACATGACGAGTAAGGAAACAAGCCACTAATTAATGGGTAGTCACAATAGCGGATGTACCACCCAAAGAATTACAATAGGCCGTAGAGTACCACTTCATGTTTGGGGTATGACTTGGATCATATGATACAATATATACAATATATACAATATACTATAATTTATGCGATGGTTCGATGTCCTCTCGACAATCTGGATAAACAAAGAAAAATTCCGGGCCGATTGTAAATCTTTCGATGCAGTCAGAAGCGTCACGGAATGGCCCTGAGAAGTGGTATTTTCCAGAACTTTGGTCCATATCGATGGTATGCGCCGGCGAGAATGGCCATTCAAACTTCACATTTCGAGTAAAGTAATACCAGAACCGATTGGTTAGATGTGGGTAGTTTAGGGTTATTAGCCTGTCTCGAAAACGCGGCCTGTAGACCATTAGTCCAATTCAACCTAAAGCGATGAGATCCGCCACTATACCAGGCAAAATAATCAATTACAATGCAATGGGGTTTTGAGGGTTTAGCTCTCCTATGAAGTATGTATCAGCGGTTATTCGAAAAAGAACTGAAATCTAGCACACCTTGGGCAAAACCATGGTGGAAGACACGGCGGGCGGTCTGGACAGACACGGGACTACTGCAGTTAGCAGCGTAGCATATAAAAAGACAAAAAGGGATATAATACTAAGAGCAGAAGGTGGATTCCGCGAAGAAGGGCAAGCCTGGTCGCTACTGCGGTGCCTGCCATCAGGAGGGCATCAATGCGGTGTAGAATACTCCATATAGGACAGGTAAAATATTCGTGCTGAAGCACATTCCATCCCAAAATAACGCCGCGGATCAGGGCATCCTGATTAAAATGATCGTTTGTGCATACCTGTGAGGGCTTGAACAAACACACACTACCAAGGATCTCATTCAATGAATCGCAGAGACTAGTGCCGTTGTTGGCACAATCGTTGAGTGTAAAGGGGCTGGTGTCAGTGCAAGCCCCTAGACTCTAAGAAGCAACATAATCGTCAGCTTTCCCTTCCTAGAGCCTACGAGCAGGCACGTATTACATTTGAGGGGGACGGTAACAATGCCAAACAGCGCTGCTCCATGTGGAATAGGCGATTGTTGATAGATTTAAGGGAATTCTTCAAAGCTTCCCGACGTCTAAGTTGAGAGGCTCGGTTCATTCGTCGCTTACGATCCCTCTGGGCATCGCTTAATAAACGACCAGAAGACCATGGGATCCTAGGAAGGCCCTGATCCATCGAGGACCTCGGTTTGCCCCTGATAAGATATTGGGGCATAATATAGTGCGAGGCTGGATATGCCAGTTATTTAGACGAGAACGTAGCAGAATGCATGAGGAGATGCATGTAAGGAAAACACAGAACAATGGCAACTCCTCTCCTATAGGAGGCGTAGTTGAGAAAGAGGGTTTTTCTAGATGGCAATGCATAAAAATTCTCCACTGACCCAGGGCACCAATCGGATTCGAGATAGTCGCACAAATCCGATTGGGATTGATGCACGTGATCATTCCTTTGCCACGTGCAAGATCTAAGTATTTCTTGGATGACGCTCCGTTATAAGGCGGGAGAGGCGATATATGAAGAAGGGATGCTTGATATATGAATTTCTGAGGGAGCTAAATTGGGTTCGTTTGCCAAGTGATGCTGTAGCTGGCGAGACCTCAGCAATTACCTAGCCGTTCGCAACGGAATAGTAAAGGAACCCCATCTGCCATTACTCTGTCAAATATTCGATAGCTCTGTAGTCAAACGAAACTCTCCCAAGGCTGTTCAATACACAGGCCACCAGCAAGTGAATAATAAAGGTATACTAATAAGGTATCTTACAGTGGCTAGCTAGTCTTCACTTAGGGTTGGATACTAAGCGGTAAAATACTATCTGTTATGGAAACACTATATCCCGCAACCGGCTTAGCGTGCAGGGATACTAGTTGGAGCTATTCAGCTCCTGAGCCTTTAGATAGAAGAGCACTCTGAGGGCTATAGAATGATATAGCTAGGAATGCAATAGGCTCAATTGGTTGAGACACGTTGATTCTTGGTGTTTCCACCGATGACATCTACCTCCTAATTAGGCACCCGATGAGCCTGTAGCCGATACGATAGCTCCCTGCGCTCCATTCCACTTGAGATTTCACAACACTATCTCGCAAAGTATGATTTATCTAGCGCCCTATCAGAGTCACCAAAGATATTCACCTAAAGCTGGTGCCGGCTTCTACTAAGATCGTCGAAAATTTTTGATTTTGTTCAGATGCTTGTTTAAGTGTTGCATTGGTTATGATAAGTAAAGGCGAGAAGAATTAGGCAACGGAAGAAGGCGGTACTGATGCCTAATGGATAAACTGGAGACCCCCATTTGGAGCACCGCATTTGCGATTTTCTAGCGCCCAGGATAGAAGTAGGAAAGGACCAGCATCGATCAGATCCATACCCTCCCTTAGCGTCGGCAAGCGCTCTTGATCACCTGCTGTGCCGGAGAATTTCCGATAAGCTTTAATATCCGTAGTTGAGGCCATAATGCAAGCTATGGATTCCCTAATCCTACGATGTCGTTCAAACGGCAGATTTTCGTTGTAGGAAAGATCTGCTTATCGCGGTGCGTTCGTCACACGCTTATTCCTTGTTTTGCTTTGAAATTTGTGTATACAAGACGCCGTTTTCCGCTGTATATTCGTTGTCAACCAAAATTACCATTAAAGCACCCATATCGGCCACCACCATACTAATCTACATCAGCGATCCCGATATCGGATAATAGTCATATTAAGGCCTATAAATATTGCTCATTTTATCATTAGGTCAAGGAATTAGACCTCGCCATTTCTTCATTGCGCCCCTTAGGTAATACTGAATCCCAGTGTTATTCGGACGAGACGCTAAACTAAGTAAAATATACACTCTGTATTGGGGATACCGCATATTTGCTTTTTGATTAAGGAAGAATTACGTGGTACACTATAATATCGGAGCAAGTAGAGAGAGTTTCTTTCATATATATACAATATTGTGATTATGATTATGATTATTATTAATCAAGTTTAACATCCATATCGTTCCGTTGGCTATGACAGACACATTGTGCCTAGGCAGTGGCCTCGGCCACTGCCTCTAAATGGTCCCTAGGGGCTCTATCAGCCTCCCCCCCTCTCCTCTAACGTTTGTGCGTCCATTCTGTTCCTTTCCCTCGCCCGAATCACCTATCTGCACCAGAGCCTTTGGGATATGCCCTCGTGTCCGTTACCTTCTGGGCATCATCTAGGCGTGCCTAGATTGCCTCTTTCTACTATCCCTCCCTCCTTGCTTTCTGCTTCTATTAGCTCTACTCCTCTAAGGTCGTCCCTATAGGCCCTATCTATCTCCCTAGCTGCTTCCCCCGGGAAGTGTCGCAAGGATAGTCGTTAGGGTCTTTGTGGCCCTCTGATCCTCCAAGAGACGGCATTCTGGGGCTATTTCACCCTGTATAGGTGGTGGCACTCCTTCCTTGACTAGGGCCTGTACAAGGCCTGTATCTGGTGGCGCCATTGTCTACATTCGACCTGTAGATAGCCTGCTGTTCCCTGTGGAGCCTGGCAGCTCTAACATCTACGTGAGTCTTGAACCACTATCTGACTGAGGTAGGTCGGTATTGCGGCGTGCCCAACCTTTAGCTGATAGTATCGGTGAGCGAGCTGTTTTGGTGCTGCTCCTGCTACTAGATCTAGTTTCTATCTTTTCTGGGGTTGATAGGGTTGTTGGGTCCTGTAGCACCGTTTCTCCAGAGCCTATACAAGCCATTGTTGCCTCTGCGCCTGGATTGCCTCAGTACGTTCTCTGTGTAGATAGGCTAGACTAAGGCTTCTGTCTATGTCCCTGGGGCCTTTTGTACAGCTATTTTAGCCGCTTGATTGCCCTTCTAATTTTCTAGTATACCTTGATGGCCTGGGACCCATTGGATAGTGATTTGACATCCTTGATTCTCGAACCTTCGGGCTATATCTTGGGCCTGAATTGCCCGGCCTTGCCCTGGGCCAGCTCTATTGTCTTGCTGGCGAGCTACAGCAGCCTGGGAGTCTAATGGGACCCTGGTAGGACCTTTATATCCCAGCTGCTCAGCTATTTCAAGTGCACCCGCTTGATCTTCCAGGTACCTGATGGCTCTAGCCATGCAATGCCTGCGCCAGTCCGTCCACCCTCTAGACGTGAACCATCTAACCATAGTGTTAGGCCTTTATAGGGGGTGCTTGCCTACTTGAGGGCTTCTACCTCTATGGGCACGTATAATACCTGGAAATATCTTGGGGGAAACCTCCACTACCTCTTCAAATCCTGCGGAGGGATCTATCTCTAAGATAGCTGCTACCTTAACTGCTATATACTGACATTAGTTCGCGTCTCCTAAAGGATGGTAAGAATCCTACTTGCTTAGTTTCCTTTTGGACAAAGTTTCATTGGCCGCTAATGTACGAGGTAGTTCACCAACTAGGCGGAATGCAATACTTATACCAATGCATCTCCGTATCAGCATCCTTAAACTTCCCAATCTTGTCAACCACCCCATCTTCTCCAATCCTCCACTCACCAGCCCCCACAATCTGCGCCCAGCGTAGCAGTACTTTATCTAACTGAACCAGACCGCGATTACTGAAGCCATTAAGTCCAGACCAGTAGAGGCTCTTATTATCCCCTTCAGGATAGGATTCAACTTCTTCTATCACTATTCCAGGTTGATCTCCATCCCTAGTGCGCGTCCATCATTTTTCCTAATCTTAAAAGATAAAATAAGATAATATGTGTTCAAAAAGGCACGGTTCATTATTGAATAAATACGTTCCATATATAATCATACTGGGAGCTCTGGAATATTACTAGGCGGTTGATAGGATGGTTGAGAGGACAGTAGTGAAAGAGGATAAAGCCCACGGCCAGACCCTTCTTGCCATCCGTATAGAAAAGAAGCAAAGATAGTGATATTGGATCATTCGTCAGGTAAGAGCCGAGATAGGACTGGATAGTGAATTCTGCAACAGTTGGTAGTTAGATTCCAGGTGCAATATAGTGAAAGGATATCTTTTGGGCGGACAAACCCGTAAGAAAGTCATATGCAAAGGTTTTGGTGGTAGATCAATTGAGGTAAGCAAGTCTGGATCGGACTAAGGATTGTAGGAGTCAGCTGCTTTACGGGCTGGTTAGCAGGCCTTAATAGAATCAAGTAGTCTTTGCATAGCAGATAAAACATTATCTACATCGACTTTAGTATATGGGTAGAGAACCCATGGCTTCATAAGCCTAGGCCAGTGTGGAGGACTAGGGCATATCAGGGTAACTTTGCCTTCGTCAATCATGTCAAGATATACATCAAGAATGACCTCCAGTGACTTGAATCCCCAGCCATGAATACACATCGGAGATCCCCTCTCTTACAGTTACCCCATAGCTAGAGAAAACAGCCCCAGTTATTTTCCCATATTTCTTTCATCCCGACATAGGTAAAACTCACGTAGTTATTTATAGTCTTGAATTCAGTAAATGCCAATCCACTGCGGCCAGTTAGTATTGTTAGCAACAACAAGTCACAAATAGAATATACTTACAAGCGAAGAGCCACCATGTTATCCTAGTATAGTAATTAGAGTTAGTGTATTCATGATACTAGGGTAGGGCACTCACTTCATCATAAGTAACAGCTTTGCAATACTGGCCGTAGTACTAGGATAGTGCCAGGGTGTATTGGCTCTGTCAATATTGCTTAGCACAAAGAAAGTTATTAAGGCTTATAAAAGAAGTAAATTTATAGTTATAAATACATTACCTGTTGTATAATAAGAGCCCGCAGTAATAGGGGCATAGATCAAGCCAGAAGCCTTGAAAAGCCACCTGGAGGGCTAAAAGAAACTTATCAGGATGTCCCTTGTCTATCTAGAAGGCAAAATAAGGTGAAGAGTCCCTTACCCTTTGTAAACGCGTTGTTAGTTGTACACCCCGCTACAGTCCCCTAGAATATTTGGGATTCCAGCTTAAGGATTGCGTCTTGGAGATAGGGAGCTCATCGGTGGAATAGCGAGCTGCTAGCTCTTCACTAAGATGATGTTAACGGAGAGACACAATAAATCATAAGTGGCCTCATGGTTACAGTACCTCCTGCATCCTTTGGCTTACTAGGTTGTTTTACCCTAAATAGTGTGGACTTCATAAGGCTTAGGCAAGCACAAAGGGGAATCAAATCGATGTTCTTGATCCTATATAGCATAAACCACTGTCCCTGAACTCACATTGCACTTTTTGGAGATTTATTGACAACTCAGCCAGGAATCAGATGGTTGAATCAATGGCCCAGGACAGCTCGTTGGTGATGGGACAGGGGTTACGGTGGCAGTAACTGGCACGGTGCGAGTTGAAGCAAACAAGATAGATTCGTAAAGAATTCGCTACATAGCTAGACGATACCTTGTTGGTTTTTATCATCGGTCGGTAGATTGTCAACAACAGTAACATACGAGGTCTTTCTTGTAAAGCTTGGTTACATCCATCATATCCTTGGTTATCTGGGTCGTAGAGAAGACCCGGTCTAAGCATTCTGGAGGTTTATTATCCTCATACTCATAATACTCTTCGGGATCCCATCTAGGCAAGTTTAGCTGCCTATTGAGAGATTCATAGCTCAGCTGTTCCTGTTCCCCTACGGAATATAATCACTACCTTGCAAGGTCTATGAATTCACAAAGCACCAATTTTATGAGCTGAATGTAGGTATGTTAATAGCTCTAAATCAATATTAATGGAATGAGTATCCCTTCATCTATCTCTAAACATCTCTAAACATACTAGATCGTGCCCTTCATTCCATGTGGTTGGAACAGTCTTCGCACGCATGTAGACGTCCCCAATAAACACCGTCTGCTGATCACAATCTCGAGACGTCGCACATTCTTGGGTACACAACTGTGTCGTGTTCTTCGTAGTCCAATCTAGGTCCAAACTAGATAATTCATGATATTACGTTCAGCAGAATACTGCTGAAGGAAAACAAGGCTAGCAGTACTAGTTGGAGCTCGAGACCGCTTGCTTCCTGTCGCTCCATCATATAGAACTGTGTTGTTTCTAAAAAGGGATGATATTTGCGGCAAGCTTTAAAAATTCAGAACTAAGTACAACGACTTCAGGCATTGTTCAGAAAGCTCAAAGTGTTCCTTTAAAAGCTGACTATCTAGTCTAGCATATACATTGAAGGATCCTTGCACCACATGGAGGAGACTAAACAGATGAAGAAGCATAGTCCCGTGATTCTAGTAGCCTTGACCTGATATACCATAGTGTGAGGAAGGGTACTTGCCGTCAGTTACTCCTTTGACTTGGGATGAGGCAACAACAGAGTGCCGGACTTATAGAAGCTTAAGGAAAAGATAGCACATAGAAAGGGATAATAGAAGCAAATTCAGAAGTTCCTCGGTAGTTCTTCGTGCAAGGGATCGTAGCTCAATGGCTCAATTTCAGGTATTGATGTAAAACTGCATCTGCTGATAAGAAGATTTGTTAATTCACTTATACCATATTGACATCAAGACCTCTAAAGTTGCAAATTTGATACCTTAGCACAATGAATGACCCCAATGCTCGTTAACAGGGGAAGGGGCCAATAGTTGCAAGGGCCTCTGGATAAAGCTATAATATTCTCTTATTTCTATTGTGAAAAAAAGCTGACAGGAAAAGAAAAATAGATTAAATAGATCTAATTAATATAACACTTTAAGTACAGTATGGAATTTATAGATTTGTCCGGTAGGTTTCGCAGCCGCAGACCCGAGAAAGGGGGGGTTAGGTAGGACAGGAAACCAAAGTAAATAGGCCACGACAGGCCGTAACGAGGCTCCAAGATTATCCGCATGAAATAGTATATTGTAAATAGACATGCAAGGATAGTTGCGGTTATAGTAGCCTCCATATCGCTTGTTTTGCGAAGGGTCAGGATAAATGAAACAACCAACCAACCAGCCTAGTGCAATAATAATTATAATGTGGATCTGCGGGTGATCGATGACTTATCTCCAGTTCCCAAAGACGTAAAGATGTTGGTAGACAGTAGAGGTGAGATCCACGACGGAGTTATGCTAGTAAGGATTCTTGGACTATAATGCTCTACCGGGTCCCCTACCTGAGTTGAAAATAATTTGGAACAGAGCTATCTCTATGCACGGAGTGGAGCGTTGTGCGCGGAGGAACTCCCTAAAACGACCATCTCAGCAGCTATCGCAGAGGATTTTCCTATTAGGGAATAGGGCACCTGCAGGTCTCACGATTGGCCAGAAGGTGGATCCAGCCTCGGCTTCTGGCCTTAAGCCATACCCTTGATAGCATCCTGTTATATGCCACCTTGATCATTTATATCTTATCTAAGTATTAGGGAAGCCTTACCATATATATTTGGCATACAATCCCACCATTTGTTAAGCCTTTGTCAAGACTAAGGAATTCCTTCGATCTGGAATCCGGCTTAAGTCCTGCTGAACCCTTTGGACAATATCGCCGAGATGAAGTGAGACCTGCAGAAATGGAACCCTACCTCACACAATTTGCTCGGCTTTCACCACGACATCTACTGCGGAGTTCGTTGTGTGCATTAATTATGAGACAAATTAGGATAGTCGTCGGTGGCATAGCTTGGCCGGGGTTCACTATATAAGGGACGAGGATTCCCACCCGATTCCGATACAGCAACCTGTTCAGCATCCTCTCAAACATCAGTATCCATCCTAATTCCATTTCATCTCAGACTCCGTAAGCTGCGCCTGATCTATCCCCTTACGCGCTAATATGATCTAACCCAAATCAGTCAAAACGAGCCAAGATGCATTTCTCCATCACCAATCTCCTCGCAATCGCTTCACTTGGCGTCCTAGCCGTCGAAGGCAAGGGAATAAACTGTGAAGGCAGCTCTAACTGCGGCAATGTTGCCTTCCACATTTCTAAGCTCATCAACGACGTTAAGAACATCGATCCTAACCGCTGGTACTACAACGGGAACCGCATTGCTTGCTGGCAGAACGTGGCCGGATCTGGCTTCTGCGCCTTTCCACAGAAGACTGGCGGTGTGCCGGGAAAATCCATCCCAGATCTGCTACAGAAGATCAGCGACCACGGTTGCAAGCGCTGCGGTAGTGTTCCGCTCTTTTATCCTCAGGACAACAATATCGACAGTCACGGTGAGATCACGGTGAATTGGGTAAGCAGCACCGGTGGCTGCAATGGGCTTTGTTAGGTCCGGGATAGAGCGTACGCTGCCGAGATATGGGGTATGTCTTCGTGTAAGGAGGCACCGGATACGTCGTGGAAGGGTCATGTCCTGGGAAACGAAGCTACTATGAGGCACGGTGGAGGGTTTTTCTCATTAGAGGGGTTTCCCTTCACTTGTGTATAGTGTAAATATCTTGGAATGATTATTTCAGTAATTGTCAGCGGTGTTAGCCTTTCCTTTGTCGAGATCCGAAAGCACTGCCACCTAAGCTAGAACAGAGACCTACAATTTCAAGCTCTTTACAAATATGCATACGTACCTCTCTACCTCTGACTACGTTAGCAAGGATGTACTTTCTCCCTCTTTTCAGTGAAAGAAAAGAGGGAGAAAGTACGAAGGCTATCGCACTCACATTTACCTAGTCCCTGCTGGATGATGTATGCAACAATGACTCCCCGTCCTCGTATGATCCCTGGAGCCACGAACTTGCTTACTGGGTGTCCCCCCATTACCATCCTACAACACGATCTACTCCAAGCCCAACCTCAGCTGTCACTGAAGAGAAGAACACATTGCAATTAGAGTAAAGATTGACAGTAGAGAATATCCCTATTCAGCCCACAGCAGACCACAGAAAATCCTACAAGGTGGACGCAGCTTACACAAACTTGGCGGACCATTGCGAGACCGTAAATGTGCTCTGAGCACCTGTGAAAGGTGTAGTGCTGAATTGCAAGGCTGAGGTACATTAGCAGGTATGCATGGGCAAACAATGCCAAGCAACATTGAAAAACAGAGAGCCGTACTGATGAGGTACTGGGAGTGAGGAGGATAGGATTACTTCTCCACCAGATGGGAGAAGAAGTCCTTGATATCCCTAGCGAAAGATGTGACGGGGGAAGAGGCAACGAAACTGCACACGTTTATGTTGCCATTCATGCCGTTCCATAGATCTCAGGTGCGTCCGCCCATATGGGCGGTGTTGACTTTAGAGCCAATCGGGCTGATATTTCCGTACTTTGCGAGCCTAATGCGCAGTCAAGTAAACACCAAGGTCCCAAAAAATCTCAAATGTCAGACGATTTAGAAGCTGGAGTAGCATTCTAGATCATTAGCACGTAGTCACCGCTGTAAGTGACATGGTTGATATTGGCTGCGGTGAAGAGATCATACGCAACATCGGCGTTGATGTTGGTATTGTCATAGTTCCGTTTGGTGGACGTGGGAATGCTCGAAATATCTTTGGCATGCTTCTTCTGAAGCTCTACTCCAGAGTTCGGGTAGCTCTTGACAGAGTAATCACCGCCAGACCAATTCCATTTGACGTGCCACGAAGCACCATCACCCGAGATTTTGTCAACATAGGTACACTGGGACCCGGTGCCAGAGACCTTTCCCCACATGTTGTTGTTGACCGTGTATCCTCTGGAGAAGTAGGTGTCGTATTGTGCGCAGTTTGGCTTTCTGAATGTAATCTTGTCCAAAAATGTCTGAATGAGTTGGTGATTGTTTATCTGGAAGGCCAGCCCAATTAGAGTTATATGTCTCAGCGGGGGGATCATCTGATTGAGCACGATCAAGCAATACTCAACAATACTCGGACGGCTGAACATACGATGTCCAAAGGTGTGCGTCTTGGAATCCTGACAACGAAGGCACTCCCTTCAGTTCAGAATTCCGCGTGAAATGGAGCAGGAGCCGTGTAGATCATGTCTAAACGGCCACCGAACTGCGTTGAGAACCTTAGTGTATGGGTTATGGGTTATAGTTCATTTAGGCTAAGTAAGTAAAAGCCTGGCTGCACTGCGGTAGTTCAGTCCGGCAAAATTGTTCGTTCGTGAGGTCCACTTTCTTTACATCGATTTAATTCGCGCTTCCCTGCCAAACCATGAAACATAACTAAGCTTTTAATGTCAGAGCATGTCATATTGATTAAGGGATCCTGGGATGGGGAGCAGTGTTACGCTATTGGCATCTCTTTGTAGAGGGTAGGTATCCTTTGTGCTCGAGTTGTTGATTGGGCGTTTACATGGAGTTCTCCTAGCGTCTGAAAAGAAAAGGTACCGGTAAGAACCTATTTAGATACCAGAGCAGGCTTTACCTTTGCTGTCAAGGTGCATACTGTAGATAGGATGTGTCGTTGGCTGTTATATCCGTGCGATAAGCAACGATGCTTCCCGGTCACCACTCTCGATATTACAGGCTATATACATCCTTGATTTCCGAGACTACGTCCCGACTCCCACATGCTTTTGTCGTCTCTCTCTCTAGTGGATCGGATTCCTATCATATCAGGTTAGATCCGGAACATGCTTGATGATCTGTAAGCGACCAAGCGAAAGAGCGTCGTGTCAAATGCAAGGGGTTTATCTGCCGAGCTAAAGAATATTCGCCCGATCAAATCTAGCATAGCGTACGGAGTAGTGAATGGCCCTTCCCCCTAAATACCGGCATGATATCGATTTAAACGGGGTTGTTGGTATACCGGAAATAAGGAGATGTACTTTGTCAACCCGACCAAACTCCTATACGAACCCGAATAATAGGGTAATTCCGAATTCTATGGGACAACCGCCGCGCACATAAGAACCGATTTGATCGCAATCACCGTTTCAAACTAGCACGGCAACGTCTCACTCGCATTGTGGACACTTTGTATTGGAAACAGGAATGTAATAGCAGGAATACTATTCATTGGTCGTCACACACCAAACTCTCTCTCTCTCTCTTTTTGGTTTTTTCTTTTCACTCCATCAACGACTCCACTAGAACGGCGCAAATTAGTTGTAGATAGTTACCGTTTGACTAGTACTCTTCGGCGCACCACAAGCATCGACAAAGTCATTGAATCTTTCACCCAAACCTTCCACAAATGCGTTGAAGTTCGACGCACCACAACTATCACCGGGTCCACCGCGACATCCCTGCAAAGGCTGCGGGCCCGAGTTCACTAGCACCCGATAATAATCGCCCTCGTCATATCCATAACTATCGCAGCTCATCTTCTCGATCGCAATGTTTGCCAAAAAGGGCAGAATGGAACTGCTCTTCCACGCACGGCTGTAGTTGATTGTATCTGTGGGCATCGTCTGGTTTACATCATCTGCCCCTGAAAAGGCACTGTTGTTGAAGAGACCTAGGGCTGTGATGATGGTTGGGGGTAGTTCGCGGTGCGTGAAGGAGACGTAAACATCCTGATCCGCGGTGGATGCTAGAGCACGATAGCTCGCATTTACCCAAGGGAACCCGATTCTGGGCGACGCATATTTCCCGTACCCCACATTATGGAAGTACCGGATATCCTCTCCGTACTCAAATGAGAGCCAATCATCTGAGGAGAAGAGATTCGTGTCACAGTACGGTGAATCGCCCCGGATAACGGTCTCGTAGCCGCAAAACTCAAACATGCTGACTATATCGGTCGTTGTGAAGTTGAAGTTGGGCGCTTGGGCGTTGAGCCTTTCCTTGATGGGCGCGGTGTACTTTTCTACCCATTCCTGATGCATCTCCCCTTAGCTAGGGGTGGATGTGGAGGTGAAGCAGGCGACGAGTGCAGGGGAGGGCTTACCTGGGACTGATCACTGCCATAGCTCCCACTATACGCGGGGCAGCTTTTGTAAGGTGTGAGGGAGTCAACCCCCGTATCCTTCTCGACTTCCACTAGATGCATACCCTCAGTATGATTCAGCGTATACCCTTTGATAAACCCGTCGGCCGTCTTGGTCGTCCTGTCTGCAGATGAGGACCACACTTTCCTCGGATGGCGGAGACCAGCATAGCGGGTACGGAATTCCACCCCCAAATTCACCGCTTCCCTGTATCCCACGCGCGTGACCTTTTCGAGATGCTCTTTGTCCACGGGAGCTCTCCAGTTGACGAGAAACTTGAGGTCGGAGGTTTTCGACCAGTCCTGGGTTGTGTTGCGCAGCTTCCTCACGAAAGGCTCGAGGTAGGTTTCGTAATCAAAGTCGTTAGCATAGACGGCAGCGTGCCGGATCAGGTATGCGGCTTTTGTTACGTTGCACCCCTGTGGAGGGGAGGGGTCTAGCGGAGGTTCATTGATAGTGTGGTAGGGAGCGATGCCGGCGAGATGGTTGAGGGGACTGAAGGATTCGCTTAAGGATGGGGCCGCTAGGGCGCCGAGGAGGGTGATATGTGCGAGGTGCATCTTGGCCGAAGTGCCGCTGGACTGGAATAGAACTGATGAGAGGCTCATCGTTCTTGTGTGCCTCTTGTATTTATAGGCAACTGACTGGGAGCCATCTCAAGCTTGCCTGCTGCATTACGGAACTCTGCATGGTAAATCTGGCTTGACATCCGATGCTGATGCATGCTTGATTCGTCTACTGGGAGAGGTGGGAAGTATACTGACGAAGGATCTACATTGTAAACAGGGAAGTAAGCAAATTACCTCATTCCGATCACCATAGGAATCATTGGGTTGTCAGTCTAGCGTCAAAGCTCCATTAAACCTCCTGCAGCCATTAGGGCAAATCTAGTAGTAAATTAATTAGATGACGTCATACTATCTGTCCCCCTTGATTTCCGTCTCAGTTGGAGAGTCCAAGATTATTATTATCCTGGCCTCCGCCCTTTGTTATTTTTCAGCTCATAATGTTCAGTTTTATTTCTGCGGGGCTAATCAATTGAATACGGAAATTATATTTCTAGACATGCCGAAATCTCGGAAGGGTATGGGAAACCAGTATTAATCTGGAAACTCCAATTTGTACTTTTCTCTCCTAACTAGTCTATTTGTACATCCGTACCTCAAGAACAGGTGTTCCGCCCTGTCCAATCGTCGTAACGGACATAACTTCTCAGGTATACAGCCGTTGATGCCAGGAGTACCGATTCGCGATCAAGTGAGGTCTGCTCTAGAAATCTAGAGCATGGAATGAAAAACCTCTGTTTTCTCAACGATAGAAAGTATTTCCCAATCGGGAGAGACTGCCGGTGGTGCAAGTGACCGGAATCATACTACCCAGAAGCAAGATCATACTACTCACTGTCAAACAAACATCGGATAACACGCATGGTGAAGTGTCCTGCAAAGGTCCAGCACGATCTATTGAACGGCCGGATCCTCTGACAGGTAGCTGTCATACTAATCAGGAAATATCGCCCGTGAAGAACTGCTGTCAGATGATTTCAAGTCTACAAACTTTATTTTATGATTCATAAAATCCCATGATTGTGAGGGTAGTAGCCAGAGTAGTCTGCCATGTGCCTGTAGAGATCAGGAGATTTCTGTTGCCACGAAGAGATGGGCTAGAAGCCAATGGGCAGAATCTATGGTTAGGGGGTTAGTTTGGCCTATGTAATATATGATTGGAAACACATCTATAACTACTACTAATTACATGTGTACATTCGTGCTCTGTCCCCAGAATCGTTTTCCTACATGGCAGAACTTTCGGCGTTCAACATGTCTGTCTCTCACCTACTTTCCTCGGCACTAGGGGCTGCGCATCTCGTTATCGGGATCCTCTCCTTGGGCGCTCCTATCTGGACTACGGTTACACTATATGGCGTTACGCCAGAAAAGCCGGTTGCAATGGCTACTCGCATCGGCGGTTCGCGTGACACTCTCCTAGGAGGGTGGCTTCTCTTCTTCTGCGACGGGGACGAGCAAAGAAGACTGTCAGTCCTTCTCTCCCTGATTAACGCCACGGACGCTGTTAGTGCAATTATCTGTTGCTCGGAAGGAAACATGCCTCTTCCGATTATGAAAAGCACGAGAGCTGCATCTGTCCTACTTGTTGCACTTGGGACTCTCGCATGGTGTTTGTAAATTATGTCGACCGCCGGACACTCGCGTTGTTATATACATAGAAATTTTGGGGCTCCCGTTATGTGCGAGTGCCAGCCAACGCCTTTATCCTGGCCAGTATCTCTCTTTGTACGGTGTTCGCGGACCCATACATCGCTGTTACTTATGAACTAGGATTGAATCCAATAGTTGTGTAGTGATATCTCCGAGTCTCGCCGTCCCATCATGGCATTCGGTTGACATATTCGAATAGGAACTTGCCACATTAACACTATATGAAATGGTTCAAAAAGGTAAAGGGGTTTATGAAAAGTTGAGAAGTGTCTGAGGCGTGACACAAAACCTTGAAGCCATGGCTCGCAATGGAAGAGTCGAGTTGCTGTAATGCGCAAGCGGTTGGTCCAGTCATAGGATTCCAATATGGCAGCAAAACGCTCACACTCCTCACCACCTAACAGCGTACTTGATCGAATAGCGCAGCCCGTAGGCTGGCGCTCTTCGCAGACAATGATCAGCGGGGTCCATTAGACCCCGATAGACGGCGCCACCTGGCCATTGATGTTAGCAAGCCTAGTGCGCCTGATCTAATGGAAGCACGAGTGAATCGTTTCGATGTCATATTTCTCCTCGTTCTTTTCGCCCCTCAATTACTGTCCCTTGGTATCTTTAAGGCGACATTATGGGCGTGCCAACGTATCTTTCTACGAATATGGAGAAATCTCTGTTGTAGCTGTGGCTCGTCCTGCGCTGGTCGGCTCTTGCATTGTCTGGGCCGATCATAGTTCTATCCAAGATGTTGATGATGAGTGGCAATCCTAGCTTTTGCAATATGTGTATTCCAACTTAGTATCACCTCATAGTTACATCTACTCTTTCAAGCCTTTAAGCCTTTTCCGGCCAGCTCCAAATTGCGCGACGCTGTTACTGCTCGGACCAACACTCGTAGAGTGTTTTGAATCCGATAGAATGAATATCAGAGGGCACTTTAGTGCCGGTGTTCGTGTGAATTTTGGTGAATTTTGGTCGCTGAGCGTGGAACACCTTACTTGCATGTGGTCATTTCAGCTCTTGGAGTCAAGCCGTAGCCTAACGTATGGTTTGCAGCTGCAAAGACTGGTATAGTTGATAGTCAACATGGCTGTTGCCTAGAAGAGTAACATCCATCTCCTAATTTGACTTTCGCCGTCCAATCCATGGATAGACTAACGGTAACCATATTAATTCCACCCGCCGATCGTTTCACTTTCATGCCATAGTTCATAGTTTCGATGCTGCCACGGTACGGTATAGCAACTAGAGTATTTCCGGGGAAAACCTTAAATTGGATTATGGACCAAGCTTAAACATAATTACACTAATCCTATTTTGGCAATGCGTGGGTCTTTTATCCGTGCACTAAATAACGGCCATTCAAACACTAATATTTCAGGACTGTTGCGGTGGGAAGTATTTTTATCGTGGGTTATAACTTACAAAGTCTGCGGCATAAGTAGGGGATGAGCGCACACTATCTAGTAGTAGGTAATGTAGCTATCATGGACAAGTGTGGGCGGGCAAAGAGAGAATGATAGAACAAGAGCAAGTAATTCCGAGTGCTTCTATAACGGGTGAATCTTCTCTTTGTGGTTATTATTTCAAACAGCTAGTAATGGGGCCAACATGATTAGGCCACACGTCGTTAGGTGAGGCTATGAATATGACAGTGTATCCAATTATTGTCAGAAAGGACAGGATAAAAGTACAACTATGGTAACAAGTTCCCACTTCTTGAACAAGACATGCTACGAAATACTTGTTAATGTACTCCACTCCAATTCCACCATAAAATAAACTCTACCATGCAGATTTTGCAAATGTGGGCCAAACGCTGTTGAGCGAGATGGATAACGTGGCGAACCATAATGCCTGGCGAGATACGAGACATCGTTGCTCATGAACGGTTCGTGATAATTATCAGTAATCCTAGACTCCCAATAAATAAGGATAATGGGATCCAGCGGTGTATGCCTCATATATTAAATGTATCTACAGCTAAGGACCAGAAAAATGAAGTGGACAGTACAAGGACCTATTGTCTGTAACATAGCCAGAATTCCTAACATGAAGACATCTTACCCCGAAGCCTAAATAACTCCATTGACTGCTTTTATGTAGAATACTAAATAGAAAGCAACGAGCCGCACCGAGCTGTGCCTTTTTTGAACCATTCTTTTAGAATATACTCCTTGTTCGTTTTGTGCGCTCCCTAGGATTTTCTATCAGAGCTAGACAACATTTCGGAAAGATATACAATATGCCATATATAGGTGAAAACAAAGGTCCTCAAGATCCTACAGCGCGCTTCCAGAACTAAAACTCGAAATACGTGGTGGTGGTAGACAACATTGGCTACTGGCAAATTGCCCTTGCGAGGGGAAGATTTCAAGTGAACGAGGAGTATAGTAACGTGCACTTGCAGAAGACGATAACGCCTTCATGATTATGTCAAGTGCTCCAAGAAACATCTCGCTATGATATGGTGGGTAAACCTTGTTGGCGGATATCTTTAAGCGTTTCTGCTCTTCGCTGTTAGCTTTAACATGGGCGTGCAGCTCTGTACTTTACGACCTGTAATGAGAGGCAGTAACAGACAAGGTCCCCTTGGGCTTCTGGACATAAGTGGTCGATCTGGGAAGTTAAACGTCACTCAATGTTCTTTGTGCATACCCTTCCGTATATCCCAAGTTGCTTCTTGTTGCCCACAATCAAGGAAACGACTTGAAGCCCGACACCGCAGTGTTTCCATCGGTGCGATTCTCCAAGCCACTTACATGATCCTAAGCCACTTACATGTTGCTAAAAGCCAGCCAAGATCTGGCTATTACCGAAATTAACAGATCCCTTCCCTTTACTGAAAAGCGTCTAGGAGGTCTGAGCGTCCAGCGTACTTAAAACGGCAAGTCTCACTAAGGGGTAGTAGATACGTCAGTGAGATCTATTTTAAACTGGTTCATTATCGAGGATAACAAAAGCATTTGCGATCCAGCATCGGGTCTGCATTGCCTCCGTTTATTAAAGTTCTAATAACACGAAGGGTTCGATCGGTAAGAGGAAAGAGGAAATGGAAACTAGTAAAAAAAAGTTTGGCAAAATGTATAGCATAGTATGAGTGTTACATCATAGCTAGTACGGACAATGTATTGTTCCTTAAGCCTTCCCAAGGAACAAGTATCACGGAGCCAAAGCTCGGGTAGGGCCACATACACCATAGGTCCCAACGTATAATGGATATCATATCCGTTCGCCTCTAATTTGCGCCCCCGTGTTCGCCCCCAGCGAACTTACAATACTTTGAAGATTCAGGGGCAAATGACGTCAAAGTACCGGAGCGTCCAAGGATGACCTAAAAATTGACCCCCTTCACGAGGCTGAGCCTTTGCATACCGGCAAAGCACGGCCCTATGCATACAACTCACCTCTATAGCAGTGATACCCTACTCGCATCGCAGGTATACTAGCTGGAATGGAGGCTTCCAAATGTAAACTGCAAGTGTGGCGCGTACGTTAAAAGAGGTTAAGTTGATAGGAGCCATGTCCTTGACCGGGGGTTCCTTGGGTGTCGTAGGATTGGAAGTGGATTGCCAGGACACGAGGAGAATATGCCAGAAAATCTATCGTGGGGGCGTGGTTGGCCACACCCCTGACAGGTAATAGCCTGGGGTCCTGGGATTGATTGGCGACAATCCTCGCTACCCCCTACTCGAGTGGCGCAGTGCGGGCCTGACCCGTGGGATTGTTGGAAAGTTCGGCATCAAACTTCAGCCCTCCAAACTTGCATGTGGCCGCCGAGAAAAATGTGATGTCAATTTCATCATGTATGTCTTGGATATATCAACCAAGCGTATATTGTTGGCAACTTCAACAATTCAATGCTGACTTATGACATCACGACCAAGAGCTAAGGGGAGCATTGGGAATTGCCAGTTCCATTGAAGTGGATTTGATAAAACTATTTAAGCATGCTGAAGTAGTCCGGGATGGCCCCAGGTCGTTAGAAACGCAATAAGATCTACAGTGCCAAGCACAAGATTACCACTGCGAAAGCTAATTTTACTTTACTAAGGTGAGGGGTGACCAAGAACAGGGCATTTGAAACATTATTGCGGTACCAGATGGCTAATAGATCTCTTAGGAAGCTTGGATAAATGGATATCAGAACAGAGTCCAGAGAGGTTACTCTTAGCTCCGTTGGGGCTCGGCTTTTCCTTTTCGTAAGTACACAAACACCCACGCGCATCGAATGTAACCCTAACATAACTCTCAGGCCATAGGATTCGTAATCTGCAAGGCTGTTTACAACATATACTTTCATCCTCTACGCAAATTTCCCGGTCCACTGTTGGCAGCCTGTTCCCCGCTCTATTACTTTTACTGGCTGTACACTGGGAAGCTTTACTATGCAATAAAAGAAAGTCATGACAAATATGGAGACGTCGTACGCTTCTCTCCCAACATGCTAGTATATCGGAAGACACAGGTGTGGCAAGAGGTCTATGGCTACCATAAAAATGGTACCACCTTTACAAAAGACCCTGGCTTCTACCCAAGAAACCCTAGTGGGCACACCATGATATCGACACCATATGAAGCGGAGCATTCAAGCATAAGGCATGCGTTAAGCCCTGCCTTCTCCCAAACTAATATAATGGGAAAGGAGCCGGTTCTCCAACAAAATGTGCAATTGCTTCTGGACCAGCTTGAAGGGTTCGCTGATTCTCGCACAAGTGTTGATATAACCAAATGGTATAATTATACTACCTTCGATATTGTCGGCGACCTAGCATTCAGTGAATCATTCAACTGTCTACGGGGAAGCAACCACCAGTGGATTGACGCCATATTCCGTGGTATGAGGATATTTGTCTTCATAAGGCCCTTCCTCTCACTTCCTACTTTCATCCTCAACGGATTACTCAGTTACGTCTCGGATGAGAGCTTCACTTTGATCAAGAAAAAGATAGATCAGCGGCTGAAACTGGAGCCTAGCAGGCCAGATTTCCTATCGCATCTCCTTGGACATGACAAGAACAATGAAATTAGCAAGGTAGAGGCGAACGCAGGTGTTTTGGTCGTAGCTGGGAGTGAGACAACCGCTACATTGCTCTCCGGCTGTACATTTTATCTTCTCACACATCCGCTGGTATATGAAAAGCTGGCCAATGAGATTAGAGGGGCCTTCGACTACGAGGATGAAATTACTCTACTTGCACTTGGCAAGCTCCCATACCTACAAGCCGTCCTGGAAGAGAGCTTGCGAATGTACCCACCAGTACCTGCTATACTGCCCAGAACGGTTCCAAAGGGCGGCGCAGCTGTTAACGGGGAATTTGTTCCCGAAGGGGTATGTGGCTTCATACGGAATAGTGAACACATACGCTGATACCTAAGATAACAGACATCAGTCACAATGGCAATATTTTCTGCCTTCAGGTCACCATCGGAGTTCACTGATCCCGACTCCTTTATACCTGAACGTTGGTTGAAAGATTCACCGTACAAATGTCAGAAAGAGGCCTTACAGCCGTTCTCTTATGGGCCTCGGAATTGCATCGGAAAAGTGTGAGTGGCATATTCCTTTACTGCATTGTACATGACACAATCTAATAATCCACCCTGAGCAGCCTTGCCTACGCAGAAATGCGTTTAATCCTTGCGAGACTTTTATGGAAGTACGATATGAAAATCGATGACGAAAGTTACAACTGGAATGACCAAATTGCCTATACTGTGTGGGTGAAGAAACCATTGATGGTGCATTTGTCACCCATCAATCGTTGAGTTCCCAACTAGAAGTGCAACAGGCCACCTACCCAAGGCCTTCGAAGAAAGACAGACTTTCTACAAGCGCTACAATCTTTTTTGCTATGATAAAAGCATCCCTGGTTCAGCAAACGTCGCCACTTGGCTTAGGTCTAGAGAGAGGAAGACTGAGAGGTCACATGTACAGTATGTATCGAATTATATCCTGCGTCTAGAGCCGAGAATATATTTCTTAGAGTCCTCACTATCTCAGGCTCGTAACGCGGGGTTCCTAGCGGAACTAGTCTGACATGCTACCAATGCTATTGTATCGTAATATGATGTCAGATTCACCCAGCTATCCCACTTCTGCGGTAATAAGTAGTGGTTCGTATCACGTGATATCCTGATAGAACGATATTATAAGCTTAGGACGTGAGCTCTTGTCGCCACATCCCCTCTCGTCGATATCTATGCAATCAAAGTTTAGGACTAAATGAGGGTTAAAGAAAAAGACGAAATGCCTGGTTACATCATTGAAGAGCAGAGTCCTCCCACAAATCAGTTACGATCAAACATTTGTAAGACAAAATAGCCGCAGTTGCCGTAGCCATACATTGATGCTCTCCTCTGTTCTCCAACCCCACATAGCGTTCTCTGGATGTTCGGCCATTATCTCTACAACATCCAATGTTGACTAAGATCCGCCACTGATGTGTATCTCAAGGCTCTCGCAAGTTTCACACCTTGCAAAGCCTAGAGAGGCAGGCTTCCTATCTTGCCTTGGACAGGATGAAAGTATACTGTTAAGTATACTCCAGCTGGCTCAGTATACGAGAAAGACACCCAGCGTTGGGCCGTCTTTGTTTGTTTTATATCGTGACATGGACTGTAGTTATGGTTGGTCTGTTTCTTTCAAGGAAATATGCCAATCCAGGGAGAGGGGCAAAGATGCTTACAAATTCGAGATCAACTCTTGCTTATAGCGAGCTGCAAATCCTCCCCATTCCAGATATTCAAAGAACTTTGTTAGTGCGTCTGCAATGAAGTCATCGTTCACGCCATGCAATGGGAGATATAGCTGTGGCTTTGGAGCAGTTCCTCCATGCTTCATTTCATAGTAGACAGCCAACGGTAATTGGTCTGCATCCATATCCGCATAAGAGAGTTCCTTGAAATGGAGCACGCTCCACAGTTTTTCGGCAATCAATAGGCCTTTCGTGGTAACAGGGTCGTCGAACCGGCCTCCAAGCGTCCATAGCGCACGGACGTTATCAAAGGAAAGGTGCGTATTAACAACATATAACTTGATGCGCGATTTCCTTGGTATCACGCAATCAAACCCAATGAGGAATACATCCGAGACAGCTGCATCGGAATCATTCTGGGCGTCCAACCAAGGGAGCAAAAACTCCTTAAGGACGGCCAAGCTGGCGTGAAAATGTGCATCCAGTCGTTCAATAGCGTCGAAGGCCAGGACACCAGTCGGCACTCCGGTCACGATAGATTTAGGCTTCAAGAAGAAATAGCCTTTTGGAACGATCCCTTCTTCCTTCAGATCAAAGGCAACCTCGTTTGTTTGCCGTAAAGGGGGGATAAGATGATGGGAAGCGAGGTTTGCCTCCTCGATGGTGACAGTGAGCTGAGAAGCGAAGTAATCGAACCATCGCAGATCAATGTTCGAGTCTAGGAGAGCCAGCCTACCTAGCAGCTCCCGTGCCTTGAATTGATTCAAGGGGTCATGCACCGTTCCAGCAAACTCACTTACCGGCCCACAGCCCAGTCGGACAATAGAATGACTTTGCTGGTAGTTCACACTTAGTTCCAATGGGTAGCCTTCCGGTGTGAACAAGCTTATATTGTCAGCGCTAACTCCGGGCCGTATGAATGGTCCCAAGACCGGAAGGATGTGTCTATGGTAGAAGCATAGATAGTGGTATTGTGACTCCACTGGATAGCCACACTGTATCAATAGCTGGTTAAAGAAGGGAGCTGTTTGTAGCCACCAAAGCTCCTGGTCACGATTCATGAACTTCAGCGCTTGGCCAAGCACGCGCCAGGCCATATCCGAGGACTCTTCAGGCATATCTCCGTCAATGGGCCTGGTGTCCTTTACTGCAATGCAAAAGGATACCTTGGACGGTACGGAAGGGGTTTAACAGTATTATATAATTAGTAGGAAATTTAACCGAGAGATAATACGTGCTACCAGATGTTCGAACAAGATTATCCAACCGGCGACGTATCAAAGATTAAATAACTAGCTCTAGTCAGCATGGGCCGTGGTGCATTAGGTTAGTCCAAGGATAACAGAGGACCAAAATCAAATACTGTACTTGAGGAAGATTAGTACCATCCCTAGGCACACGTTCAACGAGGAATGATGCGGCCCTGGAAATGACCTGATGAGTGGGGCGATCCGCTACTATGACATATAGAAACTGGTCCAATGTAGGATTGCACAATTCTGTGCATGAGCATATGATAAATCTGTCATGTCACCAGCTTGCCAGGTAATTCTGGACTAACTCTAAGTGAGACCATTTCGACTACGCTCTTCTATCGATCTATCGCAAGCGGTCTAGATTCAGTACTTGTCCGTATGCGGAAACAAAATAACGAATAATACGTAAATATGTAATTATGTGATAACAAAGCGCCAAACTTTCTTCTACAGATCTCCTTGACCAGCTGCCCTTTGTTACATTAGACCGGATATGAAGAGGATACATCGGTTTGTATCCCGCTGTAGACGAAGTCCAGGGTTGGCAAGTCTTTCAGACTTCCAGGATTAGCAACACCCTCAAACCATGGGTAACTCCTTTTGTGTTCCATGAGAGCCTCGAACATGTTGAGACTGCATTCCACTGAGTAGCATACAACGGCCCGTTCGAGCAAGAGCCTGTGCTTATTTTCCAGGCGACTCAAAGAAGCTATCCGAAGGCCGTCTCACACCGAAGGATGACTCATTGGATTGGCGACTCGTACTGGGAAGTGAACCAGATATTAGAGGTGGGTATCGGCCGCTGTGGCCTCTCATCTATCCTCACGCGCCATTTGCAGCTAAATTCCTAGGGTTTTCAGAGTGCATAGCCCATAGTTTGGCTCTACCTTTAAATTCTAAAAACTCTACTTAGTGGTAAAGCTTGGCTGAGGATTGATTTTCCCGGGCCGACAATTTATGAAAAGGCGGAATCTACGATCAAAACCGGAAACAGTATCCTGCTCTACATTATCTGGTCAGAAGCTTAATTTTAATTTTAATTGAAGACCGGGAGATCTGCTATAGTTACCATGGGAGAGGGTAACCTTCGAAGGAGGCTTAACCGGGAACGCTTGAGTTCTCCCTCCTTTCCCTTTAAGCGAGATTCCGTGGAATAGGCCATGCGCTTTATGCCATTCTCGGATGTTCGATGTACCGCTCCTAGACGGAGAAGTCTGTCCGTTTCCCACCCTCATCCTCACCTATCCTGCTTTACCGTGCAATGAAGTGCAGCACATATAAATCCATGTGCCATCTCCGGGAAAGCATTTTGAAATCATTGATAGTACAGGAAAATGCTTCAAAGCAAGGAGTGTGAAGCTAGCAAGACTGGCTTATTGGAGAACCCTTTACCGGTATGCGCGCAATACAAGTGCTGAGAGTTGGCCTTGCTGACAACTACTAGGAAAAGGATGCCAGTGATACAAATTCAGCCGAAGAGTATGCGTTTCTATCGCCCTTAGCATCAATTCCGCCCCTTGCCCCCACCCCCCAAGGAACATAAGGCAAACATAGGACCAAATAGACTAACCTGGGGATCCCTCATCAGATACTACGGGCAATCAAATGGAGTTGTGAACCGTCTTTGGGGAACTTCGCTTCATGTCTGCCGTCGGCTGCCTGAGGAGGCCCTCAGAGAAGCTATGGTGCGACATGAGCATTATTTGGCACTTAGGTTGAATCTGCAGCCTGGCCACGAAGTTCTCGACTTAGGCTGCGGAATAGGTGGTCCTACTCGAGAAATTGCCAGATTTTCGGAAGCCAATATCTGCGGGATCAATATCAGTCCATCTCAGATCAATGCAGCGGAGGAGCTCACTAAGAGAGCCGACTTATCTCACAAGGTACGATACGTTGTGGGAGACTTCACTTATATGAACCTAGAAGATGCATCGTTTGACCGTGCATATTCAATTGAGGCCACCTGCTATGCACCTAATCTTTCGGATGCCTATTCAGAGGCATTCCGCGTTCTAAGGCCTGGAGGTATCTTTGCGGTCTATGAGGTTGTATTGACGGAGAACTATGACCCAGAGAACCCAGAACATATCAACTACCGAAAACGAATGGAGTGTGTAGCAGGTCATCCCCACCTGGTCACGGCTTCAACAGCCATGGCGGCCATGCAGGAAGTTGGCTTTGTACTTCAAGCCGCTGAAGACCTGGCAAATACACCTGGTTACTTGCCGTGGTACTCAGCAATCGATGGATCCTTCAAATGGGCAGGCGGGGTTCTGGATACAGTCTCCAGTACTTTCTTAACATTGTTCCTTCGTTCATTCTCCTCTAAGGGAATCTTATATCAGCTTGTAAGGTGCGCGGAAAAACTGGGCATTTTGCACCCTGGAACCCATAGTCTAGGTACTGAAATGGTGAGAGCAGTAGAGGCATACCGTATCGCTGGTGAGAAGGGATTGGTGACACCGATGTTCCTCATGGTGGGCAGAAAGCCTAGGGTCTAGGTTTCGTCTTGATGGGGAGCATGAAGAGACGCAGGATACATGCCAAGTTTTCTAAATGATGTTATATATTCCTTGGGGAGTTAAGCTGATCTATACCTGCATTACAAATACAAATATAAATAGCTAGGTAGCTCAGCATCCAACATACGCAGTCTGTGGTCAATACGATTAATTTTCATTATTTGATGGTTTTATTTTTCAAACCCATGCTTTGAAGGCTCCCCATGAATTATCGACTAATGGAATAACTCAAATTAATAGAAGTTTTAACGATACCATTCGCTTAGGGCGTGAAAGTTCAAATCTCAATACACTGACTGATATTGCTTCACCAAATCTGGAAATTTAGATCGGAGGCGCATTAGTATCTAGGTATGAAATATGAGTGCCCAGAAGATTATTGTAAAACAAAACAAAACAAAGAAAACAAAAAGAAAAAAACGGGAGTGAGACAGAGAAGAATAGAACACATCCTATCTATTCCAGCAAGGCCAAAAAGCCTCTGGCGAAATATTTCTTACCTAGTGATAGTATATCGTCAAATAGGGCCCGGTTATTTTTGAATACGAGAAGGACAACCAGGCCTGAAAATCTGTGCTCCGCTTAAGATCTATTTCGGGGCTGAAGAGCGTGTCAGTCACAAAAGGAGCAGAAGGCTGATCCGTGCAGAGGGCTTACCGGTACGATTCTAGGTTCTCTGTATAGGACTTCGAATGTTCTGACCATCCCCATTTCTCAAAAATATGGGTTATGGTTCGTGCGATAACTTCGTCATTGATACCAGTGAGAGGGAGATATGCCTTCGGTTGGGGCAGTGATTTGTGTGGCTGAATCTCTAGATTGAACAGCAACGCGACCTTGTCCGCTGAATCTCCCGCTTGTGTGGGCCTTTCTGGAAAGGAACGTAGACCCTCCGGGATACCAAGCGACCCCCACAACTCTCGGAGCATACTTAATCCTGTAAGGGTCTCCTCATCTCCGAGTCTACCTCCCAGAGTCCAGATGTCTGATATGCGGGCAAAGTCTACTTGAAACTCTGCAACATACAATTTAAAGCGGGTCTTGCTTGGTGCCACAAGGTCACACGAAACAAAGCAAACGGACGTAGTGGAAGGAGCACCACTCAAGAAGTCTTCAATCATGGCCAGAGGACTACGAAAGACCCCTCCGTCGTCAACCTTTCGAATTGCGGAGAAGGCAAGCTGCGAGATGGGCGTTCCGGTTGCTGCACATTTGACAAGAGGATAAAAGTATAACTTGACAGATAGATCACTGCCTTTCAAGTCTAGAGCCAGGATGGTCTGAGTTTTAGAGGGCTGGGAGTCCAGTTCGTGACGGGAGGAAAGATAGTGTTGTTCCTCATCGGTTACCGTAAGACTTGTAATCAGTTGGTGATATAGCTGCAGATCCACCTGCGGACGCAATTGTTTCAGCCGATTCAAGGCTTCGTTGATCATCAGCCTGTTGCACGGGTCATCACCAGTACTTGCAGCTGCACTGGTAGGCTCGAACGCGATTCGAACTGTTGCTTGTTGCTTGGTCCAATTCTGACTGAACTCAAGAGGCCCAAGACCCCCGAGAATGCACTTATACAGTCCGGGTCTGGATGTTGGAAATGGTCCAAGCATCGGTATAATATGGGTGCCAAAGAGGTACAGGTGCTCAAACTGCTGGCATAGACTGTACTTGGCGTCGTAAAGCATTTTCCCCAGCATTGGGGCCATGTTTCTCCACCAATCATACTGGTCAAGGCTAGGGGGGGACATGCATCTGGTCAGAGAAACGTATGCACGTGACCATTCCGGACAGGAGTTGGGCGGACCCATCGGAGGCATTCCTAGACTCTGCGCAGATGCGGGCATTTCAGGCAAATCGATGGATAGTGTACGTGGTCCACCGCTGGGAAGCTGCGTCGCTATCATGGTAACATTGTGGACTATCCGGATTTAATACCTAGCGGATCTGGATATATCCTGCGAAGAACTGCATTGATGTCACCACTCCTAGTAATTTACTGCTACTCCACCTCCGCCGGATACACAGCTAGCGCTTGGCGTAGGTGGATATATCTCCGTTTTGGCTTCCTCTAGAAATCCTTGGTTCTTCTGTGGGTCAACTCATCCGACATTCTGGACGCACCCACGGTCGCCATTGCCGCGCACAGCTCATGGTTCTGCGTTCGGTGGTACCCGTGGTTCGCTCCATTCTTTCTTAGTACGCTTAGTCGATCCCTTCCAGAACCCAGGACAAATTATGTTCTAAAGGCTGGTCCTGGGTGACAACGAAATCGAAGAAAACTAGGCCCTAAGAGCTCTACACAGTCCGAAATCTAGAACGGCCGCTCCCTGCGGGTGTATGTCAGGTTACACAAACACATGGCCGGGGAGCATTGCCGATCAAGCAGTTGTTTGGGCCGGTTCTGGCCTTCGGATATGTAACTTGCCTCGGTGGATTCACTGCGGCTCTAAGCTGGACTTTCGGTGTCCTTGAGAATCAGGTGATGCCGTTCTTCGAAGTAATTGGGAAGCTGTCGGTGTTCAAACCCAGGATCACTAGTATGAGGTGAACTAGCATAAACGTGTGTCACGCTTATCCAGAATGTGGGGAAACAACAGGCCACCCGGGGGGGTCGACTGGGTGCTAGAACATCTCTGGCGGTGGTCCAGCCCATCTCCAAAGATGCAGTAGATTTTTACCATTCTCGGGCTGAGATAACTTGTTTACGGGTTAAGTTGACCGTGCTATATAAACCGGGGGATCTTGCGGTTGATCGGGCGCATTCAGTATCTACTCGGTTCAACTTCGTTTTTCTCCACAGTTGGAAATAGTTATTTACAGTTTTGCTGGAAGCCGAACATGTCCAACATGCAGGTTCCGGGGGACCTGGCGTATGAACTCCCAGGCAGGTTTCCCAAACTGAATGAGACCGGTGGCCACAGTAGACAGACAGCTCTGGTTACGCTGCAAGCAAATCAGTGTAACGCTCTTGCACGGATTCCGAAGGATGGGGCAACCTCCATTTATCAACAATTGATGTCCGCTTGGCCAGTACTCCTGGCCGAGTACCTTGATTCTTACAGTGTTTGCTTCGGCACTCTCGAAAGCGAAACTGGGTATAACACCATTGAGCAATGGTCAGCGGTTGTACACCCAGGGCAGCCAATCTCCCAATCAGTTACTCTGGAGAAGGCGGGAGTATTGTCGTTAACGCAAGACGCGCAAGATGCTCCATTCAACACTTATCTGGCCCGGAAGGGATCCACTGCCAGGAGCTCATTCCCCACTTCGTCACACACCTGTGTACCCATGGTACGCCCTACCCTAATATCATACATGGCCCATTAGACGTAGGTTGGGGACTAGGCTTATGCTAATGTTTAAGGCCGGCGATATCACGCTCATTGCGGACGACTCCTTAGCCACCCCAGGCATAGATTGCTATTACACAGTCTCCTTCATGAGTAGGAAACAGGCAGAGAATGTTATCACAGCGCTGGGCGCGGTGCTTGATCATCTAACATCCAGCTCGCTCCTACCATTGCGGGAGTTGACTTTGCCTCACCATGACCACTATAGACAGATAGCGAGCTGGAACAATCGGGCCCCGAAGAGACAAAATGATCATTGTATACATTATCTCTTTCAGCTGCAGTGTACGCAAACCCCGGGAGCACAGGCGGTGTGTGCCTGGGACGGGTGCTTCACGTATCACGAGGTGGATATATTGTCCACGAAACTCGCGGCGCGACTCAGAACACATGGCATCTCAGAAGAATGCATCGTCCCTATTCTAGTTGAGAAGTCAAGATGGGCTGTGGTAGGGATCCTAGGTGTGCTCAAGGCAGGGGCAGCATTTGTACTCTTGGACATCTCTTACCCAGTCGCTCGCCTCCAGACCCTCTGCCAGGATTTTGCGCCACGGGTATTAATCCGGTCGACAGGGGCACCTGCCGCAGACCTAACAGAAACCGTTATTGTTGTCGGCGATTCCATGTTGGATTGGGCGATATGCGAGCCACCACAGACTTCAGTAACCCCCCAGAATGCGGCGTACATATCGTACACATCTGGATCAACAGGAAGACCGAAGGGCGTAATCATCGAGCACGGTTCATTTTGCACAAATGCCATTGCGATTAGTGGGCCTCAGAACATGCGGAGATCCTCTCGAGTTTTACAGTATGCATCCTTTGCGTTTGATGTCAGCATTCAAGAGTGCCTTTCGCCATTGCTCCTTGGGGGCTGTACATGTATCCCGTCTGAATCACAGCGAGTAAATGATCTGGAGAGTGCCTGTGCCGAACTTCAGGTCAATTGGGCCGAGCTTACTCCCTCCGTTGCCAGGATTTTGCAACCCAATAAAGTCCCTTTAATCAACACACTTGTTATAGGAGGGGAGACTACATCGTGGGCTAACATCGCGAAATGGGATCGTCTCCACTTGATTTCAGCCTATGGTCCAGCTGAATGCACCATTGTATCCACAGTCCAACCGTTACTGAAGTTTCCCGGAAATATTGGTCGGTCGTTCGGCGGCACAACCTGGATTGTGGACAAGGAAAACTACCACCGCCTACTCCCTATTGGGGCGGTTGGGGAACTAATTATCGGTGGGGCTATTGTTGGACGAGGCTATCTCAATCGGCCGGCACAGACTGAGGCTGCATTCATTAAGAATGCCGATTGGAAGCGGTCCTTCGGCCTTGAAGACAGTTATCGGTTGTACAGGACTGGTGATTTAGCCAAGTACGATGGATATGGGAATATCATATATGTTGGAAGGAAGGATACCCAGATCAAGATAAATGGTCAGCGGGTTGAGCTGGGAGAAATCGAACACCATGCGCAAATCTGCCTGAGAGACTTCGCCGTCTCGTGTGAGCTTATCGCATCCCATACCCAGAGGCACCTCCTGGCCCTTTTTGTCGCACCGACCTGGAAGTTTGCCAAATGCGTCTCCATAAGCTCCTTACTCATCGAACCAGACCATGAATTTCGACAACGAATTTCGCCTGTAAAGACTCGCCTGCAATCCACTCTTCCACGTCACATGGTGCCTACGGCGTATATACCAATGACGGAGATCCCTCTTACACGCACCGGGAAAGTCGATAGGAAGCTGCTACAAAGTGCTATTGCCCAGCTATCAGATGCACAGATGCGGAAATACCGTTCTTTGCACACAGACCTTTCTATCACGTTACCTAGGAAGCCACTTGAAGAACGAGTTCGAGAGCTGTTTGCGACAGTGCTTGAGTTGCGCCCAAATGATATAGGGACGGATCAAAGCTTCTTTGAATTAGGTGGCGACTCTATGGCTTCTATATCCCTGGTTAAGGAAGCTCGGAAGAAAGGGCTAGATATTACAGTGGCGGAGGTGTTTCAATCCCAGACCATCAGCGATCTAGCGGCCAAAGTGCAGGACATGCAAGGTCAGAAGGATAGGTCAACGCCGCAGCCATTCTCCCTCCTGAGTGACGATAACTTACACCTCATCACTGGAGCTGCAGAGCAGTGTAAACTGGATCCTAGTGACATTGATGATCTGTACCCTTGCACCCCAGTTCAAGAAGCAATGATAGGGAACACTGCAGTTGATCCGAGTGCTTTCCAAGCCCGGTTTCTTTTCCGCCTCTCGCCTACTATAGATATTTCTCGCTTGAGGCATGCATGGGACGTGGTCATTGCTGCTCATCCAATCCTACGAACAAGGATCGTCCAAATTGACACACCTCGGGCACTTCAAGTTGTTGTCTCCCACAAGAAGGACATGCCATGGTGTTCCGTCGAACAAGTCCAAGAATATAGGCAACCACTCATGTCACACGGTACGCCTCTCATCCATCTTGGCATAGCCCGTGAACAAGGTAAAGAATCACCACCAACATTGATCCTTTCAATGCATCATGCCATATTCGACGGATGGTCATACGCAATACTCCTAGAGGAAGTGGACTCCGCATACCGTGGTCTAAAAGTCAGTCCGCAATCTTTCTCACCATTCATTAGGTATATCTTGGCCCAAGACATGGACACAGCCGAAAGGTTTTGGAAATCTGAATTCCAAAATCTGAACAGCGCCGAATTCCCTGTGCCAGCCCCGACGCGCAATTACAAGGCCTCTAGATCTGTTGCAAGGGTACGCTCCACCATCCAAATACCTACCTGGCCACGTGGAAGTTATACCCCGTCTACAATAATTCGTCTCGCCTATGCAATGCTTATCGCATCGTACACCCACTCCAATGATGTTGTTTTTGGCATCACCGTTAATGGTCGCAACGCACCCGTCCCTCAAATACACGATCTAGATGCACCAACCATCGCCACCCTACCACTTCGCACCATGCTTGATTCCCACCGTAGCGTCGAGGATACATTGATAGAGATGCAAGAGCATGCAACACGACTGATTCCATATGAGCAGACTGGATTGCGATGGATTAAATCATTTGGCCCTGAAGCAGTCCGTGCTTGTGCATTCCAGAGCCTGCTGATTATCCAGCCGCCGACCTCCAGAAGTATGCCAGAGCTTTTCAGGCAATTACCCGTCACCGACGCGGAACAGAGCAAATTTAGCACGCATCCCCTAACACTTATATGTGAACTTTCCGAGCATCCGACTCTAAATGTTACTGCCATGATCGATCCAGCAGTAATCTCTCCGCAGCGGACCAAGGGGATGTTGCAACATTTTGAAGATGTGATCCAGCAGTTAAGCCACAATCGTGAGCGACCAGTCAATGGTATTTCTTTTTGCCAACCAATTACATCTTCCCCCTTGTCTCAACCCAGCGTAACATGCCATCTTGAAGTCATAGAGAAGAGGGCGCAAGAGATTTTCAGTGGCGGTTCAGTAGCAGTTGCGGGAATGGTTGTCGCCAAAGATTCCTCCTCTGCGATTCTCGCTGTCTTTGTTTGCGACAGTCGGATAGGGTTCGACGCATTAAATGAGCCAAAGCCTTTCAGGACAGCAACTACGACTTATCAGCAAATCATGTCCAGGTTGGGACAGCACTTACGGCATATTATTCCAAGTACCTTGTCCCCGTATCTTTGTCTCCCAGTAAGTAATATGCCACGATGCCCCACCGGTCAACCGGACAGACAGGCACTATGCAATGCCGCATCCAAGTTGTGCTGGGACCACCTCCGCGACTTTGCGTATCCTGATAAAAAGAAAGCCTCGCGTCCGAACCCCATCCGACTAGCAAAGATATGTAGCATGGTTGCCCTCGCACTAGGCTTGGACCAAGGGGATATAGGCCACGAAGATGATTTCTTCGACCTTGGTGGCGATTCAGCCTCCGCCATGCAGGTTGTCATATCGTGTAAGAGGGAAGGACTCTCCCTAACAGCTCATGATATCTTTCAAGAAAGGAAAGTCGGCCTGATTGCCTGCAAGCTGCAGCCTCTGGCTGCTGCTGAACCTTTGCGAAAGGGTACCATATCCCTACCCTTGAGTAATTTCTTTTCTCAACAACACTTGACGCAGTATACCGATATAGCGACTCTTGAGGCCGATGTAAAATCGAAGCTACGAATACCCAGCATGGATGCTATCGAGGATGCATACCCATGCACGAGAGTACATGGTGGCCTGCTCCGGACCCAATCGCTTAGTGCATTCAGCTATGTCTCTCAGACTATCTGGGAGGTAGTCACGGACAGACTTGACAAACCTATATGCCCATTTCGCTTACGTGATGCCTGGTTAGCTGTTGCGCGACGTCACCCTGGGCTTCGAACAGTTCTGGTCAATAACTCTGGCCGTGAGCAAACGTGCGAAAAGATACATGTTGTGCTGCGCGGCATGCCATCACATGTTCCTGTACTCTCAAGCGTGAGCGAGACCCTGGTGTACGAGTCAGATTCGCAGATCGGCATTTCTGGGCCGCTGCCCTACTCTTTCACAATTTACCAGACGAAGCCAGGCCGGGTCTTTTGTAAACTGCAAGGGCATCAAGCATTCTTGGATGCGACTTCGGTATCTGTAATTTTAGAGGAGCTTGCGAACGCATACGGAGGTATATTGCCTTCCACCGTGGGTCCGTCCTATCGTTCTGCAGTCGAATATTTGAGTGAGACGCCCAGCATTCGGAGTCTAGAGAGCTATTGGGAGAAGAAGATGGCAGCTGCATTGCCATGTATTTTCCCCAAATTGCACAGCGAAAAGGCCCGGCCAGAGGCGCTACGCATTACCAGTGGCCAGATTGGAGATTCTACTCCTCTTCGTCAATATTGTTCTAGGAACGGCTTTACGTTAAGCAATATGTTTCAAGTCGCTTGGGGGCTTACGCTGCAATTGTACACTGGACAAGACGACGTCTGCTTTGGGACACTCGTCACGGGGAGAGACCTTCCTCTCCCAGATGTCCATAATACAGTTGGGTCCTTCTTCAATGTCCTTCCCTGTCAGCTGCAACTGAGCGCCCCAACATATATACTTGAAACCCTACAACAGAACCAAATGGAAATTGCGAACCGCTTAACACATCAATCCTGTTCTCTACAAGACCTTCTCCGGCTTTCAAATCATTTTGGCCAGGTATTGTTTAATACTTGCTTTTCTCTGGAAAAGCCATTATCGAACACACCAAGCGATAACGGCATTCGGTTCCAAGAGATCAGTACGCTTGAACCAACAGAGGTGAGAAGACACATTCCAGGAAACCATCGTGCGGTAGGCTAACTGTGCTGAACAATGATACAGTACGGCCTCTTCCTTGTCGTTATTGATAAAGGTGCAGAATTTGAAGCGCGGCTTACCTATTGGTCCTCACTTATGACCGAGGAACAGGCTGCTGAAGTGCTCGGACGATTTGTAGACTCCGCTTGCGCAATTGCAGCAAAATAATTGGGAATTTGAGGGTTTGTTGGGGCAATCCGGGGTGGAGATCAAGCACTAACTGTAATATAATCATCCAACTATTAATTACCAGTGGCAGTCCCACTAATTCTCAGCTGATGTCCCTTTTTCTACGGATAATTGTTTGTATCTGGTGCCAGTTGTGTATCACAGGATGCCACGAGAATGAACCATCCCACCCATTTAGTTGATCCTGTATTTGTCACAAATTGGATACGTCGGATCAGATCTGACCTGCTGAGATTCCCCACTATATATACACATTCAAATACACGACATTGCAGTTGCTTGCCTTTCAACTCGAGTAATGGCCAAATACTATAGCTGCAGCAGTAGTAATCCAGATATGCTTAACATACAAGGGGCTGAGACTTAGATTGATCATAGGAATTTTCGCGGAGGAGTTCTGAGTGCCCAGCGAGTACAGTGATAGAAAATGCTGTGTAATTAAGCCAACTGCGCCATCTGCGGGCTTTGGAGAAATCATTTGGTAAAAGCTTAGAAGGCTAGTCTAAGGGAGTCATTTCTGAACAACAATTCGCCCCACTCTCTCCTTTAAGTGTGAAGGGTATAAGTGTAACCTCGGGGAATTGCACCACAGCGAAATGAGAAAGACAATGAGCGATACCTTCGTGTACTGTGTATCAGCTGTCCTAATACACAGCATTAACCTTCCGCTCCCCCTGTAGCATCTTTAATTTCTGTAAGTGTCACTATGAGCGTGCCAGATTGGACCATGTTTTGGCCACAGTGCGTTGCCGTGATGGATCACATCATCCTAGGTAAACAAGAAATACAGTAACTTGTTTCGTTTTGGATCTTCAGCGGTGGTTCTACCTTAACTGGAAATGGGTAATAGACCTGGGGTAGAAGGAATGATATGCAACACTAAGGTAACGATTGACTAGCCAGTAAGAGACCCATAATGAACAGCAAATTCCACGTTCTTGCGCCCTGAGACGTTATTTTAATTTTCCCGCCCTGGTATATATTAGTAAAGTCGCCAACGTTTACTCTATTAGTGTTGGTGGAGGATATCCTTACCATGAATGGAGCTTCGCATTCTCGGAAGATGTCCGTTATCGTGCAGTCGTCTAGTACAGAGACGAAAGACGGCAGGACGTGGAATGGAGAGATTACAGCGAATCCGCACGCTAGAAGAAACACACCACTGATATGCTGGGCTACGCATCTCTCTTCCAATGGAAGAGTCTTACCCAAACAACAGGATTGAATATGATACTGCTATCCATATTGTTATTGACTGGAAGTGAACAGAGGCCCAACTATGTAGTTATGGTCGTCTAGGATTATACTGCCCAGTGCCATGCGTGATACAGTAACATGCTATACTTACTTTAGGCAGCAACGTTTGCTACATACCTTGTGGGTATATCCGCAATTTTGGGGCTGCGCTGTTTGATGGTATATCTAATCCGATATGAAAGTAGTTACGTGCGGCCTCTATTAAAAGTTAACCATTTTTTACAGCAGCCACTCTAGTTCCATTGGATGCCTTGACAGTTACTAGTACGCCGGTCTGTCTATCTATTGCACTAAATCTTTCTGGGATAACTTGGTCACAGGTATACCATAATACCAACATGTCTCCAATTGCGTTGCATAAAGTGGTAAAATGGCGAGCGGCAAAACAAAGGATAGATAGACACGGTATACCCTCTCCCAAGCACTTACTGATGCTCCACGAGGAATGGCCGTAGCCGATATTAACAAACAGCCCCGTATTGACCACGTTCAACCTTCCAAATCTGGAAATGGACCATAGAAAGATTTCTATCGCTGCTATTAAACGAATACGGGTCCTTATTGCTATCGTCTACTACTAGAGTCAGGTTTTTAAAACAGGATGGACAAGACTATCATGGATCATGCTAGGCGATCTCCTCACCACATCTTTCAACTTAGTGCATTGATGACGTCATGTTTGACTAGAAAGATATGAACGGTTGTGATAATAGGATAAGTGCATCACAACTTCAATATGTGAAGTTTCCTCAAGGTATTTGACAACTCGAATAGCACCTATCATTCACAGATATTTAGGCTGAGCACAAATGTACGGTACTCTGTTCTCCTGGGGTGCATGGAAAGCTACTAGTATGATCACCCCTCGCATTTTTTTTCCCTTTTTTTTCAAACCCTTTGTGTTGGGGCGTCACTTGACCGTGCTGCCCCCTGCTATAGTTATACTAACGTAACTGGTAAACGAGCGGGCCATGCCAGTCGAGCGGGCCACCTTTATTCCATACAAAAGAGTACTTTTTGAAACCAGTACCTCAACAACCAAGGCTAGTAGTGATCTGAATCTTAGTATATATACTAATTCAATACTGCAGATATAGGTATTAAAAAGAGAAAGCTCTAGATCTAATAATATATCAGGTAACATAAATTACATTGTATTTTTGGTAATTTATCTATAATTGTATTTGAAATGTGAGAAAAATATATTAAAAATGTATTAAAATATAATTTCTATTCAAATACCCTATATTTATATCAGTATCAAATATTATATTACTACCATCTCTGGTTGTTGAGATACCTGGATTATGAAAGTGCCATTTTATATGGAATACAACATGGCCCGCTCGACTGGCATGGCCCGCTCGTTTACCAGTTATGTTAAGCTAGTTCGACTTTATCTAATCGGAGCTTTTCGCAAGGCTGAACCTTCGGTTTCGTAACTTTGATCCGATCGTTGTTGCTAGGTGCCAAGATGCGGCCCGCTGAGGAGAGTTACGGCAGACCCTTAAGACAAAACTGCAATAACAAAAATTTCATGCAAGCGCTACTGTGGTTGATCACCTGATGCACGGCCCCACCTGATGCACGAATTTCAACATAACGTCAACAACAAAACTGAAGCCTTTTAACCACATACAACCTGAATTATACAGAGATATTTCGGTAGCTTAATACTAACATCCTAAAGAGCCTATATATACATCTTTTTTCTCCCGGAAGCGTTGTGGGAGGCGGATCTGCCTATCTTATTGATTTACTGTTATAGAGGCCTCCGCGATACCTTTAGTATCAGTAACTACTCTATCTATACTATTCTTTATCTCTGGAGTTATTGGAAGATTCTTCTTATACCGCTCGGTATATAAGACCCGGTAATAGTAAGATCCTGTTAGCATAGATATATATAATAGTAGTAATCTACTCTTGATTGCTATCCTATAAATATTGCCTATTATCTTCTCTTTTATACTATTGTTTAGAGAAGATCCGCTTGTCTTTACTAATAATTCTAATAAGAAACTTTTTTTTATCTATATTATAGATATTCTCCGGCTATATATTATATTCTTATATCTTGCAGTGGAGAAGCTCAAAATATAATATATATTTATTTACAGAATCAGCCTGCTTTCAAGAGACATCCATGCCAGTAGTATATTTTAAGAGAAGATTATCAGGAAATTGCTTTAGCCAGCAGCTAGGCCAGTATTTTCCAGGCCTCTTTCGAGTAATCTCTGTAGCAAAATTCCTAAGCATCTTATATAAAGAATATAAGCCACATTCAGTAAGCTTCTCTATATAGCTAATAAGGACTTTTGATTGCTGGTTATTGAGTACTTGCTGGTTTTTGTACCTAAAAGAGTTATTTGAATTTAAATTGCCACTCTCTAGAATATTCTGTAAGAGCCGCCAAGGCAAGAGAAATGGGGGAGATCGCCACGAGCGGAACACGACGGGCGCAAAACTCGAACACCATGCGGTCATCATGCAAGTGAGGCTCAATTACGGCTACTTGCGATAGGACCTGGCAAGGCTGATGGAGAGTAGTTGCTGACAAGGGGGGATTACATGCCCAAGGTCGCTAACGCAAGACCTACAAACCATACAGATCAGCAAAAGGATCATAGCTCGCATCCAGATGCTGGGTATGTTCAATTTCATTCGCAATCATATTCGCTGTGTCCTTCCCATACACTTCCGCGACCCACGCGAGAGTCAGATCAATCCCCGCAGTGACCCCTGACGCAGTCCAGATATTTCCATCCGTCACCCATCTCGCACGAGGGACCCAATCCACTTTGGGTCCTAAGGCCTTCATCTCATGAAACGCATTCTTGTTCGAGGTGGCTTTTCGACCGTCCAGCACCCCCGCGCGAGCTGCCAGTCCGGACCCTGTGCAGACCGTGATCAGATACTTCAATGACGAGTAGGTCTGTTTGATGAACGCGATGGTGTCCAGAACGGCCGGGCTCGATCCTCGCGTGCCGACCCCACCGGGCACGAGGAGCACGTCCAGAGGCGGTGCCGTCGCGAAGGTGTGTGTGGGTACGATTTGCTGGCCAATGACGTGCGGGTTGGTCATGGAGGTTTTGCTGGTCACCGGATCCAGAGTGGAGGATAGTACAGATAGGATTAGGGGATGGGTTATAGACAGGACGTTCAAACAGTCCAGAGGACCGAATGCGTCCAGGGCCTGGAAGCCAGGGAATAGGGCAATACCCACGCGAAGGGAGGTGGATTCTGCCATATAAGAGACTGAACGAGAAAGGTTGGAAGAAAACATACCTGTCATGGTTAAAGTATGCTGAGTGGCTCCTGTCGGGTGGTGCACGTGTGCAGGCACGAGAGGTATATATCCCAATTACTGACAAGATAGGTGTCAGTGATGGAGGAGTGACTCACCCTTCCCTCCTGACATATCTAGTCCGGGATCGGCGCGGGGTTCGGAGGCTGACAGTCCACCAGTCTACCAGTCAGTCCAACGGCAACAATGGCGAGCGGGATTGAATCCCTGTGACTTGATAATCAATTCTACCGTTCTTTCTCAAGTACGATCCTGTTGTTATCACCTCCAGCATGCAGTCTGTCCTGGTTAGCTGATTGATCATTCATGCTTGGTAATGGTTCCTGGCTGTCTGTTCCTGCCGAGGTTCTACCGTGTGCTGGTCATCGTTGGAACACTACCATCTTGGGTAGACTAAAGTAAAGCTTTACCGCTATATAACGTGTTACTGCATCATACAAGATATTCAGTCGTGGGGTTCAATTCCCTTGGGCACCTAGTGAGGGCGATAATATTTCCCGTTTAGGTAGCCTAAGCGAATACTAAAGAGTTTATATTATTATTATTAATCAAGTTTAACGTCCGTATCGAGCCCATTGACGATGGATGGCAGACACATGTTCTTAGGCATTGGCCTAGGCCACTGCCTCTAGATCAGCCCTAAGGGCGCTATCAGCGCCCTCTATCAATTGTATATTCATTCTGATCCTTTTCTCGATTATCTGTACTAAGGCCTCTAGGCTATACCCTTCTTAGTATCTATTGCATGCTAGGCATTATCTAGCGTATCTATATTGCCCGTTTTGCTATTCTTTCTCTCTATAACATAATTCCCAACCGAGCGCCGCACCTCATATAAAATTCTGCCCGTGGCTGAACTATTAGGGCCTTTATCAACAAAACAATCATATTTCTATATAAAAGCGAATTAGGACATTAATTAGGACATTGTCTGTGAGTATGCCATAGAATATGACAATCACTACAGCGCGGGGACGCTTGTACGCGCGGCCTAATTGGAGATAGCTCTTAATCTATAAGTATAGTATCTTGAGCTTCTTTAACCTTATTTTCATGCTGCATATACTCCCGAGCTTCCTGGACTGAGAAGTCTTCAGTGTAGGTGATTTGGCAATTAGATCACTTCTTTTTCTGCTGTTGTTTATCAATTATACCCCGTAAATATTGGTTTTCTTGAGCTAAAAAATGCCCTATTGTTGTATACTATTTCACATCTCTTAATCAATTGGTTTAAAGCAGTCTTTGTAGGAGAAGAAGGACTCTGTATATACAGCAGACCCTTAAGACAAAGCTGCAACAACAAAAACTTCATGTAAGCGCTGGTATAGGACTGGCAGAAAAATGAATATGTACGTACATGATGGCCTGCTTGGTTTCACCACGTAGCTGTGGCTACTTGTCCAGAGCACCACGAAGAGGTGCAAGCCTTGCTCAGGGTGTTGTACACAGGGCCCGTACAACTAGGAGTGCTGGTGCTGGGATATATTAGTGGCGGACCTGACCACCCACCGCCTTTGCCGGATGGGTGGCCGGCAATGGAGAGATGGATTTTGAAGTAATTTATATTTCAATACCTAGATTCTGTAGAATCTATAAAATAAAACTGGTTACCAGATTCTCCTGCCTTTTTACTGTTATGAATCTATACAAGACACGTGATTACCTAGCGACTTGGCCTTGGCTAGATCTCTAACTCTTCAGCCCTTGAAGGCTTTATCTATTAGTAGTTGATAGAGGTGACAAGAAGCGCTCAAGATAGTTAATATAGTTATCTATAGAATTAAGTATCTATCAGAATAGCATCTGGTCCTTAGTAGGCTACGTATATGTAGCTGATACATTTTTATCCTGCCTATCTTTCTCCTGAGATCACAATAATTACTATATAAAGCAGGTTTTTGATCTTCCACAGAAGGCGCGGGTAAGAGATAACCATACACTTCTCTATATATCTTACCTGTTTTCTTCTTATTTAACTTCTCTTTAACTCTTCTATCTATAATAGATCAATTTGCATCCCGTACGGTCAGTATACCACTATTTCCAAGGTGCTGAATCTCTTACTTAGTAGATCTACAGCACTGGGTTACCTGGGCCGATTTAATTTGCTCTAAAGTAGAGTTCATAACTGCAAGTTACTCAGATTAAAGTTTCTGCTGATAAAATAGATATTCTAGGCAGCGCTTAACTTGTGGAGAGATCTCTGTAGAATCCAGTAGATGGAATAACTTCTTCTGATTCTTTTTTACCTGTAGAGAGGCAGCTTTGTATGGCCCAAGATCAATAGCTGAACAAGACATGGCTTATACAATACTTGAAAATAGTACCCAGAATAATAACTAAGAAGGCCATATACACCGCTACTTGGAGATTATAATAATCTGAACAAGGCGGATAACTAGGCGGTATACACATGCTTTACGGAAATTTTTGTTGTTGCAGTTTTGTCTTAAGGGTTTGTCGTAAGAGTGCTTGATATTCTGGGTCAGTTGGTCTGCTCGTCTTGGCATGCCCAAATTGCGGGGGTGCTTGTGCATAAGGGTCGGAGAGGATAGATGGAGTATTGTTAATTATCCCGAGACAGACCCGGTAACCTAGAATAACGCCAGGCGGCAACAAGCGCCAACGTTTTGAGCTCTACTTAGCAAATTTCGGAGACTTTACGGGTGTATGGCAACCAAGTGGGACCCTTACTGCGCCAGCTAAACCCTGCATTTCTAATGCCATAGGATACTACTCCGCGATTTAGCGATTTCAACCAACCCCAGCTAATGGGGCCTGGGCATATGGGGCCACCTGTTACACATCTGGGCAACGTTTGCGATGAGGGTCCAAGTATCTCACGACTAATTGCGAAGCTAAGGGACGGTTGTGGATACCTAACCTCCTCGCAACATTCGTTACCGGCCTCCGCGTTGGGTTTAGATATAGCACTTTTCTTTCCCCTTCTTTCTCCCTGTCCACGTACTTACTCCGCCACCTAGAGGCCATTCATCATGTAGTAGACCCTGCCGTTATTCTCCAAGATAAAAAACCATCATGTAGGTTTAATATTCCACTAAAGCAGATGCATAGCCCAGTTGGTTGGACTTATGGAAAGGATATATGGTGTAAGTCAGAAACACGGCGTACGAGGGTTTGCAAAGCATTAATGGCTGCAGTGCCTGTATTGCCATGGGCTGAAGACCTGATAACAAGCGCATAGTTACATCAGGGGAACGGCGAAGGAGTGAGTGTGAGCACCTTGGTGGCAAGAAATACGAGGTCAGAGGAACGGCTTTACACGCTCGTGTGCGTACATCGGAACCCGCCAATTTACCAAGGTAGTCGGGTCCTGATACCCTTGCATATCAAATCATGCATGGAAGTACGGATTTCGCTGTTAGTTAATGTTCAAGTTCGTTTGTGGAGTTATGCGCCACCCCATTATCAAGATAGGACGTGTATATACTCGATCTTCCAACACAATTGTAAGGATATCTGCACGAGACAATTCACCTTCATCGCCTTTGCTGCGGTAAACCTCAACCTAGGGCTACGACTAATGCATGAAGGCGCTACATGTTTCTATGCTATTCACACCGCTTCGCAGGCGGCACCATTGCTGGCTACTCGCATTGCAATACTGATGTCATCCGCGCAACATTCTGGTACTAGAAAGTAATATCTCATAGCTAACTGAGTGGATACACTCGATACTGTGGTGGGTTAGCCTAGGCTACACGGGTGTATTGGTTTTAAGCTCCTGCCATTCTTTGGATATGCCTCTTTCATATCGCGGGAACGTGGTAAGTCGGACAGGTCGGTTGCCTGTTGCCTCCTCTTGATTGAACGTGAGTTTGACTTATTCCAGCTGGCTGATAGGATGTGTCGGCCTCTTGCTTGTTCAGGCTCTTTAGGGTCTGCATACCTCAAACCTCATCTCACTTCCAATCTCTGTGGGATAGGTGCCCTCGTAACGTCTCTTGGTTCTCTGTTCACATCAATGGACAAGAGTTGACCCCACTAATGTAAGACTGACCTATCTCTGTCGATCTTATCGGTCTTACTCCAGAAAGAGTAGCTTTGGCCAGTTTCTAGGCAGCAGAAGGTAGAAGGATCTCGGACTAGATGGTGCGGCATTTCCCGCTTCCTCTACTCTCAGTTTATGCGCGCACTCCATCACTTTTCCATCACAAACTAGGAAAGTTATGCGTCGGTTCGATTATCATTCGCTACATGTGAAGCTACTGCTGACCCAGCAACAACTATAAAGTCCTTGTCCAACCCATAAGAGATTGTCTTAATCATCGCACTTCCACTATATCCCAACCGGAGCTTAATTTCAAACAAATTGTTTTCCTCCTTTCTAACAACCACAATGCGCCCAGTCAATCTGGCTCGAGCTGCTATGGTCACCTGGGCCTTGCAGTTTGGCTCTGCTGTTGCGGCGGAAAGAACCAACTGGAAAGTCGAGGTCTTTCTGGATGATCTTTGCGAGCAGTCGACCGGAGTTTGGATCGATAATCATAAGTCTGGGTGTGAACGACTCGACAATCTTCCTGATATTCGATCCATTAAGGCCACGGGCGATGACCTGAATGCCCGGTGTGGCTGGAATGTCTTCGCCTGCGAAAACACCGAGTGCCAGAAGGGCTGGGAGTTACAAAAGGATATCTGTCTCCGAGTCGGCGTTGGCGACCTGAAGGACGCGATCAAGAGTTACATTGTCGTTGAAACTCCTTGCGTCTAATCTTAGAATCAAATCAGTTTGGTGAGATTATCAGTACAGCCGACATAGAAGCCTTGGCACAATGTCTAACATAGAGTTTTCATAGGCACAAGCGCCGAAAGAATGTCCAACCGATATGCTTCGTCGAATGGCTCCTCTATTCTAGGATGGATCGGATACAATGTACACAAATACATCCGGGGTGAAATCCATCATGTCGTTCTCTTTGGCCATTGCGACATGAAGCCTGACCTGTATTGGCGAAGATGGCTGTGATCAACTGCGTCACCAATCGAAAGCCTCCAATAAATTTTTTTCATAAGCGCCTCCCAGTAGCTGTTGATTAATTTATCTACTCTTGACTGTATTGAAGAGAAAGTAAGAAATGTAGCTCGGATAGTATCGTTGTCCACATCAGATCCTGGCCGATAGACGTTTACTATTATCATCTAGAAGAGCCATTCACCCATGTTTCCACCCGCGAAGAACGGATAAATCAGCCACTAGATGACAGAAGATGAGACGACTTCACAGACGGTTTCCACACTTGCCACCATTTGGGGCAGTTTTGCAGCCTCGAAGTCCTCTATCTTCCATGAGTAGTAGGCTAAATAATTTGTTCGCCTATTCGGCCATTAGCACCACCGGCCAATTCGTCCATTTCCAAGATCGGCCGAATGTGGTCCTGAAGAGCTGTATGTCAAGCTGTTTCCTAGATGCGACGGGAGCCTGGTCATAGCATGTATTGGTTCCTCCTCTACGAGATCGAACATGGCCGACGACGAGCAATGGAGCATGATGTCGCCAACGAAACTCTACTGGGAATCCACAGTTTCTTCTCACATATTAATCCCTACCTGCGGACGCTATAGCACGCCTTTAGGGAAAGCCAATCCCCTAGGGATATTGACCGCAGTTGCAACGTATGATTATTTGGATGTGATTGAGAAAGTACGAAGGCGGAAAGCGGTTGGGATGTAGAACGGAGGAATCGTTGTGTGATCGGCCGATCTAGATTGCGCAAAGTTTCAATGACCTCATTCCTTCTCTCCCACAGCAATTTTCTTTGCCGTTTTTCCTTATGATAGACGACAATGGTTGGCAGAATTTCAAGGTCGGATGATCTGTCATGTACACCCTGTGAATATGCGTCGGTAGGCCGTTCGAGGGAGGCGAATATCAGAGCCGTCCAGTATATAGCAGGTGATACATATAGTCCAAAAACAAGGTTAATACATCCCATATGAATCCACACTCGTAACCCCGGGTACTATGTGAGATTAAAACTCAAATACTTCGGATGTCGCGGATTATATTCTGTATAATTTTTAGCGTACTATGGGCAGAATCTTATTGTCCAACCCCAGCACTATGGCATTGAGTTCAATCCGCTACCTGTATATCCATAGATAAGCGACAGATACCCAGGGAACCTGGGCAGACACAGAGAGAGAGAAAATACAGTATGTGTGTGCTATTGGTTGTACCGGATTTCCAGTACCACTTAAGCTTAAAGTCATTTATTCTAATGGTTGACGGAAATATTCATAGGGTAAGTGGCTTACATATCCGAACACTGACTCCTTCCTTCTTTGTCTTACGAACAACAAAAGACGTATAAAGCTTCTAAGAAGACAGCTGTAATCACAACCAGCCTACTACTGTAGTGTCTTCTTTTAGTAGAAACACCCTTTGGAAAACAAACCCTGACTACTGTATAGTGTTACCAACCAACATCTCGCAGCTGAGAGTGGTTGGCCGTTGGTTTTGAGTCCAGTCTCTCCTCGACAGTCACCTTTACTTATTTTGCATACGTCCGCAGCCCAGCTAGCTCACACAATCATTCTCTTCAATCTATCCACAATACTTCCTTAAGAGCCTGTCCTTTATCCGTCACCTGCAACTCGGTTTTAAGGTAGAGCCAGACCAAATTGTCCACGATGTCATCGTCAAGCGAGCAAAATTATCAGAATAGCCCAGTGATAACGCACCCTACACGTGATAGCCATGAATGTGGGGAAGCGACTGAGAATAGCGCTGGGGAGGAAGAGAAGGCTAGTCATCTAGGACTGACAGTTTCAGATCCAAATAGTGTCAACTGGGATGGTCCCACTGATCCAGCAAACCCCCGAAATTGGAAGAGGGGGCGAAAGCTGATACATATTCTTGCACTTAGCGCTATCACCCTCTACGCGTAAGTCTCTTACCATGGACATCTGCAAGCGACTCATCTGACGCCGCAGGTAGGAACCTCGCTGCTATTATGTTCGCTCCTGCAGCTCAACAGTTTGCTATGGAGTTTCGCGTTACAAGCGGCATTGTAGCCACTCTAACCGTTACCATCTTCATCCTGGGGTTTGCCATCGGGCCCCTTCTCCTTGCCCCCATGTCAGAGCTCTACGGCAGACTAATAATCTATCATGTTTGTAATGTCGTGCATTTCGCCTTCACTATTGGTTGTGCATTGAGTACGAATACTACTATGTTTATTATATTTCGTTTTATCTGTGGGTGCGCTGCATCCTCCTCGATGTCGATCGGGGGCGGGACCATTGCAGACCTTTATACTGAGGCTGAGCGTGGAAAGGCAATGGCGCTATATGGCATTGGTCCCCTTCTAGGCCCAGTGAGCGTCTATTTACTTTTACTTGACGTCCGAACTACCCCCTGATAAGGAAACAGGTCATTGGTCCCTTGATTGGTGGATTTGTGGCGCAATCTCTAGGCTGGCGTTGGACATTCTGGCTGATTTTGATACTGGTAAGTCCCAAATCATATATCACGACTGTTGAACTCAGCTGATAGAGGTTTCCTCAGTCCGGCGCCACCTCTCTTCTTACTTTAATTGTAATGCGGGAGACTTACGAGCCCGCTCTCCTTGAGCGCAAGGCCGCTCGGTTGCGCAAGGCAACTGGGAACAGTGAACTCCGAGCCCAGACCTCCAACAAAAGGCTAAATTCTAGGCAGCTCCTGGGACGTGCTGTCATACGCCCAGCTAAGATACTTCTCCTCTCGCCTATTGCTCTTCTCCTCGCGATCTACACTGCATTTATGTTTGGTCTTGTTTACCTCTTATTCACTACGTTCCCCGTCGTGTTTCAGATGACATACGGTTTTAGTATTGGTATTACTGGGCTTGCATACCTTGGGCTTGGGCTAGGCATGATGCTCAGTTTAATTCTTTTTGGTGTACTGAGCGATAGACTTCTTCACCAGCCACGGGGAGCAACTATCGCACGGCCTGAGCTTCGCCTTCTCCTAATGGTATGGCTGTCACCTGTAGTTCCTATCGGCTTTTTCTGGTACGGGTGGAGCGCCGAAGCGAAAGTTCACTGGATTGTCCCTATATTGGGCACATTCTTTATTGGCATTACCATCTTCCTTATTCTTATACCTTCTCTGATTTACCTTATAGACGCCTTTGGGCCAGAGGCGGCTGCTTCTGCTGTGGCTGGAAATATGGTCCTACGAAGCCTTTTTGGGACATTTATACCTCTTGCAGGCCCCTATTTGTACAAGAGTTTGGGACTCGGTTGGGGAAATAGCTTGTTGGCTTTTATCTCTGTGGCATTTGTGCCTGTTCCCTTCTTCTTTTACAAATACGGGGAGCGCTTGAGAATGCGATTTCCGGTAGACTACTGATTGGAGTGAAATAGAGTGTTTTGCATCTGAATACCAAGCTAATAATGTTAGCTTTAGTATTAATGAACCATTATTAACTTATTTATGCGATTTTAGACTATTAAGCATATATACTTTATAAGCCTAACTTTCTAGACTTCTATTTACAGATGAATTATTATGTTCTTATTCAAATCTCCTTAACTTATCTCTATAATATTCTACTATTAACTATCAATAGATTCTGATATTCTCACTACGCAAGACGGCTAACTGGTAGCAGAGCACTTGGACGAAGCCACCTGTGTAATATAAAACTATTTTATAACAAATAAACTATATAGTTAGAGCTATGTATTATAGATAAGCAGGAGTTATTATAAATAATAGTTTGTAATATAGTACTACGTTTTGCAACTCTATATAGCCAACGGCTACCTAACCATGCGGCCAAGTATGTAGGTCTTGGTGGCCTTTTCGACTCTTTAGTTTATTGGAGACTCTCATCAGGAAAGGTATGCTGCTCTTCAAGTTGGTATAGGAGACTCTACGTTGCAGGAAACTAAACATCTCTGAACTCTCTGTGCCGTTAGCATTCGCTAGTCCCATTTACCCAGGGCACATTTCGGTTCCTCTACTCCGAGATGAATTTGAACTAAACAGTCCCAAGGTAATCTCAAAAAAATATCCTTCAGTCTGTTATTCTCCCTGAGAGTCGCATGGGCTCTGTCAGGTAGCCTCACGCTAGCTGCCAGTATATGGATTCACGGGGCTATGCTCGTGAAGGTTGGTCCCGATCTTGGTGAAATCAATTTACAAGATATTGACGTAACCTTATCCACATCTCCCTCTGCAATGTCTTGGCTAAACTTCCATCAGGTTTCAACTATCTTACTATCGACCAGCTATATAAAGAATATAGCGAGCCTGAGACAGCCTCTAAGGCTGGGGATAGTTAGAAATATACCTTAATCAACAAATAGTCATCCCGAATAAAACTAGTTTACTCGTGATGGATTTAACTGGCAATATTGCCAATATTAGTTGTTAGATGTCGATATATATTTATATCATCATTCCAAATACCTCTCCTAATATTAGAAGCCATATAGATGTTTACAAAACATAATAGAAAGGACAACCAAGCTCCTCCCAAAAAGTTATAATAATAGTAGTATTTGAAGTATCAGCATATTTGGCATAGTAGGGTTGGGCTGAACTACTAAGCTAAAAAAGACTAATATATCGAACAAGAAGTTCGATATACCTAACCACTACCTATATATGATGTTATCGTAACAACTACATACCAAAGGATAGTATTAATTCTGTTAGCTGGGGGCCATATACCTTAATAGAAGGAGAAAGAGCAGGATGGTAGCATATACGGTAAATGGTATATACACAATTTAGTTTAAGCTGCTACTGCAGTATTTGGCAAAAACAATTTAAATGATTATCAATATTTCGGTGGATAAGAACAAAGGTTATCTCTCTTTGTACCCGAATGACTGAGGCCCACATGAAATCTTCTACGAACAGCAATACTGTCAGGTAGTTATACAGCTACAGAAACATGCAGCTGCTATGTTGAAGGTCGGCTCAGGCTTTCTATTCACGGGCTATCTAGAGAGGGCCAATGGCATCAGGTGCATTGATTTAAAGGTGAGAACCAGTCGGACACGACCGGTAAGATCACCGATCAAGAAAGTAAGCGGACCATCTACCGTGAGGATGCTCTTTAACCCCTCCTTTTCTTGGTCTCTCTAGATCCGCAATGGACGAGATAGTATAAAGCGCAATATGGTATTTAATATACATAGATAGAGAGTCTCTGTGCAATTTTCGAGCAAGACTACTTCTTAAGTGGCTTGCTTGGTCAAATTGACAGAAGCAATGTTCTATCTGTTTTAAAAAGGAATTGCCTGTCTAACAAACTGTCGATCAGACAATTTTTAGCGACTCAAGGCCTCTTCTAGTAGCTATTTTGTTTATTTAGCATATTATAATTTGAGTAATGTCCTAAATCATATCCTTATAGTTGATTTAACATGTCCATCTACGACTCCAGGGAGAGCCTTCTACTACTCCTCTCAAGTCCATTATGGTCGCTGCACGCATGATATCAACCCTAGTATCAAAGGGTTCTGCGGGTCGTATTCATAATTTTGGAGTTTATCGATAGTGCTCGCAAATATAGTGGCTCATACTGCTGATGTATCTCAGAAGGCCAGGTACAGATACCTGTAGTCTTGTTGTCGATTTGTCTGTGCCTTCTGTGCGGCTACCATTGATAAGAGTGTGGAAAATTGGAATGTGAGCAATAATAATATCAACGGGCAATTCTCGTAGGCTCTAACTGGGAAAAAGGGTCTATTAGTTTACTAGATATATTATTTCTTACTGAGTCTTCTTCTGTTAATAAGCACAGGTCGAAAGTAACACACCTATTTCAGTTTAGGCTGGTCGGGTTTGTCAGTGTAATTGAAACCCTCATAATTTTATCACATTCCTGCAGTTAAAAGCATAATCCTGTTGATTGCTTATTATACTTGCTGTGCTTACACGGTCATAGTGTTCAAGACTCTACGCCTAGTGCTTTTAACCTTCTTTAAAGTTATTAGAAAGCAGATTCGGGAAACAGAATGCAAGACACCACCAACGAAATATAAAAGCTTACTTCTTTGTCCGCAGTTGGAGCTTAACTAGGAAAATTATTGGTAAAGCAATAATCTATACCTTAATAAGCGATAGTTTTCCTTATACCCTGTAGGCCACATACCCCAGGATCGGTGCTAGAGTTATCATAGATCAGCTTGCTATATTCAATATCCATCAGGGACTGTAGCTTCTACAGAACGTTTGATACTGCGAAAAGGATAAAAAATAGGGAGTGGGTGGATACAGTGGCCTGGAGGGGCCGGCCGGACTTGCCAGTAGTTATGTATTGGGACGCAGGTAAACTAAAACAACAAGTATAACTGCAATAAATGTTAATATGTAGGCGACTGCCGGACACACTACCAAGAGGCAATGCCACCTAAGCTTCCTGGCCAGGCGCTAGTACGGAAGGAGCATATTGACATTCATAGGCCGGAGCATACTCAGATATGCATACTCTATGACTTGTTCCCGTTTCGTACCGCGGTGGAGCCAGCGTGCTTGCTCATCTGCTATCGTATCAATTCACGCCCGAGTAAAGTCTGTAACGTTACCATTAATATATACCACATAGGAACCTATGGTTACGTTAGCCTAACAAGCTGGGGCCATGATAGAAACACAGTCCTCAGGTGTCCACTTTTGAAGCCAGGACTGCAGCAATGCAAGCCGACCTGTGAAAGGAGAATAGCAGTCCTGATTCCGAAGAGCGTCCAGAGCTCTAGGATCCACTGTGCTTAGAGACGTTATTATCTACCAACAAGTATAATTAAGCCGGACATACAGTGTAATCACGTACTAGGACCATTGTCTTTGCAACGATCGACAGGCTCACTGGGCTTGGAAAAGTCTTGCCTTCGTAGACGGGTCGAAACAAATCGAACGCAGGTGAATCTTAGACAACTTACAAGGTCGCTGTTGAAAGGGCTCATTGGATAGGGTCTAGTGTTTGAAAAATACTCTGGTTCTATGCGCTGAACCTCTGCATCTGTTGTACTCTCTCATTTGAAATATCCAATTCCCTTTCTCTGGACTGCGCCAAACAAACTAACTAAACGACTAACACATAGCTCACAGCCTGTCCACTCGTGGCTACTGTGAGAGACGTTTGAAGGGATCCAGAGTATGCTACCTGACCAGGTCGGAGCTCAGGTACTAATGTATGCTATTTTTCCAATATGATATATTTTCCTATTATCGCTGGAGTCGATTTCTAAATCGACGGTATGTCGAGATGTCGGGACTCACAACGCTGACTGGGTAGTCTAGACTGCCAATCAAAAGATAGTGACTGCTTCCACTCCGATATTCTTCGGCCAAATAGATGCAATAGTGTCGGGCTTATGAGCGCGCAGGTCACACCCTAGGGTCAACTGTATATTGGCGTGAAATCAATATCTGCGGCACCGCAAATAAAGTAACTATCCAGCGAAACTAGACTCATTCCAAAACCCACCACGGCCCAAATTCCTTCTCATCGGGTCCGAGGGTTTGGAGCCCTTTTAGGAAGCAGATCCGCCTACATCACCTTATCAATCAAGCCGTGTCTCACTAGCTTTTTAGCTTTACATCAGTCTCTGACAGTTATGTCGTATTTCTATATCCGGAAAATAGTTGGCTTGATACGAATAGTAAAGGCTTATTTCAAGGAGCTGTTGACCAGAGATAAGATAATTGACGAGCAGATGACATGGTTATTGAGGACTAAGAGTAGATACTTATAGATGGTTGTGATTGGTTGGGTTAGAGGAGACCAAGACCAAAACAACGCTATGCTAGATCCGGTTCCGCCTTCTTCACCAGTTACCTCTCTGAATTAGGTGATAAAAATGGAACGTTCAGCTAGGCCTTATCTACTGTTTTCTTATTCGAACCAAGAATGGATGAACCGCGGGTGGCTCACCTTACTAGTTGACTAATCGTCTAAATACGTTATTGCTGAAAGTTATAGCGGTAGCATCCAGACCTACACCATTGAAACCAAATAAGACGAATGGTCTAAATTGGATCCAGACCTTTTCGCCTGCTAAATGTAGTAATACTTAATGATTTGATGAACAGAATTACTGTTAGCGATTTGAATTATAACTGACCCCTCCAAGAACTTAGAATCTACCACTTTGTCTATTAGAGTTTGTCACCATGTAGCAAGGTTGAAGATCTAAGACCATCGGCTTTATTTCAATATTCATCAGAGCATGTTAGCCAAAAATTCCGGCAAAAATCTTAGCCACAGGCCACGGTTTGCATACATGGACGAAGACAGCATCTGTCTTATGTATTGAAGACATAGTGCATGTAACAGGTCGGTCTAATTGACTAGGGAGACGTAATTTTTACCTAGATTTCCGAGAATCCAAGTTTGTATTTGTAATTCAGCTTGTCATCACTTTTCCGCGTCTTCTGTTCCCACATGGTATTGCCAACCAGATTCCACCGCCTTCACTACCGCTTCCTGCCTACTACATAGTAATACTTCAATCCACTTCCATGACCATCGACACAGCTCCTATACCTTGCAAAAATATACAGCTTAGGAATTGTAATATGTTCTGATCCTCTAGGTTAGCAGCAATTTTGTTTTTCACTTTCTTATGATTGGAATATGTCAGAGCTATAAGGAGCCTAAGGCGACAACCACGTGGCACGTGACCTGACCACAATGCCAAGGAATCTCTGTATGATAGATTTACCGCTCCAGCCAACACTTTATTTACCTCATCTGTTTAAATTAACTATCTGCTTGTTTCTCCCTACAGAGCCCTGTTGATTTTCCTCACCTAATCTTCTCCCCCTATTTTACCTTACCACAAATGGACTATAAGTTAGATATAGAGGACTAGGTATAATAAATAATATATTAAAGTCCTTAAACGCGTTTCTCACACGTTTATTTACTATTATCTTTACTATTGATTAAAGAATACCGGTAGTTCGAGAATTCCGCGTTTCTCTAGAGCTAATGCTTTCTGCCCCTCATTCCCGCTTTTCTGATAAAGGTCATGAAAGGGTTCATAACAAAAGGTCGTCATTAATCAGGTTAAGTTACTTAGTTAGGAAATTAGTCCCAGTTTTATGATCGAGAGGGTTTATAGAATTTATTTATAATACTATATAGAATCGCAGGTATGTGATATCACTTTATGAATTGCCGCTTTGTGAAGTTAGGCAGATTATTAAAGCGGTAATCAAACCAGATATAAAAGACCTCATGTCTCTCTCACCTCCATGGGTTTTCTTAATATAATCATAAAAATTGACTTTGGATCATACAAATTGATTTCGTCTACAAACATAGAACTATTTGTTAACCTATACTCAATATATAAATTTTTCAACATATACTAAAAGTGGGTACTCATAAATACATTATCATACTTCATCCATTACTCAACATGTTATATCCGAATCAGAAACTACGATAAATTTCGGTTGTTCTCTCCGAGCAACAGCTTGAATGCCAATATAGCAACTAATTGGGAAATAAATTTATGCTACTTGATACTACGTCTTCCGCTAACGCCATAAGTGAATAGGAAAAGTACTTAAACAAAAGCTATTTGAGACTAACTGTTGTAAAATATATGGGGAACACTATCCCAAAGGCAGAACAGTAGTACGGAGTCTACTCGAGGAATTCTAATAATTTCTTGGAACAGTAAGTATTTTAGCCTGACACGTAGGCGGGTTGCAAGTCTCACCTTCCATCGAACCTCCAACACGTCTATTCTTTTCTCAGAGGCCGAAAGAGATTCCTTGATAAGCTGTAACTTGTGGTACTGAACCCAACGGACGTACTGTAAGACGAAGTCAATAATAGGAATTCCTACTGACAATGACGGAAGACTTACCTCTTCAATCGAGTCCTTAACGACATACCTGACGACCTTGACATCTTGTTTTTGACCGATACGATGCACACGGTCTATTGCTTGAGATTCTGCCATGGGATTCCAATGCGGCTCCACTATATGAACTGAGGTTGCGGAAGTGAGGTCAATACTATCAGTGTGGTCAGTGGAGTTGTCCAATTAGGCACATGACTATGGGAGAAGAGTCGGTACCCTTCACCAGCAGCTCCAATGCTTGCCAACATAATGTTACATTGTGAGTCGTTACCAAACTCCTCTAGAGCGTCCTTACGTTGAGCTAAGGATAACTGTCCGTCAATACGTTGGAAGGCCCAGCCTCTCTCCTCAAGGGCATTTCCTATAAGATCGAGCATTTTTGTCCAGTAACTAAAAATCACACTAAAGATAGTCAGCAAATGACTGCAATTACCATACCAAGAAGGATCTCAGTTACGTACGCCTTGCGGGATTTTGAATTTGGGACAGCTTGTTCCTGGCTCTGTGAGATATTGTGCAGAACTGCCTCTAGCTTGGCGGATGGTGATAATTGCAGTCTCACGGGTTTTGACGGTCCTCCTTGTGACAACAGCTCGCACCTAAATGACGGTGACCGTACATCAACTATACCACAGAGCAGACAAGAAAGTTGACTATCAGCGTTTTGAGACTTTGCTACACAGCTGTCGCAAAGAACATGCCCACAGCTCAATTCCTCAATAACAAGCTCACCCACTACTCCCTCTATGTCACAATGACATGAGACACATTGCTTGACATTCATTTTTAGCATTCTCCAAGTTAACAGTTTTTCGTCTCGTTCCTTCCATGCTTTGAGGGCCGTATCTGTTAGTAGTGCTTCCCCATGGTCGCAGATGAGGCGAAGAATCGATATCAGAACTAGAATGTTGGTTGCCGGCTTTCTGTGAGGGATATTGTCGCCTCCAGCGGTCAGATATGAGAAACGTTTGAAGAACTCATATAGTTCTCTATCATCTCGCTCCATCGTCACATATTGGACCATTTCTATCTTACGCGGTAAATTCAATTGTGAGGAGTAGTTCTTTTTCGTTCTTCGCAAGCAAGTTGCAGCCACTACTCTTCGAAGCATCTCGATACCGTTCTTTTTCTTCTCCTTCACCGGCTTGGCAATAAATTCGTCAAATGAGTCTTTTGTCTGGAGAGAAGGTGTTTGAATAAACGCTAGAAGAGCACCAAAATCATCAAGGCAGTTTTGAATTGGTGTTCCTGTGAGACACCACCGGCGTTGGCTGTGTAGGACTCGAACAGCTTGAAATATCTTAGAGTTGCGGTTTCTAACCTTATGAGCTATAGGTATATTCAACCACATCAGTAAGTTGGACGAGGATTGAGGCGCAAAATGTTGAAAGATCGAGTATATTGGTACCTTCGTCGAGAATCACCCTGGTCCACTTATTCTTAAACAAAGGACCTTTCCTGGTTTCCTCTGATCTGAGCGTATCGTATGTGGTTAACACAATATCACACAGACCCATTTGTCCTGCAGTTTCTTGGCGGTTTGGTCCATAATATGTGAGCCATCGAACTCTTTCTCGGTGGATATGACTGGTGTTGATTTGTAAGTGAATAATCTTGCAATGTGGAGGATGGCGAAGAGAACCGGGACAAGAAGCTTAAGGAGGGTGTGCGCTTACTCATTGATCTGTTTTTGCCATCCATAGATAGCTACGAAAGTTAGAACCTGCTTTATACATACTAGAAAAATTATGGGCATCATACTTGACTTGGGAGTCACAATGAGCGTAGACCTTGGAGCGTCCTGGTTCAAGTGTGCGGTTTGATCCATCTGATCTAGGTAGTGGCAAATGAGTGACAGGCTTGATAGCGTCTTTCCCAAACCCATTTCCTAGGTGCAGTTAGCTATATCGTATTCTGCGGCGATATTTAAGGCATTCAAAAATACATCTGCCAGTATGCCTCCACCAAGGGGATCAGGAGGAGAAAACTCGAACAATTCCGTAACAATGTTCTGATATCTAATGATGAAGCGCGATCCCTGGTCAGAATATTCCTTTCCATCGAGATAATGGCTCATTGTGGTAATAGTCAGAAGACTCACGTAACACGATTGCCGGGACCTCTACATGCCTTCCATATCGATGGAAAGTGCGCTTGCTCATGGGTGCCTTCCTCTTTCTCAATCATCATGGCTAACGCCTCTACTTGATGCCTAGTATGAGGATATCAGTGCATAGTTATTTCTATCCATAACACGGTGAAAAACTCACCTCTTTAGTTCCGTCACTAGCCTCGAGCTTGGTTTAGGGACTGCTATCGCCCCATTAGACGTTGCCGCTGTATCGAAAATTTTCTGGACCTGGTTGACCTCGCTTTCGCTAAGTGGGCCGCGGGCCTGTGCTGATTGCGGCCCATGAGGCGCACAACAGGTGCAAACCGAAAGTTCCTCTACAGGCGGCAATTCTTGCCCAGGTCCCAAGAGGTACTGAGGGTTAACATACTTTACACTTCGGTCGAATTCTGATTCTCCGGGGTGTTGCAGGAACAAATTACCCTCAGCCAGGGTGTCTGCAATAGCATCCTTTTGTTGCATAAATCCATACACAATGATCCGGAGTGAAAGAAGTCTTGTTCCAGCTTGGTAGCTCATTCCAAACCCGGCGGATCCATTGGGGGCGTCAAACTTCTGATTTTTACCGCACACGGTGGCAGTCAAGGTTACCGCAGACTCCTTGACCAAATGTGAGAGCGTCTCAGATACAAGGACCGCAACACCATCATTTGTGGAGTCCAAGACAATACGCACCACCTTTCCCTCGAATCTCAGCGCAGCAGGGGTACACTCGAGAGGTACTCTCTCCCCGCGAGAGGAGGTAGCTTGCATGCAGAGCTAGGCAAGCATATTAGCTCTATTGAAAGTAGAAATGTGTGATTATGAGGCTGCAATACCAATCCAAAACATGTGTCATACCCGCCCCCTGGGAGAGCAGCTGCTTGCTGTGCGGCCGTCATGGGGCGCTGGTTCTCTGAGCGGATCCCAGGATTGACTCTAAAGGATGTCCCCCAGTCTGGAGGCTGGGGATTAATGCTCTTAGTTTCATTGGTAAGATCGATGTAGGCTATGGCGTCAATAGCACCCTGTAGGTGTGCCTCGTCTGATGTGCTATTCTTGGCTCTTTTAGGCGCCGGTTCCCTCCCGGGGGGGATTCTTCGCTTTTTGGCTGTGGTCATGGCGGTCCGTCTTCGCAAACAAAGGCTGTAGTAAGAACAAAGTTTTGACTGCTCACGGCATTATTCGAGAGAAACGGTTTTTGTTCTCATGTTTCTCTCTATTTGTTTATTTTATTTGCGGGGTTGATCGGAAGGGAAGGGAGGCAGATTCAGCCTTCGGCCGATAAATGTGGCGCAGTCATTTAGCGCCAGACTAGTCAGCATGGATCTTATTGACATATATTGAAGGGACTCAACCAGGCACACACATGTCTCCATTGGAAGCCCTAGTGCTTTTTCTGCCCATTATGGCATCCATCAACCTCGTTCAGCAAGCTTTCACCGACGCTCAGCGTTCATTCCGGGCCAAACTCAGGGACCCCGATATCTATAATCAGCTTCTAGCGACCCGCAATGTTGACGAAGTTTACAAAACGACTATGAAGTTACAAGAAGAGGCAAACGGGAAAGGCCGACATCTAGCAAAGATCAGGTCCTTCCTGGACCGCCTTTCCAAATATGCTGGAGTGATTGATATTATCGTATCGGCTAAACCAGAGATCCTAGCATTGATATGGGGTCCGCTGAAACTCCTGTTACAGTGGTCAAGCCAAATGACTGCGGCCCTAGATAAATTCACGACTACCCTAGTAGAAATTGGACACGCCTTGCCACATGTTGAGGTAATGGGTGGAATATTTCAGAGCGTCCCTATAAAGAACGCATTGGCCTTGTTATACGAAGATGTCTTGGATTTTTATCGCGTTAACTTCGATTTCTTTCGAAAAAAGCGTGGGTGCACCTTACAAGTCACAATGCTAAGGGCAGAAACTTATACTGTGTGCTAACTATTGGAACAAAGGCTGGAAGCAACTGCTTGATTCTTTATGGGACAGCCACCTGACAAAGCTTAATGTCGTTGTAGACAACATTAAGCAACACTCAGGCCTGCTAAGGGAAGAAGTGACACTTCAAGATATCACGGAAGCCCGCAAACACCGTATCAAATCTCTCGAGGAGTTTGATAAAACACATAAGTCTCAACAGGATCAGAAATATTTCAGTTTGCGCGGTCGTCTCTCCATAAATCTGTATGACGACCGGCTGGATTGGATTCGTAACAGGTCTGTTCCCGGCTGTGAGAAGTGGCTTCTCAACGATACCGCGTTCTGCAAGTGGCAGGATGGTGTCAATCTGGGTAATCAATCTACAGCGTGGCTCTGGCTCCAGGGCATCCCCGGCGCCGGGAAAACATACCTCTGCGGCGCAGCTATTGACTACCTCAAGCAGCAGGGAAAGAAATTTCTATTTTGTTTCCTCAGCTACGCCAGCAATGCCAACCAGACAGCTCTCACTGTACTGCAATCTTTTATCTTCCAAGCGGCAGAGGACGATACGGATCTTCAGTCGGTATTGATTGATGCAACAGAGCGCGAACTCCGCGGTAACACGGGGTATGTCTTAGACTTGCTCAAGACTTGGCTTCGGACAGCTGGACCTACGTATGTGGTCATTGATGGCCTAGATGAGATGGATCGCTCCGAACGCCAAATTCTTCTACAAAGATTGGAGGAGCTTTCGAAGGGGTGCAAAGATCTGCGGCTTCTTATTTGCAGTCGATCGGAAGCAGACATTTCTAGAGTGCTTGAGGAAAAGGCGATTGGTATTCAAGTGAATACGAGGAACTCTGGCAGCATCCAGACCTACATCAATAGCAGGACTGATGACTGGATAAACAAATTCAAATTCGACACCGAAATGGGCCATGAGCTTCGCCTGTTGCTGTCCCCTTTATCGGCGAAGGCAGATGGTTAGTTTCAACCTCCATCCCACATAGATCAACGCTCGTACTAAAAATGATTCCATACACGCAGGCATGTTCCTCTTCGCACGTATTATTCTTGACAGCGTGGATGAAATCCGAAGCATTGATGAGATCCGGCGCGAGCTCAAAGCGATGCCGAACGACTTGGACGACGCGTAAGTTTTGCTTTGAATCACTTCCATCTGAGGGTCATGCGGTAAGACTGAATCATGAAACCAGTTATCAACGCATATTTCAGCGAATTAACGAGATGGACCATCGCCGCCGAGAGGAGCGCAGGAAAATTCTAGGCTGGGTCGGGTGTGCTCCTATACCCATGACTATCTTCGAAATGGAACAAGCATTATTTGTCGACTCTGATCCCGACAACACTAGCCATATCCCATCTAACATTGTCGAGCAATGCTTCCTTGAAATGTGTGGTCCTTTTGTTGAGATTGTAGATGGGAAATTGCAGTTTGTCCATTTCACTGTCCGAGAGTAGGTTTGCCTCACATTAATTCCATTGTCAACATTGGAGAAAGTGACCGTACGACTAACACAGGCATTAGGTACATTTTCAGCAGGGATATCCCCAATTTTATTGACGAGGGAGAAGCTACGCGAGACTTGGCTGCGGCATTTTTGGCCTACCTTGCCTCAGATATAATGGACCCGAACCTCGATGACGATCAAATTTCAGGTGATATTATGTGCGGTAGATACCGGCTCCTCCAATACGCGCATTTTTACTTCCCCACACTACTCCAGCGTATGAATAGCATTCGTCCGAATTCATATCTTGTTGGCAAGTTGCTAGATCGCTTAGCCAGGCGATATAGCAATGATGAATTTCAAACAATAGTCGATACTCGGGACCCACCGTATATAAATCAACATTACAAAAAGCATCGGCAAAGAGGGTACGAATGCGCCCGTCAGACATTCCAGTTTCACCTAGCAGAGAGACGATGGGGTTGGAACTGGAGCAACAGTAAGTGTCACCCCTCCCTAGAAAGGGGTACAAGTCGCTTATGGAGAGTATGCTCTAGGTGAAGCTTGGGTCAACTTTGATCCTCTGATCATTTCAAAAATGCTAGTCCGCATTCAGGAAAATTATGAGGCTTTGATCCACGATAGCTCTGTGTACCGGGAAATGGAAATTCACTACGGCCCTCGGCTTTTCAAGTGCACATACCTATTCTGCCCGTTTAGCCGTCAGGGATTTGAAACGAGACATGACCGAGACAAACACGTCACACAACATGAGCGACCGTGCAAATGTCCAGTGCCGAACTGCATATACTATACACTCGGGTTCAATACACAGAGGCGATGCAATGAGCATTTAGCCCAATTCCATGCTCCAAAATTCAGTATCGACGACCTTGCGAACCTAGATGCAGAGGAGGTTCAGCCCCTCCTGTTCACGTCCACCATAGAAGGTGATCTCGAAAACGTACGACGCCTGGTAACCTCACCAGGTGGGAAAAGGCTGAAGCCGGAAGTCCTTGCTTCGGCTAGATTCATTGCAGCCGAACAGGGGTCTCTAGGCATAACCCAACTTCTCGCTCCGCCGGATGAGATTGATGTACCGCTGAAAGTCGTAAAAGCAGCGGTCAAGAGCCAAGACGCTGGGTGTGCCGAGTGGGCTATTGCGAACGCTGGAACAAGTTATTATACTGATCTGATGAAGGTGATGCTGGGCACCAAGTCTGAGCAAATCTATAGAAGGTGGGAAGAATCTATCATCGACAACATAAGAAATTCAACGCCCAAGCCAAGGTCCAGGGAGACAGCGCTGTCATACACGCCGCTCGCCGGGACGGAGTTAATCAATGAAATCTTTAGGCAGCAAGTCTTTAGTGATATCAAAGGCAGTGTTTTGAAGGAATCTAGACTGCAACATACCCTGGAAATGCTCAAAGAATACATTGAACCATTTATGCTAGGAACGATTCTAGTGCGGTTAGCCAAGTCAAGCTGCACCTTTTCCCTCGCCAAACAGCTTCTGTCATATGGGGCACCGATTGATCACCCGTGGCGGACATATTCAAGGAATGGAATACCTATCGCTGGAGGATCAGGAATGACGGCGCTGCAGGGAGCGGCAAAGAAGACCACTAAAGACGCTGCGTTGCTCATGAAACATCTTATACTTCTTGGTGCAAAAACAGATTGGCCTGGTATTGAAGAGGAACGAGGTGTAAAGAAGATTGACGAGTTTGTCGGTGTCAAGTGGGATGATCTTCTTTTACAGGCACCGCCAAGGAGGTCCGAATATAGTAGGCATAACTCCACCTTTCAGAGTGCGGGTTCGGGCTAGAGTTTTTTAAACCTGCCTCCGACCAGGTGTTAGATTTGGATCTCCTAAATTTAATTTGAAATAAAAATGAAATACAAATGTAAAAGATTAGCTTATACAGGACAGAACAGATGTGGACTAGGTGAGAATCGCTGCTACCAAGCGCTAGAATTGATATGAAACTCGTCCTGCTAGTTCCCTTTAGAATACGCTGGGGCCTCGGTACTTTATCGTCCATGAATAGTAGGGTAACACCGCAGTAGGCATGATATCATAGAAAGAGTCCCGACTCAGTCCCGTATAGTGCCAGAATCACCGAGCTCCCGAGAATTATCTTTTACAACTAAGGGTATTAGCTCGAAGTAGTCACTGGAGGGTTGTAGAATACTGAAGCCAAAATCAGCGAAACGCAGAAGCTCCTAATCAAAGTGGTTGCTGTCATGCTGAAATCGCCCCGGAGACGCTTGAAACCGCGGATGACGCACAGAGAGATCTGATTCCATACTGATATCATGTATGGGAATTTGATGCCTGGTTTTTGGACTGTAGCGTTCGGCGAGCCTTGAGGAATGCGTTGTAGAAAGGGCTCCAATCGGGTATCTCTTCTCATAGTCTTAAAGCTCCCTCAACAACCCATCTCGAGCGCTGCTTTGCTTCCACTTGGCGGTAAACTCATCTAGGGTCCGAGGGATACGCTTCTCAAACCCAATGCGGACCTTTCGCTCGGATACACTGCCAGAGAGGTCAAAAAGTCCGCCGTGGTTTGGCGCTCGGGACAGCCAAATCCTATGTCCACAAAGAACTATTTTGCGGCGCTGGTGTGTCCAAATTAGATCTGTCTTCCTTCGTAGAGTGAGTAGGCTGAACTTGTCGAACATGTTGTACGCACTTTGCGGCGCCTGATAGATGGCCACACAGTTGACAGTGCGGGCATATCGACTCACCAAATCCAGGTTCCTGCAAATCCCGTTGCATTCGCACTATCTAGTCCACTAGTACTGTTGTCCCAGCATTGAATCGGTGCCGAGCTCGAGGCCGCCTCTGCTATGCTGACCCCTTCTGGAAGGTACCACGGGGCTCTGGCTTCAGCCGCAAAGAGAAGTGTATCGCCAACTGTTAGGTGCACGAAATGGATATCAGTCTCCACTGTGTAGATCGCCTGACCCTTGAAGAAGTTACGCGTCTCCTAAACGAGAATCCCTGGTGAGACCATCAGCAAGTCAGGTATGGGTAATTTTGGAAAACGGAGGCCATACCTTGATAATTCAACGTGGTGTTCTCTGACGTGTTAATGCCATTCATTTCACCAGCGATTGTTTCAAAAAAGTGGAACATCCACTGCCGGGCCGTCCTAGTACCACCAGCATTTCACCGCTTCTCACTAGCCCATCAAAGTCATGAAGAATCTGAATCTTCTGCTTTTTCATACCCGCCAGCCAGAGGGCTGAGCTGCCCAGTTCCAGGAATACATTCAAAACATCCTTCTGTTAATCTGTAGGAGGCCAAACCCTTAGACGCTGAGATCCTTGAATGCTATCCTAGCCTGAACCTACGGTTTATTTTTCTGGATTCAGACTCTCAATTGCGAGGATCATTTTGATCCAGTCTTTGGCTCCGAAGTTGTTGCCGATGGGATTTAATGTTTATAGTTCATCCTGGGCAGTAAATGGGTTTTTAATTGCTCCAGGCAATATGGTTACACTGCGTCTCAGTTCGCGCGCCAGATCCCCGACTTGCACCGTCTCCTCCCCCTCCTCCTTTTCCTCTTTCTCTGTCTCTGATGTACGAGTCTTTCATAAAGGTTCTGGGGTCCACGAGGCCTATTCAAAATTACACCGAGGCAGATTGTGACTGATAAGAGATTGTGTCCGAGCCGGCCTTGGATAGGCCGTTCCGAAGCTAGTAGACATGGTAGACATGTTGGATTTCCCAAAAAAAAAAAATTGAGGGGGGGGGGGGGGAAGGGGCTGTTTCTGTTAAGAGTTTAAGAGTCGAAGACACGCTTTCTTCAACGCCCTTTGAACTAGAAGTTAAATAAGAGAAAGCGGAGGGGATACGGTAGCACATCGAGGATATCTGCAGTTTAATTTATGCCTTTTCAAATCTGGATTCATTGGCTGGGCTCCTTTTTATTTCCATGACGTGTATGGTTTTGTATGACATCTTTATTCTCCATATGTCGTGCCAACGCGGGTTTCTGGGTAAAATACGGTGTTTATCCAGACCACGTTTGAAATGGAGTTAACGGAGAGCACTGACCATGGTTCCCTCCCTGCAAGTGTGACTTGAAGGTAACAACGGGTGTGCTCTCTACCCTACAATTATTCATTGTAACGTTTCCAGAATTAATAATAGGAATAGGAAGTTCTTTTCGTGACGCCCTTGACGGTCGGTTCCGCAAATCAAAGGCTATTCTGTCCACCCCAACCGTTCTTCACTAGCACTATTCTAGAACCCCATTTACGTTTAGGTACTATTCGCCACAAGTGGAAATTTTTTGTATGGTACGGAGACCAAAAATGGGAACGAGGGTACTGGGACAGTTCAAATATGGCTTCTAGATTTCTTGAAAACAGAATCCGCCGATATAGTATGGTCACTGCATTACGATGACACGCTGGAAGAACATCGAGTGGTGGGGAGATGCCGCGGACCATACGCTAATCTGCCGGTCCGGACCGTCCGCCACTAGCGTTAAAGGGTGGGTGCAGTTCGCTCTCGGGGCGGATTCCTTGGAACTTTGTACATGCCGAGTAGAACGACAGGGTACCATTAGAAACCCGGAGCTCCATTTTACATATTAATCTGATTTCTTAATGGCTATTCCCTTACTTTCTTGATTCAGGAAAGGTTGCTTCGGGGGTTGTCGGCTATATGCCTGTTGATCGGGTTCGGGGCGGATGGGGGGTTGGAACGGCCGAAAACCCGACCCGACAACCACTCTAGCCATAGCTTATTGTCGCGCACAATCCACCAATGGTGTAACATATCCCCACGTTCCAATACAGAGTCTATAATATAAGGATGTCGTAGGTAACCGGTGAGTCTACAGTTGACGACTCCAACGAAATCCGCAGCCCGTGGATGGAAGGACTAGCGCGTGCAAGCAACTCCCGCTAAAATCCCAACCTTTCTCTTAATAACTCATGTCTTGTATTCTATGGCAGCTTGTGCTTGTGCATTGTTTCATGCACCGCATTGACTTTGTTTCCTTTTCTAAACTCTTACTTCTGTCAAATGATTACACAATATCCAATTCATTACGGATAGGAGCGAAAATCGGTCAATCACTGCCTAAGATTCTCTCGTAATCCTGAACGTGCCTTTTGTACTTCGTCCAGCACTAGCTTTAGCCATCGCTTTCCAATGATGTAGCCTTACTAATGCTAGAGTAACTCTTTAAATAACGGGAAGTTCATAGCGACGTGTGCAATGCTAAATCAAAACCCAGTAAAGCTCTACTGGCTTTAGTTAAATCAATACTATTCTACCTCCAGTGATGACTTTCGACACACAAAGGATTCTGCAGCCATAGAGGCGGAGGATCTTTCACCGCCAGATGCCAAAATTGCTTCATCTTGCACATCCCGATTTATCGAAGTTTCAACAATAATATTCCCGAACGGCAAATGTCTCGTCTGCTGAGTTCTACTGAAGGTGGGTGTACGCATCACCTCCGCCCATACTAAGCTGCTATCCTGCGACCCTCCCGTGAAGCCTGTGTGCAAGAAGCTACATGGCCACTGGTGCGCGAAGACTGGGACTTCCGAGCATGCTTGTGAGGGTGCCTCCTTTCGATGTCGGCAAATAGTTAGATATTTGCTCATGTTCAAACAAGGTTGGATGATGGGGCGCATGAACACAACTGAGGCGCATATTATAGCGAGGTCTACTTCCAAAAGGGTCCAGAGGACCGCCAGGTAGCCGTGCGCTTCTATTTGTTAGACTGTTTCCTTACAACATTTCTTTCCCTTTTGGAGGATCTGGCAACTCACAGGTCATATACTTTGTCCTGAAGTTAGATATCTCGACTATGCGGAGGAAGCTAAACACACAAACCCTATCTTTATCAGACTGGACCAACCAGGGAAATGCAGGGTAAGACACCAAGTGCTTACAGTGCCCCAACCGAGAACAAAACCGTTAGCTGCATTTTCTGCCTTAAGGTCATACTTCCCATCCATATCAATACAATGGGGATCACCAAAAGCACGACGTCTTCCACCAGCGACGCCGACCCCGTGACAAGAAGCATAGTCATCCTTCCGCTCATACAGCTTCCCTTGATATTCTTGATCCAATAAAATTGCACTGGCCAACATTGGCATATTGTTCCTATAGCCGTCGTCAAACCCCAGGCGATAGTGAACCCAATAAGAATAGTAGATACGAGTCGTATTCGGTGAACAGACCCCAGCAACCGACGCAAGAGGAGAGTTATTGACAGTTTAACGCAAACCTGTGACGCACACCACACCATCTGGAGAATCCAGAAGACCTGGCCTCATCAGCATTTATTCTTCCGCTCCTGGGCGTCCAAAAGTTTGCATCTTTTGCATTTTACTCACCAACATGGCGCTCGCGGGTGTTTCTGTTGATGAATAATTTGTGCTGTCTTGGGGTGTGACTCTATGAACGCCTGGTTGGATCAACAGGGGGCCTTAGTACATAGCTATAAAATGTAGATGACCTACCGATTACAGTACAGATGGTCATACTGTAGCAGAAGACTAGCCCTAACCCCATGATTCCATCGCCGACATCGAATTTCGCACGCGTGGAATAACAGCAATATAAACGTAGAAAGTAGAAGACAGCCGCCAGAGCGGCACCAGTAATAGGTACCGCGGTGAGAACGCGAGTCCAATACTCGTCGCTGTAGCTCATTTGACCGGTTCCTCTTCCCAAGCTAGATAAATTCCATGATATAGCGCAGCAGGGAGAGTATTGAGTGTGGTTTAAACTAAACTACAAGGTACATAGAGGTCAGGTTTTTTACTACTCTGGACCGTCTATTAAATCAACAAAATAACAAATTTGATGAAAGTCGCCACACAAGTCTTGATGTCATATCTTGTTGCCGCTGAATTAGGCTATATTCTGGGCCGTCGGATGAATGTTCTGGTTGGTATTGATACATTTCTTACACCAATACAGTATTTTAGTTCTCTAGGAGCCTGTGAGTGGGTCTGATTACCCTGGCTAAATGAAGTTTATCTTTAGATAAATGCAAGTTAGTTTTATCTAGCCATGGCTACCAATTTCCATCTGAAGTAGTTCATCTAGACACTAAACCCCTGTCCCCGCCTTATGCCGCAGGCCTAATCGGGCCAGTACATTTAATAATCTTTAGCCAAAGCTAGAGAAGATTTAAAGAGATTCATTCATCGTTAAGGAATACGAATCTGTATTACTATAACAGACACCCCAAGACCAAGAGTAATAAGTCGTGATCGTGTTACTTGGAGTGGGTAAAACTCCAAGAGACCACCACCCTTAACAACAGCTTTAACCTTCCAAGACAGAGCTCCTTGATCAGGCCCCATGTTTTCTTCATCAAGCTTCTGAATAAATTATTTTCTACCTCGGAATCAGGTCATCTCATTCAGTTATCTTGTGAGATTCGGTGTGGGTGTTTTTATATTTCATAGCTGTTTTCCTAGCTTAAGCTCTTGGGCTCGTCAGTTCTCGAGCCCAATATTCTTTCTACTTTCTTTTATATATTCTTTTTTACTCCCCAGTGGCTCTATATAGGTCAGGTGGCTAGAGTATTCGTTACAGATGGAATTAGGGGATTAGCGGTAGATCTATGATAGGTATAGTCAACGACGGCAGTAAATAGGCCTACGATCATCTCTCTCAGATCTCGGACAATTCCGGGGCTGACGTTAACAAGCCTTACCTTCTAAACTCTGTCATCCAGATCGAAGGATCTATTGACGACCTACATGAAGGTTACGCTGACCTGGCTAATCGTATGAATTTGCTGCTGCTCGAATCCGAGCTAAACAAGCTACTTGCTGAACTTACTGCTGCTCTCAACGATGATATTATTAAAGAAGTCAAAGGACGTTTTCACATGTTTGTGAATAGGATACTGCAAAAACCCTAGTCATTACTATCCTCACTTATCTCTACATCGGATACCATGCAGGCTCGCAGTTCAGCTGTCGGGAACTACAGCTCGGATGTGCAGCTCCTCACAAGTTATCTGGCCAATAGTGAAACACTAGATAGCCAGAAGAAAGATATAATCCGTGGTGTGTATAACGAGCTCAAGCTGGCACATCTAACGATGACAGCATTTATGCGCATCTTATACACCAACTCTCTTACCACCATGCAACTGTGGCTGAAGAAGATGCAGCGGGCCTACACATTTATCGCCATGTATGAACAAAACATTATTGGCCACGCAATGGATATGTTTGTCTTCTTGCAGTTCACATATGACATTCTGAATATGTTTGGTCGAACCTCGACAGCTACTACGCCCAACGCGTCGAGACCTGGGGCCAGTCTATGCAGTCATATAAGGGAGTGGCATACCCGTTATCTGATGTGCAAAATGATCTACGAAATTTTTCAGACGGTAAATCAACCGTTAAAGCACTGATCACGCCTCAGACGATCAACCATAAATCTACACAGACTAGAGACGGTATGTCATTACTTTTACTTGGAATATTAATACAACGACAAGGATAAGCCCTAAGAAATACAGACAAATACACTCCCCAATGCCTCGTAGATAATGACTGTCTCTCCGGAGACGCGGCACAACACTCTCCCACCTTGGCTAGTGTCACTGCAGATCAGCAATTCAGTTGAAGCTTAAGACGTTTGATTTCTCCGACACTTAGAGAGGACTTGAGAGTAAACATGACTCAGCTCTTGCGCCAAGGAACGACATGGAAACTGAAGTATTATATCCCAGATTAATCCTGAATGCTTCTGCCTTCTCGAGCAATAGCAAGATATCAACGATCACATCCTTGTCCAATTTCACTCCAGTTGATTAATAGCGAGCTAATCTAGGCTGGCTAGTATAGAAGTTCTTGAGAACCTAGAATCGCTACGGCCGTTGACTGCCGTCCACCTTCGCCCCATGCGTGCAAACTCACTATGATAACATCTTCAAGGGCACTACAAGCAGAGCAGGTCACATTCTCAGGGGCGTAGCCGGAACGAGTTTGGAATTAAATAGAGTATCTTCCATTATGCATGGTTTTCCAAGCTGACGATATCCCGCTTGTAGATTTGTACATTAGCTAAGTATGCAGCCAGAAACCCAGAGACAATCTTTAATTTTCCTGTACATACAGCTCCCCACGGCTGATCTGTCTTGAAGAGCAGTCAATTTATCGTTCGTGTGCCCAGTCATGCGTGCCCTAACCCCTGAGAGAAATCGAAGATCATATGGGGGTCTGCGACAGACTTAAGCGACTTCAAGCGCCCAAGACCTGATCCATAGTATTCTTGCCCGAAATTCTTCAAGTAGGGGTCGATATAGTTCTGATAGGAGAGCCACTCGCTCTGTGGGCTGGCCTGCTTGATAGCAGTGGTGATGTTGGTTATCTTATCGAGTGCGTCAGCATGAGCCGCTGGATCGCTATACCCAGGGAAATATGCCGAGTAGATCTGTATGAGAAACAAACTCCGGCGATGAATATAAGACATATCACCAGTGGAAGGTGGACGATTGGTCTCTGCGCCTGGTCCAAGCAAATCAAAAGACACGTCATTTTCTGTACCCTGAATACTTTTCGCGACCTGGATTGCTTGGAAGACGCGATCCACTTGGGACTTTTTGTAATTCGGAGTTCCGCTATCCACCAAAGACTGCGCATAATAAGGTAGGGGGTCGTTCGGTCCATCCAATGGACCCATGAGGTCCGTGAGTGCAGCAATCCAGTCCTTAAACTCCTTAATCTTGGTCTCAGAGTTCACCGGCTTTATCCCTCGTTTTCCAAGTTTATCCAGTACCTTGTTGATCACAGGTAAAAAGGCGGCCTTTTTACCCAGATACTGGCCAGACAAGTAACAGGAACGTTCGTCCCTTTCACTGCGGCCTATGAAGAGCACTTCCATTCCCAGCTCAACGGGAAGGCCTTTGGGATCATTGGCGGGCAGCATCCCGAGGTCTTGGACTTCCAACAATACTTGTGTACAGTCAGAATCAGAAGTGAAATGATATTCATAGTTCACGGTTGAGGTGGGAGCCATCTCCATCGCAAAGGTGAATGAAGTGATGATGCCAAAGTTATTGGCTCCTGCACCTCGAACTGCCCACCAAAGTTCGGCGTCGTGTCCGGTGGAGCCCGAGTTGAGCAACTTGATATTGCCATCGATATCAACGAACTCCAGGGATACAACTGAATGCGAAAGTTAGCAAATCGCTATAGCTCCGATTTTCAAGGACATGACATCAAGGTCCACCTACTACGATCAACAAGCCAGCCCCATTTCCGCGAAGGAAAGCCCCAACCACCACCTAGGGAATGTCCTGCCACGCCAACTCCAGGGCAGGTGCCATGCGGCAGGGCGTATCCCTTCTGGCCCAATGCTTTTGCCAAAGGGCCCAAGGTCTGACCGAATTGTACAGTCACCTGCCTCTTTTCATCGTCAAAGGTTATCGTTTTCATGTTGCTGGGATCGAGGACCACCTGCCCCGACAGGCTATAGGCAGCATAACTATGTCCCCCTCCGCGAGGACTAAGCTTAACGTTACCTTTCTCGGCGGCCACACACCGCACCGCAGCGGCCACTTCTTTTGCAGAAGCGGGTACCACGATAACTTCTGGATGCGGGTGGTAATTAGAGTTTTGCGCTTTGGACAGTGCATCGTACTTCTGGTCGCCGGGGTACAGGACACTGGCTCGAGTTTTACTCAAACAAGTTCGAAGCGAAGATGGTAGAGCCTCGACAACGCTTGGTGCTGCGGATACTATTGACAAATTGACGACCGCAAGAGCGAATGCCAGCATCATGATGGTTGGCATGCCTGTTTGATCTTTGAGATAGGCAAGAAATGGCGCATATATTGGCGAGTTTGGGTTTAATATGGCTTCCTGAAGCTGCTCGTTTAACCCGCGATATTCAAGGCTCATAAAGCATGCTGATTTATCAGGGAAGAGACGAGGAATTTATAACGATTCAGAGATGGGAATGCTGACATGGTCCAAGGATTGCCAAGTTTCCAGGATCCGCAAAAAGCAAGCAATCTGAAACTGGTCCGTTGGAGCAACTTCTCCCTTTGCCTTTGACAGCGTGCATATCGTTGATATTATAGGAACTAAAGTCCTAGTCATTTAGCTCTATCCTGTCTCTACGCACTTGCCTTCTCAATAGAGACATCCAATTGACAACGAGAATGGGGATATTTGAGCGATTCAGTTTCTGGGTGATGCCCACCCAAACCACGAGCAGTTCGCCTGCTCAAGTGGCTTAGACGAAGAGGTGATACACGCACTAGGAACGCGCCACGGCGGTTGGCTATTGGAGCGTGCGTGCAGATACGAGATGTGCGTACATTCTTCCGGTCTGGCCTCTGTAATCCAAAGACATCAAGATCATGGGGTAGAGTAGTTATCACAGCTGCCTGCTCAAACCACTTCCTGCGGGGCGGTAAAATAAATGCTGCTGCAACTGCCGACGAAGAACTACTGGATGCTGACAGGCTCTCCTCCTCGCGGACATGAATAGCTTGACCTCTTTTTTTTTTTTTTTTATGTTTCCCTTGGCAGCCTCGCTTCGTACTTGGCGATGAGGAGTTTTCGGGTGGATTCTTGGCGAGCTGATCTCCTGCAGAACATGCTTATACACTATATCTACCTGTACATGCAAAACCATCACGGATGCATGCTTTGTGGTGTGGAATTCTGGCAATGCGGAGGTTCGTGCTCATTCCCCATTTGTCTCATTTATCTGCAAATAATCACCACCATTACGTTTGAGACCCCCGCGTCAAGACCTACAGCTGGACAGAATGACATGGCCTATCAGCAGTCACGACGGAACAATAGACAGTCTGATATCATCGTTTATCTTCAGATGAAACAATGCAGTTTAGGCTTTATTCGGGCGGTCATTGGCATTCGACTGCGGGCATTAGCAACGGGCAGGAACCATATACCCAGGCTGTGGGCCCATATTAAAGGGCTCAATCAATAAGGAGTTGTGGCATATCACATTGGCGAAAGGCCACCCTGCGCCGCCCTGCTCATCATAAAATTGGCGTTGATTGTGCCTAATTGCCGACTGATGCCAGTCTCGTTTAACGATCCACTGAGAATCCAATTCAATAATGTAACCCTGATAATTTGTCTCGCCAGGAGCCAAGGAACTAGCTAAGCACGGACCTGTCAGCTCTAAACCCTGCCAATGAGTAACTGGGTTAGTGATATGAATGTATACGAGACACGTGAGCGCCTAGTGGCTTGCCGGATCACCAACTCTTCAGCCCCTGAAGGCTTTACCTATTAGTAGGATGAGGAGAAGCAGTTAAGATAGTTGATACAGTCGTCCATAAAATTGAGAGTCATATCGAAATGGCATCCGGTCCTCAGTAGGCTACGTACGTGTAGCTGATACAGCCTCATGCTTCCCATCTTTCCCCTGAGATCACAGCAGTTAGGAATAATAGTCAGCCTGAGATTTACGGTAGGAATAATTACTACTTAGTTTGATTAGATGCAATTTATACTCTTGATCATGGGTTCATTGGCCCTATGGTTAATTTCCGAGAGGTAAAGGAGAACCACTACTTACCCACTGTAAGCGTAGGCACGATAGGCATGGCGCCGATTTGAGAAGGACACTTCCAACAAGGAAACTCTGAAGACATAGCTGGAGGCGGCCGCCAAGGGAAACATGATATCGATTTCACCGGAGAAAATGACTCGAACGTGCAGATGCTGCTGGGACGCATCGGATATATGCTTGTCGACTTTCCATAAGCCCATTCGTGACCTGGCTAAACTTAGCGACCAAACCATTTGCGGGCACTAAATGCATATATGCCCCAAAATCAAGACCTCTATGCGTGGATGTGGAGAGCACTTTGCTGGCCAGTAATTTACTTAGTTTTGATCAATGTCAGTCACTCTTTTGAAAATTTCCTTCGTTCTTCTCCTAAGTTAACTTGTCGAACCCTTTGTTGTCTGTTTCTATTCGTCTCTTCTGTGGAACGAAATCGCCGTCAACTTCAAAGTCTACAACAATCAATCAATGGCCAGAGATTAAAGGGTTTCAAATTACAAAATACGTCCTTTAGACATCTAAGCATCTCTTTTGCGCCTCTGGCTGCCGCCATCACCATCACCCAGTCCGCTGCCACCTCGACCCATGCAGCCAGGTCCACTATCAGTGTCAACTAGACCACAGTTGACACTGATCCCACCGAGTTCAGTCTCTATCTCCGGAACTTTGTCTCCTGGCGTCCCTCCTATGTCCCTCTTGCCCTAAACATCCCCACATCGGATCAGTCCCGTCTGGTGCAAACCCACCATCACTGAATGGGGCTACCAGATCAGCGCTATTAACGGCACCAACGTCTAAATTATCCACGCCCAGGGTAAACGGTTTACCGTCTGTGACCCAGTAAGCACTACCAGCTGTATTGATCAGACGGGCCGTCCTCGTCGCCGTCGCCCTCCACCCGCACAGCGGCATCAACCGTTTATGTCACGGTGATCCCTACCGGTTCCAGTTCTTGTCTTTTCCATCATTCCTCCCACGGCATTCATTCCAGCCATCACCATCTGCCTACTTCTCACGCCCACGCTGCTCCTTCACGTACCACTACCACTTCCTCTTTAAGATCTGTGAAGTCAGGAACCGTGCTTAAGATTAATGGTTGCTGTTCAGACTATTCCCACCCCGTAACCTTAGATAAGGTCACAACCCCGACCCCGGCAATGCCCAACCACGGCAATACCTCCCGCAGTGCTGCGCACCCCTCTACTACTGTCCCTGCCGCGATTACTGTTGCCCCTAGCCGAGTAACCGGAGCAGATGAGGTGGTTCGGGTAACTATTACCACCACTGTGCCTGTGGTTGCTGCTGCGGATGATGAGACTTGCCTATTTGTTTGATCGGGGTGTGGTGTGGTGTATTAGAAATTTGGTTTATTTCTTGGCGGTCTGTGATGATCATCTTCCTATTTATTCTTCTTTCTCCATGCGGGGCTTGATCTTGATCACAAGCTACGCCGACTTTTATCGTAGTCTTCTACGCTTCGGATTTTATTTTCATCTGTACCATATAATACTATGACTGTACATACAAATGGCCTAGTATGTTACTTTGTCAACCATTACGATTGAATTCCAGTTTGCCCCGTTTCAATGTGATACTCTATGCATTGTAGGGTGGGTATCTGCCCTAGCTCTCATGAGAATGTGAGCATATCTGCAGTTACCTGCAATTCTCCCGAGAAGCAGTAGAGGGTTCTCCGATTATTTGTTGACAAGCTGATTCTTCACTTAGGAAATTATGCCCAGAAGATATATATAAAGATGTCTTCCTTAAGTTAGAATTGTAAAAGGGCCTATGGATAAGTTTATGAATAATTTTACGTGATCCTGACCGCAGTATAATAACCTAAATAAAAGATATTTGAAAGGCATTACCTTAAATGTAATCTCTATTAACTCAATCTTTTGTATTCCGCTGCTTTTCCTTTTCCTTTTTTTCTTTAGAAGATTCCCAAGTAGCCGAAGGGGCTTAGCATACCCGCGGTGAATGACTTGGCGTAACCCTGAGATCACCTGACCACAAGGAGATGTGGAAGCGAATGTATGCTTGTCTTATTGGGTGGCCGGAACGGCCAAACTATCTAAATAACTAGCTTACTAAATGATGACTAAGCGAGATCGACCAATAGGGGCAGGCGGCGTAGGACGTCCGTATGTTCCAACAGGAGAACGACGGCGAAATATTCAGAGTGAAGAGAGGTTAAGGGGGTAGTTAAAGAGGCACGTGATAAACGTGATAATTGAGCGATATGGATAGATTAGGAAACCGAATATTTTTTTGAATAGAGAGAGATTCAACGATCACTGGTATCTGAGCACCGGCAATCCGGCTGGCAATTGATGGGCAAATGCCGAATCTACGGGGAAAAGATATAGATGTGAGTGGCAGTTTACTTCTACAGGTCCCAGGAGAAGGCGGTACTGAGATCGGACAACTGCGATAACCACTAAACAACGCCCTACCGCTCCCCCCTTGCGGAAACGATGATCCTCGATGAAAGCTGGTTGTATTTGATTAAACTTGACTTCGTTGTTATACTAGCAGAAGAATGAGAAGGGAAACAGTCAAAGAGACGATAGGAGGGCGGTGACCGGGGCGGTCTACTTTATGCTTGACAGTACCACCTCTCGGCCAATCAGATGACCGTTCCCTTCCAATGAGGGGCAACGATGCGGCCTGGAAGAGGACGACATACGGTCAACGCTAGAACTAACAGTCCTATACCCGTGGTTGTAAAAGCTTCCAATGTGTACGATTTACCCAGAATAATATCTAGCACTCTAGTATATAGGTTATCGGCCCTTGATGAGCCGAGACCAAGAGATACCGGGGGACTCTGAAGTCGTCGCGGAGACCAACGACCGCATCTGCGCAACACAAGAGGCCAGCGGCCCTGTTTAGAGAATCAACAAGGAGAGGGATGTCTCCGAGGCCAAATGGAAGCAAGCATCCAAGAAATAGAGCAACCGCTAGAGGCGGAGCTATCTAATGAGAATCTCTGGATGCTCATTCGGCGTTTCAACAAGATCGGTCCAGCTACTCGGATGCCCTCGAACGGACTCTAACCGACCAACTTCCGAGCACAGAGTATACCGTGTCAAAGCAGTGGAGGGTCCTCCCTCAGCTGAGCTGGATCTCAACCGGGTAGAGGAGGAAGAAATTTTCCCACAGAAGCTGTGGGCGGCAACGGAACCTCCGTGGCTGTAGGATTCACCGGTTTCTTTAGTCATGTTTCCAGGCTCCGGTCTTGGAGAGACCCTAGGCGTACCGCGGCATTTTGCGTAGTAGACACTGGAATCTGATTCCCCTAAATAGGGTATTGAGTTAGCGTACTGAAAAGTGTACTCCGTTGCATGGTTTTGTGATCTTCTCGTTCATTTGATCACTAGTGTCCTCGATGCGTTGATCTTGTCTCCGTCAATCCGATCACGGCTCTTCTATCTCTCCTATCCAGCTCACGATGCAGGAAGTAACTCTGATGCCAGTGGTGGTGAGACGACTATGTATGATAGTTTCACCAATGCCCCTGAAACCCACAAGGGCGAATCCGCCGAGCAGGAAGCCATGAATCTAGTCGATGACATTGCCAGTGTTGCCTTAGAAAGCACCAGCGATGAATATGGTTTCACTGTCAAATTCGATTACCCAGCGGCGCTCCCCGAGCTGGACCCAGGCGGTGCTGCGGCGATCACACCAGATGCACTGCTTGAGGCTGCATCAGTGGATGACAACGAAAACACCAATGAAAAGCAAATTTCCAGGCTACTGTTCGGACCCTGCGTATTCTTGGTGCTATAACAGATATCCACGAACGATTTTCCAGGTTAGTTCTTCCTTCTATCGGTAACATAACCAGTATCTCTGAACACAGTCGTGAACAGTCTTCTCTCCCCGACATCACCGTTTCCTGCTATCGCACCACGCCTACAGCTAGTAGGTGTACAGGTCTCTATTGGCCTAATGTTCCTCATTATTTCACACCCCTTAATTGTCAAGGATGGTAGCTTCATCGTCAGCCTGGCCGTTTTTGGTTACCCTTGTCTTCCAACACACTGTTGCATTCTTGAACCGTAGGTGTGCGGGCTGGAAGGAATATCTGGATTTACAAAACTAACATTCTCTCCCTTGACCCATCCAGCAAAGATGTACAGTTTCTAAACTTGTTTACAGTACATTTGTGAAAGGTGTCCAGACGAACGCTCACCTCTCTCTGGCTCTTGTACGTCTGAGTGAAATAATTCCACTCCCTTACCTCCTCCGCCCAGTTCCTCCCACAATGAGCCCTTGTGGCCTCTGTGCCGTAAAACACCCAAAAGCACTTCTCTTGCGGCAAACGATAAACAGCCTGTATCTCCCGCACCACCAAAAACCCTATTCAAAGAAGAGATCAAAGTAGCAAGAAAGAGGAGGTGGGATAAGATCTTCCGGTACATCGGCCATACAATTGCGGCTGTGATAAAAGGCCACGTCACAATTGATCGTGCAATGAGCATTGCTGGCTCGACAAGTGCGAAAAACCTTATTGACATGTTGCGCAAATGAGATTGGGCTTTGGAGCCTTTCGGGCCGCTCAAATTTGAAGCAAAGTTTGAACGCAAGCGAAGCACCGTGGTGATCGATTCGTCCCAAGAGCAACCTATGCTGTATTTTACCACCAGTCAACCCGCCAAACTGGACGATCTCCAACTGGAGAGCCAAAATAAGAGTATCGTGCCGTTCCAAATCCCCGTCACCACCATCAAGGAACTGAGGAAGATAGAGGGTTTGGGGTGGAAAGGGAAATTGATTGTCGAACTGATGGCGGGGACTAAAGATTCAGTCAATGGTTTGGTGATTTCAAGTGCGGTGCAGGAGCAATCCTATCATCTCACTGGCATGCATACTTATCCTTGGACGCACTCATTGACCCGGACCCGCTGACCACGAAAGAGCTATCCTGTGGTCCGTTTGCTAGTCAGGTTGTAGGCATCCTTTTTATGGTCTATTTAATGGTTATCTGATCTGCCTTGAAAGCAGCCGCGTTCATTGGCACTGACGGATACCCAAAAAAACTGGTGTTTGCGGATACGTATGGCGAATCCAGAATTTTGCATGTTGTTTAAGAGATGCCTACAATTTTTGCGATACTATGTTGTATCTACGAGTTATAGCGTTCTAGAATAATAGACTATGCGCATGAAACGGCCTGCCCAGGGCTCGATCTCCAGCCGGTCACATTCGAGCTGGATTCCAAGAAGAGAAGTGCACACTTTATTGATTGGCCAATGATTCATATTTCTATTAGAGCCTGTCTTACGCGTGTGATTAGCTATGTAGGAGGCGAGCCTAGCCTAATATCATGATTCCCTATCTCACATCATAAATAAATACAATAGGTGGACGACCTTGATACAAGACCAAATACATAATAGTTTCTATATATTATATGTGATATAAGACTTCAGTCACAAAATAGTGGCTCGGCTTTCGTTCTGTTGTCTGAAACGGACTGTTGATTCACTACCACTCCGTTCTTGTGTCGTTCGTCCCGTAAATTGCTCAACAGATTTGGCGAAACTCTGGGTAGTTAATTCCCTGGATGCCCATTATAATAAAAAGATTCAGTACCCTGTGATTAAGTGTTGAGGAGAGACTTTGCCAAATACTAAGAAATATAATCTTAAATCCAACCTTCCCCAGTGAACTGAATGTTTATGAAATCTTATTTGGAGTTACTAAGGATAAGGGAGCTAGAAAGCCATCAGACTCAGTCCTCTGACACCACTCTCCGGTACATTGATCAGGGAGGAGATAGACGAGTCCCCACAGATATGTCGAACAGAATAACTTAAGTAAGGTGAGTAACTTGCGTGGTTTGAAAGAGACAAATTCCATTGTGGAGAACTCAAAGGCGTGCACGGTCTCCTCGAGTCCACAGTAACCATCCCTGGGCGAGGGATCGGTAGGTTGTGGACATAATAAAGCCTTGGAGCCATGTGTAATGTAAGAGCTCCGAACATGATCGAGCTATACTCAAAGCAGCATCCCCGGTTATCAGAGTTCTTTCCTAAATTCTTATTTTTAAATTCTCTAAATTAAAGTTGATATGCATTGGTTTCAGCATTTGAACAGCATAGAGCACCTCTCAACTTCGTCAGAAAGAGAGGATTCTTTGGATTAAGGTACATTCCTTTTATTTAAAGAATACCATCCGCAAGTTCCACGTGGTCGCTTGTTTCTGCTACATTTTTCCAATGTCATTTCAACCTAACGACCTGGAGCTGTCATCAAATTCCATGGCTCCTCAAGCATTGACGAGCCCCCTACTTGCCTCTAGATCATACATTTTGTATTTATTATCAGTATTCGCCGACTAAAGTGGCAAAAAAGAATGAAACTTACGTCAATGAATGGGGTTTAGACGCCTTCATGAATTTATGTCGTTTATCCTCGCGGGATTCTAAAGAACTCTAGTATGAGAAATCCAAGCCGCGCCTCTCCAGCTACGATCGACCACGTTCCGCTTGGGATGTGATATGATATGCCTTGCTAACTCGTGTCGCCTCCCTGGATATTCCAAACGGATGTTGGACCAGAAACCCCTTCCTTGTGTGAGGGTCTGTCCCAGCTGACAACTTTACTCCTACAGGCAGAAAAGGATAAACTGTTTAGCCTCAACACAAATATGTGATGATGTATGACACTTTAATATTTCTTGCGGTGACTGGATAGTATCAATGAGTGAAAGAGTTGGAAATGCCAATAAACCAGGACCGATGATAGATATCACCAATGCGTTGTGCTGTGGTTCCTCCCAGATTCATCTTCGTGGGCAAATAGGAGACCCGACGGCAGCTCTAGGAGCTAGGCCTCTATTAGACATGTGTAACGCACTTACAATGCATTGATAATGGCGTTGTAAGCGGACTTCGGTTGGTAATTGCCATCAAAAAGCAATGGGCTTTCCGCTGAACGCCAAGAGTTCTAAGGATATCATAAGTCTCTTACATCATTCGTAAAGTATGGCAAACAAACCTTGTCAGAAACACCCCAAACAGTAATTCCAACACACTTTGAGACTTCCAAGCAGGCTTTTACAACCTGTACCCAGTTAGACATTTCCGGGTAATGCAGAATTCCGCGACTTACGTTCACATAATCGTTAGAGCTAGCTCTAGCAATATCAAGCTCAGTGATAGCGACTTCAGATACGCCAGAGGCGGCAAGCGTACTCAATGCAGTTTGGGTATGTTAGTCCTATTGTCCGGGAGCGGGCTTGGGAGACTTATCCTTTGACACTAGAAGAACCACCAGCACTAAAGACATCAGTATATTTCAGATAATGCGGCCGTGAGCCTTACCTAAGATGGGTTTGGGAACCTCGGAGATGTCAGTAAGAACACGGTTTGGTGAAAGCATCATAACTCACCGATTCCATCAATAGGGATGCCCTGAGCGATCCACTTCTTAACATGATTGGCCAGACCTGTGGTCTTGCCGTAGTTGGCAGAATCAAGGCTATGGAGCGTCAGCCGAGGATAATGGAAGCTTCGCTATCGGATATCATTACTTATAGTCGTTAATGTAAAGTTTGGCATGGGGGTCGGCCGCACGAGCCGTTTCAAATGCAATACGAACAAAGTCCTCCCCAAGGACTTTATAAAACACGCTGGGTCGCAATGTGCCGTCTTCATTGAAGATCTCATTGACCACATCCTATAGGCGTCAGTGAGAACGCCAAGTCCAAAAGACTCTCACCTACCCAGGCATAGACTTTGCCCTTGTAACGTTTCATGACCGTTGTGATATGGTTCTTCAAGACGGAAGTCAACGTATTCTTGTCTGTAATGCCCTGGACCCATGATGGGAGTTGGGAATGCCACACTATATTTATCAGTTTATCTGCATACAACCGCCGGCAGTTCTGCAACCTACCCAAGGTATGTCCCCGGATCAACTTTTTGTTTGTCGCAGCATAGTTTACCTATGCCTGATCAGCAATTCTATGTGTCATACCTTTCCATTAGATACCAACCAAGTAATCCGCTCCGCTAAAGCTGAACTTGCCCTGTGATGCTAGAGATATGGTCAGAGAATACTATGTTGATAAAAGTGTGTGATTGATACTCACGCTCAGTGGCATCCCACTTCATGCTGTTCTCTGGAGTCAGTTGGCCAAAATCAGCTTTGATAATGCCTGAATTGGTGCCGTCAGACAAGGTGCCCTGATCAGCACAAGTGCCAAAGTACTTTTTGCCCTTGGCTACGAAAGCATTGTTGATGCTTGCAGGGGCCTGTTGACTGCTAGCAATGCAGAGCGAGGTGTACAGGAGAATTCCTGCGAGAGACTTGAGATGAACCATGGCTAGGTTTTGGATTTAAAGACCTGTACGATTCCGATAACAGCTGTCGACTTGCAAAATCGAAACTTAGCGAGAGTATACGCCCTTAAATACCCGCTTGATAGAAATTGAAACTAGTCCGAAATCAGCAGAATAGCTTTAGGCTGATGTATCCGCACCTTAACGGCGCGGACTTCGGGCCGATAACAGAGACAAAACAACACTAGAATAAGATTCGTTTCAACCAGACCCGCGACACAGTCCCTGTTATTATCATTTCAAGAAATCAAGCCGCCGCCACATATTTGGAGTCGTTTCCAAGTTGGTGCATTCAGGCTGAAGCTAGCCTGATCCTGCAGCGGTGAAACTGCGGAAGATGACGGGCTAATTCCTAGCTAGGGCATGTTAGGCCTAATAGGCACGGAAGGACTAAATGCTATAGGGCCCACCGACGTTGTCAAGGCTCTAAATTGGGATTTATTAAACATCCACCTGGCTAGGCCAGCCCCATCATAGGAATTAGGTATTGATATTCCTGCTATATTGTACCCCATCGTTTCAGCCTTTCCTACGCATGCAAAGAGTCTCGTTCTTCTCCAAAGGTGGGTCTTAAAAGGAGAAAATATTCTTACTTTCCCTCTCCCTTTATGCTTCTTTTTTTTTATTTTTTTCGGTTTATTTTTACTTCTACCTTATTTTGCTCTAACAGGTGGCACCATTGTTTAGCCATTCCGGTTTCGTCGGTTCGACCCACCTCCGAGTACATCAGTAAAATCTTAATCCTACCTGACCATACGACTCCCAATCCTACCTCAACTTTAGTGTAGGTCATGGTCCAAATGTAAAAGCCAGAGAAGAATATATAGTCGAACTGAAGCGCTTGACTTGCGAGGCAGACAGTGTAGCACCTTTTGTAGTCGTCCTCCTGGGCAGGTGCATACGAGATATATATTTTGCCACCAGTCCTGATATAATAAAATTACGATAGCGAGCAATTAAGAGCCACATAGAACTGAATGTCGCTGGACTACTGGTCGGTTTCTAAGGACATCTACAACGTTATTCATAAGGACGCGCTACGAAGGCTTACAAGTATAGGTAAGTCAGTTTGTGTTTCTGCATTCTACCTTTTCCCAGGTCGTGGCTCCCCCTGCGTGAAGCACAAAGGGCAGTTTATACAACAGTCCAACTCATACCATGAGGTCTAGGAGCTGAGATATTGTGGGAGGAAGTAATTGAACAGACGTATAGCCCACACTAGAGCGCAGGTCACAATCACCCAAATTGACCGGATAAGAATCTTTTGCTTCTGGATTTCACATTCCCGCTAACGACAACAGAGGTGGATATGAGTATGTCAAGATATGGGTAGTGATATGTCTCTTTTGACTATGACGTGAAAATCCGGTGAAATCTTACCGTATACTAGCCGGAGCGATCAAATCGGCAGAGCAAACCACAGAATTTGTGAGTTTATTTCTTGACTTGGTTTTTCTTTCGCTCTCGTGTTTTGAATAGAGAAGTTAGAAGCAGACTGCCGCAGTGCTGAAGTGTTTTGATGACTTGACATTGAGAGTTCCCTAGGCCAAGCCTCAGCTTACGTCGAGAATATGTCTTTTCTAAGAGCTCTTTGACTACTTGCGGGAAATTTCCCACAAAGAAGGGCATGATTTCTTACTCAGAGATGGTATTATGCAGGCCGTTGCTGCAGGTTAGCCGAAATACCACCGGTACATAGAGGAGCAATATACGTTAACTACTGTATCTCAGGGCTCCTTGGCCAACGTGTTGAGTGTAAAAGAGTACAGAAAGAGCTTGACGGTAGAGGATGGTAAAGAATACCACGTATTACTTTTCAGCAACGTTTATATCTTTACAACGGGTATACAGTCCTGGACGCGCCACCCAAGAGTTTGTGATTGAACTGGCCTAAAGAGCTCCCTATTGTAACCTAGTGTTCGAGATACTCCAGGAAAAGATTTAAAAAATTTTCAAATATTGATTAATATCTTGACTCGGCCGTTGTCAAAATCGAGCTGGTGTAAGGCTTAGAAACCTGGAGGCAAATCATACGTTTCCGAGGATTTCAGAGGCCGTCATTGCTTGAAATTGACTTGTATAAAATAGGGTTGGTAGCGGCGTTGCTGGGTTTTGGAGTAAAACATGAGTTTAGCGCCTAACGTTCTTTTGCCCTTTCTCCTTGTCCCCACGGTGGGTAAGCCTACGGGAAGTCTGGAGTCTAGAACTTTATCGGGGCAAAACTAACTTAATAAACACGAGGGTCGGTATCTCGTTTGGGACGTGTGCAAGAATAGCACTGGCAACTTTGTCTATATTGTCTAAATAATCATACTGTGTATTTATATCGCTTATTCTCCCAAAAAATACCACGTACACTAACCTTTTATGATTCAAAGGGTTTTATGGACGTCGTGGCACCGGCATTCGACAGGGTTTAGGTTTCATCGGTTCTGGATGGACCCGCAGAAATAAGAATCCGCGGACGTGAGGGATTTGATAATAACTACAAACTATCCTGCCATAATATAACCAGTTATAACGAAAATTTCTTGTTTCTGGCCTTATATTATCTACCAACTGCTTATCAATAGCCATGGCTATGAACAACTTAACCCTCCGCGCACTGTTCACCCGGTAGAATCTATTAGTCAGCCGGTATTGGGTAAAGCTAGTCCTATGACGGATCAGTAAAGGAAAAGAGAGCCCTTTCCTAAATACATTTCTACCTTATCATATTACAGTACTTGACTAATGTGTTGAGTGGATACGTCGATGAGGCATGTAAGTTGACCCGCTGCAACATTAATTGCTCCAAGAACAAGGACTTCCTAGGTTCTAGCTTTATCAAAAGAAGCTCTTTTCCTTGTGTCTTGTTTATTTGAGATAATGCGTTGTTCCTATGTGTGGTAACGATGGAGTTTATGGGATGGAAGGTCAATATCGGCAAATTGAGGTGACAGATATGCCGAAAGGGAAATCACCAGTTGCCTATTTCGATGCGGAGATTGAGGACTGACCGTCTCCTCGCCAGTAATTGTAACTGGCCAACGCACCAACCTCTTCAGGTGGAGTGATATTACTATGGAAGGCGTTATTACATCAGGAACTCAGAATCTCCTGCGCTGCAGAGATTAGGCAGTTTTCGGCTATGTCTACCATACGACAACTGAATAAAGTCGCTATGTCTGGCTAAAAGCATCATATTGGACTGATTTCCTGGTACGGGTGGCTCCACTCGAAGAGAAACTGAGCCATAAGGTAGGCACCCACCACCAGACTAGTACCCCTTGTCAAAAACGTATCTTCAGTTGTAGAACCTCCCTCAAATGCGACTAATCCTCCTCCTTTCCTTCTTCGCCGCTGTTGCGGGCTAAGTAAGCCTGCCCTCGAGCTTTAGATGGAAATCGAGTGGTCCCCTGATTGGGCCTAAAGATGATGGTCGCAATATCGTCGGCATCAAGGATCCATCGATCGTCGAGGTCAACGGCAAATATCATGTCTTTCGCCAGCACTGCCACAAAATCGGGCTATAGTCTTGTCTATTTGAGCTTTACCAACTTCAACAAGGCCAACTCGGCCATCTTCCATTATCTAGACCAGGCCCCGATGGGCAGTGGTTACCGCGCGGCGCCGCAGGTTTCCTTCAAGCCCCACAACCTGTGGTACTTGGCATACCAGAACGGCAATGTGGCCTACTGAACTAACCCGGACATCAACAATCCACGTGGATGGAGTGCCCCCCAAGAACTTTTTCGGTGATATCCCTAGCATCATTAGTCAAAATATAGGCAATAGCAACTGGGTTGATATGTAGACTATCTGCGATACAAACAACTGCTACCTGTTCTTCGGATGACAACAGTCATCTATACCATTCACAAACCCCGCTTAGCAACTTCCCCAATGGGATGACCAATACAGTTATCGCACTGTCGGATCCCAACAAGAACAGATTCTTCGAGGCATCGACTGTCTACTGTGCCGGGAAAGGGCGACATTTGCTCATTGTGGCGGTGATTGGTAGTGATGCAGCCTGCTACTTCCGCTCCTAGATCTCTAACAGCTTGACGGGGGGAGGAGCAGCCTGGCGGATACGAAAGCGAACCCGTTCGCGCGCTCGAATAATGTTGTCTTCAACAATGGCAATGCCTGGACGAAGAGTATCAGCCACGGCGAAATGGTTCGCAGCCAGACAGACCAAACCATGAGCATTGGCCCATGCAGTCTCCGTTACTTGTACCAGGGCCTAGATCCTTTGGCCAGTAGGGACTGCAATTCGCTTCCATGGAGATTGAGCCTTCTTACCAAGACCAACTCAGCTTATTAAACGACTAGTGGACCAGGAGTACAGTGGGAGAGTTCGAGTGTGGTAGGGTGGTTGGATGGTCAGATGTACAAAGTACAGCTTTAACTTAGTACTATGTCTATTATATTTGAGGCATTAAGGGTGGGCTACCATGAAAACTTTAGTGAGTCAATTAAAGGAGATACTGTTGTTTCAACTACTTCAATTTAACGGTCGTCTGTAAGACGGCCTTCAGATGCGGAATCAATATTTAGTGGTATGTCCTCATTGTTATGTATTGATACGGGTTTACCGCAAACCAGGTCGCCTAGGATATTTTCCTTTGTGCTAGAGCTGTATCCCCTACTTAGTCTGCTCAATTTTCATAAATCACGTAGCTTACGAGTAGACTTCCCAAGGATACTAGCTTCCAGAGCGGCTCTTTTACCAATTCTGGGTAGTGTCTTTGACTAATGGCACATTGATGATGACTTTTCTTTTTTTCGGCTGAGGATTAGATATCAACTATTTAAAGGTATGGCAACCATATTAGCAAACCGTTCCATCCATAACACTATAGTTAACACGAAGTTCGTAACTTCGGTAGCTGTTACGTTAGACATTTGCCGGTGTCTGAGGTATGTGGCGATTAGTAGACTGTTATTGGTCAATCAACTGTGCTTTATTTGAATGGACTGTCAGGGAGCGGTATATTTCAATGGCCCAAGCGCCTTGAAGTCAGCGCATTATTCACCGTGCCCGCAAAGTAGAGTGACATAAACAGAAAAAAACCCCTGAAGACATCTTGACGTAAATCACAACAGATACTGTGCTTAATACTGATGAATTTAGTGACTGTAAAGTTAATTTAGCCGGCAATCGAAGCTTCTTATATGAAGACCTACAGATCATTCAAAAGCAGTATGGTGCCGCTGTGTTAAGTTTAGGCTAAGCAATCGTGTCCCTTCTAAACGGTTCGGATCCGGGGACAAAACCCTGACCAGCACCACAGAAAAAAGACATTACGGCCAAGGCTTAGGCTATTCCATACCTCTTCGTAATCCTGTTTGGATTTAAAGGTTCGGGCTAACCTAGACTCTTCCCGCAGTGTCCACGGTGGAAAAGACCTAAGAGTTAGCGGAGCATATTAGGATAAAGGAGACACAAATTGATGCTTACAGGGTCCACTGGCCGAGTACGCTAAGTAAATATCTTATTAGCTAGACTTATAGCCACCAGGTAATGTGGGTGAGTACACCCCTCCTGGTCTCCGTCTTTCTCTGCCTTGTTATTCTTCAGAACAATCCAGCCTTCCTATACGTTTTACTTTGACAAGCACGCAGTGGTCACGCCATCCTTTTTCCTCGATTTGACATGACTCTCAACGCACCTATAAAAGTCTTATTCTTGCTAATCCTTCAACCCCATTTCCAATTTCTATTTCCATTCTAGAACTAGCCTCGGTGTGGCGTATGTGGCATCGCTATTACCCTTCTACCATGTAGATAAAATTTGTAGTGCATGAGCTTGAAGACTAAAGTATCGGTAGGGCAGACCTGTATTTACGCTAACCTATTTGGTTTACTTGTGGTTTACTTCGGTGGACATCATTTAGCCCTCCTTACGTCAGCATTGTGAGTTTACTTAACATAATCCACTGGCTATGGTCCTATACCAAGCGTGAAAATGAGAGGGTAAAGAGTGGCTATCCATGAAATGTATCAGGGCTGGTCGAGAAGAATGCCAAGGTTACCCAGGGCTTTTGTCAAACGGCGATTGGATTGATCAAACCACAATACACCAAATCCTGGATGCCTCGAATGTGGAGTTTGATCGACTAATTGCTACGGAGCATCACACATAGCAGTCTGACTAACATTGGACACAAGTAACTATCAATAGTACGGATAAGCTAAAATAGCAACTGGCCAAGGTCTCCGCAATCTTAAGCGAAACGACCGATTTCCCGTTCCGGTATGCACGCCGAGAATCATTCCAAGTGCTAACCTATTAGCCTGCTGGAGAAAGAGTAGTCAAGCCTAGACCAATGAATGCCAAGCGATCGTCCTTCCAAAGACGAGCAGCCGTGCTTTTGTCTCAGATTAAAACTGGATTCTTCAAACCGGTGGTTGACAGTATTTATCATTGAGTTTTGATACCTCTGCCCGTCGAGGTTCCAAGCAGGATATGTAGACTTAAGCTCGGTATCAAGTAGATTTATCAGACCGCAGGTCATGCCCATAAGTACTATTTTAAACGGGCCTAAGAATACTGCTTCACGGGATACCATCCTTTTAGCCGGAAAGATTCACTTTACACTCGTCTGCTCCACCTAAGCTTGCCCATATAAGAGCGCTGAATATTCTGTATCCAACACAGGGCAGTCCACCCACAAGGATTATCCAAGTCGCAATATAATTCACTCAACTACGTGTTCATTGCAAATATTTTTATCAACACCATGAAGACCTTTACTTCAATGCACGCAATGATTCTTGCACTTTCAGCAAGAGCAGGCCTCGCCGCGATCACTCAGGGGATCTCCGAGGGCGCTTATGGCCGGTTGGTCGAAATGGCGACCATCTCTCAAGCTGCCTACGCAAACCTGTGTAATATTCCATCAACTCTCACCACGGCGGGCAAAATCTACAATGCAGAGACGGATATAAACGGGTGGGTTCTTCGAGACGATAGCCGTCAAGAAATAGTCACTGTCTTCCGTGGAACGGGAAGTGAGAAGAACCTGCAGCTCGACACCAACTATACGCAGGCACCTTTCGACACGCTCCCTCGATGTAGCGGGTGTGCCGTTCACGGAGGTTACTATGTTGGTTGGATATCTGTGAAGGACCAGGTCGAGTACCTTATCCAACAGCAGGCGAGTCAATATCCCAGCTATAGTCTGGTAATTACAGGCCATAGGTATACGACCTACCCCTATCTTCTTATAGTTCCATATGTCCTTCCCCTCCCCTTACCTTTCCTTTCCTTTTTTTATTTTTTTTTATTCTTTTTCCCCCTTCATTAGGAGTGCTTCAGTGGTCTAACATTCAGTGGAAACTAGCCTGGGTGCGTCGATGGCTGCAATATCCGCGGCTCAACTTTCTGCCACGTACAATAATGTTACCGTCTACACATTTGGTGAACCTCGAACCGGTAACCAGGCCTACGCATCGTACATTGATGAGACTTTCCAAGCTACAAACCCGGATACGACGAAGTTCTATCGCGTTACTCACACTAACGACGGTATTCCTAACGTGCCTCCTACTTCGCAGGGCTACGTTCACCACGGAGCAGAATACTGGAGTGTGGAACCTCACGGCGCCCAGAACATGTTCGTCTGTATGGGAGATGGGGTCCAATGCTGCGAAGCGCAAGGCGGACAGGGAATTAATGACGCGCATGTTACCTACTTTGGAATGGCAAGCGGATCCTGTAGATGGTAGGAGCAGGTCTATCCAACTTGTACGGTGATAAATATACAGACTATGTTTGGAGTGCTGGTTGTGCGGGGCAATAAAGCTAAAGAAAATAAAATGAACTCCTATTTACTCTACTCCGGTGGTTAATCATCTTTAATAATATCTTGTCCATGGCCCGTTTAAGTTAATTAGATTTTAATGGCCACTACCTTCAACGTCTGAGTTAATGTCAGTTAGACATGTATAGAAGTAATAGCATAAAAATATATAACTACAGGTCTCTGCAAGGCCTTCATTTGTAATCTACTGCAGAGTCTAGTTAATTCTGTCATGCATAGGATTAGGTCACAGTTGATTATAGGGAACATTGCCATACCTTATGAGCAAGAACTTAAATCTTTCGGCATCGACAATTACTAACCAAGATGCATCTAACGTAATATGAATAATGAGAAAGGTTTAGGTTTTGTAGTTGAAATTCCCTTGCTAAATTAAGGGTGTTGTAACAAAATACCTGGATAATAGCTATTCTCTTCTAGGCACCTGACATAATGGGGAGAATATTGGCTCTCCCGCTTGTGGTCGTGGGCTATTTCTTAAATCAATATTTAAACCAGGTTGAAATACCATAGAATGCATATTTCATCCATAATGGAACATACCGATTTTCTCACCCTTTCTCACTGTATGTCCAGCACTTACTGTAGCCTCGCACGACCCCCTTTCAGACAGACCTGTAAACAAGTATCATATAACACCAAGTTTCTCATTTGTAATAAAGGTCCAAGTTCCAGTAGCCACATGCGTCATATACACATGAGGTGAATAAAGCATGTTAGTTGAGGCCGCGCTGTCTAATTGAAAGGAACAGAAATTTCCACTGTCATCTAATATTTTGACAATGGTACCCGCAACGGCGCGTGCCAGCGCTGGTAGTTCGTTAGCTCAAGATAGTCCTAGAGAATACTACCATCAACGAACTTGCTCACGATTAGGTCACCATTCATCAAATGTCGGAGTATGGTGGGTCTTCGATGCAAAATATATCCTCTTCCTTTATATTCTGAGCAGCCTGATACGTTGTCGTGTCGCAAGCAGCGGTGACGATAGCTGGATTGTTTAGCTCTGTTATTGGCTAGGTACCATCTCAGAGCTTTCATGTGAAGAAATCATCCCTGGGGGCAAAGCTCCATTGCGGCAGGCTCTTGTCGCAAATGCACGTAGCTTCAGGCAAGGTGGCGAGAGCTTCAGTGCTGAACCAGCCAAAAGGTTCGTTGGTAAGGAAACTTTGGAGTCCGAGAACGAGAGAAAGCTGGACCACTCCTTGAGAAGTTTTGTGAAAATACGGTTTAATTTTAAGTGTACGAAAAGCGTGTGACCAGTAGATCTGCTGATGTATGGTTTTAGAAGATCTGGGAAGGGGCAACTTGCATAGCTCTGTTTTAGGTAGCTTGACAGAATATTGAAGCGCTTTAGACGAAGCTATTCAGAGCTGAATTGAACGAAACAAAGTTGTTGGAGAACACAGTGAGCACTGGGTGCGTCTGCGTAAATATTTTGGCCGAAAGCTTTAAGAGCTCAGGGTCATCCTCAATCAATAATTTGAGATCATCCTTGATGGCGGGATTCAGGCCGTGGCCCCTAAAGAAGGTATGATATTCGTTGCGCAACCCATCTTTGAAAGGTTTGCTGCTACTGATTGTAAAAGTACATGGCTTGGAGCAAGCAAAAGCTTATTTGTGAGTGGGACACGGTTGCTAGAGGGAAAAAGGCTGACCGATAGACAAAAAACAGTTTTGTTATGCGAGGATGACACTACTTTATCGTCAAGTCAACCAAGATGGGCCCCCGCACTAGATAGTTTCCTCCTGTTATGCCGCTTCTAGTTTTCCATTTCCTTGACGGGTCGGTGAGGAAGTGGATAAGCGTACTGTTAAATTGCCTCCCATAATTGGATCACAGCAAGAGGAACACACTTTACATGTCTCCTGTTTATTTGACATCCGAACTTTCATAAACTCTCCAGATATACCACAACTCACAGCTCCTAGGTTTTATATCTGCAGCAGATCCAAGCAACGTATGTGCGCTGTAAGAGTTCATGCTGCCGATCACTCTTTCTGCTTTGGCCAGCTTCATCTCTAAAGATTCTAGAAATATAGATTTCCTCCTTGTAACGATGCCTAGGAAACATTTTCAGCCACCTATAGTATTGTTCAAGCTACCGTATCTTCAGCTCCGGGCCTCGTGGATGGAACGTTAGCATGTTTAATGGTCCCTCAATCAGTACCGCGATCAGCTTTAACGATGACCTGACTTTCGTGCATAGTTACCTTTGGATTTCCAGCTCGACTCGTTCCTACTATCTTAACTACTGTGTATACGCATTTGGGTGACCCGGCCACCGACTTTGAGTTATTTTTGTATCTTCGTGATTACTTTGTGGAATCCTTCGGACTTGTGTGATTATCTTTTTATGGATACCTCGTGTGAGGCATCCGTGGATTCTAATTTCCAGGTTTGCACTTGACCTACCCAAGACAGCTAACTTGGTTGCAGAACACTTACAAGAAACCCAGGTGTAACACCTATGTCGAATGGACTGCTAGTATTATTAGTTAGGACAAACTCCCACACATCAGACAGTTTTTTATTACTAGGTGTTCGCTACTCTGAGGTTCTAGCTATTGGGTGCGTACGGTAACCGCAAAGTACTAAAGGGCAACACTTTGCGCGTAGCTTCACATAATTTATGTGTTAGAGATAGCGCTCTAGGATATGCCATTCCACTGGGCCAAAAAGACCATTACGCTTGGGTGCTATGTAACCAAGCGTCCCTAGACTGCTATATATACTACACCCTGCAACTAACATTATGATATTACCCTCCATGTAGTTGGGCTACTGCCACTAGCTATTATTGCTATACTCCATACGCCATAGCTTCTCTTAGATGACTCAATCAGCACTGTACCATGAATCAATCAAAAACTAAGGTAGATATCTGCGCTTTTAAGATATCGCGGATAGCCGGGTTAATAGAGTGTACCGTGGCTGTAATTAGGTACGTTATGATAGTCATGTAAACTTGTAAGACGCATACTAGTCAGTACAGGGCAAGCTTAATACAGCATTTCGCGCAGCTGCGATGACATTACATTTCTGTTGCGAGTAATAGAAAAGCCCCAACGAATTGGACTCCATTGTTAGATATCGCTTTCTATATAAGGCCTAGGGCTTTTCCTACCATTGAATGACTTACGCGCAACTAGCAGACTCTTTAGCCGGGGTTGTGGATAATCAAGATTATCGACATCGACGTTTAGCGGTGAGCCATAGAATTCCCACAGATCCGCTGACCGGTCGTTGCTTCGGCCGAGCGCGCCCTACCGTTTAGCGAAGCCTCGAATACCGCAATAAGCTCCTGTCAACCGCCGAAGCTCCGCAAGCTAGTATTCTACTAGTGAATGTGTGAAGGTTTGATTGCTTAAATCTGGCTAACAGTATAATTAAACAAAACCATCTGTAGAAAACTGCACCAAATATGGAAATAAAATACGTAATAACATAACTAATGACAAGCGGGTGCTGACTCCATTTGGTCGTTAGCTTCAAAGCTCCCATGGTTAGCTATCTGACAGCCCTCAACTCTATTCCCGGTATCTGTCAGTCCGGACCGTGATGGACTAGGACAAATCTTTTCTCCTATCTTAGCTCAAATGAGACCTCTTTGGCCTATATCTACTTTCTGTTGAGCAAGCCTGATCAAGTCTCTGCAACTATGCCTCCTCAAACAGAATCGGGAATTCCTCCTACAGAAGAAGTTGGCTCTACAGAACATAACATTGACATAGAAAGCATTGAGCGCGGCTTCAGAGAAGTACATGCCGTCAGGCAAGGTCTTTACCAGCGGCACATTCAGATGATTGCTTTAGCTGGAACAATTGGCACTGGCCTTTTCCTCGGCTCTAGCCAAGCAATTGCAATAGCAGGCCCCTTAGGCGCCTTCCTTGGGTATACTATTGTTGGCCTTGCTGTGTCTAGCGTTGTCCTTGCTGTTGGAGAGATGGGTGCTCTAGTACCTCTCAGCGGAGGTCTCATCCGTTATACAGAATACTTCTTCGACCCTGCGATGTCCTTTGCCAATGGATGGAATCAAGTATACTTATACTTAGTGACTATTCCTGCTGAGATCGTGGCAGCAGCGGTCTTAGTCGAATTTTGGATTACTGTCAACAACGCAATATGGATTACTGTTTTCAGTATGATGGTGCTCATCACTGCACTCGTATTCGTCAGGTTCTACGGGGAGCTCGAGTTTGTATTCGCCATCCTGAAGATTTTACTGATCATTGGGGTAAACCTAATGGCGCTTGTGATTACGTGCGGTGGAGGACCAAGCGGTGAATCCATCGGTTATCGATACTGGAGAGACCCAGGGCCCTTTGTTCAGTATCTGGGTATCGGAGGTTCTCTAGGCCAGTTCCTTGGTTTCTGGTCGTGTCTGAATAATGCCGTCTTTGCATACTCGGGTATCCAGAACATCACTATTCCTGGAGCTGAGACAAGGTCTCCAAGGCACGCAATACCAAAGGCAACCAAGCGCATCTTAGTCCGCATCTTCCTCTTCTATGTCCTGTCAATCTTCATGATTGGTTTAGTTGTTCCGTCTGATGATCTCAACCTTCTTCATTCGACTAGCACAGTTTCGCAATCCCCGTTTGTTATTGCCGCTCGCCGTGCAGGGATCAGGACAGCACCCTCGATTATTAATGCTGTTATCCTTACTTCGGCCTGGTCTGCTGGCAATTCAGATATCCTTTTTGGGTCTCGTATCCTTTTCGGCATGGCTGTCCATGGACATGCTCCAGCGGTTTTCAAAGAGCTAAACCGGTTTAGTGTCCCCTATGTGGCTATTACCTTCATTGGAATCTTTATGTGCTTGGGGTATATGTCACTATCTAATTCAGCAAGCATGATCTTTGGGTGGTTGCGGGATATTGTGGCGATCTCCACATTAGTGGATTGGGAAATCGTCTGCATTGTATACCTCCGATTCTACTATGGTTGTAAAAAGCAAGGAATCGACCGCTACAGAGAGCTTCCATGGGCAGCACCTTTTCAACCCTACTTCACTTGGGCTTCACTTATGTTGTTCACCTTTTTACTTGTCACTGGTGGTTTCAGCACATTCATCCACGGTCACTGGGATACTAAAACTTTTATCTCATCGTACGTCAATATTCCAATAGTCCTAGCTTTATATTTCGGCTACAAATTGTGGAAGAGAACGCGCATCATCGCTTTGGAGAATATCCACACCACTTTCAGGCTGAGGACTTGATCGAAGTAATCCTGTTTTATGGGGGTTTAGATACTCGATCGCAGCATTGATGGCATGTTTGATACGTTACTACACTTCACTAATATAGGTGAAGGACCTTCCCAATGGCTACCCGCCTCATACGCGTAAGTGAGAATGGTTAACCTGGAATGCCATCTCCACTCACGCAGGCTCCGCTCATCTAACACGTATGTTCAACCAATATCTTCCCAGTCTATATTTGTGGTTCGCAACTCCACTTTCCAACCAAGCGCATGTGTTACAAACTGAATTACAGGATTAACTACTTCCTTGCCACGTGGGACATAATGAGCTCCCTCAAAAAACTCTACCCATGCATTGTTAAAACGTTCAGCTAGCTTCAGCGTAAGCGGCATAGGGATTATAGGGTCTAGCGTCCCTATGAAATGGAGAGATGGAGTTCGTATGCTTGGCGAATACAGTGATTTATACTTTGTGTCCATTTGGATAAACCCACTAAAGCATATAATGAATCGGAATGGAGGGTGGCTAACCTGCTGCGTCTCAATGACATATTCACAGGGAGGATAGTTAGGTAGCTTACCTCCAGATCGAGTCCCTCTACCTTTCTCTTCCCTTCAAGTAGAGCGGCTACCATTGTAGCAAGTGCCGCACCTGCCGAGAATCCAACCACCCCAATAAATGGTCCTTGCTCATTTAAAACTTTCAGCAAATGATGGAGGGATCTATCAACACCGAATGAACGTCCTTCTGGGTCACCATAACCCCAGGCCCGCCATTCTGGTTTTAAGTCTTCATAAATGCCTTGGTTTTCGTTGTCATCATATTCGTTGCCTGTAGGTGTCCCCTGCAGAAACTCAAGTGCTGACAGTGGCGCGTCAACATATATAAATTCAAGTCCTCCCGGAAAGCTCGGTTGGAAACAGTGAAGGGGAGAATCAGAGAATGCTTTCTTGAGGCCTTGCTCTAGAAACCGCGTTTTAGCTTGGAAAAACGTGGCTGATTGTCCATTTCCTGTTTGGAGCAGGTTCAGCTCTGTACGAACATATGTTAACCCTAATTAGTTTATACTGACCATGGAGCATGAGGAGTTTAGCTCTTCTTTTCGGTGGCACAGAAGGCCTCGGGCTAGCTGGCATCATTGAAGGCTCAAAAGGAATAAAGACAAAAAGCCTCTTCCGCTCAGAAATGTGCAAGTTGTCAAGAAACTGAGGAAGCTCTCTGCAAAGCTAACCCTGCGCGTTCTATCATATATTATTCTTTGTCCTCTGCGGAGTTCATTGAACATATGTATAGGGTAATGTATTGTAGATGCCTTACACATTTGAAGCAACACGGGGTCTATTACCCTTCCAAAAATGAAGGAAGCCGAACCAGAAAGGGATTGGAGACAGATGAATAGGTGAAATCCGCGAAATCTTGAACTCAGACACATACCCACGACATTGTGATTGCCTAAGTAGTGCCTGCCATTGTCTGGGCATATTCATTGTATGTTGATATGAATAAGACCTGTGCAACGCGAGTCTGCTTCTATATCCAACCAACTTACGTCAGTTGATATAGCCGGTCGCTCCCCAAATCCTCTGCAAGGAGTGATTTATCAACAGAGGCACCGGCAGCAAGGGAAATTATGCTGTCAAATTACACGTATGTTATCATTGGACTTAAGGTTGGCTCAATGTATGTAGTGCCAACGTCTGCAATATAACAGAAAATTTATAAACTACTTTCGAAACATACAAAAATTATCTGAAGCATATTTGTAATCGAAGTTCTGCAAAAACGTAAACTTAGTAAGAATACTCAAAAATGGTATGCTAAAGACTAGCTTTCTGTGGGCTTCCCGTTCCGGGAACCGAGTTTCCTGTCCCGCATGATTCTAGATTGGATGTAAGAAAGAACAACTTGAGTGGCGCTTAATAGTCGACACATGGATATATGCAAAAATGGGAAAGAGGTGGAAGGGGCAATAGCTAAAAATAGACGAGCAAGGAGTTATGAATCAATACTTGTGAGTTACGTTGTCAAGTAAATTTTCAGGCGCATGTCTGCTAGTCACACTAGGATTTATTTTCTAGAGCTCAAGATGTGACAACTTCCTTGTGTCGCTGCACCTGTTTTTGATGATCATTAGAGTGTGCATAATCGTGGTCCTCATATGTTTGACTTTCTAGGCGCGGGCAGCCAGGAAGTATAAACAAGCATAGTGAGCATGCAAGTTGGTTACTATGTGCTGTAGATGTCTAATATGTGTAACTATAGAGCACTGTGTAAATGTAATAGAAGTATGCTTACACAACAGGTATCTAGACAATGTGACAGATTGTGTATATGCCATGAAGGAAAAACGTAAGCGCCAACCTTAATAGGTCCCACCAATGCACCTGACATCTTTTTATGCACGTTAAGAAGGGTCACCCGCTTTAAAGTGGAGTTTAAAACGTCTTTGCTTATCGAATTAGTTGCCTAAAAGGTGCTTGCGTATAGCTGTTTTGAAACCAGCTTGGACAGATAATGGCAGATTTTGCGCCTCTTAGAGCAGATGCCTGCAAACATATCTGGGAGAAGTAAAAGAGGAGGCCGCGTTTTATAAAAGCCAGGCCATCCTATCATGAGATCCTGCCTTGCTAACCTTCCCTTACCACTGGAAATTTCCAATATTCTATGCAACCACCTCAAGTATTGACTTTGCCACCATAAGATACCTTGCGACAGCCCCAAAATGCCCTGGAAAGTTCCGATGCTTGATTTTCGCCCCGTTGTCGTCCTAGGTGCCGGTATCTTGGGCCGTCGTATTGCCTGTACGTTCGTGGCCGCTGGATATAATGTTCATATCTATGATATATCGAACAACGCCTTAAATGAAACAATTCGGTATATTGATGAAAATATGGAGAAGTTCACAACACTCTCTAAAGTTGTGAAACTCCAGGGATCCTGCTCGGTCTTCACAAATTTTGAAGCTGCTGTTCCTAAAGCCTGGCTAGTCATAGAAGCTATTCCAGAAATCCTCGAGCTGAAGTCTCAAATATTAGGCGTACTAGACAGGATAGCGCCGGAAGACTGCATTTTTGCGTCCAATAGCTCATCATTCAAATCATCGTTGATGTTGAGCGAAGTTAGTAAGGAAAGAAGGAGACTTGTCTTGAACGCACATTTTTATATGCCTCCAAACATCCGAATTGTGGAGCTAATGACAGATGGAGAGACACAATCGGAGATTTTTCCATTCCTTTCGGGGGTCTTGGAATCTTGCGGAATGATACCTGTGATTGTTAAGATTGAGTCCACTGGGTGAGGCCCCCCGTCCACTGCCATTCCCCCTAACTTGCGACTACGATCAAATAAGGTCACTATATGTATAACACAACGCATGAATATGAGCTGACGTATGCGACTTCAGATTTATCTTTAACCGGCTATGGGCTTCCATTAAGCGTGAAATTCTTCTTATCCTTGCTGAGGGCGTCAGCGAGCCAAAGCAAATTGACCTCCTCTGGAGGCATATGTTCAAATCAACTGTAGCACCCTGTGAGTTGATGGATGATATTGGGCTAGATACTGTCGCACTTGTCGAAGATAACTATATTGCAGAGCGACAACTTGACGGGAGAATGACTGTTGATTGGCTTCGAGACCGCTATCTCTCCCATGGAAAGGTGGGCAAGAAGTCCATTAACGGCGGGCTCTATCATCCCTCGACTAATACACCGAGTTCTCCTCAACTCTGTCTTCCTGATATATCGATCTATATCATAGATGTGGGTTCGGGTGGCAATCTCAAGGATATGGATCATCAATTTGCGAATGGAAGGCTGGTTCGGTTCACGCCAGTCACGAACAGCCTTTCCACACTTATATCTGGTCTGAATGCACCAGATGGAATTGACATATCCTCATCCATTGGGAAATTGTTCTGGACTAATACGGGTCATCTGGCATCCGTCCCGGATGGGTCCATCATGTCAGCCCGGCTTGATGGTAGAGGCGCCAAGACTCTCATTTGTGACGGCCAATTGTACACCCCAAAACAATTGGTTGTAGAAGATAATACCCAAACATTATACTTCTGTGATCGTGAGGGCATGTCTGTTCACCGTTGTGGTTTCTATGGTCAGTCACACGAGATACTTATTAAACGTGGTGAACCCGGCACCGACGATAGATACGACATGACCCGGTGGTGTGTTGGAGTGGCGGTAGATGCAAAAGCTGGAAAGATCTACTGGACGCAGAAGGGACCCTGTAGAGGCTATAAGGGATGCATATATAGGACAAATATTGAGACCCCCTTGGGTCAGACAGCAGAGGCCCGGTCGGACATTGAGACAATATTTGAGGGATTACCTGAGCCTATCGATCTTGCACTGGACGTGGGGGAAGGGATGCTATACTGGACTGATCGCGGAGAACTTCCTAGAGGATGCTCGCTAAATCGGGCGTACGTTGGGGGAGGCGGATATAGTGAAACACAAGAACATCCTGATATTCTCGCACGGCATTTCGACCAACCCATAGGGCTCAAACTTGATCTGAAATGGAAAAAGATATATGTGGCAGATCTCGGTGGTTCTTTGTATCGCTTGAATTTAGATGGAAGCGGGAAAGAGACTCTCATTGCCGGACAGGGTGCATATGCAGGTATTACATTGTTCAGCAGTTGCAGCTGAAACATTGAGAAGTAATCTTACACCTTTTTTTAAATTTGAAAATATGATTTGATGCGGAATGCTGTTTGAACTGATTACCAAAACAACGTCTGGAAATAGAGACATCAGCAAGCTTGTCAGCCCATGAAGTATGTCGAGAACAAGACATACAGAGTGTTCGAATCCAGTAGAAGTCTGCAAAGAGCTACCGGTAACATGAATGACTACGAGGAGCCACAGAAACAGAGCTAAAATACAGGAATACCCTACAATTTACTTGCGAAGTTAGGACTGAATCATAAGTAATATTATGATTATATACCACGTGAAACCAATTAGGTAGTTGATACCTGTTAAATAAGGTTTTAACTTTTGTTGAGCGCGAAGGGCAGATCACCAGCGGTTTGTGAAGACAGTTTATTTTGCCATGTTTAAAGTAGTGAAAAAGGAGGTTGACCAAAAGTTTAACCATTTGTGTTGCCCGTTATGAGGCAAAAGGCAAACTGTATGGGAAAAGAAACAGAGTGTTGCACACTACAGATAGCGGGGTTGTCTGCAATTTACATAAAAATTTAGTCACCGTGGCAGGCTCCTTACAACGAGGTTCCTTATAGCGTTTAATGTACCTAACGTTCTTATCCCGATATCTTATGACATTACAACAGCCTCTGCAAGCCTAGCCAGTACGCTCAATACACTAACATATTAAGCCTTGTCGATGGTAGAGTTGGTCCGCGATAACCACAGCCTCAGCCAGCAATGCCGTTATTCGTCTAGTAGTAATATCGCCCATGTGCAACCTGGCGACAAGATTGTGGACGCTCCATACCCTACAGTTGCTCAAGATAATGACGAGTTTTGTAATGTTGCTAGCAACCAAGTCGGATAGTGCCAGCAATTTAGCGCCACTGGTGCCATTCAAGTCAGTGGTCCAGCGAACCTGATCAAGGCAGCATGGGCACTGAGTTAGACTTATCAATACACGAGAACCCTTCAAAACCTGGAGCACTGTTGTCTCAAATGACTCGGCGCTGTCAGGGAGTGTGTGGCTTTCGCTACTACCAGTTTGAGTGCACGCTCGTGCCAGAATATATTGCTTAGCAGGGACTCATAGATCAAAGTCCGGGTTGTATGTAGAGGTGAGCAATTGAGGTCAAGCCCAACATAGTCCGGCGTGACGCATGTGTTAGTCCACTGATTTCTCATGGTACTTAATCGCGACTTAACCATGTAGACCGCCCCGTCCAAGCGGCAGGTTGCTCCCTGTTCTGCGACAACCCCAAGAAGGACACGGGAGTGGATACCCTCAGTAGCCCATAAGTGGTAGATCATTGATAGCACAGTATAAGCAATCAGTCCTAGCTGGAGACCCACATAAGCAGAATAGATTACAATATTGTCCAGAATACGGCTGGCCACGTGGGCATCGTATTCACTGGCATTATGGATAGCGATTGACACAGCGCACACGTCCAGGTCCAAGGTGTCATCGGCAATTGTGAATTCCAACCCTTCACGCGCCTGGACTGCACATGCCGCAGTAGCGGCCACAGCGCCATCCCAGCCATGGCCGTGCCAGTTTTCATGCATCTCCCCCTCTTGTGCCGACTCTCCCTCTCCACAGTCGTTAAGTGAAATGACAGTGGAGGCCTTGAGCTCTACTGCAGCAAGATTAATCGATCGCACCAGGATAGTCTACCTATATAGTTATGCCAAACAAGAAGGAACTTGCCCGTATGCACCCACCGAGGTAGCCTGGCGTCTACACCGACTCTGTGGCAACCGCTACACTAGATGTCGTCGCATTTTCAGGTACTTCAGCCCTCGACATACCTACCGACATACACATTTCATGTGTAAGCATCCTCTATGCTACTCGTGTTCTAGCCAAGAGAAGTATTCGGTATTACTTTTGAGGCAGTACGACACGACACGTATCCGATCTGTAGGGTCCAAGTCGACATGACGAACCTTAGCGTGTATGCACTGTGCGATCATTTGCATTTGAGGCTTGGGACCATCTAAATTATCTGCGCTGCCTGAGGCCCAAGCTGCAGCAACGGTGCCAACGCTATCGTCAGACACAGTCCCGAGCGCCTCAGTGGGTGCAATTAGGTTCGTGGCCCTTTTTCATGCGATGGAATAAGTCTAAAGGGTCTCGGTTCGCCCTATCTAGAGCCGGATATCTGACTGTTGTAGCGTTCCCGCAGCTTATCTATGAGAAGTTGAGGGTCTCGTGCTAAGTTTTAATGACAAGAAGCACGCCAGCATTTCCCGAGGCTTGCCTATAGGCATACATCCCCAATGCTGTCCTTTGATTTGAGAACCAGACAACGGTCCACGAGTTGAGACAAATCATTGGTAAGCCCTTGATGGTTGTGTAGTTGGTCAGCAGCAGCGCCACTCGGCCTCACTGACTGCATATCAAGATGGGTATCCTTAAACTTTCGCTGTCCAACTTCGGATACTGTTTCCGTCTTCAAGATTGACCAGCTGATATCCGCCGCTCTCTGCAGCCTGCTAAGACGGTGAGAGCCAACTTCCCATATGCTATCGCTAGCGGGTGTCCGTTGAGACCTTTGTCCCAACCATAACACTAGTAGATAGTTCACTTAAGATAGCCCGTACAAGGTGTGTTTCTTTATTGCCCAAACAAACAAGGAGTGTTCACATAATTAGTTAACTATCTATATGCGCAGCAATAGCCACAAACTTGTGTGGAGACCAATATTTTGCAAGCGATGATCTGTAGTGGTGACTATTAGGAGGAAGTTTCAGGCATGATCTAGAGCTGACAATGTCAGATTGTCGGTGCAGGTAATAATGTAGCAAAGTTCGTAACCAGTTGATTAGAGAAATTGCTATGCATGATCTTAAATATATTCTCCATACATATCTAATAGTGGTCGCTTCCGGGAAGAAAAATATTGAGCCTGCATGCGCATCCCTATGGAACAAGAAGGGTCGTATTTAACCTTGAACTGCCACTACCCAAAGGTTGAGAATAAGTGAACATGGTCTGAATTCTGAATCAGGATATCATTCAGTATATCTGAAGCCTTGGGGAGTAAAAGTACTACACTAAGAGCAAAAGAAAGATCTTCCTATTTGATATAAGTAAGACTTTGATTTTTTTGGGACTGTTATATACAAGATAAGGCATTTTCACTGCTGGCTACCTCTTACATTAGTTCACTTTGACTTTCGGGAGAAGCAACATTTATGTGGAGGATGGTGTTGGGTGCAACCCAATTTGTAGCCTTTATGCATCAAATCATTTCGTAAGCTAATCCCGGTATTTCTAAATATTTCTGCTATATTTTCATGTCGCCTCATTACCGGTATATGAGCAAGTTTGATTGTGCTTAGCCTGGCCGAGGCAATAAGACTGCCTTATTCACTTTTGATCTGATCCCATAACACAGAAATTTTCCACAGTTCCTGTATGATAGTTCTTCTTCCTTCTCTACATTTGATGTTTCGTTGGTTCGCCACTTTGGATATAATTTATGCATTCAAAGTGTACAGGATCATCACAACCATCCTACTCAAATTTCATGTGCACCTGACCATGTGTTCATCACGAAAATTAGTTACCAATGGTACTGAAGATGCTTCGCCTTACTTTAGATTTAGCCTGTCCGTCTAAGTACCATCGGTTTATGTTTCACTAGCATTGGAATCTGGGCGATTCTTGTCGTGCGCTTTACGCTCTTGCATGCCGTGCCTTTGCTAGCCCCAATTGTGCAGTCGCAAATGGTCTATGTTATTCCGCTTTCTGCATTCCTTGTCCCAAATTCCGGAAAACAATTGTCAGCATTTTCGCCGATCTTTTGTGGATAGTAAGCTTATTTACGCACCATTTTTGGTGTTCTATTCGCGGCCATTATCCTCTGAGGTTTCACTTCATGACGTACATGAAAACGTTGGTTGACGGATATGCAAAATACCAAGAGGCAGGACTACCTCTTTACAGTTACCGAATCCTTGTTCACCTTCTGAGAGAACATACCCGCGCAGCAAATAAACTTGCCTTTTTCGCCTCTATCGCTATCGCCATAGTGATCCAGACCATAATCATTGCATTCAGGGCAACAGATAGTATCAGTAACAGTTCGTTTCTGCGAAAGCCCATCAGTTACCTCCATATTAATTATTTCACTTCCATCGCCGTCATTAAAGGCTACAGCTCATTTCTTCTGATGCACCTCCTCGGGAAAGTGTATAACTCCTCACCTATAGTATTGTCTAATCGTCATACCAATCAATTTGTACTTTTATTAATAGAGATATGTCTTTCTACACTTGACATTGCATTTGTTACTCGAACTATAACCTACGCATTTCGAACCATCGAACTGCATGCGGTTGGAATCCCTGACCAGGTTAACCACTTCGCGTACATATTAGTGTCTGTTCCTAATAGTTATAGGTATATTGGCTTTCTCTCAGTCCGCCGCGAATCTAACAAAATCCAGCCTTGACATTATTGCTCCAAAAAAAAAAAAAAAAGCAAAACCATCAACGGACACCCTCTTACATGAAACCGGCCTCTACTGACACTGAAAGAGAAAGACTAGTCTTTCTTTTTCTACACGGACTCGAATAAAACTTTAGAACATGTTTATTAAAACAGAAGATCAGAATTCCCATTTCCTCCAGAGAGGTGAACTTTGGACCTATTATTTACTTGAACAGCTAGCAAAGCACCCAAATTAACATCGCCTGGAAATTTACGGCGCTACTGTACTTCCAATATATAGATCTACCGAAATTTTAGTTTTAAACTATAGATATGACTCATAGATATCGACATAGAGCCATCGCATTGAAAGTGCTACGGGAAATGACTTCATAACTTTTCCATACCGAGCCCCGAATTGACCACTCTGTGTCATACAGTATTCGAGATCTACCAACACAGGAAGTATGGACAGTATAGAAGGGGGCGGCCATGGATCGGGTTAAAAGCCGTCCCCTTACCGGTGTTGCTGGTCTTGGTACAAATATCTCACTCGCATATTACAAGTAACTGAGTTGTAATCATGGACTCAATGGTTGCGTAAAAGGCCATTAACGTGAACATATATATTCTATCGTATCTGTAATATATTCAAGACTAAAGCTTTTCCTATGGATAAAATGAAATTCCTGGAGAAGTTATCTATCATCTATGATGCACTACATGGGGTTCAGGCTTGTGGACTAAAATTGAATTGTACAGTAACTTCTTGTATAGCAGACAAGACTTGACTGATAGTTGCGGATTTGCGTGAGCTTATTAAAACTATTGAACTTTCTTCTCTAGTGCCTTAACTCAGGACTTATATTATTGTTCCCGGGCATATTGCCGAGCTATCTGGGCTTCTATCCGTTAGTTAATACAGGCCTGCATTGACTCTAGCTCTATCTGATAGTCAAACTCCTGATTTTCTACCAATTCTACTAGAGCTTGACATTGATTTTGTAGTAAGAGAGGGTCAGGAATCTTTACCGACTTACTACTGGTACCAGCACCAGCTGACCAGTATTCCGGGCGAATTTCAGGGTAAAGATGTCTTGCTTATCTTTAGCGGTGTCCTTAGCCATACTTAATTTATTAATCTGACTAGACAGAGTATTACAACAGCCTTATAGTGCTTCGATCACCAACGCCTGCTCAGAGAGCTTTTCTTTTAGGTGGCGGTGGTATTACTTAACTTATCTAGGGCATCCTCGCACTCGTTTAATACCATTTCCAAAGATCCTGTCAGGGTCTGTTTGCTTATTTCTTCAAACTTATCTCTAGAGACATGTTCCTTCGTAGAATCTTCTCCCTTTAGAAGTAGGGTCATGCATTGATATGCCTTGGCAGTAAGCTTCTTCAATCCACTAGGGTGAGTCATAGTTCAGTATCGTTTCTATTGACGTTCGAACAGTTAAGTTCTAGGGTTCTTTCAGCTATTCAACATTGCTGGCACGTATAAGGAACGGAACCCTTTTGTGAAGATATTGCGACAAAACACGAGTTGCTTGTCTGTATCGTATGGGACTCGTAGGATATAAGAAAAGGAATGAGTTTAGTCTATGTGATAGCCACAGTGAATAGAAAACGATCTTATTTGTAGGTTCGTACTAGAAGACAAACAGAAGAAGGAAAGGAAACACAAATGGATCACCACTACTATGGCATTAATATGGGGAACATGTGATAAACAGTACAAATGACTTCGGGTACGCAAACAGTGATTAGATTGTCACAGTTATCTAGGTAGGATAAGCGTCAATGATGGGTAAGAGTAATAACATCTCATGGATAGACCTGGCTGTTATTCTAGTATGCATGCCGTCTATGTCATGTTCTTTCCGGGCAACTTTTTCAGAGTTCCCCCCTTCATCGCCCTGTCCTGCGTGACACATATCAGTTAATCAATTCATGTCAAAGAGCAATGGAAAACGAAACAACCCAGGGGCACTCACTAAAACAGTTGTCGGCATGTACTTGGACACAAACTTCACCATGGAAGCCATTGCACCACGCCACACAGGTCCCGATGCTCCGCCCAAGACATCCTTAACAACCTCGCGAGCAAAGTCTGCCGGTGCGCTCTTACTCGATATATCCTTCCTGACGCCGCGTGCTTCAATCTCCGGGAGCGCCTTCTAGTAAAGTGAGTTTTCAGGCAGGGTCAGGTTAGAATGCGACATGACATTTGTGGCGACGGAGCCGGTGACCAGGGAAATCACTCGGATATTGAAGGGCTGCAGTTCCAACCGGAGAGTCTCACTCCACGGCATCAGAGCGGCCTTTGAGGCATTGTAGACACCTGACGTGAATCGTCAGCAGGAACTTCATGATTTACTTCTATCGCGACCGCCGGGGCAGAGGAGCTTCACTCATCCAGGGGGCATACAAGAAGCCCGAGATGGAGCCGACGTTCACGAGGGTACTGTCATTCTTGGCAGCCTGAAGCAACGGCATGAAAGCCTGAGTGACGGCCACGACACCCCAGAAATTCACATCGAAAAGACGCTTGGCCTCGTTGATTAAGGTGTCCAGGGCAGGATAGACAAGAGATTAGCCGGCGTTGTTGATGAGGATTGCAAGGGAGTCACCCGTCGAAGACAAATTCTGGCGGACGGTATCGACGCCAGCGACAATGCTAACCGGGTCAACGACGTCGAGGGTAACGAGAATGACATTGGGAAGTTTGGCAAAATAGTTCATCTTAGCTAGAGAGCGAGCTGACGTGTAGACTTTCAGCCCTTGACTGTGGAGTTCCTCCACCAGGGCCGAGCCAATGCCTCCGGCGCTGCAACCGGTGATGAGGGCGCAACGGGGCACTGTGAGATTATCAATCTTGATGAGAAGAAGGGAGAAAGAGGGATTCAAAGATGCGACGGAGATAGAAAAAGAAAAAAAAGACGCGACTTTCCCTATGCTCCATTGCTAGGAGGGAAAAGTTCCGGAGTTGATTTGGTTTAATTTAATTTGATATGATTTATTCCTCCGACTCCGCGCAGCCTCAGAAAGTAGTTGGCTTCGACGCGCTAACCTCAGGCAGTTAGGTGTGTGGAACCCCAATGTGCCCCTACTAGGTTGCTCCCGTGCGGGGGAGTGCTCCACTGCGGAATTGCAATGTTCCGGACATTTCCGAGATCTCTCGGATCCCCCTGTTGTCGGTCCTCTTCAAGAGACAGATAATGAGAGCTTATGGGAAAGTTATTCTTATCCATACGCAAATTACAAAGGGTACACAGCAACTTTGCTCACTCACTCGCTCTCTACCTCTCCCATAGTTGTTATCATAGGTACCTACTTTTCTGCGTCACCCACTACTCATAACGCACACCACCACCTTTACCTGCTTATCCATTCCAAAAATGGCCACCGACAATAAACAAACTTATCACCTTTATTCATATTTCCGGTCGACATGTACGAGTCGTGTTGTGATTGCCATGCATCTTAAGGGTATTCCTGCTGAGCATACTCACATTGACCTCAGCAAAGCTGAGCATGAAAGCCCTGAGTTCGAGGAGCTGAATCCAAGCAAATCCGTGCCAATCCTTGTCATTAAAGATGGCAACGGGAACGAGACTGTTCTCACCCAATCGATCGCTATTCTGGAGTACCTGGAAGAAAGCCTGCCCACTCTGACACCGCTACTGCCTCCAAGTGGCGATCTTGTGCAGCGTGCCCGGGTCCGAGAGATGGTGAACGTGGTTACCAACGATATCCAACCTATCACCAATGGGCGGATCGCCAAACGGGTCCGCGCCATTCGAGGTGAGGCCAAGGACCAGATCAGTTTTGTAACGGACGTTTTTCTCGCTGGCCTGACCGCGTACGAAAAACTGCTGGTCAAATATGGAGGAAAGTTCACGGTGGGGGACGCAGTTACCATGGCCGATGTGTGTTTGGCACCGGCAGTGGAGATGGCGCTTGCTTATGGAACCAATCTGGATGGGCTGCCACACGTCATGGGATTATCTAAGCGCCTCTGGGAATTGTCAGCATTTCAAAAGGGACATTGGAAGAGGCAAGGTGATACGCCTGAGGCCCTGAGAGGCTCCTAGGAGCAAGAGTATAGACTGTTATACGGAGTACTATAGCCCACAATGCCATACCAGTATCACTGTTATAACTTCTGTCATGATATCGCACAGACCCACTGTACTATCATCTGTATCAACCGGACCTCATGTATAGATGCATATAATCTTCGTATCACCTCGCACAGCCCCTATATAGGGTCCCCCTGATTCCTCCTACGAGGGATCAGCGATTAGACTGACTGAATACCATCCCCCCACTCACAGTGTGTATCAAGCATAGTCTTGTTTTTCTCACTCTTATCCCACCGTATCATATGGACTCTTTGGAGGGAGTTCTGGCAATCACTCCCGTCACGGGCTTCATTTCATTGTCCAGGTTCTAGCTCTCTGGGATAAAAGCCTTTGGAAAGAATATCCATATAACTCATAAATTGGATGCGACAGTTGGCCTGTAATGTAGCTTCATGGGCGAAGATGCATTCTTTGATCTTGTCAAAGTTCTGACGTTGATACGTCATTGTAAAGTCCGGGTATGGTGACTGGTAGTCTGTCACGGATAGAGGTTTATTGATTGATTGATTGATTGATTGTATTTTACGGCGGTGGTTCGCCGCCGAAGCATTGACCCACCATCCCTAGTTGGGACAAAGGCCACCAGGGAGTAAGCCCTGGGTGTCTCTAGCTAGTGGCCTCAGTCGGGATGAAAGGCTTGCGGTGCAGGAAAAGGGGCATAATGCCAGCTGTAAAGAAAGGTATATCTTTTTTTTTTTTTTTTTTTGATGCATTCTCAGTCTTGCTGGGGTGGGGGATATTGTGGTAGATGCCCTTAAAGAAGCGGGTCTTAGATAGCGAGGCGGCTAGCTTCACTGTGCCTTTCAGTGTACCTAGTAGATAAGGGATTGCTTTAGAGGGAAGTCCAGAAGATCGGGGCAGGCGTCTCTTTGCAATATGGCAGTAGAAGAAGTGAATTGGGGACTTTTGTGCACCACAGCAGCAGAAAAGATATACATCTTCATGGTTAAAGTCCTTATAGTAGCTTGTAAAGTCCCCATGACCTGTACAAGTAGCCAGGATCCGGGCCGGAATGGATGTCGGGAACTTCAGCTTGGCGGGGTGCCAGGGGAAGATAGTGATCTAGAGATCCTGGTAGGATTTCGGAGCTGCAGACTGCCAGTGTCTTTATAGAGCAGATATAGTATCTGTTTTAGTTCTCTATTTTAGTAAAGCGTATGAATATCTGCTTAAGGAAGGAAATGGATTTATGGTAGCTTCATTCTTTATAGCTTGGTCAGTTACTTTATTCTCGGGTACTTCTGTGTGGCCAGGGATCTAGTAGATCTGTATAGAGCCACTGTCGGTATATATAAATCTCTCCTGTGCAAGCCAGGTTGAGGCAAGGGCCCTCAAGAATTCAAAAATCTTCTGTAATAAGCCAGTAAAAGATAATAGAAGCTAGGTGTCTATCTCTAGGTTATTTAAGTAGATTCAGAGATTAACGTAATCCAAGGCCGAACCGCAGATTTTTACCTCTTTCCTAATCAGCATTCACCAACGCCCCAATTCTTCACCTCTACCATATAAAATGCCGCTTTTCTCAAGAAGCTCGAATGTAGATGACTATTACTGCATATAAAGATAAAAAAATTAAATCAAAATTGAAGGCCTTGGATTACGTCAGTTATAAAGTAAGCTATATAAAGTTCTAAAACTACTTTAATACTAGCTAGAGTTACTTTAGCTCCAGTATAAAAGATCTCTTTATTAGAGCTAAGAAAAAAAAAGGAAACTAGAGAAATTACTTTCTAGATTAATATAAAGTAAGTCCAGTGCCTGCTATTCTATTTACTAGTTTAGGACTATCTGTAAAGACCTTTATATCAGTATCCGGAAGAGAAGTATGGAAGTCTTGGAAGCCGGTAGTTACCTGCTTCTTGATTTATATAGGTGCTCTAATTCTCTGCTGGGCAGCTTTCCATGGTTTCTGAAAGAGCTATAGAATATGTTGTAGTGGGTTTAGTTATTCTGATTCTGGCAGGGCCAGCACACGGCGTGTAAAGCAGCTTGTTAGAAATCTAGTTCAGGTTATTCTTTCTACTCTCCTGCAAAGGGGATGCTAGGAATCTAGATGGCAGAGGTAGACTATAGTATTAGTAGCTAGGCTGGCCATTGGGATAGGATTCCCATCCAGATTAACCTTAAAAACGGGATTCCCATATTTGTCTTAGCATTATTTTGGGATTCTGAGATGGGAAATGGGAATCCCGTCCCATCCCAAAATCCCAAAATCCCATCCCATCCCGAAATCCCTGGGATTATCCCGTCCGAACGGTCAGCCTAGTTGTATATATTAAAGTAGACAGATCTATTATCTTAAAACAGATTTTTGCTATGATTGGTTTGTAAGTGGCTCTAGTACAGATACTTATCAGATATCCATTGGATATCATGTGACAATCTGTAGATACCTGATAGGTATCCATAGATATCCAAAATCTCTATAAAACAACAAAGAGTCAGTATATTTAGGCTATAGAGTCAGGCTATTAACCAGGTCTATACACTTTTGTCAAGTGTTGGAGAATATCCATTAGTCAACCTAGTTGAAATAAAGAGAAGCAGTTAATTTAAAGGATTAACTGAGACAGCCTGCGCAGCCCTACAATGTTGATTATATAAGAGTGCTTTCTATAGTTAGTTATCTCTACAGGCGCGTGTACGCTAAAATCATCAAAATTTAGAACGCTGCATCAAGCAAATGGTAAATAAGCAATTAGTGAGCACATTTACATACATTTCTAGCCAGTGCAGCCATGGCTGGTGCCCGGGGGAGGGCAATGGTAAGTAAGCTGTAAGGGACATGTAAAGATCGCTTAGATTGAAATTTTTGGTGTTACGGCGTACCACCTGACCTGGCGATCACATGACCAAAACCTGATTAATGAAGCGCCTCAAGGGTGGCGCCACCGGGAAGTACGGTCCAGCTGACCTGCAACCACTACAGGGCGCGTCTCGCGTCTTTGTGTTCCTTCCCCACGCTGGGATTCTAGATAGATAGCGCCAATATAGATCATTTTGAGAGGCTGTCACATTAACAGGAATAGCAAGGCCAGTGAGACTAGCTATAATATAACTGTTACTTTATTATCTATAATATAGTAAATATATATCTTTTATGTACTATATAGAGTGATGATCTATTCCTGATTTACAAGCCACCACCACTACTTCCCTTATACACCAAAGCAAGAGCGTTAACGTTAGTAGTGAATATATTCATATATATAAATATTATATACAGTATTATAAGGGTGTCATGTAAAGGTTCTGTATGGTACTGTCATGCCCAGAACAAACATAACTAGTTAACTGTTAGTTACTGAACTTATTCAGCAAGTTATGTATCATGGAGTAGGCTAGATTAGGATAATTTAGCGAAAATTATACTAGTGCGGAGAGAAACAAGACATCCGCATCGTATCCATTGCGGATTTGGATGCAGATAAAGATAGCTTCTCAGGTATCTGGTATCCGCGGATATGCCCCAGTCTAAACCTAACCCTGAAGGCTTTACCCAGGATTAGTTAGAGAGTAGGAAGAGAAGCAGTTGAGATAGTCATTACAGTCGTCCATAGAATTGAGTATCTATCGAAATGGCATCTGCTCCTCAGTAGGCTATGTACATGTAGCTGATACAGCATCATTCTGCCCATCTTTCCCCTTAGATCACGGCAATCTGAGCTAACACAGAGAGTGGACGTCACAGGGTATTCAGCCCGGGTGGCCGTTTAAAGACAGGCACCTCTATACTTAGAGTATCAGATCATAGGATATACAAGTTTAATAAGCTGTGGAGGATAAACTATACCAAACCAGGAATATCATACTCGCTAGCGGCTCTTGATATTTTGAGGATCAATCTAGCGGGAATCGGGAATCCCCCACAAGTCGATCGGACAAACTTTCGACCACAGTATAGCCCGACACGACCAGTTATATTGCTAACCCATGTGGATAAGCACAAAAAGGATTGAGGCCGCTAAGCCCCAAGAAGGCAACGAGTACGAAACCGAAGTTCAATGCCTCAAATCTACATTGGTGATTGTCCAATTCGCGATGCTATTTGTCATGCTTGGTAGGCACCTAAGCCTCCAACTAGATATATTTTATGAGTATTTTCTTATTTGATTGCTCCAGAAGGGTCATCTATTACTCGATTCAGAAATAACAAGCATGTAAACGTGGCTCGGGATCCCAAGTCCCAGCAGAGGACGCCAGTTTCTAGAATAGTAAATGTCGCTTATTGGCTTTGAGCACAATATATTTGCACTGTGATCTTGGCATTAATATGTAGCTAAAGTGTTGTCAGATTGCTTCCATTCAGGAGTAGATGGTCACTTAGGCAGGAGCCTGTTCTATGTTTGCTCACGCGCGGCTAAAGCATGTCCAGAATGATATATTATCCTGAGAAAGAGGTATTTATATCTAAGGTCTTCCCCCAGTCTGAAAGGGTTCAATTTCTCAGCTTTGAACTAAAGTTGGTTAAGCAGCACACAATGGCTTATTCAAATCTATATCTATTTCTTAGAGCGACCTCTCCCACTCCGATAAAAGTGCCGGATTGCCATGTATACGACAAGTCTATCCGCTCGCCATTTGGTTATCAGCCTTCATTAGTTGCCAGCATTATGTTTACAGTGCTCTATGCCATAGTTTTTGTCTGGCATTTTGGACAGACACTCCAGCACAAAAATCTCTTCCTGGGCATTACTTTCTCACTTGGGGCATTCGGGGAATTTGGCGGATGGCTTGGACGCGCAATTGCCTACAGATGCCCCTACTCAGTTACCCTGTTAGAGGAGCAGCTGGTCCTGTTAATCCTAGGTAAGTTGCCTATGCCATGCTGATATACAAAGCTAACTTAAAGAATCTAAAGCACCTACATTCACAACCGCCGGTATCTACTGTATCCTTAGTATGATAGTTCCAATTCTTGGAAGAGAGAAGTCGCCCCTCAACCCCCGATCCTACTTGATCATATTTATCGGCGCCGATTTTCTTTCCCTGATCTTGCAAGGAATTGGTGGAGGCATGTCGGCATCTGCCTTAAGCAAAGATGGTAACGAGTGGCCCGGCACATATACAATGGTGGTAGGAATTATCTTCCAGCTTGTGTCTCTCTGCATCTTTGCCATCTTCTTTGAGTGGGTGATGTTCCGTGCAATCAGCCAAATCATGAGCAATCCACAACTCCGAAACCTTTGTATTGCGGTGAATCTTTCCATCCTCTTCCTCCTTATTCGTGGTGTCTTTCGCAGTGTAGAATTACTTCAGGGATGGCGGGGGTATTTATTCACGCATGAGATATACATGATTGTCTTAGATGCTGTGATGGTTCTGCTTTCGCTTTTGGTCTTCAACATATTTAATCCTGCTGTTCTCATTGCTAAGGCTGGGAAGACATCGGTATCAACTTTCGTGGAGCTGAGGGAGCGCAGTGTGGAAGAGCATGGAACTAAGTAATCCTCCACCGAGGGCAGCGCTGCTTTTTACTGGCCAGTTCTGATATAGAGACACGTCTAGCTCCCCCTCCTGTCCCCTTTCCACTTCCGATGAGCATCTGTCCTACAGTGTTGCAGGCATCATCCTGTACCGTTGTTTCCCGTGTCCGCTGCCTGCGGGGAAACTTGGCCGACTTTGCTGCAAAGAAATATTTCGAAGGGGGAAGACAGAAAGAGAAAGAGAGAGAAAGAGTAAATAATATATATATTATATATACACCCTTTATCAGTTAATTATACAGGTTAAGTGTATAAATATATATACAGATATAACGGTTAGTTCTATTTACTGTATAAGATAGCTTTCTCTTTGGCCTATTCTATAAAATCTTCTATTACTTAAGCAAGCTGTACTAGATATCACTACACAGTGGCCAAAGGTGGTTGCAGATGAGCTGGACCGTACTTCCCGGTGGCGCCAGGCAATGTGAGATTGCTGACTAATTTAACTAGTAAATGTAAGTTATTTCACAGTTACAGATAGTTTAAGATGGATAAAAATAAGATATTAGTCATACTATAGTTATACCCATTATTTTTTATTATGCTATATAGTTCTTATCCATATGGAGTATTACTGTTATTATTAATCAAGTTTGACGTCCATAACATGACCCGGGAAATACGTTATCGAGCCGCTGGCTATGACAGACACATGTGCCTAGGCAGTAGCCTATGCCACTGCCTCTAACTGGTCCCTAGGGGTCCTACCAGCCCTCTCTATCATTTGTATGTTTATTCTAGTCCTTTTCCTTACGCGAGCCGCTTATCTGCACTAGATACTTTGGGTTACGCCCTTCTCAGTATTTATTACTTACTGGGCGTTATCTAGGCGTGTCTAGTTTACCCTTTCTACTATTCTTTCTCCTACTTTCTGCTACTTTTACCAGCTTTAGATCCTAAAGTTATCCCTAGAGACTCTGTCTATCTCTCTAGCTCTCTCTCCTAGGAAGCAGCTAATATTTATTATTGCCAGAAAGGTTATTAGTGCCTTTATAGCTCTCTGATTCTGAAAGATACAGTATTCTGGGACTGTTTTTTTCTATCCAGGTGATAATACTTCTGCCTTGACACCTGTCACATACGGGGCGATGACCGCTACAATTTTGCCCTATATTTTCGACAGTTCTGACACACTAAGCGGACTCGATTTGGACGGCGTTGTTTGTGGGTAGCCGGTACCTTCGGAATCAGTACTTTTGAGACCATGAACATGTTACTCCTTGTGACTTCGGACCAGGGGGCCTACTTCTGATTAGCTTGATCTTTGGCATGGATTCAAAAACTTGAATATATCACAATTCAACTGCTGTCACTATATATAAGTACTAAGTAATATTCCATCCAATTTCACGCCAGGGTGCAAGGTGTACAACTGAGTAACAGATGATTTGTAGAGTAGGTTAGGTTGCCTTCTTTCGGGCAATTAGAAGGCTCGTAAGGACAATTGGGAAATACACTATGGCTGGAAAAACAATATATCCGCGGCTAATATTGACTTGGGCCGTGGCGATAAGCAGAACGTAGCGCGAAAAGATAGGTAGGAGGCCAGCAAACTTTTGCTGGTGGCTCGCGGGGGATAGTAATCTCTTTTATTCTGTTCCCTTGTTTCAAGACAAATCGCACCTTCGTTAGTGTACGGCCTCGCGGTCCTTGTTTTCATTTTCCCTTACTCTCACTTCGTTCCTCGTTGATTTCAGGGCATTATACAGTATTACAGTATCGTGTTACACTTAAGAATTTAGCTTGATTTTCCCGATTTTCACAAGAACAAAATAAAAAAGATTCATTGTTTGTCAAGACAGGAAGGACAAAATGAGCCGCTACACCGGCAACTATCAAGTTGTTGCTTGAGATTATTTTGTTCAGTGTTGGCCAAGGTCATCCGGTGTGTAAGCTCATCGTTATAAAAGTGTGCCAGAAAAGTGGAGGCTTCTGTTGAAGTTTTCCCCTTTGACTTCTCTGTCTGAGAAGTATGTGAAGGACAACTGCGTGTTGGCTTGGTAACAACTCTATCGGGAGAAGGTGATTTAGGTTGATGATAAGAAGAAACGGTCATCGTTGAAGTAATGCCTGTTTTGCAGTCTAGTAGTAGATGTTTTGAAGTGCCCTTGACATCGACTAGAACTAGCATTTTGCTATGTGGCTATAAGTACCATGCTACTATCGCCACACGATATTAGAAGTATGGGTCTTTGGAACATAAGCAGAACATTATTCGCTTGACCATATTGCATGCTTATGTTCTGCTTATGTCAGCTTCCTCATTAAGATGGGCATCGAAAACCCTAGAAAGGGGAAGATGTTACAGGATGTCTCTGCTTAACGCAATAAATATTTTAAGCAATTTGGACTTTTTAGCTCGCACTTTTAGTGCCGCTGGTGGGCCGTGATTCATGATGTATATTTATAATCTATATGTGCTAGCCAACCAACCCGTTCACTTGAAACTGGAGTATTGTAAGTATGTGAGGGGCTTTAGTATGAAGTTATCTACTCCTACAATATTTTTTTTACCGTGTTTCAAACCTGCACTTTAGTCTCTCTGTATGCGACTATTTCCTAGTCAGCAGTTACAAAATATATATGGTATTGGTAAGTATTTACGTCAGCTTTTCAAGCTACACACCATCGGACTGCAACAGTCTACCTAGATGTGGATTTATATTGAATGGATGCACATAAAGAGCGAAGGTTATTTGTCCCGGTTGTGTTGAGTTACAAGGTACGCAATTAATGGTATGCGATTTTGAAATTCACTTAAAGCAGTAATACTATAATGTACGACGTTTCTGTTTTCTCTTGCCTACATAGAAAACAACAAACTTATTTAGAACAAAAAGCACACCAGCCAACGCTTAGACATTATCACAAAACCCGGCGAAGCACAGAGGTTTACTCCTCCGGTTTGCCGGCACTAGTTGCGGAGCCGCCTTTGCGGCCGGCTTCTCGGGCCCTCGGGTCGCCGGGTTCGAAGCTACCTCCAGACGCCTGGCCGCCCTTAGAAGCGATGTCTCTCTGCCGAAGGTCAGCAAGACATGTTCAGCAAGATATAATTATCCTGTTTTAGGGAGTCCATGCCTGCCTGTCGGGGTCCATGCTAGCAAACCCGCTGTTGTGACTGGCCTCTCCACCCTTGCGAGCAATGTTTTGCACCTCCTCGTGAGGGCGGTTGGAGGAGGTTACCGGGGTTTTGATTACCGGCCATTGTGAAGCGAGTGTTCGCTCGATTGTTTGTAACGACTTATGTTGACCATATGTCGTTAAGATTTGCTGATATTCGTGTATTGCGAGCGGGAGTGCTTGATCTTCTATTTATGTCCTTAGAATTACCTCGCTGACGACCGCATAGGGGGTACACTCCACCTGGGTCTGACCACAGTGGAAGGTGACGACAGACAGCCCTCATCACTGGATAAATTAGCTTATGGGAGTGGACCTTTACAAAGGTCATTCAAAACTCAACCACAAAGTCAGGTCAGGAAGAACATATCTGATATGGTCGCACGCACCCAAGGCGCTTGGCTAATTATCGCTGATTATATCATATATGCAGCATCTCTATTATAGCTTGTTTCTCCATTGTAAGAAAGTTGACTTTGTAGGAATAATACATTGTGCATTTTACGCGGGCTTACAAGGCACTCTTACTAGATATCCTAAATGTGCTGCCTTTGTGCGAAGATGACTATTGGTATAGCGTCTTTAGAACGGTTCATTAACCTGTGTATAAGGCAGGCCAAGTACTCGGCAATGAATGTTTCAACTATATTGTAAGCACCACTCACTTCACGAACCAACAAAACACGCCGAGACGAACCAATCAAATTAATTATTTACCGACCGACCTTGGAACCGAACTCGCCAATGACCCCCGTCATTCTCTCATAAGAGTGACGGCTATCTGACGTCAAGTCATGGGTGCTGAAGATATATACTCTGCCCATTAGCTTGGGAATGTCATTATTTGATGCCGGCTCATTAAACAGCAGATTATCTATTTATTTTATTCACCACTGGCCTTGAAGGCCTTTTGAACTATTTTAAAAGAACAAAGAGTTGGCAATTACAACATGTCGAACAAATACGAGAGACAAGCAGAGGATGACTATGAGGCTCAAAACGACCCATCGCCTGTGTCAGGCGATTTCGGTGACAACTCGTATGCTCATGAGACTCGTTCTGAGCTAAAAAGCCATATTCCTGTCGTGAGAGATGAGGCCAACTTGGCCGATCCCATGCAACCTCCATTTTCGAACAGTGATCAACAACTGGGTAAGTTATAAGACTACCTGACCTATCTATGTTGTTTGTTATGAAAGCTGACAAATCCACAGAAAGAGATGAGCGCGAAGCTATAGATCGTTCTAACATCCTAGGTGGTGAACGTCTGCGTCATGCAAAGCCCAACACGCAGAACAAGTACGATGAAGGGCCTGGTGAGGATGATCTACCCGAGGATGCTCTTTACGGATACTCAGGAAGGTCAACCACGGGCAGGACGCTGTGAAGAGGTTCTTGTATCCACATCAGACAATTAGGCTAGGTGGGCACTACTCAAGTAAGACTTTACGAAATGATTTTGGCCTTGACCTCTGAGGAAACTGTACCCATCGAAAATAGCATCACTTGCTGAGTTTGTGTGCCGTTCTTAAAAAAGTTTTGGTATATATACGTCGCAATTTAACTCGCACAATTGTACTTAAGTGTGGCGAACGTAATGCTCGCAAGGGTCTCGTGATAAAGGAGCTCGTATTGGCTGGCTGAATTGCGCCAGGGCATCTGAGACCATTTTCTGCTGCGCTCAGTCTTCAATCGCTTTGCCTGGCCAACCGAACCGGCGGAAATTGGTTGACTTGGTAAGGCGCAATAAAGCTTTTACGAGGCCTCTGCTTAAAAGACTAGACTTGTAGGAGCCGCTTTCTTCCTTCACCAACAGTGGAAGGCGGTTTGAGATAATGCTGCTTAGCCCACACTTCTTCTCATTCTCTGTTACCATAGTGAGCTTTAACTATACAAGTTAGATAAAGGTGTTGTGTTTCTCTTTCTTTTGACAATATGTATCTAGTTGCAAAAGCTCAATTTAAAAGTATTCAGTTACTCTTATGGATTCAGTGCTATATGCCAATATCCCCAACTTTGATGTGGATATGTTAGAGAAGAAGCTTCAGGGAATGGATGACGTCATCATGATAAATGTCATACTTCTCCAGTAAGAGCCAAGTTGTTAGGGCCCAACAGTTCCATATTTCCTTGAAACAGGGCGTGGTAGAATAGTAGCTATTAACTGTGATTGATATCCTTTGCCAACAGTAAGAGGTATACGTACGCTAGGAGATTGGCGTAAACTTTGACAACTTCCCGGTCCTTTACAGACCCTTTACAGACAGGAGAGCATACTAATGGCGTAAGTCGATATACGATAGCATGGGAATAAATATCCATGATATCCAATTAGCGGATGACGGCATGGCAACCACTCAAGCCCCAATTCGGATAATGTCCTCTGTAGCACAGTCGTGAAATAAGCTCCCATTTGTAGATATTAGACACGAGCTCTAATAGTAGGTCATTGGCTGAAATTCAAGCTTGCTGCAAACTTACAAAATATCGGGGCACGAAAGGGCCTTCTGGGTCATAGGTGCCGCTATCCGAACCGTGCTAAAAATTATATTGTCAGACAAATGTGACTCCGTTATGCATTTCCTAGATTGGCACAAACTACCTTTTCCTTGTAGCTCTGCACGAGCCAGCCATACGCCAGCTGAGTGGGGTGTGAAAAGTTAATGTTGATAATCAATGTTGCCAGGATGGAGAATATGATATTGAAGCCCAGCTCCCGGAATCCAGTGTAGGTGTCCCAGGAAAAGACTATGCCATTGACGCCGCGGTCCCAGGATGGTTGCTTTAGGGCTTTAGTCACTCTCTGGCTAGCTCATTATAAATATCTTGACAAGCTTCAAGTTAATAAAGCAAAGGATTCAGACTATCTTATAAATATCACCCGATCAACACTTATCTACTTCTGATACCTCATGTGTCCAGGATTGATCGCCCAGTCTACTACAACGAGCCTCTGTCAGCAATGTCTTCTACCCCTAAAACACCGCTTTGGAACCTTTGTTTTCCTTGCTTTCCCTTGCCAGCTATATTCCATTTCCATACCCTCTGAACCCACGAATCATCCCTTGCCCCCCAAATCACACTCTACTAGGTACCATTATATGAATGCGTTTCTCCTTCCTGTACACGCAGTGGTTTCACCGTGGCAAATGCGCTTCTATGAGCAACAAATCCAAATTTTCTTTCCTGGGCCATTAAGCATCAATTGGGACACTTGGCACACCCAAGACGGAGAACATCAGCATTTTTCCATCATCCGACGAAGGTATATAAGGGTATACTCCACCCTGTTATTAAGGGGCCTTGCTTAGCAGCTACCTTTGGATACTACCCAAGAATTTCAAAGTGGCCTTGCGACACAAGTAACATTGATATAGACATTGACAATTTGCTCAATCCAGACACTCTATTTTTCTGGGCGCAGAAGAACGGTGATGCAGGGAGTTGCCAATCATCAGTCATACAGCGTGGCTTGAATGATAGAGTATTTCACGTCATTAGCAACTCAGCCACCTCCAAAGTTTCCAATATAGATTAGTCTTCCTCCGAAAGCCCCGTTAGTGATAATGTTGCCAGTGACATGAATCGTACACATGAAGGCAAGGGACGCATATCAGATGTGACATGATTCAGGGATCATCCCTTCTCATTTCAGACGACTAAGCAACAGCTTCTATAACCTAGCATCCAGAATTACACTGAGAGCACAATGAAGCGGCATACATAAATCACCATTCATTGCATTGACCAAGATCTGCCCGATTGACCCGGAGGCTATAGAAGTGATCCAGCCGTTTGCGATTAGCCCCCATCAATCAAGATGGGATGGCATTATTAGCTTAGCAGAAGAAACAGAATCATACGGCATACAGAAAATCCGATATCCCAACTGCAAATCCACACACGTGCGTCAGGGCACCACAGGTGGCTTGGTATTGATATAGTAGCCACGGTGGGAGACCAAGTAGCCAGAACTAACTCCAAGATTATGGTCGCTAGCAGTGTACCAACATATGCCTTACACAACTGAGAGCACTCCTGGAGGCGCTTAAGATAGTTAAACAGACCCTGGAACCTTCACCAGCTCTGAAAATGGTACTAGGCGTAACTATATATACTAATAGCTAAGCTACACTAACATCTATCTGCGCTGCACGCCATCAAAGTGGGCCAGCCCTAATTATAAATATTGATGACCTGCTCCAGAAACTACATGAAGTAAGGATTAAGCTTCAGTTTAATGACTTCCTACAGACAGTGACAAGAAGAGTGCACAACTAGCAAAGAATGCAGCAGTATATATAACCAGAGAAGACCGGCCATTCTGTCTATCTAACAGGGCTGTCACTGATTTGAGATCCTCCATCTAAAGATGGAATCAAAGTCTCTCCAGCATACCCGGAACTCTGCCCTACCAGGAAATTATATTCAACGACTATATGGTCAACTTACAAGATACTAAATATCAATGTTGGCGCAGCACTGGACAGGCCATATCCTATTAAATGCATTCCTACACTGAGTCGGCAGGATAGATAACAATACATGCGAATCCATGCAGGAATCAGAGACTATAGAGCATTTCCTCTTCCACTGTCACCGGAGAAAAGATAGGCGTGAGGAAATGAAATAACTAATGAACTAACAATACGGAAATCTATCCCATGCTCTGGGAAGCAAACCGGACCAGGTGCCAGTAGACTCATGACAATGGAACGGAAATAGGAGATGGGCTCCAAATATGGACATGGTCAATGCTATACTTTGATTTGTTAAGAAAACTGAGAGATTCAATACAGATAACAGAATTATCATCAGAGAAGTGTGAAGTCCCGTGTATATAACTGATTATATCAGGATAGACTAGCTCAGAAGGCTACATGCAGCCCACTGCCGCGCACAGCCTGAGGAATAATAATAATAATAATAGTTGACAGGAAGTAAGCAAGCAGTAGATATAGTCGATAGAGTCGTCCATATAATCGAGTATCTATCGAAATGGCATCCGATCCTCAGTAGGCTACGTACGTGTAGCTGATACAGCCTCATTCTGCCCTACTTTCCCCTGAAATCACAACGCTAAGGGATATTAGAATGCATATTCGTTAATTCTCTATTTGGCATGCAATCTTTTGAACTAGCAGCCGGGTCGTAGAATGGCGGATATATTTAGTTGTCATTGATACCATCATCATTACCTTACTCATAGCATAGACTGCAGACACCTGCGGCATTGTGGGGATGCCTGGGTTGAACTGTCTACAACAAGGATGCATTTGCTTTTTGTTCCACGACATGCAAAGCAGGCTTTATATGCTCGCTTGTACACATAACTGGCTCTTCTTTTCTTTATGGTCATTGTTTGAATGAGAACATAGTTAAAGGTTCAACCCAGACTCAGTGTCAACAAAGCCGAACATGCTCCTTATGGCTTATGCTTTATCATTCTTTACTGAGGAAGCTGATCTTATACAGTGATTGCATACGAAACAACCCCTACGACAAAAAGGACCCCAACCATGGTTAAGCTCTACCGAGCCTTTGGGCCTTCATCCACGCGGTTGAGGAAGCCGGGATCTGAGATGATTATTTCTATTAAACTTTTTTTTCTCGCATTAAAAAGCGGTACGCGCGACAAATGGAGTTTGAGCACCATATTTACCACTCATCCTGGGGTGAAGGTATGGTGGGATGGTTACCGCCTGGCCCGCTGCAAGGTTTTCTAAATCAAGGATCAAACAGTTCCACACCAAAAGTGCCATGAAATGTTAGTCCATTCGCCACGGATCATCATCCTTCTTGGCTGGATTGGAAACTGTGCCGCTGGACCTTCTTGGTGCCTGCTCGCCGAGAGAATTCGAGGGATTTTACTGTGGATCCCGACCATATTGATGCTGGTTGGGGGGTTGAAAGGTTACGGCGACTTATTGCGGTATTTCCGCCGTTTGGCCATTAGGTCCCCTGAAGATACGCCAAAAAGTAGCAGGGTAACAGTACCTGTAGGAAAGTGTGTTTAAACTGTGACTAGTGATCCCCATGGTTAGTTATTGGTAACCCCTTAAAGTAACATACGCTAATAAACACTCTATATAACTGTCTTAGTAGAAGACTCTGAGAAAGTGAAACAGTAGGTACACATTTAATGTACAATCTGTTAGCCCTGTGGCACTCTAACTGAGAAATGGACTTTTCTGGATCTCGAGCCCATTATCGGATATCACAGCTAATACACTCTAATCTCCAGACCGCGAATGTTACCGGAGCAAATGGCAATATGGTCAAAAATGGATGACTTCCTCAATAATGTCAACTATCCTAGGAAACAGGAGCCAGGAAACCAAGGCCAGATTGCAGGTTCGCGCGGGCCGAATCTGCTAATATTTCTCT